CGATGGAAAACTTTGATACTGTCCACATGTAGATGGGATATTCACTATTTCCTACATTTTCTTGGTCTCCTATGTTGTACCTTGTATGAATATATGTAAACTCATTACATAGAAACAAAAAAGAAACTTGAATTTCAAGGAAAAGAATCCAGGAAACTGTAATCCAAAGCAGAAGTAAACCCAGAAAAAAAAGTTCACTGCCGCTGCCCTGACCACCACTTGGCCGGACTTGGAAAACGGCGCCAAGACCAGATCGGATTTTCTTAGATGAAACGAGCCGTTGGACTGTATATTAACCACTACCATGGAACGAGAACGAATGGATCAGGGGTATATCACATACAACATACCAAGTACATACAACATAGGTAGTAATACAAAATAACATATCCATAATTTGGACTTGAGGTTGATACGTTACACTTCGATTCATACCGTTGCGTTCCAAGTTCTCGGATCCTGTGATCGACGACCACATAGCCCTATCGAGAATCTCTTCCCGCGCTCAATTTTGGGATCCATTACGCGCATCGATCTATCTCGGGAGATTTGGACTACCCGTATCCGTGGGATATTACATGGAATCTCCTGTCTCTCCTGTTCGGATCAATTATAATATCCCAGGGATTTAATTATATACTAAAATTAACTCAATCTCTCTATATTGCGTCTCCTGAAGATAAATGCAATATAGTTTAATATACGAAAAGCCGCCGCAATAACCGCCTGTAGTACAGTCCTCTGATTGGCTTACGGAGAATCTCGGTGCAATCTCACGCCAATCCCAAACAGTTCTAGCGCACAAAGGTACCCGTCTGTCGGTATTCGCGGCCTTTCAGTTTTTTTCGCGCTTCTCCCCTGATAATATCCGCGGACAATGGCCGTGCAAATCCCCGTTCTTCGGGAAAGCCCCGAAGTTAAGAATCAATTTGCCTTAACCGTGGATTAAGTGCTTCATTTGCCTTTCTTGGTAATTGGCACCGGTGGCCGTTTTCGCTCAGGGGGACCTTGGAAGTGCCTCGGTTATTTTTCTTGTTGTTTCTTTACTTCTAAATAAAGCTTTCTAACGGTGATGAAATCGATTTTGAGTTTTGATGGGCTTCTATGCATAAGTGAACCTCGGTATCTTTTTATGGATGCCTTGGGCATCAACGTTGCGTTTGTACACAGTATCAGGGGATTTTGTCGCGGCAAATTAATGTTAATAAGTCCTTCCGAATGTGGTTAATAGGTTTAATTTGTCTTTAAATATCTAATCGACTGGGATGATATAAACTTAGCAACGGTGGCTTGGCTAGTACTATCAGATGTTTGATGTTGAGTACACGCCGGACAATTTCCAACTTCAGGGGTTATTTTCCTCGCGGCAAAGTATCATTGACGTAGTCCTTCCTAATACGGTAGGGGCTTAATTTGAGTTGATTGGATATGCAGTTTGCTGTCATAAACTTGGCAACGGCGGCTTGGCAATATCGGATGTTTGATGTTTGATGTCTAGTACAAACTTGGAAGGAGACATGACCCCTCCACTGCGGAGAAATGCTGTCAGCACGGCTAAATGGGAAATATAATACGAGTGAGCTGGTTCTGGTACTTGTGTAGACAACAAGAAAGAACAGAATTGTATGACCGAAGAATGAGAGATCTGGCTTGCTAGGTCTTCCTAAATCCGCCATCTACTGGCGACAAAAGACCGGCATACTTTCAATCGGACATTCGATCTCAACATCCCGACCGCCTTCATACACATCTTTCCCGTCCCAAAGCTTCCATGATGCCCCAGCTGGCAGATAAGCCTTGACCGTGCGCTGGCCCGGCTCCAACACTGGCACAACCAAGTACTTCCATCCATACATATACTGAGTCTCAACCTCCCAAGCCCGCTTATCCGATGGGAACTCATAAAACAAAGTCCTCATCACAGGAGTACCCTTCTCATGAGCCTCCTGCATCAAACTTCGCGTGTACTCACGAAGCTGCTCACGAATCCCAATATACCGTTTACAAATTTGATAAACCTCATCTCCATAAGACCAGATCTCATTATCCGCCCCACTAGCCGTAGGCTGACCCTCCGGCTTCGGCTCACGGTCACCATGTAGCCGCATAACGGGACAGAACGCTCCCCACTGGAACCATCTCGTGAACAACTCGCGGAACAAAGGGTCATCCGGGTTACCGCCGTGGAAACCGCCAATATCAGTCGTCCACCACGGGATCCCAGCTAATCCCATGTTCAGGCCTGCTGCGAGTTGGTTGCGGAACGAGCTCCACGACGACGCGATGTCGCCGCTCCATACTAGCGCCCCGTACTTCTGACTACCTGCCCATGCGCACCGTAGGAGGTTGACGATGTTCGACTGACCCTCTTCGGTCATGCCTTCGTAGAATCCACGTGCGTATTCTTTCGGATAGGTATTTCCGATCTGCAGGTTGCTGCCGGCGTGGTAGCGGTAGATGTCGAAGTCGTAGATCGAGTACTCGGGTTCGGCTTCGTCGAGCCAGAATACTTTGATGCCCATGTCGTAGTAATTTTGCTTAGCTTTGCTCCAGACGTACTTTCGGGCGGCTGGGTTCGTTGCATCGAAGTGAGTAATATCGCCGTCGCATTGCATTGCTACGCGTAGGCCACGGTCATGGCGGATGAGAAGACCTTGTTCGAGCATTTCTGGGAAGTTCTCGGATGCGTTTTCAACGGTCGGCCAGATGGAAACCATGAGTTCGACTTTGAGCTCTTTAAGCTCTTTGACCATAGCCTCTGGAATCGAACATTGTTAGTCTTGCTATCTAAGCGATATAAAAAAGAGAACAATGACATACCTGGATCCGGCCAGAATTCCGGATCAAAGCTCCATTCTCCTTGATGCTTCCAATGGAAGAAGTCAACGACAATTAAATCTAGAGGAACCTCGCGACGTCGGTACTCGCGGGCTACATTGAGCAATTGCTCCTGGTTCGTGTAGCGGAGTTTGCACTGCCAGAAACCAAGACCGTATTCTGGCATCATAGGAACATAACCTGTCACTTTAGCATAGGCTTCTTCAATTTCTGCTGGGGTGTCACCCGCCACAACCCAGTAGTCCAATGCCTTTGTCGAATACGCCTCGAAACTCATGACATTTGTTCCTAGAACCGCCCGTCCGATGCCGGGGTTATTCCACAGGAAGCCGTAACCGAGCGAGGAAATGGCAAAAGGAACACTGGCCTGCGAGTTGCGGTGCGCCAACTCAAGATCTGTACCCTTCAGGTTCAGGTATGGCTGCTGATACTGGCCCATGCCGAAGATCTTCTCTTTTTGATCGAGAGACTCGAATCGCATGGTGAGGTGGTAGTCGCCGCCCAGGATTGGACGCAGCTCGCGAGCTTCGACAGTCAACGCGCTGCATTTAGGGTCCATTGGATCCTGGCGGTGGCGGGCATACTCTTCAAGGAGTTTGTTTCCTTTCGAATCGTAGATGATAATCTTGCCTCTGCGTGAGACAGTTGCTTTGATGTTGCCGTTGGTGATAGTCGCTTCTTGATCAGCGGATATCTGGATGTTTGGGCTTGGGGTGGATGGTTTGGAGGAGAGGGCCCAATCTTCCGTTGGAATTGATGCCTGTCTTGTTGCCCGCACACGGAAGGCATTCTCGCCCCATGGCTGTATCCAGAGGATATGGTCGTCGAAACGGAAGACGAGCTTGTCGTCTTCGGCGTAGAGCATTTTTGGTGCACGAGATTGTTAGTGGTTAATCTGCTGATGGAAATAAGCACAATTTGAGGCAATGTGCTGGACAGATGAGCGGTCTAGTTCAAAGAGCTGGACATTAAATATTGAGGGAATGGCATGTACCCCTCAATCCTGACGTTGTGCCATGGCTAATTCCGACGAGAATTACCGCAGATCCACTGCAGGAAGTACCAGTAACAACACTCATTTCTTCGAGAGAACTTCTGATAGCTCTCGTAGGTGCAGTGGTGGAGATGCCCGTCTTTAAACGCCTCGAGATCATAGGCAGCATCCGGCATGAGTTTAGCCTAAAGTTGACCTTCTAAATATAGCAAGGACATGACTCCGTGATTTCCAAAAAGGAAACAGGGAATAAATAGTTTATATGGATAATGTGTCTATTTATATCATGGTTATCAGAGCTCAAGGCACGTCTTGATTAGAGTCTAGTCCGTCAATAAATTAGAACCCACCAAGTGTTATAGAGAGGAGCAGAAGGTATTTAGGGCTTCCCTGGATAGTACTTTTCAGAGCACGCGAAGCAAGCTACTTGTATCACAACAAGGTAGTACTATACTCTCCCAGGAATTTCGATTTAGAAATTTTCGATATAGCATGCTCTTCAACTAGAACTTGGCGTGATTAGGAAGCGTTTCCATCGAGGATATTCAAGTTTTGGATAATAACTTCTGAATGTCTAGTCTTCTTTCCATTCCAAGCCACTCAGTACAACGGGCAGTGATACATGCTGGGTGCTTGAGTCATTAGACCTCACCATAGATTTAGGTAGCTTCCTTCCGGTTTGTAGGGATCGGCCTTCTTCGTCTCTCTGCTCTCTGTATCGAAATCCCGTTCAAGTCTGCGACAATTTCATCACCACGGGAGATTTCGTTTCTCTCCTGTATCTCAATAGTATGTTGTGACCGTTATATATAATTGATCCTTTGACACGATGTCTGAAAGGCTTACCAATTCCTGTTCTTTCAACTCTTTTCTGTTCAAATATCCGTCAGCTGTCAAAGAAAATTACTTTTATTTTCTTCGCAATTCCTCTTCAGACTCTGCGTTCGACATGAATGCCGTGTAAAAGTCCACGGGAGGTTGATATTGATGACTGGTGCCCCCCCCCGGAAAAAGGGCGCTATTCCCCATCAGGACACAGAGTCAAGCTACCGCGGGCACGGTTTTCACCTTACATTGCTCAGTCCTGTCCCATCAATTATCAATTCTATTTGAACTGTTAGCTGGGATTTGATTTGAACCTGAGATTCATCGAGTCAACGCAGAAATCATGGCATTCAGCGCAGCTGCGTCAGCTCCTACCGCTGACATGGACATCGACATGGATCTTGACCTTGGACCAGAACCAGAGCCAGAACCAGAACCAATTCAGGTGGTGAGTATCTTCTTTTGCATTTATATTCGTAATCAATTGTCGACTAACATGTATCGAGTGCTAGGAAACAACCACGGCCTTAGAAACCACCCTTGACCCCCTCACCGATGAAGCGGTCTACGAAAAAGTTCATGTTCGCGGCGTCGATGAAATGACCACAGAAGATATCAAACAATTTGCTCGTGATTGCTCTGGACAAGAACCAGTGCGCATTGAATGGATCGACGACACATCCGCCAACATCATCTTCTCCTCCACCGAAATTGGCCTCCAAGCCCTCACAGCTCTCACCCAAGTCGCCGAGGAAGAAGACGCGTCTACCTTGCCACCTCTGCGTCTCCGATCGGCGAAACTCCTCTCCTCCCACCCTGATTCCGTCCTCCAAGTGCGATCGGCTGTCAAGTCGGACCGCAAGCAACCACGCGCTCATGAGAAGAGTCGTTTCTACCTCATGCACCCCGAGCACGACCCTCGGGAACGTCTGCGACAAGAGTTTGCAGATAGGAGAAACAGCGACGATGCAGGTGAAGGTGATTACAGACGGCGAAGATTCGACAACCGGGAGCACCGACGTCGCCGAGACCGCGACGAGGACGAACACTTCAGCGCTGACATGTACGGTGATAATGTAGGCTCTGAACCCGAGCGTGCTCGGACACAGCCCAGAGGCCGTGGCCAGAGGGATCGGGATCTGTTTCCGGAGGATGAGGGCCGATCAAGTGGACGTCTCCGGAACCGCAGTGCGTCTCCGGGACGAGACACGCTGGAGGAGGAACTCCAAGTCAGCAGAGGTGGTCGTGATAATACCAGGCGGTTCCGTGAGAGGTCGCCTCGGTACAGTCGTAAGAATAAGGATAAAGAGCTTTTCCCAAGCGCGGGCGCGGGCGAGAGCGAGTCAGGAAGCCGCGAGCTTTTCCCAAACAAGACTACATCCAGCTACATCAAGAAGGAGTTGCTGCCTAGCAAGTCTAGTCACCATCGTCGGTCAGATGCATTCGACGCTTCTTCTGTCCCGGGAACCTCGGAACGCAGACGCCACAGCAATATTGAGCTCTTCCCTGATTCCACCAACAATGGCGCCCGCATTCGTGGTGCAGCTGCAGCCACGACTACCGAGGACCAGGGATTTGCTATCCGGGGTGGTGCATCGAATGGCATGTCGATTAAGGGCAGGGGTGCGTCGGTGCGCGAGCTGTTCCCTTCCAAGTTCGACAATGCCACCAACAATACAAATGTTGGCGCCAACGCTGGCAAGGAATTGTTTTCTGATACACTAGAAGGACGTGGCGGTCGTCGGCGTCGGGCCGAGGATATGTTCAGCTAAATAGACCAAATAAGTTGAGAACTGTGCATTTGCTTCAATGTTGATTGTTAGGCTTCAGGGGGGCATGAAGGATATCCGGCGTTTCGCGAATGGGATGGGAAGTTCGATTGTCTGATAAAAATTCATAATGACACATACTCTGCTCTACTGGTGGAATACCTACATTCTGTAATCGGGTAATAACTGAACAACTTGAATATAAGATCAAGATGTAGACCAAACCAACATCTCCCAGTCCACGGGTGTTGTGCGCCACCTTTCCCTGACCAAAATCTCCCCGAGACATCAAATGAAAACATGCCTCCTTCCAGAACAATAGATGCACTATCAAGTGCTATAGTTGCTCGATTTTTGCGCACAAATGGCTATTCCGATACACTGAAGGCTTTTATTCGTGAGGCCGACCTTGCACTCGACGTGGGGCAGAGCTCGGGCGATGACACCAACAACTGGACCATCCAAAGCTTGCTCGAGGAGAAGAACACCTATGACCGAACCGTAGATTTTGAAAGATATGGCAAGGGTCATCAACAGTCGGATTTATGGAGCGAGCCAGGTGAGTTCTATTCTGGCATGGCAATCAAAAGGCATTAGGACTTGGATTTATAGGTCAACCATGATCTACAATTATTTTGTTCTGTGATCTGACAAACCCTTAGCACCATCAAGAGCTGCTCTCATCCAGACACCGACATCATCAAACATTCTTTCTGCGTCGGTAGAGAAATGGCTGAAACCCCGCGGCGATGAGGATGAAGCCACATCAGCGCAGTCTTATATCGTCTCTACGAGTGCAGACAAACAAGTCCATCTACTCGAGACAGCAGACGGACACACGGCTATCAAATCATTCCTGAGCATCTCTACTACACCCGTTCTGTCATATGTCTCAATCCTCCAGGGACGCTACATCCTCATGAGCAACATGTCCGGCCAGCTAATCCTCCAACATGGATCCCAAACACTTGACAGCAGAAAGGACCATGCAAAGTACTTAGTGAAGGTAGTAGCCCACGAAGACAGGACCGATCCTTCCAAGTGGTGGGTTGCCACCGCCGGCTGGGACGAGTGTGTTTTCATATATTGCCTCAATATCCCTGAAACAAACGCACCAGCATTGAAGATCGGTGAGCCCGTTACACGCATTAAACTCAACTCAAACCCTGAATCACTGCTGTTCGTCCCACACGTCGACACATACGAGCTGCTCCTCCTCGTCTCACGCAGAGACTCGACTTATATCTACTACTACCAGGTCGAAGCAGCAGAAGCCCGTCTCCTTGGACACCAAAACCTGGCTCCTCATTCCAATGCCTGGGTTGCGTTCTCGCTGTGCGATATGGCGCTCAGTCCACACGACCCGGGTCTCCTGGCTGTAGCGACGTCGTCATTGCCGCATATGAAAGTGATTATCGTGCGTCTGCTTTTCCCTGCACAGACAACATCCGTTTCAGAGGACCCAGTGACACAGGCGTCTCAGGCGATGGCGACGCTGGAACTGCAGAATCGTGAGGATGCTGCTATCCTTGTGCAGGCGAATACCTTTGCGCCGCAGACTGATTACTCCACGCCGCAGTTAGCATGGAGGCCTAATGGGTCTGGGGTCTGGGTTAATGGAGACGATGGTGTGGTTCGTGGTATTGAGACGAAGACGGGGAAGGTCATTGCTAGCTTGAAGGGTGGCCATGAAGCGGGCTTTAAGGTGAGAACTGTTTGGTCGGGGTATGTCGATATACCGCAGGAAGAGGGTGACCCGGTCCGGGAGGAATGGGTCATTAGTGGTGGGTTTGATAAAAGGTTGGTTGTTTGGAAGGTATGACCTTTGTGACTATACTTAGCAAGAATAGTCGGCCTAGTGATGTCTTGAAGTCTTTTAGACATTTAGCTCGTTGCCAAGTCGATTTTCAAAGTATACATTGTGGTGTAGCTAGATACGATACACTAACATGGATACCATGGAAGTGGAAATGGATGCAAAGTAGATGTAAATGAGTTGATTCGAATATGGCTAAGTATAAAATCTGTTACTGTTTACGGAATGTAGCCCCCCTGACTATGAACCCTATCTCGATCGAGAAGAATCAAGACAGGATATATAGCAATCGGAGACTTGGGGGTTATTCTTGGCACGTTAAGAAAAAATCCTTCAGCAATCGCGCATGAGAAAAGCACGCAGCTGTACACACATATGCCGGACGGGGGTTGGGAAAAAGGAGGGAGAGACTAAGCTCCAGGGCCACAACACAGACTAAGTCGAGCCCTCGAGTCTGGAAGAAATGGAAAGGGATATAGCAGAAGAGATTCCGCTTAGGAAAATGGCACCGCTGTGCACATCGAATTAAGCCTGTTGATTTCTCGATATCAAACAACTCGAGGCTCGTCGCGCAAGGAATAAGCAGAAACCAGGCCTATTCGACACAGCGGACCGTCCTTGATCGTAGCACACGTTATGTTCTCTGGATCTCTTGCACGCTCGAGTTGCATTTCATGTTTCCCATTTTTTTAAAACTGAGTTCATAATCTATGCGACCTCACGCTTGCCCTCCTTGCGCTCCTTCTGTTCAATGGGTCAGTATTCCGTGTCATAGGTGATGTTGGGTTCGAGTTGTGGTCAACGTACAAGGGCCTTCATGGTGCCGTGGAGAGCGTGACGGTGGTTGCGGCGGAACTTGGGGTCAACGCCCTTGAGGGAGGGGTAACGGTTGGTCTTGGGCTTCTTGATACTATTCAAGGAGATATATCAGCGATTCGGTTCTGATTGAGATCGTGTGATGAATGGTGGTTGAATGCAGTGGTTCGAAGAAATTGTCCGAGCGAATATTCAAGTCGTGACCTTAAATTTATCATCCCGGATAAAACCATTCGGACACTAGCATTTCTTCCACCATATGCATTCGATCGGTTCAATATTGTCGGGCAAGTGTAATAGTAGGGTGTTCGAGGATGTTCAAGGGTAGACGTACCCGTTACGGTGAGCCTTCTGGCTGTTGTGGTGCTGGGACGCGTTCTTGGACTCTGTGGGGGAAAATCATGTCAGCGCCATCGCCTTTTTTTTAAACTCTCTCCAGCTTGCAGAGGAGCAAAGGTCATAGGGTCGTGGTAAAAACGTACTGGCCATCTTGTCGGATGTTGTCGCTGATTGACGGTTTGATGGATGGAGAGGAGTGGGAATAGGACGTCAGGCCTAAGAGGCTCGGCTAGGGCTCGTCCGTTTGTGGGATCTCGCTTATCGGGCGGTGTACATACTAAAGCTTCACTAGATGGCTTGTTACTTGCAGATTGTCTTAGGCAGCGTGGTAATATTTTGATATGGTCTTGTATCCTATTGCATTCCATTGGGTTATTCTAGATACTTCAAAATTTGGGTCTTTTTTAGCTGAATTTTGGCTGTTCTTCACTCTGCCACTTTTTCCTACTTTGTTCTGCCACTCATCTACACGTGACTCGACTCCATATACATCACGTGATGGATATACTTCCCCATCTGCAAGTAAAGTACGGAGTATATGCTGCTCAGAGTTGAAGAAGAATTTATTTCGGAGGTCAAAGAGCAAGTCAAATAGAAAGATCCAATACTTTGGGCCAAATTATCAGCGAGTATCTTACCAACTTGCTCTCGGCATCAAACCTTCAGCTCTGGAAATCAGACTTTGGGCAAGAATATGAACTCCAAAACAGACAGATACTGAAATATATAGAGTATTAATTGAAATCATATGTTTTCTCCTTATGCTCTCACAAAATATGCATAGAATGACTGTAGTCAACACAGCCCATACTGGCCATAGTCCGGCCGTTGAATTCCCGTGCCACGTGACTAGCCGCTAGGGAACAACCGGCATTCCGACTTCGACCTTTGCACCGCAACTTCAAGAGGGATAATCCAGCCTTTGCACGTCATCCACCACTGCAAAATGAGCTCCTTCCGCTTCGCTCGCTCCGCCCTCCGGGCTCGTCCTTCTTTCCTCGGTGCTCCCGTCCAGCGCCGTGGTTACGCTGAGGCCGTCGCCGACAAGATCAAGCTGTCCCTGACTCTGCCTCACCAGGTGCGTGAACGAACTCCGGCCGACATCCCAACTTCAGAACCTAAGTACTGACTTGATAATTGATTGACAGACCATCTACCGCTCGACTGGCGTGTACGTTATGCTTCCACTTGCGCCCACGTCGACGGTGCCTTCGCCCTTTGACTAAATACTGACCAACCTTCGCGATTACAGTACCCAGGTCAACATCCCCGCCGCCTCCGGTGAGATGGGTGTCCTCGCCAACCACGTTCCCTCCATCGAGCAGCTCAAGCCCGGTCTCGTTGAGATCATTGAGGAGAGCGGCTCCACCAAGCAGTACTTCCGTACGTCCGATCATCGTGCCCTGAGACATTCCGCAAATCTGGTCTCTTGTCAATTGGAATCAATCAACTAACGATGATGTTGCTATATAGTGTCCGGTGGCTTCGCCGTTGTCCAGCCCGACTCCCAGCTCAGCATCAACGCTGTCGAGGGTTTCGCTCTTGAGGATTTCAGCGCCGATGTAGGTATTCTTCTTCGCCACGTCGTAACTCAAACTAACCGAAACTTCCTTGCCAGTCCATTCGCGCCCAGATTGCCGAGGCCCAGAAGATTGCCAGCGGCAGCGGCAGCGAGCAGGATATCGCTGAGGCCAAGATTGAGCTTGAGGTATGAACCCGCGGACATTACTGGAGTAGTTAAATACTGACTTTTTATTGAATAGGTTCTCGAGACCCTCCAGGCTCACGTCAAATAGACTTGATGTACATAACCATTATCGCCCAACCATGAACCTGTAGAATTATAGCAATTCTCCATTTCCCTCTAATTATACTTGTTTATTATATCGTTTTCTTCTATCTACACTTTACACATGGTGGAGGTGGGAGCGCACCTTCCACGCTTGGAAGTTGCGCACCTGACTTTCCCATCTCATCTTGACCAACCATCAACCTTTCAACTTTTATCTTCAGCTAACCGTGCAGACATGGCATTCGTCAAATCAATTAAGTCAGACTCTCTCGGCATCATGGATCATCGAGTTACGATGACGGACCCATCTACGGATGGCTTATTTTCACCCTTTAGGCCATTATCATTCACCGACTTTGATCGAACCGACGAAAAGAAACCAGCCAGGCAGGCAGAGAATGGCTTACCACCTTTCCTTGCACCATCGCCATTCACTGGGTTTGATCGAACCGACGGAAAACAGCCAGGCAGCCAGACAAAAGTAGACGCAAGCCCGAAGCAAGCTCACCGAATCTTCGGACTTCGCAACTCATTCCGTGGTTTCGATTCCAGCGGCCAATGTCCTCGACTTGAGTTGGATGTCGATGTGGATAAGTACCACACTCTTGATGGCCTCACTGAGCCCTTAAATCCCCAAAACACGCCAAATAGCGAAAGAGATAGCACGGAGGAATCCACCGAGTCCCTTCGTTGCTATAAAATGGAGAACCTACGGAGGAGTTCTGCACCTCAGATGGGGGAGTTTAATCTCGATTGCTTCCAAGATTCGCCGGAAGAAAGCTTTTATCGTTTTCAAGACGATGAAAACGAATCCCTCAAATCCTCAAAGTTACGACGCCTTTCCGTTGGCCACCGACAGTGGTACAAGCCTCCTGTTGCTGCCCTGGCGAATCATCAGCCAGGCGTAAATACCAGTAACTTCGAAAAAGCTGCCAAGCCAGGTTCACTCCTGCGAAACGTTCGGTTTTCTCCTCTTGCGGGCTCACTATCTCCGCCTTCTCGCGCGATAGACCGTCCCCTACCTTCGATTGAAAGAAGGCAGGATTATGTTGCTTCGCATCGACAGAGCAAACAATACCGGAAATGGAAGCTCACTCGTCACGCGAATTCTCAAAAATGGTCTCCATGCAGCATCGCTCCAAAAACAACACGTTGTCTGGCAGCCCGCATCCCAAAGAACCGTGATAGATATCCCTCGTCCAGTTCCAGCTTGCCATCTCGTGAAACACGTCAAACGGCAATTTTCACTCGTATTGGCTCGAGTGGTGATACCCAGGAAGTGAAAGCCCGCAATGTAGTCGACACTTCTGTTGGAGATGACTTGACAGTTGCGGATAACACCGAGAAGAACGTCCCTGCATTTCTTGCTGTTTCATTTTCGCTTTACACGAACCGACCTGAGCCCAGTTCATCCACCGAGAAACCACCAAAATTCGTTTTGAAATTTCGAGTCACTCAACCTGATCTCCCTCAACAACCCTCTCCGCATTTTCCTACCGAATTCGAGGACACGACTTGCCACCCGGCTATCGATGACTTGATATCCCACACTTGCTTTATCATTCCTACGCCAGCTGTACTGATACCTCTCCGTGTCATTTTCGCTGTGACACACCCATTGGCCAACACCAACGCCGGCGCTGTACTGCTCTACCTTGCTAGAGCTTTACTGTACCTACTGGGGAACATTGTCCTTCTTGTGCTGTTGAAATGTGGAGTTTCTTGCGGCTGCCAGTGGACTCCAGACACTCACTCGAATTGAGTAGCTCCCTGTGGTGGTGGGGAGTTGAGGTTAGACAAGATGGATGTGACATGCGGAGCGAATTCAGTTCGTACTTTCTCCGAAGACAGTTTGTATGCATTATTTTCTACGAGTATCTCTTGTGTTGCGCAAATAAGTTTAGTCTTGCTCTAGTTGATAAGTGCTTGTGTCTGAAAGTTGAGCCATGAGTATGCGTTCAACAGATCTCAGCAGTGAAACTATGTATTATACACTACCCCATACCCTTCAGTGTAAACATTATATCAAATATAGCCTAGGGCTGTCATGAACGCTATACCACAAGAATATATATAGGTGGTTGTAAAGCTTCCCGCAACCACACTGCCTGTGGTTCTACGAAATTCAAGATAGCTTCCACTGGTTATTTTGGTCTGTGAAGCACTGTCAATATTATCTCTTCCCTTATCTCCCGGGTTGACATGCTGTTGAACGCGTCGCCAATCGTCGGAGCTCCAGAAACACGAATCTTGGACCATGCCGAGCATTTTTTTTCACACTCGAAGTGTTGGACGCTATGCTGTATTCTTTCCTAGTTCACCATCGAAATCATATATTCTCACATTATAGGTAAGGCTATTAAGCGGCCTCGACCTTAGCGTGCAGGTCAGCTGAGTGACGCCCCTCCAATTCGTATCTGATTGACAATCTTCTCTTCCCAGCCCACAAAATGCGTTTTTCCAAACGGCTCCATGAAATAAAGGGCGCCGGGAGGACTAAGCTCAAGAGAATTCTATACTCACATCCGACAATAGATAATACCAAGAGTGATCAAAGCAAAGAATTGAACACCCCGCATATCGATGAAGATGTTCCCATTGCTCAACCCACACCGGATGAGCCTAGCGATCTCTGGGATCGTGCAGAAAAGGCTCTGCGAGGCAGCCCCGATGGCGAGACGAGAAATGTCATGGAGACGTATTTGTCAATTCTGGAATCAGAGCTGGGATTTGCGATTGCGGGGATGGCATCTTCCGATCGTCAGAAGCAGCTATCTAATTTCACTGTCAACAAAATTCAAGCTCTCGACGAAAAGAAATGGACAGTTCGACTACGTGAAAACCATGTTTCCGTCGAAAGTATCTACTCTGGGATTGTGAATAATGTGCTGGCTGTGAAGGATATCGTTTCCACAGCGGCTGCTGCAGATCCACATGTTGCTCTGGCTTGTGCAGGAGTCACAGTAATATTATCGGTAGGTTTAGCTGCCTTTTTTTTTTTCTCATCTTTGGTTATCTTTCTTCTTGGTTGTTCAGGCGTTTTCCAATAATGTATAAGGGGGATTGCTAAGGCTTGGGTTTAGCTGCTCATTCGGTCAGTGAACGAACACAAGGCGTTGCTGTCTGGCTTTGACTATACGTCAAAACTGATCTGCCAGTTTAATGTGATTGAAAAACTGTACATGTCTCGCAAAGATGTTGTTCTTGCCAACGCGGACGATGCTATCCAGTTTGCGACTGAGTTTGAAGCCAGTATGCTGGATCTCTATTCAGGCGTGCTGGAATTCCAGGCCCGAGCTCTGTGTCACCTTTCTAGACACCCCATCCGACAGAGATTCAAAGAGACTTTTGAAATCAGCAGTTGGAAAGAAAAAATAGAGGATATCAAGGAGTTGGAAACGATGTGCAGGAACTTTACTTCTGTCATTGACTCTGCGAAATTGCACAGTGGTCTGGAAAAGCAAGAACGAGGTCTTTTAGAGGTGAGGGAAAATACCACTGAAATCTTGGACAGCCTGAGAAGATATCAGAATCCTCAAACGGCTCATATTCGGGATGAGTTTCTCAAGACGCTTTATACTTCTCGCTATGCGGACCACAAAGACAGAAACCAGGAGAAAGTCCAGGGCACATGTGAATGGTTTACAAGCCATCCTCTGTTTCAACGGTGGAGGGACAATCCATCGTCTTGCTTCCTTTGGGTTTCTGCAGACCCTGGCTGTGGGAAATCAGTGCTGGCAAAACATCTAGTCGACCATGAGATCCAGCGGTCCGACAAGCGGATCGTTTGCTACTTCTTCTTTAAGGATGACCATATGGAGCAAAAGAGTGCAGTTAATGCCTTGTGTGCCATGCTACGTCAATTGTTTCTTCAAAATGACAAGCTTTTGCGCAAATCCATACTTGACGATTCCCGGAGAGATCCGGGGCTTACCAAGTCTTTCTCCAGCTTGTGGGATTTGCTGCTCAAAGTGGCGAGCGACTCGGATGCCGGGGAAATTGTCTGTATTCTAGATGCTCTAGACGAGTGTGAGGAGCTTGAACGTTCTCAACTTGCCCGAGCCTTGAACAGATTCTACCGCAGGGAGAACACCAAATCGGCATTAAAATTCCTAGTCACGAGTCGGCCATACGCTCATATACAGCGCGAATTCCAGTCTCTGAAAAACCATGCTCCAGAAATTCACCTAAGTGGCGAAGATGGCGTTGAGATAGAGAAGATCTCCAGTGAGATCAACCTGGTTATCCAAGCCCGCGTCGAGGACATGGGGGATCGACTGCAACTTGACGATCACGAACGAGTATCTCTTCGCAATCAGCTTCTGCTCTTCCCTAATCGGACGTATCTTTGGGTTACTCTGACATTTGACGTGATTGAGAACAGCATCAGCTATACGAATAAGAAAGTACAAGAGATCATCAACACACTCCCTAGGACAGTCGACGAAGCGTACGAGAACATCCTGGCTCGATGTCCCGATCAGGCGATAGCCCAAAAACTTCTCCATATTGTTGTTTCTGCTGTCAGGCCTCTGACCCTCAAAGAAATGAGGGTTGCCCTTGCAATAGGCCCAACTGACCGTAGATACAAGGATCTCGATCTCGAATCGGAGACACGATTTCCGGCCGTGGTGAGAAATATATGCGGGCTTTTTGTGACTATCATCGATTCAAGAATATATCTGTTACATCAGACTGCGAAAGAGTTTTTGGTGAAGAAGACAGAAGAGACATTGACGCCACGAAAGGAGTGGAGTTTGTCGACAAATCATGGAACTGTCGAGCATCGACGGCATGGCGATATTTCCTTCCCTTGTTGGAAACATTCTTTGGTGCCAACCGAGTCGAACAACATCCTAAATGATATATGCATCGCATATCTCTTGTTTGAAGACTTTGAGTCTTGTCCAGAACGACTTCTCAACGAATATACTCAAGCACATGATTTCCTAGAATACGCGACCAAGAACTGGGCCGAACACTTTCGCAAGGCGTCGAGGGAAAAGCAGATTGCCACTCTAAGATCAGCGATCGAGGTGTGCAGGCTAGGTTCCAGGCGATTTGATATGTGGTTTTCTGTATACCAGAAAAGTCCAGACTGGGATAGTTCTGACTTGTGGAGTTGGAATGAGGCTCAGTTCAACGACCTTTTGTTGGGGTCATATTTGGGCCTAGAATTAAGGGTCAAGGATCTAATCCGCACTGGCCAAGGACTGAGGGACAGGGGCTCATTCTTTCAAAGGTCTGCTTTGACTCTGGCAGCCGAAGGTGGACACGAGCGAGTTGTAAATCTACTCCTAGATGCAGGGGCCGGTGGTCAACTCTTTGACATCAAGAATAAATCATATCAGCCTCTAGAGAAGGCCGCTACCAATGGCCATGTTCAGGTCGTGGAAATTCTCCTAGCCCGGGAAAAGAGTTTCCTAGACACAGCGTGTCCTTCAAAGTCTACGGCACTTTGGTGGGCAGCAGGAAATGGCCACGAGGGAGTTGTGAGGCTTCTTCTAGCATCCGGAGCTGATGCAAATGGTGACTCTCCCGATAAATCACCGCTCTTACCAGCCGCAGAAAATGGCCATTTGGAGATCGTGAGACTCCTCCTGAAACAAAAAGGCATTGACCCGATGTGGCAGAGTGCAGCACACAACAGTACAGTACTTACTCTCGCTGCAACACGCGGCGATGATCAGCTTGTCAAAATCCTCCTCTGTGTCGAGGGTGTTAATCCAGATCGCCGAAATCGCGAAGGCTGTTCGCCTCTATTCCTGGCTGCAGGGGAAGGTCACATAGAAATAGTCAAGCTTCTGATCGCAACAAACGCCGTCCAACTTGACGCAAAAGACTCAGTCAAGCAACAAACCCCGCTCCTCTCGTCTCTCATAGCAGGACACGACGCAATATCCAAGCTTCTCGTCGACAGCGGAGCCCAAGATCTCGATTGCGTTGATTCCATTTCAGGCGGCCGCACTGCGTTATCAATCGCCGCCGAGCGCGGCAACGAGACTCTATTCAATCTCCTTTTAGCAACGGGAAAAGTGAACCCCAATTCCAAGTCCACATATAACCGTACGCCGCTTTCATACGCCTGCGAAAGCGGCGCCACTGGCATTGTCAGGCGGCTATTAAATGCAGAAGGCGCGGACCCTAACCTCGCCGACACGAATTACGGCCGAACACCGCTCTCATGGGCGGCGGCGAATGGTCATTTAGAGGTAGTCCAACTGTTGTTGCAGTCAGCTGCAGTTGATGTGAAGTCTTGCGATCTCGTTCATGGACGCACGCCGCGCTCATGGGCCCTTGCGTATAACCATTTAAAGGTTGCTCATATAATCCGAGAAGAAGAGATTCGAAGAGCGCCGGAGGATGCGTTGGAAATGATGGCTCCTGAGTGTGCTGGTCATGATATCCCTCATCCCAAGCTGCCATGGCGCGTGCCGACTTTTGTATTGTCTGAGTATGGCGATGATGGTGTTGTTCAGCCGAAGTCGCTACCCGAGTTAGATTTGCCGGCGTCTGAGGATGCTGATGATTACGAAGCGATATACGACGATGATGTCGTTCAGTCTAAGATGCCATCGCCTGTGATCGATTCGTCGGAGTCTGAGGATAGTGATGATGATGTAGCTTACTCTAAGCTCCCATGGCGTGTGCCGCCTGTGGTGGTTACAGAACATTAGAACGATAGCGAAAGGTTGTTTCGAGGTAAGTTGTTGCATTTAAGGGGAAAGCTGTTCCTGACATGTTTGTAGATTTGTCCAACAGATCCACGGCCGTATATTCTACCATCATGCCCTTTTGAAGCATTGTTAGGGCTAGACTGTATATCAGTTGTAGATCCCGAACTAAGTCCGGTGTGTCGCCGGTGGGCTACCGAAGGACAAGTCGGAGATAACACGGAGTTTAGTCTAAGTAGTTCGTCTTTTTAGAAGAAGTAGAACGTCCTGAATAGAATGGAGATAGTCTGTCTCCGTTGAAAGCCCTAACTCCGCTTTGTTGCTTTCCGTTGAGCATATCTACTAGGCCCTTAAAAATCTATTTAAACCAGGTTAAATTTCATTCTCAGAATATATTTCATTTCAACAACTACAAAAACAAGACATAATGGCCATTGGATACGCCAAAGACCAGCCTGAGGGCTTCACCAACCGCATCGAGAAGGTCGCGATTGTCGGGGTATGTCAACCACTTCCTCGCATCCGATCCCTATTGCTAAGAACATAAACTCCAGGCCGGCGGCGCAGTTGGAAGACATCTCGTCGATCAGCTTATCAAGAACGGCAAACATGTCGTGACCGCCATCACACGCCCTGATAGCACCAACAAAATGCCCGAAGGCGTCGAAATTGCTCGCATCGATTACGCCAGCGACGACGACACAGCTCTCGTGGAAGTTCTACGAGGCCAACAAGTCCTGCTAATCACGATGAACGTCATGGCTCCGCCAGATACCATGATTAAGCTTATTGGTGCCGCCGCCAAAGCTGGGGTGCCATATATCGAACCGAACTGGTACGGGCATGACGCAGACAACGACGCCCTCTGCAACGACAGCATGGTCACTCCCAACCGTGACCGCTTCATTGCCGAAATAAACCGTCTAGGCGTGAGCTCCTACTTGTTCCTCGCATGTAACTTCTGGTACGAGTTCAGTCTGGGCGGCGGACCAGATTGCTTTGGCTTCGATTTCGCTAAACGTACTCTCACCCTCTTTGATAACGGCGATGTGCCTATTAACACAACCACCTGGCCGCAGTGTGGTCGGGCGATTGCGAAATTGCTGAGTTTGAAGGAACTACCCCAGGATGAGAATGACAAGTCACCTACCCTGTCCCAGTTCAAGAACCGTTCTACGTATGTCTCGAGCTTCAGATTGAGTCAGCGTGATATGTTTGAGAGTGTCAAGCGTGTGACTAAGACTACGGATGTCGACTGGACTATCTCGCAGGAGTCTGCTGAAGAGCGCTTCAAGGAGGGACAGAAGGGTATGAAGGTGACGACTGGAAAGTGTTCGTTAAAATGTTGTACAGTCGGATGTTTTTCTCGAATGGGGATGGGGACTATGAGTCCAGAATTGGTCTGGATAATGAAGTGCTTGGTCTTCCTGTTGAGGATTTGGATGAGGCTACAGCAGAGGGTATCCGGATGGCAGAGAACAATGAGGTTCCTTTCCCGAATTAAATATCAAAAACAGCTGTTGACCATCAAGAATAGAGATGAAATTATTTTAGTGTTGAATAATAAGTGCTAGGTATTATCCGGGCGAAGAAGCGGTAAAGGAAACTGGTCACCTCCGGTCGTATCTTCCTTGAACATCTCTCAATGCATCCACACAATGATTACACCACTTACCAGCCAAGATCTGTCTTCTATACTGTTTAAAGCAGAAATCGGAAGCTCAGAGGCCTCTTCGATCTTTGAGATCGAGCATAATGGCAACCGCTATGCACTGAAGGTGGTGTGTATTCCGGTATTGCATACTTTCGTAAGGATCTCGCACTGATATCACAGTTCCACGGCCACGGTGATCCGGGATATACAAAAGAACTCCGTGATCTCAACCGCTTTCGTAACGAAGTCAAGGCCTATACCAACCTTCATGCCTATGGCGTCTGTAACAACGGCCTAGTTCCCAAATACTATGGATCCATTGATCGACTTGATCCCTCCTGTCACCAACCATGGCTGAATAATTTCTTGAAAGACGAGTTTCACCCTAGCGCTATCTTACTTGAATATCTAGCAGGGTGTGAGCCCCTAAATTGCGTTAATTACTCCAAAGAACGCGTCTCGAAGGCGATGGAATCCCTTGTCCAAGTCCACAACGCTTTGATCGTCCATAACGACCTTTACCCCAAAAACATACTCATTGTACCTGGCAGTCCGGAAAGGGTGGTTGTGATGGATTTCGACATCGCGGAAACTTTCGCAACGAAGGAACTCCAGGATCAGGCTATAGGGTGTCATCACCCTGAACCAATACAAGCCTGTAAATTTGAGGTTGAGATTCTCAAAAGTATTGGGAATCATCTGGTTTGTCTTTTCTTCTGGGATTTTGATTTTTGTCACTAATGGTGCGATTAGGAGGAGGATCAAAAGGAGGGACTTCCTCCTAACACGAAGTTCTACTAGACATGGTCCTGTTTCTTTTCTTTCAGAAGAGGACGATACTGTTGATAATAATATCAATTGTGTTCGAAGTATACTGGCATCGACAGCTAGAGCAACCGAGAGAGTGTTTGAACCGTGTGAAAGATCATTATGGATACGCTGATGGATCTCTCAGGCCGTATTCTATCATGACATATGTTTCTCGTATTCGGCCCACTAGTACGAATGGAGGACTCACTACACATACGCTGAGGGCTACCGTGTGTATGAGGCTCTTACGAGTGAATTATAGACTACGTAGACGTAAATAACGTAGGACTTCGAGGGCAGAAGCGCATACATTTGGGTAAAGGGTCGCGACATTTCATCCTCCAAGATCTTATCTAAATTCAATACGAGGAGGTATACCGGCACAGAATATTGTTCAATATTAATCGGATTTTAGAATCTTAAGTTGTATTACTGCTAGGCCATAGAATTTCAAGCCATAACAAAACAATAGGGCAGATGACCAATCCCAAAGGTATATTGCCAAAGTGAAGACAAGAAGCCAACTAACAACCCAATAAAAGATCCGTTAAATCGCTGGCATCAAAAAAGAAGATATGAGAAAGGGAAAGCTAGCTAAAATATTCATTTCGTCGCCTGAAGAGCATAAGAAAGAAAACATATCAAAAGGACATCGCACGGTGATAAGGGGGATCATTTATATCAACACGGCTTTGAAGCACATAACTCGTTTTGTACATGTCGTAAGCTGGGTCTTGAATAGACACAAAAGAAAGGGGAAAACGGAGGATGCTGGACGGCATATAAAATGGATCAAGTGAATTCCACGCCGTGCTGCTGCTGCCTTTCCTGTTTGGTCCGGGCTCGTTCAGCACGTCTGCGGCGACGATTGTTCGCGTACGAGCCACTCATCTCAGTACCGGTATATGTAGGTGAAGTGATACTGCCTGGCCCATATGGGATGGTGGAAGGCGCAGGAATGGGAGGTGGGGGCGGCATTTGGCTAACTTGGGACGGCGGTGCGGCCCAGGAAGATGCAGGCATACTACCTGATGGCGCCATAGATGCCTGTGGAGGGGCAAGTTGAGCAGCAGCAGCAGCAGCCTGTTCACGTCGCATTTGCTCGTCTTGTCGACGTTCGAGTTCTTCGACTCGACGCCAGCGGTCCTGGGCAGCGTCTTCGTTTCCAGACAAGGAGCCAGCACTGCTGTTGCGACGTCGGGAGCTTCTTCGCTCCCTACGACGGGCCTCACGGCTCGCGGCCGCTTCTTCTTCGGTCAGCCGTCGGAGTGTCACATGTCGTCCGTCATTGTGCATTTTGACCTTCACAGATACCGGCGGGGAGGCAACGTCGTCCCCTCGGCGCCGGCTGCTGCTACGGTTGCGACGGGAGGCTGCATCTAGTGCTGCTCCAGCGGCCGCACCTGAGGCAAATTCTGCTCCATCATGGGCAAGGGAAGGACGTGAGTGAGGAGCTTCGGACCTCAAGTCACCAGACAAGTGTTGGTGACTCGGAGGCATAGGGGGCATATCTGATACAACGCTATGGACAGCACCGGAGGCACGGGGCTCTGCCGTAAGAAGGGACTCTCCCTGTGATGCGTGTCGAGGTGGAGGAGGACGGGATAGATCGGTTTCAGTGAGATCAGTTTCACTGTACGAACTAGCCCTTCTTCGTGGATGGAAACTTTCTCCCGCCTGTGGTCGTCGTCTGCTGTTTGCCCTTTGTAGCGCTTCATCTTCATCTTCTCGGCGCCTGATATCCTCCAGCCGCCGTTTCTCTTCATCGTCCTTTTTACCACGGCTGAACAGTCGCTTCACGGCAGCAAAAGCACCGGCACCCAGAACAGCGTTTCTAACGCCATGAGAAGCGCTTCGTTTAGGTGGCTCGGTAAAATATGTGCTGTTGTAATAGTACGAAGACCCTGGGCTTTGGGACCTACTTGGTGCACGGCTCGGTGGTCGATTGAGAGGCGTGTGATGAGTCGGCTCTGGCCGGCCATCTTCCATCCTGCTGAGAGACTCATCCGTGTGACTAGTACTGCGCGAATGAGCCGGCCTATAGCGACCAGATTCGGCGTCATCTTCTCGCTTCTTTCGACGGTCCCAGAACTTCTTGGCCATGAGGCCAGCCCCGGCTAGTGCGCCAATCTGAAGAAGCTTTTTGCCGAAACCACCGCCACCATGATGATGGGAAGATTCATCCGAATATTTTTCATCAGAAATAGAGGTGCGAGAGTCTTCATAAGCATGGCTTGGGTGGCGGCTGCTTGTACGTCGTCGAAACATGGAAGCTAAGCCAGCACCTGCAGCGCCGGCGGCGAGGGCTTGTCCCACGTGATGGCCATGCGGCTCTGAAATTTCTGAAGGTCCGGTGTAATGACTCCGAGCACCACCGTGTTCACCTTCCATATGATATCCTTCGGTATCATATCGGTACGAAAGTATGAAGTAAAGAACCAGGTAGCCGAAAGCTGTCAGCGCGAATAGGATAAAAAGGACCTTTGGCGAACCATAGAGAACTAGTCCTAGTGGGATTTGAACAATGCCGAGAAGTCCAAGAGCGCGACCCAACCACCGGTGTAACTAAGATGTGTTAGTAGAGCCCGTATATTCCTTGACGCATCACTTACCACCAGTTTTAGAGGAACGTGGATTCGCTGTCTCTTACTCTCCCTCTTGTGCAGGAACCAGCCCCACAGCACCTGGAAAATGACTAAAACATAGATTGCCAGGCCAATTCCATGATGGGGGTTCGTTAGGCTTCTTTCCGGCCCAACGGCGAACCAACCAAGCACAAATACGACTGTGGTCAAGAGCAAGGTAAGTACCTGACACCAAGCATGCAATTTGAATGCCCAGTAAGGGTTCCACCGGGAGTAGTATCGGATTAGGAAAATTGATGTTGGGACGATGCCCAAGAAAACGATGGCTCCAATGACACCATGCGCTATAATCATGGAATGGTACCCAGCCATATTCTTGAAACGGTTGCCCATGCCTGGAACGTGTCAGCCATTGCAAGGCAATTGAAAGAACACGCATTATCATAAAAAATTAGATTGCTGATGCATTAGACTAACCATTGTATCGCATCGTTTCAAAGTTCAGCCCCATCAAATTGGGCAGCAGAAACGTATCCCTCTCAGAGTCCCAGGTGCCATCACCAACATGGAGGGTGTTGGATGAATACGTGCTGCTGCCTGCAGCGGCGAGATCTGGGTTTGACATTTTGAGGATATTTCTTAAATGACCATGCGATCTTTAGTTTGGAATGTCGGATTTACCGGAGATCTTGCGAGATCTCCCGATCGGAGGAATGCACCATGCGATAGCGGAATCGAAATGTCGTCTGGAATGCTCAATGACAGACCGTCCAATTAATTGTATATTGACCAGTTAATGGTGCGGAATTGATCGTGTCACAAGATCTAAGTAGGGTTCGAGATGGCCGTAGAGTAGAACTCGGGGCGGAGCGTAAGGAGAGGGGGAAATCAAGTCGTACAGATTTTCGGAATGTGAGGTTAAGGTAGAATTGGAAAAGCGCCTAAAAACGCAATATGAAATAGAAAGAATGCACGTCGCACAAGGACCTCGGGCAGAGAGGAATCACAACAAGAGGCTGACCGATTTCCCCAGTCATCTGTTTTCCGTCAACACATCACCGGGTCAACCAGCCGCTGACTCAGCTTTGAAATTGTGACCGCCTTCCAAAAACAGCTAGACTATAAATACTTATCTTATCTGTCCTATCCATTTCTGAGCTGATCTTATCACAAGATTGCGTGCTGAATTGGAATTCGAATAAACATCCGCACCTCCTCTTCTTCTCCTCTTTCCCCGCCTCATACTTTGTAATGAGTGCCCTCAATCCAAAATGACACCTCAGCTAGAGATATTTATCAACGCTTTGTCCCGGTTTGTGAACTCCTGTTTGCACCCGAGTGCCACCGGGCATTATGAATATAACTGACTAATTTATCTCAGCCTTTTAGGATGGGCATAGTAAGTCTACGCGTCGATTCCGAGGTTATATCTCATGTGACAGTTGTATTGAAGGCTAACTCGAACTCAGCATGCTCTGCTGGTCGGGGTCTTTCTATCCGCAGCCCATCACCAACTGGAAACGCAAGTCCACAGTTGGCTTATCTATTGATTTATCCACTATCAACCCTCTGGGCTTTGTGTGCTATGCGATATATACTGCCTCGTTTCTCTACTCGCCCGTCATTCGATCACAGTATGCGGCCCGACACCCTGCTGCGATCGAACCCACCGTTCGGTTCAACGACCTCGCATTTGCAGCCCACGCGGTGGTAATGTGCATCATAATGTACACACAATTCTGGCCATTCATCTGGGGACTACATGTTCCCCGCTTCCAAAGGATCAGTTGGACAATGGCAGGGCTCTTTTGGGGCTCTGTTCTCACTCCCTTGGTGGTTGTGGCGGTTGTGTTGGCGCAAAGTCCGGATGGAGGGTATGATCCTTCCAGTTGGGCGTGGATTGACGTGGTAGGTGAAAATAAGCAACTTTCCTCTAATGGGTCTATAAACCATTGGGAAAACTTTAAAACAAAACTAAAATCCTTCCAGATCTACTCGTTTTCGTACATCAAACTCCTGATCACCATTGTGAAATATATGCCTCAAGTGGCATTGAACTACAAGCGCCAATCTACGGTAGGATGGAATATTGGAACTATTCTTCTGGATTTGGCTGGAGGTGTTCTTTCAATGCTTCAACTGGTGCTTGACTCCAGCCTTCAAAGTGACTGGAGTGGTATCACTGGAAACCCGGTCAAGCTACTGTTGGGCAACGTTACAATCTTCTTCGATGCGATCTTCTGCATCCAACACTACATCTTATACCGAGATACCACTGATCTAAAGAGAACACCCGGTTCGGGCGAGCAAACGCCCCTCCTGATTGGACAAGATGATGCTGTGGGAGCTCGGGTATGATTATGATCCAAGGCACACAAAGAGACACGTGAGATGTAGTGACCTCGTGGCTAGATTTTGAGACATGGGGGATCTGTCTCTATTTTTGTAGAAGCAGAGCAGTCTGGTCTTGGATCTTTGAGACATTGTGGGGGCGGTAATTCCGACCAAACATGTGGTCCTGGAGAAATCTTGCCGATTGTTCTGGAGGTTTGATATAAGCCACATTTTAGATACACGATAAATCGTCCTATTGGAAATTTGTTACTATATTTTTTTTTTTTAGAATCTAAGACACGGTCATATATTGTTCTTAGGCCGAAGATATCCGGTTTCACAACCAGCTTACAACGTACAAATGTGTCATTCTAGAAAGAAGCATTCATAGCATTTTCTATTCCTGTCTCTGAAACAACCTGTCGCATAATGGAATAATTACAACTCACACAGTGACTGCATAAACCTGCAGCCACAGTGAGGCTCATGCCGATCAATATTGTTTGGGACACCGCTCCTCGTTTTGAGCGGCACCCCGTATTTGGTCCCCGCCGAACGATGTGAGTGGTCGAATACAGGAATAAGCAAAAATTTATCATTAGTTGACCAATCATGAACAAGGATGCAGTCAATCCACAATGCACTGACGGTGCTAGCCGTCGGTGTCGGGGTTAACGACTCTGCACTCATGATGCGAGCCGTCGGCGTCGGGGCTAACTACACTATCATAGGCGAAGCCGACGTCCACATTCCCAGCTTCGACCTGGGCTCACTTTTTCCCGTCGGCACATATACCCGATTTGCGCCATGATCGACCATACAGAACATCATTAGAGTGAGAGATTTCTGCAAGATATCAAACCCAGCTCCCTACCAGTAAGACACCCCACGCAAGAGATGTTACGTTTGGCTTTAATGTTACCTTCAAGCTGACTCAACTCCGAGAAATGGGAAATAAAATTATGAAAAGAAATCAGTAATTTTACAGGCATGGAATCGGGGATTTTGTGTATAACTTGAGACATATCTCGTGTAATGGTGATCATAATGATATTAAGGCTATAGATATGACTATGAATCACTGCCACGTGTGTATACAGTGTGCAGCGAACATGTACAAAAGACTAAAAAAGGTCTTACAGAATATCCTTGGAGTCATGGGTGTTTTGTGGCTTTTATAATAACCAATAATACGAGCGTATAATGCAGACCCTGGGAATCTCATAGTTGATACATGAAACCCTAACCTCTAACAATTATCTCTCAGTGGTCTAGCCAACCTGGGAATGTACGATGTACAGACCCACCCCGTCATCTTTCAGCCCTACTTCCCAAAAAAGTTGTGCCCCATAATTATACAGATGAGGGGCCAATAAGCCATGAATTGATGATCATCTCTGAAGCTAGTCGACCCCCCGGGCCGCAGTAATTTATTCTGACTTACATTGGAGATGATCCAAGACTCAAGGGAGCGATATCAGCTGCTCATTCGATGGGCTAACAAGGTACTAACCCGCTAGTATGGTTAGTAATTCCATATCGAGCCTGGCAGTATTATCAATTAACGTTTCAATTTGTTCTGCGGAACGCCCTACAAGTAGAATTACTGCACTGCCTCCTTGATTTAAGATGAACATAAATAATCCCCAGTTACGTCTTAGTTTAAAAACCAAGTTCAGCTCTAAATCCGCCAAAACTCTATAACACTTTGACTTCTCATGTCGGGCAACAATATCTAAGCGCATACACACCTGTTCATACATCCTTTCCAAACTTATAAGAGCGAAATTATACTACGCGGCAATTGAGATGCAAGAGCGGTCTTCTCCAAACCAAGGATTTGAGTACTTTGACTGGGAATCATCGTTTTCATTCGCAAAAGAACTATCATCCCACGACATCCTTTACACTTCCAACATCGCCAACATGTATCCTAGTCGCCAGAAGTCCAAGAACATGTACAGCACTGCGCCGGATAACCCTAGCTACTCAGAGTCATCACGGCCTCAACAAATGGAAAACCTGACCGATATCCACACCAGCGCTCCATCCAACTCTCACTTGTCCGCTTTCCAGCAGATGGACTTTATAGATGCACAATCAGACCCTCGATCCTTCCTAAACCCGGGATATTATTCCACTGGAAGAAGGGGATCAATAGATACCGATACAATCGGCTCTCAATACGCCTGGTCTACCGCGTCCAACACAGACATCCTCTCAAACTCACCCCATATGTCCTCCTTCGATACCTCCATCGGTCCCACCTCAACACCCTTCATCCAAGGCTGTTACGCCCCCGAATCTGCACAGCTCGCTATAAGCGACACAGGCATGGGCTATACTCCTCAGCAAATAGACAAATGGTGCATTGAGAGCGAACCATCCGGAGTCATCTACCAGCCACAGCCCTTCCCAAATATGGGCTCTATAAATCTCCCGCCATCCTTGGAAACACAACCAGAACCCTACCCCCTCAACAACCAACTTCTAACCGCGAGCGAGTGGCTCTCTTACCAACTCCATTCCTCTGATCCAATCCCAGAATCCTTCCTCTCTATCCCCCGATCCATCTCAGCTCCTCGATCAGTCCCAGCTCCACCAACCCACACCTATCAGTCCACTACTACAACCACTTCAGTCTCCTCATCACCAGCACACTCCTTCTACGAGCCAGATTCCCCACCAACCGCGCCAGGCTCGGCTTCCGGCTCAGGCTACAACTCCAACACCGGGGACCTAAGCAACTACGGCATCAAGACAGACGACGGTTCTTGGCGCTGCGCCTACAAAGGCTGTTCCTCGAAGAGTGTCTTCCACCGAGGCTGTGATCTAAGGAAGCACTTCAACCGCCACCGCAAGCACCTGTTCTGTCGCTACGAGGGATGTCCTCAGTCTACGAAGAATGGCTTTAGCAGCAAGAAGGACCGTGCTCGTCACGAGGCGAAGCATAATCCTGACGTTTTCTGTGAGTGGGAGGGCTGTGGGAAGGTGTTCAGTCGTGTCGACAATATGAAAGACCATGTGAGGAGGATTCACCGGAAGGGGGAGACTGGAAGGGCTTAATTTTTGGTGAGATTACCACGATGACTATTATGACTAGGGGTTTTTGGGTCTTCTTTTACTGTTTTGCTTGTACTTGGTGACTTTGGTTGGTTTTGTATAACAATGATAGGTAAAACGGAAAAAGGACATGGGAAATTTAGAAAATGAGCGATTATTTGTTTAGCGAGGATTTATATTTCGGTTCTATCTTATTCAAGCATATAAGCCACACAGAAATGGATAATTTCAGTACTCGCGAAATGGACATATACTCCATACGTGATGTAGAGATGCAAATCTAGAATTAAACTCGAGCATTGTCGAATGATCTCCTGCCGCAAGAAGCGATAAAACGCTTGGTTCTAATTTTATTGCCAAACGAAACCTTAGGCCGGACTAAAACTACTTTGGGCCTGATTATAGAAATTATTGCGAAAAGGCCTGTGTAATTAGCTACCCTTGAGCCTCTCATGTATGCAAGACGTTTACGCAGAAGTCCAGATGAAACGGGTATTTCCCCTGGATCTGAATTCTAATAATAGTGCACGATGCTCATACTTTTTCATCAAAAATAGTCTAACCGATCATTTTTGTACAAGCCACTGCTAGTCAGTTGAGGCTATGTACAGCGGCAAAGAGCAAATATAGAAAGATATTAAATGCAGGGATTGCCCGTTTGCCTTTTCTATCCAGGGTATCCAGGTAACGGGGTCTTGACACCTGCATGTCCTGAGAGTCAGGGCAACGATCGCTCGGCGTATCACACTGGCGCCCCAGGCGAGTACTGACCTAAGGATGGCAACACGAACGGTCAGCCAACATACCAATACTACACCAATAACTTGAGCAGGCGCAAGCTTCCTTGTTGACATAGAGCTGCTACTAGTTGTTACACTATTCAATTAGGTCATGAATGCTAGTTTCAAAGTATTTTTCAAGTCAACAGATAATCTCACTGACTCATCAGATATCTGAAAGTTTGGGACTAATCTTGGAAGGTTTTAACTTCGCACGTGTTCCAAGGTTAGTGAAGCTTAACTCTCAACTCTATTTGAAACATGCATGATCCACGTCTAGGTACTTCAGACACAAGGACATCGTATGATAAACTCTGCAGATCTTGACTCGAAAGATAAAGGCGTTTGAAACGCAGTTGAAACCAAAAAATTGCAAACCCATATTCCGTACAGATACACTATCAGTCAAAGCTAAAGTTCTGATCTCCACGCGTGTGATATCTCCCATTGAAGCAAAAATTCCCAGGACTCCAAGATCCCAACCAAGCAGGATTCCCAGAAACAGTAGGAATATCAGTTTTATCTGCATCACCAGACTCATGAAGCCACCCAGTGATAACCTCCCTCACAAGCCCATAACCTCCATCCACATAACCACTAAACCTCGTCATATTGCAATGATCAGCATCAATGACACGACTCTCATAGTCCCGCAAAATAGCCGAGTGCTCCTCAACAATCTTCCCGACTACATCATTCATCTTCCTCCCTTCATAGAAACAGCAGACCTTAAGCGAGATGTCTCCACGTGCCAACATAGCCTGGAACTCATTCCCGACTCGCTGCACATTATCCGAATCCGAATACAAAGCCCCAACCATATCCCTATTCGCGGCGTGGACTATTTTCATTCCTTTTGCGAGTTTCTCTCTGTACGAAGCGAGCGAAGACCCGTAATGCGGTGTACCCATGAAGATTATGCCGATGGCGCTTGAGGATATCGCCCATAGACCGTCAATGGCGTTGCTGAGGATCAAGGATTGTTGACATACCAAGCCGCCTAGACTGTGTGCGATGAATAGGATTGGTCTGGTTGAGCAGTCGACTCGGTGGCTGACGATTGCGTAGGCTAGGGATTGGCTGTGGTCGTAGAGTCGGTCTGAGAAGTTCATTGAGGTGAAGTTGAATATGTCGATGTCGTAGCCGAAGGTCATGATGCGGGCTTTGGGTAAGTCTTTGGCAAGGAGATCTTGGGGCCATAAGGTTCCATTTTCGTGGGTCCAGGTTTTCTCACGGTTGCCGGTCAATCCGTGGACGAAGATGATGCTAGTTCCGTGTATCTTAGTTCGGGGTTCTTTAGGTGCTGGTTCATTCGCTTTTGGGCTTGAGGTAGAAGATGGACTCACTCTAGGTCTGCATTCGGAGGATCAGATAACACCTTCATTCCAATTGCACCTTCTGTGGAGTATCTCGGCATCATTAGTTCGATAGATCGTCTTTCTAGTGTAAAATCTTACAGACTGTGTTGTGGAACACTGGGTTTAGTCTTTCTCCTGAATAGCCTCATGGTGGCGAACTATATGTGACGTTGGGTCAAATACCCGAATGAAACTAAGATCAAGAGAAAATTGCAACGAGGCAACGAAAGAGACAACCTTAGAAGAGCGGGTGAATAGTTAGAAATTTTTGAAACTCTTAATTCTGTCCGTTAAGCGCCCTCTTGAAAACATACGTACCCCCTGTCCGGAGTTGAAGAACCTTTCCGGGGCCGCTTCATAACATAATGTCGTAAATAAACCACATGTCTCAACACTGTCCATGATACGTCCATTTTGAAATCATTGTAGGTGGCACAAAAATATTCCGAATAACATGGCTGCGAACACCCCTTTTCCTAAAAGATATCGGGCCAGAAAGTCGTGGTTGTATCAACAATACAAAGGGATGAGTTAGCCATTGGTGCATGATTGGGCTCGTCTTAGGATTTGCGCGAAGATCCTAGGAATAACATGTTAAGGCTTCTCTGCACTCGGCCTCGAGACAGCAGTGTTAATTGGGCTCTCATATTTGACGATTTTGACGATGATCGCTTCCTTGACGAGAGCTGCAATTACCATCGTATCATCCACACAGTTTAAGATTCTCGATATTGATCACGATTCGTGAGAAACAGTTACAAAAAGTCGCGTTAAAGACTGAGACGGTAATACCATTGACGCAATTCATATCGCTTTCCAACTGCTGGCATTGGAAATTGGGACCGATGCTGATTGCTCTTTTATACCAATCGGGAAGCTCCCTGCGGCCAGCGGCCACCAAACCAATTGATCTGTGATGTAGCGGCCTTGTTACTATATCGCAGCTGAAAGTATTAGTACATAACGGCGGTGGAAAGAGGCTGACTCGATTGTAGCACAAGTGGTAGACGGAAGCAAGGTCCTAGACGTAAATTATCGCAGCACTAGGAATGCACAACTTGGCTGCATGGGAAAGTCTAATGGACATAGTGATGCGGTGGTAGTGGGAAAGTGCGCGAAATTTAGGGAGTTATATTCCGTCTGGACATAATTCAAATTTTCAGGTTGCAAGGGCGAAAGGTTGGTGCATCAGGGCCAAAGAAAGTTCTATCCGAGTGTGACTTTTTAACATATTCCAAATAAAGCGAAGGAATTTCAAATGAGGATAACCTTGATCAGACAAGATGAAGAAAGATAAAATAAAAATAGTAAAGACACACGCTCGAATTAAACGAATGGCCCATGTAACATCATGAATTTCTAACAATGGACAGGTGGTAGGTATCATTGCAGAAGCACCAAATCAAAAGTAACAAAATAAAAAACAGCAGAAAGGTATCACAGCTGAGAGATTCGTCACGCGTAAAGTTGCGAAGTTGGCTCGAAGAGGGATTAGCATGTCGTACTGAGGCGCTAATCTGGAAATCTGGAACACCCGGGGGGCACAGGAGTTGAATATAGGAGAGGGTTGTAGAGGGTAGCGGAGCCGGTGGGAAAGAACAAGAGAAAGAAATGAGATGGAAATGCAAAATGTAAAGCGACAAAAATAGAAGAAAATAACAAGGCTAAAGGTTCATGTATTGTTCATCCTTCGTTTTCTCCCGCGAGCGCTACCAAGCGGCCTTTGCGCGAGAACCTGTCGGAGAATGGGATCGTCTTTGTTTTTGTCGACGTGGTGTACACGAACATGTCTGTGTGAGTGTTCAGCTGATGTCAGATTAAGTGAGGCTCGGATGTAGCACAAACCGTTGAAGATTGTCGGGTCGCGGGTATTTGTGTTGCTGGTCTGGACAGAATGGACAGACGTAGCCCGGGGAGTTGTGCACGAGTCCATGGCGCATCATTTCATTCTTGCGCTTGAAACCTTTCCCACCTAGTGCGCGTGGGCAGCCCTCTACCGGGCAGAAATGTGGACGGTCTTGTGAGTGCACGTTTGCGTGCGAGCTGCTATTTTGTTAGATTTGGTTTTCGCTTGAGTCTCATATTCTGTTCTTACTTGAGAAGATACTGAGTTTGGAAGGGCGCAGCAGTGCATCCAGCATGTGTGCACTTATAACTACCCACGGGGCCTCCATTGGCCTGGGGAGTGGACGCCGCAAGCGAATGCCGATCACCCATACCAGCACCAACCTGTTCCGTTGGCGTAGGATAACTGGTCGCTGGGCTTTTGGCAGTCATAGGGGAAGCTTCATATGGGGTCTGGGCGGATAGCATCTCAGAATGAGGAGGTCCGCGCCAAAAGGACGAGTGCGAGGCTGGAGAAGGGTTGGTAGATGAGTCCTTCATGCTCACCGGGGAAAAGTGAGAAAAAGGACTTGCAGGGATGGAAAACTTTCCTGGAAAAGCACGGTCAAATGGAGAATCGTTCCCTGATGTAGTTGATGTAGGACACGAGGAGAAGGCGAAGGGTGATGGCATTGTGTTGACTGGTGGTGGATCGAAATCTGACAGTTCGCTGATAGCTTTGTGGATAGACGGCAGTGTTTGCTTATTGCTGGCATCTGGTGATTTTGCGAGACTTGATCCAGAAGATGGTTCACTCAATTTTAGCGATGGGAGAGGAATTGGGGGCTCGTTTTCCGGAGAAGTTTTGAGATAGGGCAACCCTTGTGGTCGTGGGCTCGGGCCACTGAATGATTGAAGTCGAACATGTTGAACCTCATTTTTAATCTTAACATCTGGCTGTGGCTGTATTGGGACTGGAGGCGATTCCAACAGAGGTTTCTTCTCGGTCCCCTTATGTGAGGCCGAGCCTGAGCTTTCCTGGAGATCCAGTAATTCCTTTGGTGGAGGTCCACTCCTTGCGAATGGATTTGACTTCTTTGGATCCCTGGGATCGAAGTCCGGTGGTTGTTTATAATTTTTGAGATTCCCAGGTAATAGTTCCAATGGAGAATTCCTTGCCGCCACAGCGATCTCGGGGTGGTTCGGAGCTAGAAACCCCATCAGCACTCGGTCGCCCTCACGGGTTGAGCTCTGAGGTTCCGGCTGGTTGGGCTTACGGGAACCAATTGCGTCGGCATCTTTTTCGGCCGAAACAAACGGCGGTGGTGATGGTTCCTTCTCTCCATAATTGGGTTTCATCGCCTCCATTGGAGGCGACCGATTAAAGGCATCATCCGAGTCATACATAGTAGACATCATAGATATAGTGGCAGGTGCATCGGGCACCTCACCTTATACTTGTTGTTGGTCTGTCAGATTAATCTGACGATCACACATCAGAAATTATAAGTAGCCTATAAGATATGGTTAGAGACGGGGTTATAATAGTGCCGATGATCGGATGAATCAATGATCTAGGTGCTTAGAATAAAAAAAGTAGAAAAGCGATTCTGACACAATGCGACTGCCCGTCTGCAAAGCGTCGAGATGGGGAGATGAGGGGTTACCAGGTCATGACCCCGAGGGGATAAAAAAGCCAAACGGGTCTGAGGGTAGGGAAGAGTAAGAAAACAAAAGGAAAAGAAGAAAAGGAAAAAAATAAAAAGAGACGCCTCTAGACTACCTAAAGGTCGAGGTCTGCAGAAAGGTGCACTTACCCAAGCGGAAAGGTGGACGGGTAGTAAATGGGTCCCCGGGGTTGAGGCTCAACAGGTCCGATTGTCACTGCGCCATCTGCAGATGAATGATATCACCCGGAAGGAAACTGTACAAATCTTGGGAGAAAAAGAAATGAAAAGAGGTAAAAAAATAAAATAAAAAGAAGAGGTTCTAAGGGGTGAGATAACCACGTTTCTATACGTGATAAGTTCGCAATATCTCTACCAATATAATGCCCTCAGCAAGGTAAAAAAGAGAAGAAAAGGAGAATAAAACGTCCAAAGGAATCTTCGAGGGGGGATGAGTGGGAGAGAAGAATGGCATGCGGCTCTGACAACTTCAAAGTTCAGTCTCCATAATAAATTACAGTATTTACCGCTTGTAATGGATTTCTATTATTATTCGGGTTTGATAATTCTTGGTGTTTTTTTGTGTTTTTGTGTTTTTCTGTTTTCTATTTTATGTTTTTTTTTAAGGTATGGATGTTTTTTTTAGGTTACCTCTTTATACCCCCGACTTCCTCTCTCTCTCTCTCCCTCTCTACAATGATCCCCTGACTTTATCATCTATACTCGGAGCATTTGAACTTGGTCGCACATAAAAAAAAATAGTCTCCACCGCTACTCTGTTATTCAGGCTCCACCATTAAACTCGGAGACAACAACCGGCAAGTCTTTTTGAGGTCGTTTCCCCTCTCTCCACTCCCCCAGTCTGTTATACCCGGCTAGGGAAGCTGCACGAAGAGGGGCCCACACGGTCTGTTCTCTCATTTCCTCTTTCTGTCCCGCCTTTTTGGTCCTTTTTTTTGCCTTTGCAACGTCAGACTGAAAGTCTGCGCTGGCACGCTAAATGCGAGCCTCGAGCCATCAGCCCGAAAGGATCTTCAGGCTTTCCCGGTTTAGTTGACAACGCGCTGTCTGCGGCAAGGAGATCGGCCGGCCCACGTTGTTTCAGAGCCTCGTTAGGAGACATCTTCTTCTTCCATTTTATTCATTGTTAAACATCTTAATTACAATAACCTTGGAACTATAATACTACGCTATACTACCTGCATATAGGTGCTGTCCAACCCTGTCGGTCACCGGAAACCCCCTAATTCCTGAATTTTCCCCCAAGCCGCATCCCCTCAATCCCCTCACACTAGTGAATAGTGGATAATAGATAAATTAGTTAATTTGAAACTGCCTATCTTGATTCTCAAACCCTACTATTGAAATCTATACAGGTGGATTCTTCACCCCCCGTCAGCCTCACTTACGCGTAGAGCCTCAGGGCGAAGAAAAAAAAGCCTCACCCTTTCCCCTCTTTTGTGGCCAATCATAATTCACGGGATTGACTGTCTGGGCTCTAACGGACATTACACAATGCGGTATTCCAGGTTATAACGTTACCAGTCGATCTTCTATCTACTCTTCTACCTCCTACTTCTTCTATCCTTATACCCATATATATAAATATACGCTTATATGTTCATACTCTTTTTATATTCTTATATATATATTATATTTTTACCCAAGATATATATCTGACTCGGTAGTGATCGGATGAAATGGCGTACATAAACGTGATATACTCGCAGGATATTATACCATTCTCTCATATGTTTGTCCCCATCGGGATAAGTGCTTACATCACACGTCAGGCGCCAAAAGTACTTTAAAGCTCTCGGCCATTCCGTACATCTCAAGTAGAGTGGGGTTTGTTTCATGGAGAGAATTGGTTCTGGACCAGCCTTGCATGAAGAGTTCGATTTAGATTTAGATCGTTCTATATTGAAAACAAGGCATATATGCATCTACAGAAATAAAGGGCCTCAATTTCTGATTTACAAGCAAAGCTCCCTTCATAATTACTCTACTTATAGACTACAACTTCCCCTCAGCAGCCCTCTTAACAAGCCTAACTCTCTCCCAAGCCTCCCTGGCAAACGGTTTTGCCCGCTTCGCATATTCACTGGCCCTCGCACTACTAGCCTGCCTCCCAGCGAACCGGGCCGCAATGCCCTGCATAATCACGGAGCCCCGGAACGCAAAGAACGCATCGCCCCACGCCACGTCGGAGCTCGTTTCGTACCCAGACGTTTCGGCGTACCAGCCAATGCATTCCTCGCGCCTTGGTAGTCCTGGAACAACCCCCGGCGCGAACTGCGACAGTTGGCTGTCTCCACCGTCCATTATGTACGGACTAGTGAGGTTGCAGAAGTCCGAGAGCGGGTGCCCCACGGTCGCCATTTCCCAATCTAAAATTCCGATCACGCGCGGCTCCGTCTTATGGAAGATCAGGTTGTCGATTTTGTAGTCTCCATGCACAAGTGTACCCCGATCCATTGGCTGCGTGCTCTTTTGCGCAAAGAACGTCACCATGTCGTCGAAGTAGGGGAGTTCACCGACGGGTTCTTTAGTATCGGCATCGACAACTGCTGCTTGGGCTTTGGAGATTGTCTTGAATGTGGCGATTTGGCGGTCGAAGAAACCTGTAGGCTTACCGAAGTTTTCGAGTCCAACGCTTTTGGGAACTACGTTGTGGAACTTCGCGAGAGTTTGTACTGCATTCTTCCAGCTGCGTGCTTGTTAGTATATGCGGACTGGGGTTGGTCACTGCGTTGGAGCCGCAATCGCGTGACGTACAGTTCTGTCCTCTCCTCCCCGCTCACTCCTGGCATTGCTGGGTCGGTGAAATGTCGCCCGTCTAGGAACTCCATGATGTAGAATGCGGTTCCGATCACGCTGTCATCTTCGCATAGGCAGTACGCCTTCGGAACTGGTACATTGGTGCCTCCCAATGCCTGGATAATCTTGTACTCGCGCTCGACCTTGTGAGCTGTCTTCGAGAGCAGCTTGCCAGGTGGCTTCTTGCGCAGAACGACCTGCTTGCCATCTGCAGCAGTAAGGAGATAGGTAGGGTTTGATTGACCGAAGCCGAACTACAGTGACAAGATATTAGTTGGTGTGGCTGATATAGGATGATTCCCTGCCGGGGCCAGACTCACCTGCTTCACATCAAGTGGAGTCTTAACCCCAGGCACATTCAAGTCAATGTACCTCTCCAACGAGGGAATATCTATAGGCTGGCGCACTTCTCCCGCCATGATGTCGATACGAAGGAAAAGATTGTCCAAAAAGCGTATGTATTTGCAAAGGGGTTCAAAATAATATGTAGTTAGTTACAGGGGAGCAATAAATGCCTTAGTGTCCAGGTGTAACCGCGGGACCTCGGCACCAACAGCTCCTCGGCGTCGCCGCTCTTGAGAGCGGGGAGGAAACAAACAGAACAAACACCCGACGCGTCCCAGCGGTGAAACGCGCAGAGCTCACCGCAATTTTCGTGAAGCTAGGGGCGTCGATTCAACTGTGGGCCCTGTGATTTTTTACCAATTGATTGCTCTATCCACTCGATTCTCGATCTTCAATCCTCCATTTCGTGTTTACCATGACCAAAGAGACAACCCCGCCACCACAAGAGAAATCCGTCCAGCACAACCCGCCTTCCTTGCCTGCCTCCCCGCTGCCGAAGCGATCAAAGCCCGACACAATGACTACCACCGCTGTCACCTCGATCCAGCAGCCGCTGCCCCCGCTGCTTGTTAAGAAGCTTGTTGAGTCTGCCCAGGCCCCGACACGCGGCTCGGCTTTTGCCGCTGGGTACGACATCTACGCTGCAAAGGAGACTGTCATCCCCGCTAAGGGTAAGGGCGCCGTTGATACCGGTATTGCTATTGCTGTGCCTGAGGGAACTTACGGCCGCATTGCTCCCCGTAGCGGTCTTGCTGCTAAGCACTTCATTGACACCGGTGCTGGTGTCATTGATGCGGACTACCGCGGTGAGGTCAAGGTGCTTCTGTTCAACCACTCTGACGTCGACTTCCCTATCAAGACGGGTGATCGTGTTGCCCAGCTGGTTCTGGAGCGGGTGAGTGCATATTAATAATGTTGTATGTAATGTGACATGTCTGACCTGTTCTAGATCTACACCCCTGAAGTGAGCGTTGTCGAGGAGCTGGAGGAGAGTGTCCGCGGAGCGGGTGGATTCGGTAGCACTGGCATTTAAGCGTGCATACCTCGGTAAAAAGTTGGGAGGATAACGGAAAAAAGATAGATGGGTTCTGAGATTAAAAAGAACCTAGTTACGATTACATGCATTCGAGACATTGTTTGAATGAACAAAACATACAAGATTCCATGCTTGATTCAATAATCTATGTACAGACCGAACCGGTATAGAGATGCCACCCGGACTTCATCTAATGCTCCCGAAATCCTTCTATCTATGCCACATGCAAAATATGTTATATATATAAACCCCCACCAAAAACTACCGCAGATCCCCATCTCCTGTTCAACACTGGGAGCCACACTAGCTGCGGTGAAAACATATTAAAATCAACCTGATCCATCTTGGTGCAGGATCAAAGGGCAAACCGCAAGAACACTAAAAAGTATTCTTCTTGTTTCCAAGCAGATTATGGCGTATTCCTTGGTGCAAGATCCTCCTTCTTCCACTCCAACGCCTCAAATATAATCTTCGGATCCCGCAAAAACCGCGTGTTCCTCACAAGCCTAACCTCAGCAGCCTTAGTCCTACGCAAATAATCCCTCTTCTCCAATTCCTCCGCTGAAGCCTCTCCCTCCGACGCAGGCACAGCAATTGCTAGCTCCGCATCACGACTCTCTAGCGTCCGCTCTAGAATGCTATGCATACTAGATAGAACCTTGATAGTCGCCTTAGCTAGCGGGAGATCCGTAGCGGCAACGTCGTCAGGCGAAACCCACGACTTGGTCGTGCGCAGACCCTCCACTGCGGAAACGGCCTCGCTTAGACGCGCGACGGTCAGCGCCGCGAACATATCGCCCGTCCCGCTGAAGAAGCAGTCTAATGCGGGCACGTCAACGCGGAAGAGTCGCGGGACCCCATCGGAGCGCATGGTCGAGCCGATTACTGTTAGGAAATTCTCTGGTGGCGAAGGGGTTGCGCCTGATTGGGAGAGTTTGAAAAGTTGCACTGAAGTGATTATCACGTGCGGAACTGAGTAGAGCTTATGGATGGCTGTTACTGCTGAAGCCAGGGTGGCTAGTGAAGTTATTTTGATGCCGGAGAGGGTCCTATATTATATATTAGACTGTGCGTATCTTTCTGTTTGGGGATGGCTTACTCTGCTTCAAATTGGTTAGGCAAAATCAGATCCGCAAAGGGGATGATTTTCTTGTATGCGGGGACTACATCGTCATTGACATATAGCCGGCCTTGGTCGCCCATGACCGGGTCCAGGACTAACATTATAATCAGCATTTGTACTCGGATGGATAGCGAGGGTTACTTACCCCAGAAGAATGACCCGGGCTTCTTCTCTGCCTTCTCTTGCAGATCAATACCGATGGTGCCTACTGATTCCACAGCTGCTGCACTCGGGGCGTAACCCGATAGCATGACATCGAAGTCTGTGAGATTACTCTGGCACAGGCCTTGGTAGAGATCTGAAATTTCCTGTGCAGTGGCACGGGTTCCCTTGAATTGGCGATAGCCTGTGTGGTTACCTGCAATTGCATGTGAGTCAGGCTGGATTGTTAAGATGGGATGGCAACGTACTGAAGTGGACAGTGTTCAATGCGGCGACTTCGCAGCCGAGGGATTGCATGACGAATGTTGCCATTGTATTTCCAACATGGCTGGATAGACGTTAGTGACCCCAATGGTGTCTTCTAGATATGATAACCCGCGTTATCAGACTTGCCACATACCCGTAGACAACCTAGTGAGTTGTCAGTTTATCTGTTTGAAGGAGGGGTCAATTTCACTTACATGGCTAGCAACAGCCAGAACCCTTGTCTCAGGTACTAATGAATCCATATTTGAGTAATTATAGAGAAATAGAGAGGGAGTCTATCAAGTCCATATGGCTATGACTCTGTGTGGGGGCCGGGGGGATTTGCCGAAATTCCACTTACCTAATTGGCCGATTTCGGGAGTTATCAGAAATATCAAATCCAGATAGATTTGAATATATTAATAGTGAATATATTAATGATATAGAGGTATGGACTAGAACTATAGAATTAGACATGCTATACTATGTGGTTTGTCAATATTTAGACTTGACCCAAATCCGCATAAAATCTCCGTTGATCAGAAATCTCACTTCCTCATTTTCCAAATGCTCTGGTCTAATAATACTTCGACCAGTCAGGAAGAACTATGAAAGTCAAATCAGAAAAGGGCTGAGACTCTTTTTTCCACTCTCGCCCTACTCCTGATAAAGACAATGGATCTCACCCCCTGAGCAAAGACAAGTTCCACCGAACGGTCTAGTTCATGCTAGTGGTATTCTTCGGATAACTTTAGCGCATTGGCAAAACGTTCTCGGCCTTGGCCGTTGCTAAATGCGAAGAACTAAAGGAAAAGTCCCTTTAGGCTTTTTCTACTTCCCTACCCTCATGTACTTTCGACTTCTTCATCTTACACCATAGGGAAAATCTTCCCAGTCACTCCTTTCAATGAAATGATCGTCACTCTTTTGATATCATAATGTTGGAATAAACACTTCTTTGTTTTCCAACAGTCCACTCATTAACATACGACCTCGCTTACTTGTCTTGTTGATAATTCATACTTGCATGTATCCTCGACAAGTCCACACACCAAAATGTCCCGTCTTTACCACATCTACAACTTCATAATTCTAATTTTTATTCTCTGTCAATCACCCGTATGGGCCCAGTCCGTGGAACCCACAGACCTGTCCATACCATCGCCCCAAAGTGGGGAGATCTCAAATGATCAACCAACAATAAACCGGCGAACAATCGTGACAGCACCAGACACCCCAAATGGAACGCCCAAACCCTTCGACACACTGTCCTACAACTTCGCCAACGCAAGCACCTGCATCGACTTCTTCACCAACTGGCGCGCAAATACAACAATAACAGATTGCAACGCCATCTCCCTCCTAATCCAAAACTCAAACGCCTTCTTCCACACCCTAAGTTCCGCACCCGCCACATCTCTCCTCCTCGACACATCCTGCTCAAGCAATGTAGCGCAATGCGCCTCAACACTGACCAGCCTCGCCATCGACCTCCTCAAACCCGAGAACTGCGGTTCGGACTATGAAAATGGCAACTCCGTCGTGAGGGGCATGTATCGCGATCTCGTCGCATACGAACCCATGTACCGCGCAACCTGTCTCACGAACCCATCAACGAAAGACTACTGTTTCGTCGATGCGGTGTCGAATTCCACCGCACCAGATGATTACAGCGTGTACTTGATGCCGCTCGGGACGCCGCTTACTGTCGGTGCTGTACCGAGTTGTACGAAGTGTTTGAAGGCGACTATGGATATTTTTTCGGGGTGGGCGAAACGGGATGGGCAGTCGCTTGATACGACTTATCTTCCCTCGGCGAGGATTGTCAATGCGCATTGTGGGGAGGGCTTTGCGGCTACTAATATCACGGTTGGGTCCGTGGATGTCTTGGCTGGGGCCGGGGTTGGGTTGTTGCCTAATCTTGGGATTGTTACTGTCATGGCTTTGGTTGTTGGTGTCATGACAGGGGTTTGATGATAATTCTGTTGTCTTTCTTGTTCATACACTCTTTATGTTTTTGAGTCCGTCTGCCCTGGTGGGTATGGCCATGGTTGATGTCAGCGAGCGCGTTTTTTTTTGGCTTTCTGATATGATTTGTATCTAATTGGTGATTTTGTCCATATTGTTTAGCAGTTATTCACTCTGTTATTTTCTTTCACTTCCGTATCTGGGTGACTCGATTCGTTTCTGTTGAGATTCGCTAATGTCAAAAAGACTGGGTCAATAATGTATTTCTCAGACGCCAGACAGTATGAGTATTCACAAACATATTCACAATATAAAAACAAACAAATCCCATCTGAAATCATGATTCAAGTGCGCATAGTTCGTCACGTATGAAGAATCTGGCAAAGATAGCAAAACAACACAGAAAAACGCTCGCTGACAAGAAAATGTTATTTAAAAAAGACCATAAGAACTCATCAGCTCCTCCTCTTCATCCCACCTCCCATAGCAACGCCAACAAGACTCTGGGGTTCACCCCGTTCAGCCCCAAAGCTAGCCCCAGGACTCGTCGGAACTGGCGACCCACCACCAGAAATAGGACTCTGTGTAGCGGCATCCCGTTCTCGTTTGACACGAATATACGCTAGCTTGGCGAAGCGGCCAACATGCGTCCAGAAATGGCGGCCAGCTGGGTGTACGGCGATGCGGTCGAGAAGATCGGCTGTCGCTTCACGGACGACCTGGTCCGGATGGAACAGGCCCATACTGACATAAAAGAGACCGGCCTGGTTCTCCGGTGCAACGGTCAAAAGCTGGCAGATACCGGCATAGTCCTTGACAGAGTGGGAGAGAGCGAGGTAGATGGAGGCGGCTTCGGAGTGAGAGAGTTTTAAGGCACGGAGGCGGTCGTGGTGGTGGTGGATGTCCGGGCGTTGGATTGGGCGCGCGGGATAGTACATTGCTGCGATGTCTTGGATATAGGAGTAGTAAGAACGGGTATTGCGCCAGCCTTCAATTCGGGAGACGGAAGCCGAGAGCTCGCGCTGTTTGGCTATTTCGTCTGTCCACACGTATCCGTGCCCGCGGAGAGTTGTTGGGTCTGATGCGTCGCTTTGATGGCCTGTTGGGCTGTCTGGGGAGAGTTCTTCGCCTGGGCCGATGATATAGAGGTTTGAGGCGCCGTAGACTGCTTCTTCGAAGGCTGCGGCGACGCGCACAAATTTCGTTATGTAGGCTCGCCATTTCGCGCGGACGGCATTCTCGCCGTGGCGTTGGCTGATGCTACGGAGGATGTCTTCCATGAATAATGTGTCACCTGTTGGGTCGTTTGTCGTGCTGGGTGCACTGCTGGGTAGGAGGGAGTTCTGCTGCTGGAAGAATAGAAGCCCTTCCGTTACCGGGGCAGATTCAACGTGAGTTGAGATCTTGATGCGACCCGTGGGGAGGTCGCACAAAACGTCCCACCATTCAGGATGGTTGGCAAATGTAGGATTTGTGACTCCTGCAATAAACCCAGGCACCTTCAGGAGATCGTCGATTTTGGATAGATCAGTATAAGGAAATGCGTGTCGAGTAAATCCACGCAGAATGCCACCGGATGCAAGAGCGCAGGCCGCCAGGACCGCCTCTGCAACTTCTCCCGATGGTCGGTTGTGTCCTAGAAATACCACTCGCTTTTGAGTGAGGATAGCGTTGACAAGAACAATAACGGGGTGTGTAAATGGTCCGCTGGTTGTCAAATGGGGATGCGCTGGGAAAGGCTGGGGGGTTGTGGCATGTGGCACGGCGAATGTCTGAATGAGCTTGATGAGGGAAAAGTCTCCAACAGTCTCCGGCCAAATCACTGTCGGAATTTTGACCGGAATGGGGATATCGTTGTAAACCACTTTCGACTCATACTCATGTGTATCCCGCGGTAGGGCGTATCGGCTTACTCTCTTCGGTGATGGTGGACATTCCCCATCCTGGAGTTCTTCTTCTTCCCTCTGGCGGATCATTTGCTCGAATTTCTCCAGGAACATATCCTTCGTATTGCTAGATTGCAATATATGGCGCTCAAGGATTGACATTTTTGGCATTAACGAAAGATCCATGGCGTTAACGGCGTCATAAAGCGATGCTAGAGTTTCGGGGAATGGGGATTTGAAGTAGTCCTCCAGCGCTAGGAGGAGTAAAGGCTGTACAATAGTCAGAATTGCTTGGGTGATAGTGCTAGGAGTGACATAGCTGCTTACTTTGTAGATGTGGAGGAAAGAATGTCGCGTACAGATTGCCATTGCCTTGACCACTGCACCTCTGTTCACTGTTAGTACCCGCAAATTGAGATGAATTAGTACGACTTACCTTCGGACAGTGTTATCCTGCTTTGTGTTCACAAGATTGAGCACATACATCAAGGGTGGTCCTTCACCACCCTCGTCATCGCTGCTGTCGGGGTCATCGGAGATCTCTTCCTGGCTCTCGTCTTGAATATCGGCTCCCTCCTGGTTTGCATGGTATTGTGATTTCCGCTTCTTTTTCTTCTTCCCACCCGCTGAATCCGTTTCTTCATCGCCACTGGTGTCTTTGTGTAAGAAGAACATGGTCCAATCCTGACTCCGCACATGCGTCTGATCCGGCAGCATCAGCTCTGCAAGCATGCTCTCGTCCCCACTAATTGCAGCGGGATACTGGTGTTCCATAATTGGACCTCGATCAATATGGAAGGACGCAACCAGAATGTACTCCACATGGCGCTCCGGCGAGTCGAGCGGATATTGCGCTTTACAGCGGCGTGGCTTGAAGCTTGAGGTCGCATTCTCAGTGGATGTTCTTCGAAGAGAGCCGTGTGAGCTGCTGGGAGAGCGTCCGATAAAGGAGGCCGCAGGCGAGAGCCGAGGAAGGCCACTTGTTTGGCGGTTATTCGAAGTGGAGAGGGAGTCGTTTGACGGTCGATATGGTAGTGTTGTGGCCATCTTATGGGTTAAAAGAGGATTGCTCCAGGCAAATCTATAAATTGAACATAGCGCACAAAACAAGCAAAAAGCAAGGCCAATAATTAATTGTCCTTAACTGTTCAGGGGTTAAGAGGGGTTAAGAAAAAGGACTTTCTCCACAGTGGAGAGACGATAAGGCCGATAAGAGGATCCATAACATTCCTTCCAAGGTTGAACATAGATCTATCAGAATCCAATCTCCTTTTTTCTTCTTCCTTACATTGTAGATCTTCCTATTTATACTTTGTGACAAAATTAACATGTCCAATTGTTCAGTCCTATTGCAATATCTGCCAAAAACAACACTGGCCATTTTCTAGGTGTCTTGATTGATATAAAATAGCGAAAGGCAGCCTTGTTACAGAACCTTTGAATGTTATACATACCGAGTACCTAAAGAGAGGCTAAATTCACGACTTAGCTTGCACTCATCTTAACCTTCATTATTGGACCTTTGTAGCCAATCAAGGATACATATGTGACGAGTACGATTCCTAATGCATTATGCACACTTCAAATTTATGCAGCACCCAGTCAGCCAGGGTCTATTCTGTCTAGATTCCATATAGTCTTTACATCCCAACTAATCACAGAAAAATTCAATGTTCATAAATATCAAAACTAAGGATCATTTAATTACAGGAAAAATGTCTATGGAGTACTCCGTATATTTATATAGATAGTATGGGCGGTGGGGAAGACGGTGGCAGAATCATGTTGTTGTGCCAGCCCGAGGCTTGTTTACACCCATCGATAAGCAAACCTTCGTCATAGCTGTTTACAATTCATAATTCAGCTCACGTACCATTTCCACCATGGTAATTGATGTTTTTGATAAATGGAATAGGTGTTCAAGGCTAACCAACAATGGTCTAGGCCAATAACCCTACATTCAAACCATCGCCATTATCCTTTGGGTCGCCGAGAGCATCCCCGTTCCGGCGCCCGTCGACTCCAAACTCCCCACCCTCGGCCACTCGCACAGGGGGCACTCCGGGAAGCTCTCCCAGTCGAGCATATACACCTATGGTATCTCCCAGCAAGCTCAATCAATCATATACAGTGGAGGATGGCGAATCGCGCTCTCCGAAGAGCGAGCGGCCCATTCCCCAGCCGAACTTTGGCAGACAGCTCCCTCCTTCCCCAACGAAAGGAGCACGGTCACCAGGCAGCTCATCACCAATTCTTGGGTCAAGGACGGGTGGTTTTGCAGGCCCAGCTAGTGACGCGGCGGGAAAGCTGCCGGCGCAACAAGTGAGGGAGATCAGAGAAGCTTTCCAGGTTCTCGATCGGGATAACGATGGCCTTGTGGACAAAGATGATGTGATTGATGTGTTGACAACTTTGGGTAGGAAGAAATATATCCATCTTTTCCTGAAATTGACTTGAGGAATTAACCTGAGTGTTTGAACAGGTCAAGACTCGTCTCCATCCACGCTCTCGCGCTTCTTCCCCCCCGGGTCAAGCCAAACTATGAACTTCCCGACCTTCCTTAATACACTTTCTGGGCTAATGGCATCAATGTCGCCTTCCCAAGAGCTTCTCAACGCTCTTGCTGCGTTTGATGACGACGACAACGGGCAAATCGACGTCGCCGAGTTACGTGATGCTCTACTACATACCTCACCCGAAGACGGAGAGGAGCGATTGACTGAAAGACAGATCGATGAAGTCTTCAATGGGTTTATAGGCCGCCCAGCATTTATAGGTCGGGGAGCGAAGTCAGGCGGGATGGGTAAGAGGGGCGAGGTTTTCCAGTATCATGACTTTGTGCGCAGCGTCATGGGTGGGGAAAATGGAAATAATGTGAAACATGAAGGAGATGCAGCACATGCATGAACTGCGACTATGAAGATGGGTTTCAATTGAATTGGCGTTATGGGTCTAACGTTTTGGCAGTTGACAGATTTCAAGGCTGTAGTAGCAAAGGTCAGACTATACAAATCATGTCATGAATGGTCATGTATCATTAGTTATTAGTTATACAGTTACCAGGAATTTTTGGTAAAAGCGAAGTAAATATGGAGTAGTTAAAGTGGAACTATATGTCCTAGCAACGCCTTCCGCATTTCATCGGCAGAAAAGCTCCAGCCACCGCGATCTCATACACTCCACCTCATCAACTGCGCTCATCTTACCCCTTTCTTAAAGATGTCTGTCGGTGGCCCTCCAATGCAGACTTGATTGAAATATGGCCAAACCTCAGCCCTCCTGGGCTCTCGGTGTTCCGGGCCCCGACACACCCGCATCACCGCGAACCATGCGAACCCTGCGAAAGATACAATCCCACCAAGTGCTGTCAACCTCTAGCGCGCTCATTGCTCAGACCCAGGCCTCTAGCCAAGCTGCCTCAAACCAAGCTGGCACTGTATCGGCAGCAACTCCTGGTGCTGCAACCCGAGCGCGCGCGCATCGCCGAGCTCGATCAAATAGCGATGCGGCTTCTCGTGAAGCTGCAGAAACACCACCTGCGTCTCATAGACGACCCGCGCGAAAAACAGGGTCGGGAATTGGAGTAAAGCGATCACTCTTGGAGAACCTTTTGCGCGATGGACCACAGAATTCAAATCCTCACGAGGCACTGCGAGAGCTTAAATACCTCGTCTTGTCTAGCAGAGTGGACGCTGATGGAGATGGGATGGTGAGGGGTATTCAGTCTGTTTTGGAAGATTAATCTCTAACAATTTTGCGAGGATAGTCGCCATATCGTATTTATCTTTGGTTGATCCTCCTCGATGTTCCTCCTATGCCTACCGATGACTACCTTGCTCTTATCCACCGCGGCCGTTCTCCCGCTTACGCCAAAATTCGCAATGATACTTTCCGAACACTAGCCACAGATCCTCTCTTCAAACGCCGAGTCACGGAAGCAAGCTTGATTCGACTCCTCAATGCCGTGGCATGGAAACTCTACGATTCCAGGCCGAAACCCCGGTCTCCACCGTCGTCTCGGCGCCGTGAGATGGAGCTTAATGCGCCACCCAGCATCGCAGAGGAGTCCCCGTTCGGCGGGGAGCTAGAGAAGGTCACCAATGGTAACACGAGTGATTCGGCCATGTACGTCCAAGGCATGAATGTTTTGTGTGCGCCGTTCCTCTATGCTGCCCGTAGCGAGGTGGAAGCCTTCGCTCTGTTTCACTACTTTGTCACACGCGAATGTCCAGGTTATATCCGCGGCGCTATGGATGGAGTCCACAAGGGTCTTCGTTTGGTTGACCGATGCCTTGAGATTGTGGAGCCCAAGCTTGCAGCCTATCTGTTCTCCAAGGGTATGCACGCCGAGCTGTATGCATTCCCGTCTGTATTGACCCTATGTGCCTGCACACCTCCATTGCCAGAGGTGTTGCACCTGTGGGATTTCTTATTTGCATATGGTTCACACCTGAATATTCTGTGCATTGTCGCCCAGCTAATCCGTATGCGGGACCTAATTTTCGAAAGTCCAAGGTAAGTTTCGGGATTTTATTGATTTGTTTAACAAACAAGCTAACTAAGTAGCCCAAACAAAATCCTTCGCTCATTCCCTCCTCTCGACGCAAAGGAGATCATTGCTTTGACAGTGCTCCTCGTCCGTAAGATCCCAGAGGACCTTTACGCAGAGATGATTAGCCATGCGAAATAGACATGGCTTGAGCTGAGAATCTGACGGAAAGAAATAAATGACATACTACCTGGGTTTCAAAGCGGCGTTTTTTGATATGATTGATCGCAACGATTGGGTAATGGTGACTTTTTTTGGATGGGATATGAGATTTACATTGACGAACACCCAAGAGAACTTGTTTGAATGAATTGATGATTGTACACAAATATTACTAGTTTTTGAGAATGCACTTCAGGATATTTTCCTTTTCGGACTGATCTTTGTGCAACATTCAGCTTTCCTGTTTGTTCAAGGGACGAAGCCCTAATTTTCTTCAGTCTGAGACCAGGCATCCCAAACTTGTTTGTCACTGCCATATAACGTATCCATAGATATCTTCATATATCCTCACATATGTGCAACATGGAATCCGTTTGTACACTTCCAAGGTTGTTTCCCACAAAGGGACAACTGACGAAAAGACAAAATCAAACAAGGCCATCTTCTTCATTCATACCGCATGATTTAGAATCCTTTTATCATCTGCCTTATAAGTACGGCCCTGTTAATCAACCACTTCTTCAACCCACCAGAGAAATGTCAGGTCTAATCCTTTTAGCCATCTTACTTCTTCTCATTGTAATACGGAGCAAGTCCCATAAAGCCCATTCCACATCAAATGACCCAGCAATATGCCGCCAGATCATTGCCGGCGTCTTGAATTCCACAGAACAAAATGTTCTCTCGCCAAACCAGTCCAAAGCAGTAGCAAATAAACACCTTCCAATCGCCTTCGGAATCGACAACGCCTTTACAAGAACAGATAGCGCCCATGCCAGCATGTTCGTTGAAAAAGTCAAACCCTTGATCAACTTATCAGTCGAGCAATGGCACAGCGTATCCAAGTTCGCCAGAGCCACAACCGACAACTGGATCCAAAAAGGCTTCCCCGAGCTTGATCATAGCCCCAACAACAGTTCCCACAAAGAACAAAATCCATCCCACAATGTCAACCGCAATCGGATAAACATCGCCAGTCTAGCACAAATACTTTCCCTGAAAGTCGTACTATGGCAGATATTCGATCAAAAGACACAACACCAGACATGCGACGAGAGTCTCCTAAACCTAGCACAATCAATAAATCGAGTCTGGATATCATCCAAGTCAAAATCCACCGACACCCCTAAATTCGAAGACGACATATTGCTAAAGACATCCTTGGCCAATATCTTCGGAAAACACGATCTTCCAGAAGATAACCCACTAAATCTCATCCTCCCTTCATTTGAGACAATGTGGCGTGTCGTGCTACGAGCATTCCTAGAGCTGAAATTCGGGACTGGAAAGGAAGTACCTCTATGGCGTCAAACGATGATTTCTTTTGCTTCAAATTCCACGAAACGTCAATTTGACACGGGCTCTGGATGTCACAGTCGCTCTAGACTCGAGTCTAGTGATAGAACAGGTGGTACATGTGATCAGAGCTCACCCAGTGCGAATGCTATAGTCCGTGAATCGCTACGACTATACGTACCTACGAGACATGTACATCGGGCGTATCAGTCAGATCTGCGTGCATCCTATGAGATCCACTCTGCTGATATCGAGGGATGTCATCTGAGGTCCGATATATGGGGTTCTGATGCAGAGCGATTTAATCCAAGTCGCTGGTCTGCTCTTACGCCGGCGCAGGGAGATGCGTTTATGCCGTTTGGATGTCCACCTTTTGAATGTCCTGCTAAGCCGACTTTTGGGCCGAGGATGATTGGGGTCTTGGTTGGGTGTTTGTTGGGGGCTTTGGAAGGTGATAAGTCGGTAAGTTGGATTTTGGCTTGTGAGGATCGGAGGGTTTTGGAACGTATCTCGTCTGGGAAGAGGTTGTGTCCGCATAGGAATGCGTATACGGATTTGTATATAGTGCGGTCTGTGGAGCTGGGGGATGATAAGTGAATAGATAGATATCTATTGGAATTTGACAAGTAAATCTTAATAAGTGACGATGGAGAGCTGAGAGGTGGGTCTATGAAGGCTAGGAGTATGCACTACACGCAAGGGATACTATTTTGGGAAAGGATGTATAGTCAAAGAATGAACATGGCTTAGAGCATAGACTAATTTACACCAAAGCAAGGAAAATCATCAAAAGCATAAGAAGAGCATAAGCAGAAAATATGTATGTTTGAATATCAACGAATAATACATAACGGTTTTATCACGTAGAGCACAAAATCTCAGACCTATTCAATCCAGACCCGTCTATCACCAACGGCTTACAAACACCGACATTGGTCTCCGTAGTCATCTCATCAGCCCACGACTGACAGGTATCCGCCTTACCACTCACCGATCCCGCGGTGTCTGATCCAGCACGCCCATCACAGCTCACAGCCCGTGCAGGATGCTCACGATCAACCCGCACTCTAATCCGCGACCCCATGAAGCTCAGATTATTGAACATTGTCACAGCGCACTGAGCTTCGTCCGCCGTTTGCATGGCTACCGAAGCGCGGAGCTGGGCATTCGTATCAGCGGGATCTATGGTGATTATGTTGCATTTCTGGACAGTGCCAGCTGTCCGCAGAAGTGTTTTTAGGTCGGCGCATGTAGTAACTGGATTCAAGTTCTCGATGGTGATAGCTCGAGAATTCGGGTAGAAAGACGGGGAGCTGGGGTTCGTGCCTTTGCGAGATTCGCTGTAGTGGTAGTGTGGGTTATCGCCTGGGTACATGTGTGGAGGGGACATTGGGTATCCTGGCATCATGTTCCAATGCTCGTAGGCGCCGTTCATTACTGGGGATGGGGGGAAGTATTGCATTGGTGGTGCGTGTGGATCTGGCATCATGGGCATGAATGTGTGGGGCATTGGTACGGGTACCATCATGACGCCGTACTCTGGGTATGGATATGGTGGGGTGGCGGGGTTGGAAGATCTGGAGGGGGGTTAGCTTGTTCTCTTTTATTTCATGCTTCGGAATATGGTGAACTCACTCTGGGGAGACGGGTGATGGGGGCATTGCCATGTTTCCATGTACTAATGGAGGGGTTGAGTGGCCGGAGACGTAGCTTGTGGACATCATGGCTGAGGGACTTCTGGTAGGTCCGGCAATGGGCTTGGTGGGTGTACTGGTCCGCGAGAGTGTGACGACCAGACTCTGGCCGTCCCATCCGCTAGTTGAAAGTCGATCTGTTGGGTGTTAGGGTGGAGGATTGGAGGTTTCGGGCTATGGACACATACGGTACGTTCGCCATGCCTCGTCTTCATTCTTGACGATGATTTGGCCGAGGCCGGTGGGAAATCCATGGCTATCATCGTATACTACTGCCTGGCGAATATGCAGTGCTGTTTGACGGACGAGATCTTTGAGTTCCTGCCAGCGGCAATGAGGTGGGATCTGGAATTCTTGTTAGTCTTTAAACTCATTCGACATGCTCCATATCAAACTTACGCCTTGAAGGAATACGACAAACTCATCATCTGACCTGCGCGATCTGGGACGACCTTTATCACGACCGAGAGGAGGCATGACTGCAGATATCTCAAAGCAATGCACCTCGGTATCTCAGTGCCGAAAGCGCACTACCTCAGATGTATAGATTTAAATGGAGTATTGATGTCGATGCTTGCAAGTATCCTGGTCCGTTGGCGTTGCGAAACAGTCGGGCCTCGACTTGTCCGACCAGGTGTTTGGTCGAGTCCAGAACTTGGGCAATTGTATTCTCTGTCAGAGGCCCACGTTAGCTTAAGGTATATAAATATGGTGACATCTTTGAATTCCCACTCTGCTTGGACTGCGACGACCACAGGGACGACATCCCCAAGCATAAAGGTGCAATCTTTGAGAAACCAAACCGCACAAGCCTACCTTTCCTCTTACCTGCCGGATAAATGCAAGTCAACGAATTGGTCTGACCGACAAACAGCGAAAAGAGATAAACCCCTCCACGAGTTGAACGAGAATCAAGCAGATTATATAAAGTCCTGGAACAAGGAAAAGAGGAAGTCTCGAGGTTTCACAGGAATGGTGATGATATATGATATGGTTAATTAATTTCTTAGGGCTAGTAATAATCTACGATCATGGCTTGCAAGTAGAAAATCATGGGGACCCAGAATACTGCACAAAGTGGACGAATAGCGAGGCAAGGCGATCAGCAGTAGCCAGTAATATCAGAGAACAAGCAGGACCCTTTCTCCTTCTGGCTGAGATATGTCATTTTCACCATGAGTTCAGCTCTGCCAAATGCAATAGAGTGTGGTTCTGCCGTCCCACCTCCTGGGTCTAGTTCCACCTAAGGGCATTGTATGGCTATTCTAATGTATGCTCTTCCCTCCTTTGTTATTAATATTAAAATAGTAACCTCCCAAGTTACCGGATATACCCGTGTACAGGAGGCAAATCATTTGGGAGGCCCTTTAATACGGAGTGTTACACCGCTAGATGAATCGGACATGCAGAATGGACATGCAGAGTGGACCTGTATTCATCACATTGGCTCTATTGTCAGATCGAAACCTTTGAAAAAGAAAAAAGCAAATAGAAAAGAAAATATGAAATAGATTTTAAGAACAGGAGGGATCTCCGATCAGAGCGGGTCTCTAAGATGAGCAGTCATACTCGGTAGCTAGTGGATTTTTTTTTCTTTTTTTGATCAATTACGACTATTGATTTAAGTACCTGCAGATGGAGGGATAGAATTATCAATGGTGTCAATACCCTAAATTCTTGAACATCATGTGCACAGATACAACGTATACCTCCCTAGATACGTAGTCACACTGCAGGTCCCAGAAAGTCTGCGGTCGGCGTTTTCCGTCTCTGAAAAGAGGTATGTGGAATAATGTACCTAAGGCCTCCCTATATTATACAGGCCAGTCGAAGGGGGGCTAATAACTACAATAAACATAATACAGGGCATGTGTGACTATAGAAGTATATCAAAGACAAATGACCATCCATATAGGGAGCTACATACTCCGTACATTCCAAGCATGTAAGACGAAGCTGTACTATGACGATACGCGACCAAAGCACAGAGTTCTAGGGGAGGTCAGATGGCCAATCTGGTCTTTCCGCATATCTACGGACCTCTCTTCTGGTAAAGTGTGGGAGATCTTAAAAGAATGTTGTCTCAGAATATCTTTCTCACGGGGTTGAATTCCCCGGATGCCACGAATATTTAGGTTTCAATATGACTAACATGAAAATGGTATAAAAATGGTATAAAAACTTCACAAAGGGTATATGTTATATTTCAAACAAAATTTCATGAAAAAAAATGATATCAGAAAGTGCTTGGATAATGAACCCAGGCGATCGCCGAAGTGAAAAGCAATAACAAAGGGCAATGGAAAAAAAGCGCTTAAGTTGTTTTGCAGTCCGAACAATGTACTCGGTGTCGGGGGTATCTCCCGCTTCGGTCCGTGGTTCTTGTACCGATCCCTGTAATCCTCCCTTTAAGACAGTGCCAGCACATTCTCCCAGGAATTCTCGAACAGGTCGACGAAAGTATCGAGATAGGATTTTATCCCATTCATCGTATCGGGGGAACGATTTGTTGGTTTGAAAGACGGTTTTTGATGTTGATCCAGCCACTCGACTCCCCCAGATTCTCCGGTTTAGTTGGTTTTGGTTTGTTGTGGTGATTTGGTTTGGTGATTTGGTTTGGTTTGGCTTATTTGAATATCGTTCATCCTCCGAACCCGACTTTCGTTGCGCAGCGGCTACAGTAGTAGGAGTTCATGCCGAATTGAACAATGCTGCAGCCTGATTGGCCTAGGCTGAGGGATTGTTGGCAACGGGAACATCGGACAATGTCGAGGGTTTGTGGAGGAGAGGCCTCAGATGGACGACTAACACCGCCAGACTGAGGTTGAGGAGTAATTTGCACAGGAGAGCTCATTTTGAGCGAATTTGATATTGAGGGAGGATAAGGAGAAAGGGGGGGGAGGATCGCATGTTTTTGAGTTGACCCCGTCCCCGTGATTTCTTGGTTTACCCCAGTTTTTCTAAGACGATGATGATTTGACTTGAAGAAAGGGATATGAAACAGGGAAAATATTCGGCTTTTTAAAATTGTCTAACAATACCTATAACAATACCTATACGTACGGAGTACTCCGGAGTACAACATACGATATTTCCTTTAGGTCTTTCCTACCTTGGCCGCTTTTATGATTTGAGTAGGCTGAGTAGATTTCAGCCCGCCCAGACTTAGACTATCACGTGATATCCAGTACTGACTAGTTCTGATTGGATGTTCACCTGCTAATTGATTACTCAGGTCTTGGCATGGACCGGGCACTCAGCCATACCCGAAAGAGCATTTTGCCCCAATGTTTATTTTGCCACTTTTGGATAATCACCGTGCTCCTATATCATTTTGTCATATGTGTACGCTCAACATTCATATGTTTACCTTCGAGGTAAGACATCGGTTCAAGTCTCGAAGAATGCGCCAGCTGTCTGAGGCAAACAGGTTTCGCATTTCAAATATACGCCGCTGAAACTCCGTAGAATGAAGATGAATTGGTCGAGAGGGCCGAGAGAGGCTTGTTCTTCACTTGCGGGAAGAAGAGAGTTGCCGGGAATGGCAGATAGGTAGTAGATCTCTTTTAGTAAGTCCGAACTTTCAACAGAGTATTTCATAGTTATATAATTTGAAGCATAGTCTCCCGAGTAGCAGGAATAACCTATATCCCTATCAAAAGGGCTTGTTCCGCTTCTAAAAGCTCGAATCTCTTTTAAACGATTTATTCTTAACTCTAAGAGCAGGATCTTCCGTTATAAGACAACGTGGTTTCTATAACATATACTTGACTATATAAGCCAAAGCAAAGAGCGAGATCACGACAACATTCCAACAAGACCGCAACAATACATCAAAGAAACATCAAAGAAACATCAAAGAAACATCAAATAGCACAGAAAGAGCACAAAAAGAACACAGCAAGATTGCAACAAGAGAGCACAACAACAAATCATTGCTTCTGCACCGTTCCCCACCGCATAATAGCACACAGATTGAGGACTACCTGTTTCCTATTGGACTCACTACTAAGGTCGTACCAGGGAGTGGCCACCACGTGAATACATGAGCTTACTCTACCCATATTAAAATCCTCAAGATACTCGTGGCTTATCCAAAATTGGAGAAAGCAAATGTAGTGTTGCGCAGCATGGATGACTATAACAGTCTCCGGGGAGCTTCTATCAACCAGCCTAGCCAGCAGAGCTTCGCATGTCATCTGGGCTAGACATTCGTCCGAAATGGTCAGTTTATCATCCTCGGATTGTAACTTTCTCTTGGCTTCCAAAATTGCCACGCGATCGTCTGTCAGTTCAAAATAGCCCTTTCTATTACGGGCGCGTAGGCAAAGGCCACCATCATCAGTGGCACTCATACTGCCCATCGAAGGTACCAGTCTCGCAGCTCTTAACTTGGCATCCCGAAAGTCGATGACTTTTGCCAACTTGTTTTGCTCTTGAGGTGCCCCAAAATACAGAACATGTCGAATGACACATGACACAAGTCGCAGGGTGTCCTCTTCGACCGTAACTCGGAGTTGGTGTTCCGCGTTGTCAATGTGACCCGTTGACGATGCAGTGCCAGAACTTGGAGCCCGTGGACTGCTAGAACCAATTTGAATGTCCCCAGAACGGACGAATGCTGGATCTTGGTTGGCTTTTGTGTTACGCGCCGGTCTTGTCACAGTCCTAGAACTAGTGCCATATTCGGGTGCAGTATCCATTCGAGAATCTTAATCCGTATTGGAGTCCTCGGAATGGTCGGCATCGGCGAAATCTGGAAGATGCCTCCTCTGAGGGTCACGATCACCCTTGAAGGTTGCCAGTGCTGACCAAGTTTGAGCTAGCGAAGTGCTATAGCCGAAATCGCGCACAAGACTATGCTCGCTTTGCTGAAAATGGTTGATATCTTTGGGGCCCTTCACGAAGTTTTGAATCTCAACCGAGGACATTGCATCGGATGATTCCGAGTGTTCTTCCAAGATTGGAGGAATTCGATGCCTTTGTTTTTGTACTATAACATGACAGGCAAGTAGATGATCCCGCTTCCACTGACTCGCACCGACTGCTGGAGGAATAGTTCTCAGATTTGGGTCCTTGAACTGACTGGCAGAGGTGAAATTGTCAAAATAATGGGCAGGCATGTTGAAAATCAAACTTGAGATAGAGAGATGGTGGATTATGATATGATTGCACTGGGAGGCAGTGCCTTCTTATACCACCTCTTCTGTAAATATTTGCCTTGCCACACCACACAGCCATGGAATAGAGTGTTGGTGATATGCGCCTACATAACCGCCGGCCCCCTTATCTGAAACTGCCAGCTTGTGAGTACAACTATTGAAACCCAATTCTGGCCTGTTGGGTGGGGATAGACAGGTACGTAACGAACCAACTAGATGCATATATTATCCATAGCCAAAATGCCTCATATAATTCCTTTTATCAGAAACACGAGCTAGTTTAGTTGGCGCCTAGGAAAGCACATGATATTGTTTCCGCCTAGATCGGTCTTTTCAGAGTTCTTTTGATGACTATTAAAAGATCATTTATTTACACTTAAGCGATTTTTACTGTATCTTGTGTGATATAATGCTTGTTTTTTATTATGCCTACAGCATGTGGCATCAATAGCATACCTTTCAAGGATAGCAGGATCGGTGTCTACCTGGGTAGATTGGGCCTAGTAACTAAATAGGTTCCCGGGGTCCGAAGAGTGGCATAGCCCTTTCCCTAAGCGCCGAGCCTCCTCACACTATCAGCAGTGACAGTTGGTCACATTTTTCTTAATAATAACCACCTGGGCAAGCATATCTAGTTGGTCACAAAGTTAGCGCTGTTAGGTTAGAAGACACTTTAGGGGTCCAATTCAAGCCCGATTTAGTGGAAGTTGGATTGGTATCAATAAATTCCTACCGAACTTGCAAGTTTGTAGATGTGAGATGGAAATATGCGAATGGTTCAATTTATTTTTGCTTAAGAAACTGGGAATATAAGATAAGTGAACTCCTTGGATCTGGGACGTTGCTAGTTGAGGTCGGATAAACCGTGACATTTTCCCGATCAACTTCCCAAGGCGGTCAAGACGCATTTTAGACTACTCGTCGTATTCTTATTTCCTTCAGCCTTTACAATACAAGTATTTCCGAGATGCCAGCTACTGGTGTAATTTCACTTGCTGAACTCATGAGCCACCACCGCTATCTCTTGGTTCAACCAATATGCTGGACTTCTCGTCATCTGGAGATGCTGGGATGTCGGTTTGAGCATATTGACTATGTGCCAACAGCCGAGCCTGACTCAGATACATGCGAACTGACCGATGATGAGAGGGAGGCCGGGAGGGAGCACTTGAACTATGAGGAAAGCTTTGCGAGGGGCCGCCATCATCTGCCCTGGGTGAGCTGCCTCCAATATCTCCTACCGCCTTTGCTCGACAGCAAATGGTGAACAATCCAAGCTGCTCCTTCCAATGCATTGGCTCATTTAGCCAATACTAATCTATTATGTGTAGTGAAACGCCGTATTTTTTTTTTGCAAATAAAAGGATTCATCGACCCCAGTACACCGTGCTCTATCGTCACAGGCTAACCGGCCAAGCACCACGGTTAATCGTTGGCTATATGGACTATTTTGATGTTGAGATCTATCGCCGGGAGATGTTTCCGCCTTGTGCCCCCAGGGATCGGGGTCCTAATATCCCCGGATGGCAAATTCAGCTGAAACGAATAGCTCAAATCAAGCCAAAAAACTGGAACGAGGACCCATATCTGCTATGTGTTCTTCTATCCCTTGCACAGCTCCAGGAATACCATCGTGAAGAGTCGCACCCACCCATACATTTAGTAAGTGCTCTACTTGCTAACCCGTGTGCTTTTTTTCATTGGACACCTAGCTCATTCATGGAAGTCACGTCTGATTTTGTTTCACGAGCCGAAGGATGAATTCTTCCATGTTTTTGAAGCTCGCATCACCTCTGAGCTTCTCTGAATGCTTGACAACCCAAGTACTGCCACGAAGCATGTACATTGGCCGATCATCAAGCACAGAATGGTCCCATTATACCCCATCAAGGGTCTCAAGAAGCGCCTCCAAGCTGAGGTCGCCCGGGACCAACCACCTGGGACATTCGATATTTCAGATTCAGCTGAACCATTCGGACCCCATGACGAAAAGAATATTCTCCGCATCCAAAGAAGAAAAGAGGCCAAGAAGAAGACTCAAAAGAAAGTAAAAAATGAATCGTTCGTCATTCCGACGCAAAACCTATTTGAAGATGCTTGAAACAAGGATCCCGACAAGTATGCCCTGTGTTGGCTATTTGACCGCACTACACCATAAACGACTTCAAACGCACGCTCAGCTAAACGACGCCATGCCGGGAATTCCACATTCCCTATTTGCAGCCTCTAGAATCCGCTGCCATAATAAGCCTTTCATACCACAACGAAATGTCTGTACTCCAACGCCTGGGGTTCAGATGGTGGCTAAAGATACAAGACAAATTTGGGTCGACCCCCACAATAGGTTCGCTCGGCCTATGAATTACATTTCAACTGGGACATATTCATGGTGGAAAAAGCGCACATACAAACAACATGGTCTACCAAGCTAGCTAAGTGTTGTGTTCAAAATAAGAAACCAGGAATCACAATACTGTTGAAGCTGGTTGGATGATTGAGTATCAGAGAAAGAATTCTTGAGAGACAAAATAAAGATGACCTTACAATGTTGTACAGAAATAAAGTGATGTGATTAGAACTAAAACCATAAGGCTTGGCATACAGTGTAGAGGCGTTCCCAGTTATACTTAGTGGGCAAAAGGCGGCAATATCTGTGGACTAAAACGGAAAGGTACTTATCGTACTTATCCTTTTCTCTTACTGATACGTATGGGCTCGCAGGCTGTCTTGTTGGCAAAATAACGCTGCTACCTAGATGCCGACAGTTATGTGGAATTTCGGCGTTTTAAGTATTATTGACCGAATAGTAGGACATGGGTATCATCACATCCCCAACTAAATTGGAAACATCACATACGCGTACATGGGTACTCTAGGATTTAGTCTAGCCTTCCAATTATTTAGACTTGTAATATATAGTCCGTCAATTTCTGTCTTTTAAATGTGTCTTTGGAATGTCTTTCAATGTCAAGGAGTATATCTCGGATATATTTAAACTATTTAAACCATTTGAATAGTTCCCAAAATTATGTTAATTAATGGAAGATGAAGTTATTTCCATTGAATCCCGGTTTAGGCTTAAAAAAAAAGTCGATACAACATAAGGCGGAGAGGCTCCCATGGAAACATCACGAAATCCCAAGATTCGCCAGCGACGTCATATTTCCTCGATTTCACCTCTTCTCTTATCGTGCTAGCTTAGAACCAAATACTGTTCAGATCTTGCCCCACCAAAACGAAACGAAATATCTCTTGCCCCTCATTTCCATCCCACCCACATATCACCATGGCCACCGGACACCCCAACCTCTACAGCTTCCCCACCTCCGATGCACTAGCTGCGCAATTGCGAGGCTATGTCCTCCGTTGCCAGAACTCCGCTCTTTCCCGACATGACACCTTCCGCATTGCCGTCTCTGGTGGCTCTCTGCCAGCCGTTCTGGCCAAAGCCCTCCTCGCCCCCAGCAATGGCTCCCCGGAAGACACCCCCCACTTCTCCAAGTGGCACATCTTCTTCGCCGATGAGCGCGCCGTACCACTCGACCACGAAGACAGCAACTACCGCCTGCTGAACGACGAGCTCGTGAACAAAATCCCCGCCGAGCTCGGCTCGCCCGTCGTCCACCCCATCGACGAGAAGCACGTCGAGGATGACGATCCCCAGGAACTCGCAGATCTCTACCAAGCAGACCTGATGCGCGAGTTCGCCGCCAAGGACAGCGTCAAATTGCCCATGTTCGACCTCATCCTCCTGGGCTGCGGACCCGATGGTCACACATGCTCACTCTTCCCTGGCCACGCCTTGCTGCGCGAGAAGGATGCTTGGGTCGCCGCTGAGACAAACTCCCCTAAGCCCCCGCCAAAGCGTATCACCCTTACCCTGCCTGTTGTTACCCACGCTGTTAGCATTGGCTTTGTTGCGACCGGTGGAGGCAAGAAGGATATCCTCAAGCAGATCTTTGATCTTGAGGAGGGCTCCAGTCTTCCTTCGGCTCTGGTGAACCAGGGTGCTGGTGATAAGGTAAGCTGGTTCACGGATCACCCGGCAGTGGAAGGTGTTTCGTTCCCTCGTCGTGGGAGTCTTTGAGATTTCCTAGATGGATTTGAAATTTCTTCCTTATTTCGCAAGATCTGCCTTTTATGGCATTGAATTCAATAGCTATGATGAAAAGTGATGTTCTGTTTTGATCTGTTGCTAGGACCGGTCAACTTGGTATAGAATTCATACTTCATTTCAGTCATTTTCTACTCTCCCCTTCTTTTAGGCCATCAACGCCCAACGACATGCAAATCACCGCCTGTCCTATTCCCATAAGGGAGCAAACTAGAGTGGTCACATAACTCCTCGGTCATACAGGCCTCTATTATGTGACGATATCATCTGCCACAGTCGAACTAAAATTCATGATACAAATAAATTCATTGATGTCGGTTCACTTTAGATTTTAATAACTGGCCCAACCACACATCCCTTATTCCATATTGATAGTGTGTGTCCTCCAGGGTTACATGCGTTTTCAATATCATCTACATAGTTTGAATCGGCTAATTCACCACCTCCAATTTGAGGCATGGTTTCGCTATAACCACCTAATCAATTTCAGCCCTTAGAACTAATATGTCTGAGTAACTTACCTCCACTTAGGACTTGAAGCAATCCTTTCCACAATGACATTCCTTCGCGGTACATGCCTCCTCTAGCTCAGCAGGCGAAGCCACGGCAAGTATAGCGAGAGAAAGGACAACAGTGATGGAGGCGGAGATGAACTCCATTTTTGGAGGTTTTAGCTTGAATAATTGACTAGATTGACTGATAGATTCTCGAGGATAGGGGATATATTTATATTTTTGAATACTCAATGAGGGGTGTGTACTACATCGGCGATATTCTGAACCCGACACGGTGATTGGAGGAGGGTTGTATACCACCGGCGATATTCTTGAACCTAACACAGCGAGCGAAAGGTAAATGTACAGGAGAATGGGCATCTGATTAACATGTTCCATGCAATTACATTAGTCATGGAATATTCAACCAAGGAGTTGTATCGAATCATGGGTTTGGAATTCCTTTCCCTTTACTTGGGTTTTGAGGATTCCTTCATCAACTAATGAAGAATCTTCTAAATCATTCAAATCAGGCCCGATGAATCGCTAATGATGAGGTTATGTGAAGGTACGCTCTGCTATTGGTTGCGACGGTGCCGATCTAGTGATGAGCCCCTTGCATTACACTGACTGTCCAACCATGAACATACCTTAAGGTTCTTTTCAGCCTCTTGTACTACCCCAGAGCTTGCATAGGGACAGGACTAATACGGTGTTTGAGTACTACATATCATGTGTCTCTATTTACTTCAGACCAACCACTCATTTGGAGATTCTTGACTGTCAATGTCAGCACCTCAACAAGCATACCATGCTTCAGATCCTTCAAGGTAGATGGAGACATGACCAAATTGCTCCCATTTATATTTTCATCAATGAAGGAATGCAGTAACACCTGTGGAAGAAGACCAATATTTGCTGTCACAACAAAGCCATCTCGGGGACATTTTCACCCATGTTCCGACCCGCCAATTGCGCTTGTATAAATACGCCGATACCAGTGGATATCGAGTAGCTTTATGAGAAGCATAATGGTAGGATTGGTGCTATGCTAGCTTCGCTAATATCGAATACTGGGCCTTATATACATCAGAGTCTATAAGTTCGGAATATCGGCAAAGTATCTAGACGCCGGCGATTAGAAATTCGGCAACAACACCTCTTACCGTCCCGACCTCGGGCGTAGCACCTAATAGGCGCCTTGTCTATTCCTGGATTGATCCTATAAATCTTGTTTGGTACTGATATGGGTTCCATGAGCCATGGAAGCCGCCTCTCTAAGCTGTTAGCGCTGATAGGCCGGAGGCGTTAGTACTCGGCGGACAATAATTTGGCCGCCTCATGTACTGCTGAGTAAACTAGTGTGCATAGTTGTATGGCCGACTTGGAGGCTACAAAACTTACAACAACCTGTGTAGCATAGAAGTGAACCGCTGAATGAATCCCGACACTTCAACCGCAACTGCGTCCTACAATACTTGGCGACTCAGCAACAATACTCTAAAAATCCATCATGGCACAACTTTCGACCTGTCTTCCATTGACCAAAGAGTCCACCCTCAAAGCCCATGAGCTGATCAAACCTCAATTCCACCCCACACCAGTTCTCACAAGCAGGACTTTGAATGAGATGGCATCAACCCCCCGGGCTTGGCAAAAGGGCGATCGCCAGCCCGCGAAGCCAGTCATTCGACTATGGTTCAAGTGTGAGAATTTGCAGCGCATAGGAGCTTTCAAAGCCCGCGGTGCATTTCACGCCATCGAGAGGCTGAAGCAAGATCCCAGCTTTATCGAGAGTGGCGGCATGGAAAAAGGCGTCGTTGGATTTAGTGCAGGCAATCATGCCCAGGCCCTCGCTCTCGCTGCTAAGGAGAGTGGCATCCCGGCGTACATCGTGATGCCTGACATTACGCGGCTGAACAAAATCGCCGCTACAAAGGGCTATGGAGCCAACGTCATTGTCTGCCCACGTTTTGAGTGAGAGGTTGCGGCCGCTAAGATCGTTGCTGAGAAGGGTGCCCGTCTTGTGCCACCTTTCAATCATCCAGATGTTATCCTCGGACAAACCACTGCCGGTCTGGAGCTTCAAGAGCAAGCTGATAATCTCGATGCTATTATTGCGTCCTGTAGTGGTGGGGGACTATTAGCAGGTACTGCGCTTAGCTGTGAAAAAACCTCTATTCGTGTCTTCGGCGCAGAGCCTGAGTTCGAGGGCGCTGATGACTGTCGGCGTGGGTTCCTTTCGGGTGAGAGGATCACGAGCGTTAACACCAATACCATTGCAGACGGACTAATTGGCGTCGTCGGGGAGATCCCCTGGAGCGTTATCTATGTGCGAAAGCTAGTGGATGGTATGTTTGCTGTTTCTGAAGAGCAGATTCTCGAGGCCACACGGTTGATCTTCGAGAGGCTTAAGATGGTGGTCGAGCCTGCTGCTGCGGTGACACTGGCGGTGGTTTTGTATAATGAGGAGTTTAGGCAGATGGTGGAGAAGGAGGCGGGCGACAAGGGTTGGGACTTGGGACTGATTTTGAGTGGTGGGAATGTTAGCGCTGAAGGACTGGCTAAGCTGTTCGCGTAGGTATGGATTGAGTACAAATAAGTCTATGGTATAGGAAGGAATTGCTAATAAATTAAGACCTCTATGGATAGAATCAAACAATGTTGCATAGTCTAGAAGGGAATCACAACAATGCCATTTTGGGCCTAGAAAAAAGCTTTAGACCATCGTACCCTAGCAACGGCGAGAAGGTCGCATCCTCAAAGGGAAATATCAGTAAGTTTTGTCGGAGTATTTGATTGTCCAACCCTCACCCTTCGGAGTCAAGCGAAATATACTATTCGTATCTCTTGATATCTCCCTAGCTTATGATCCTACTAGAAAGACTACATAAGCTCCATATATGTGGCCGGCCATCAATATTGCCCTTGAATACTATACTTGTGATGTTATAGGGTCTGTCAAATTTTGTAGTAGCTACTAGGCTAGAGAGAGAAATAGGAAGTGTTGTATAGACTCTAGAGTAGAATCTATGGAAAAGCAGGGTATATATACCTTGGAAGTATAGCAGACAACCAGTAAGCAATCACTCAGTCTATAAGCAAATTACATACATATGCCAAAGACTCAGCTTTGGGTACTCCGTAGAGCTGTCGTTTCCCTCTTATCTCAATTCGGATGCTCAGCCATGCAGCCAAGGCGTGTCGATCTCCCGTTTCTATCCGGCCCCCACAAACGTATGTGTCACGCCATAATTTAGGTACCAGCTTGCCCTAATGGTCTCTGACTAGGATAGTGATTATCAATATAAACTGGAAGCTTTTAGGTAGGGGGGATGATATGTCTATTGGACACAGAGCATGTCAAACTACTTAGACAATGGGTCTGAACGCCCATCGCCTGACCGCTAGGTACAAACAATTTCATGCTAGTGAGATAACAAACGAACATAGAATGACGTTAATTATAGTCCTCTAACCCATGTACGCTCACAGAGAAACTCGATTGGTCAATGCATGTCTAGAAGTGAGACCAGTTTGGCTGTAGACATTGTATTGTCCTCTTTCTCTGTGAAACTGTGTTGCTCCTACTGGTTTGCGCATTTCCGCAGACAATAATCACTAGACTGTAACCGAGAATATTAGCCAAACTCAAAGTTATACAAGCAAAATGAACTCACTCCGCCATTGATCTTGCAGAGTGTGTAGCAGTTGTTGGTCTGGGCACCATTCTCCGCTCTTGTATCAACTTCGATGGGCGAGGCCAAGGCTAGGCCAACAATAGCTGCAAGGGCCAGAATAGAGAGATGCATGGTGAAGAGGCTGGTGGGTTGGGTGGTTGGGGTTGGTGGGAAAAGATCTATTTTTGAGTGGTAAAGTGAAGGTTCTTGTCTGAGCTATACTGGAGGAACTGCCTGTATTTATATCAAAGAAGGCTACTAAGATGACATCGACTATTCTCATCTTTTTCATTGCACTGTATAGATATAAGTTAGTCAATGTATCCCCCTTTGCTATTTTCAAGTTCAGCCCCCACGACTCCTGCAGGCTTATGTGCATAATCATATCATACGGTGATAATCCCGAAGAATGCTTACTCGTATTGGGAAATTCCAAGATTGATCTACACAGACATTCTACCGTTTTGGTAGAGACCTGCACATTTCTATAAGCTGATTATTCTCAGCTCACAGGAATTACAGCGTTGGCCTCTGATCCCTGCAATGTAACCTTGGGAACCAGTAAGACGTAAGTTTGAGACACTGTGCTAACCGTATGATCCTCGGGATCTGCAATTTATTCCTCATATTAGAGAAATAAGCAAGACGGTACACTGTCGTTGCCAAGTACCCCCAACCCCCACATTAGGGAGTACTTGGCAAGGACCGTCAGCTCTATATAAGACCACTTCCTAACACTGCCTCAACCCTGCATTTATATTCCCTCCACATTGTCTCTTCAAATATCAAACAAATCACGACTTTTCAAACCAGATCGTCAAACATGAAACTTTCTATCGTCCTATTCGCCCTAGCTGCCTTCGCAATGGCCGAAGCTGATCCAAACCTGGAAGCGAGAGCTGGTTGCTCCCAGAGGGGACAATACTGCAACGGTGGCACGTTCCTATGCTGTCGAGGACAAGGGAAATGTAGTGGAAATGTGGTAAGTTTACACCCGCCTTTTTTCTGGAAACAGATGTAACCCAACATGAGACCAAATAGCTAAAAGAAATGTAGTGCAAATAAGACATCATCCATTGGGACTCCGGAGTATCCCAGGCAGTGTTTTGCCGCTTTTAAACATCTGTTGATGAAAATCCATATGCAACGAAGCCGGCAATTCAATGGGTTCTTATGTCTTGCTAGTCTAGGTCTTTACTCAAGAGAGCTAGCTCAAGTTGACAATCTGATCATAAGGCCAGTACATGCCATCTTAAACTCGATTTCAGTGGATCCTAGTTCCAATTCATAGTAGACAAATAATACTCCGCCGCTCTGGGTCGTTGATGACATTCAATTTGAAAGAGGATACTCCAATTTTGATATGAATGTAAAATGTAAAGCAACTTATCCATGTATAACGCTGTATTATAACTTTCAAACCCCTAGACACTAACCATGTTGCTATTTTGGCCTCTTGGGCTAATGAGGATTACGAACATATCTTTCACAGACATACTGACCATGCGTGATGTTGTTTACCAACATCACCAACAGCTGTGCGCTTCACTAGCTCAGTCGTGCCTTACATAGAATTAGATCTTTAGACTAAATGTCTATGAGAGCAAACGACGTACTACTTTCGATCTAGCAACGACATCTGGCATCAGTACAAGTGCATCTAGAATACACGTGAACAGTGTAAAGAGTGAAGACCATGATCCTAGCTACTAGGCAAGGAAAGCTGCATATATATTTGTGAACAGTGTTCTATCCTAAACTGTCAATACAATGATTCAACCAATTCATCTTATAGGGATATGCTAGCAAAATATCTTGGCCAAGCTTTACTACCAGCCCTGTGAACCTTCCTAAGAGCCGTAAAGCATCCTATACCCGATGTTGATATAGCATGCCTAATAGATAGATCGACCAGTCCAAAAGGGGTTTGCATATCGAGTTCGCTAGAGCCATGTGAATGAAGAATACATAGACATTGGATGAAAACAAATGTTTGATTCTTGGAACTACGTGAGGCTTTAGACCTACGCGAACAAGCCCTTCGCGTCTGGACTTGAAGCGTGTCATATGAGTAGCTGCTAGTCTATTATTCAAGCTTCACCTTCAACGTTAATCTCAAGCAATCACATTTCACAACAAGTTAATTTTACTCTCACAAAAACCTCATCTGTTAAGTATAGCATCTAAACAACGAACTACACTGTTAACAATATACAGCATAATGTCTGAGCGCGTTGCACGCAACTTTGGCTTATCCGCTATGACGCCGGACGGCAAGGTCTCATCGTCGACCAACCCGAAGTACAATAACTTCAACTCGGACCTTGAGACCAATGCTCTACGAGTATCCATCGATTTCATTAACTTGGAGTTGAGAATTGTTACCCTTGACGATTCTGCCGATATCGATTTAATCGATCTGGATTCGGAAATCAAGGTTACTCGTGGCGCCTTCATCGACCCTTCGGATGATCCTGCTCCTGTGATTTCCTCTTGCAGTGACCTCATTGACTTGAGGTCTCACATTGAAACTACAAATCCGAATGATGACACCTCCCCTGAGACCGAGGACACCAATATCCCTCGCAAACGCACAACCGACCTCATCAACTTGGATTTCGACAATGTTATTCCAGTCGACATGGACATGGTTCACTCTACCTACAATTCTGGAGTCGATTCAGAATTGTGGTGCTACAAATCCACTTGGAACTCGATTACTTCAAAGAACTTATTGAGGTTGAATTCCCAAAACGAATGGCTGGGTCTATTTGGTCTCATTGACTGGTGGTTCGACCATGTAGATCTGGAAAATTACGAGGATGATGACTACATTGAATGAAGCAAGGATAAAGCGGAAAGTATGGATGTACTGATGTTTGATTATCTCACTGATTCGATTTTTATTTTCAATCTGAGATGTATGAATATTTCTCGCTCTTGATAATCTGCAAACATAGTAAATACATGTATGTAGGTCTGGAGTTAAACAGGATGTATATAACCTCATCTGATATCACTACCTTCCAAAGTTGTATATGTAAGTAAGTGATATGATTAAAAAATAACCTAGTTTTTGGTCTTTCATTCTATATTTTATTTTCTATATTTCTTTTTTGATCAAATTGGTTTTAGCGTTGTGGCCCTGTAGTATGGAGTAGCTTGGACTAATCAAAACAAAGAACAAAAGGGTGCGGGTAACTTCTGGGGATCGCGCACCCTCCCCAATTCTCTCCATTAACACATTTTAAATATCATGCCTCTCTGATGACCTTGTATCATGCCTATTCCAACGCGTTCAGCTTCGCTGCGCGATCCCCGTAAACAAGTCAGTTCTTTGTTCACCCTGCTCCCCACACATCTCCATTGCCATGCCAACTGTGCTAATTATTAAAGACTTCAAATATAGCACGACCTGCCACGAAACCCTCCACTCTAACCACGACCAGCCCGAGCAAAGACTCTGCCCGAGATACGAATAACAAGAACCGCTCGCCATCAAATCCCTCGCCGGTCGAGGGTGTGCCTCTAAAAGACAATGGACTCACTACCCGAGGAAGAACCCTGCTGCCCCAGCGCAGTAATATTGTCCAAGACAATGGTCGTGGAATGGGGAATGGTCGTATTCAGCTACCTAGCAGCAGACCGAAACCACGTGGGGACCCATCACCAACTAGACGGGAGATATCGCCGCCTAAAAAGCAAACACAGGCGGATTCTACAACAATGAAAACCGGGGTAGCACTAAGCCGTCGTCAAAGCATTATGCGACCTGGTGCATTGAAGATGCCTTCATCGAAGACTACAGTACCTGCATCAAAGAGCTCAGCGCCATCATTCGCGCCCCCCTCACCCCGCAAAGCGCCAGGGAGGCGATCCCCAGTTCAACCTCCTACTATTAGAAGGCCCCCTTCACCCAAGAAAACAGAAATGTTACCCCCGCCCCGCCCAACACGATCTTTCTCTCTAAGGCAACCTATCAGCGCCGGCAAAAGACCACCTATGGAAGCCAAAAGCCATGTGCGGCACAGAAGTCAGCTGGCGCAGAATACAAAACCGGCTGAAGCAACACCAGCAATCGGTCAACGTACACGAGCACTCTCAACCTACCAACGGCCGCCATCCCCTAAGAAATTCTCTAAACCTCCAACGCCTACCCCTGGAGTCGAACCTCAGCCTGGGAATCTGCTGATTCCCTCATCATGGCCGGATATCGCAGCATTGCAAACGGAACTTCTTCAGCTCAGTCTTTTCCATTCCAACTCGCTACAAAGTCATGCGGAATGGAAATCTGACTCCGAGTCACGTCTGCGCAAAAAGTACGACAGTGTCGCTAGCCAATATCGTGTAGTACTAGCAGATGAAACGCAGCGGCAGTGTCACCTGAATGTGCAGGCCCTAGGGCTTTGGCTTTCCAATTGTCTCGAACATCGCGGCCCGCACGATTTCTCCGAGCAAATTCAAATTTTATCAAGGGTTCTACAAGATGTCTCGGACATGATTGCTGGCAGTCGGGGTGCACAATACTCTCAGGCTGTGAAGTCCTTTGAAGACTGGCTTGACCAAGCGGAAATTATTCGCCAAAAGCGTGGGCCGGGGTGTCTTGATGTCGGCGCCTTTATTAACCCCCTGGGGCGAAGCTGGAGAGAATCGTTGCATAATTTAAATGTTAGGCTGGAACTCTGTGTACGCGAATTGCAAGTCCTTGATATTCTAGGCTTCGGACAAGTGAAGCGCCTAGAACAGTCTGCTCTTGCTAGAGTGGCTAAGAATCTGGTTGAATTGATACAGCTTATGATGCAGGAGATTCGTGCTATGCAAACATTGGAGACAGAGGTGGTGCGCTCAGAAAGAGATGCTGTCAGCCTTCTTGCGATGCAGCTGGTAGGCTCCATGAGAGAAACAAGGGCTCCCCGAATTGGGGCATGGAGATGCTAGTCCGCGATATTTATGGCTTTATGGTCGGCAGAAATACACAAATACCCAATCTAGATTTCAAACTGTACGGGCACAAATTATGTAGGAATGAAAATGATGTGAAGAATAGAGATGAGTGATATGAGTAATAGTACTTCGCCCCAAGTACCTTACAGCCTCTCGCAGCTTGGGTGGTACCTGACCCGAGGTAACTTGATGAGTCAGCCATCGTCATCTCCAGGGCTCTATCTGAGTTCAGGAGCTCCCGGTGGCCAAGAGGATCGCGAACCCGCTCATTTCCCTCTTATCTTTTAATTTCAGTTTTTCTCTCCTCATTACCACTTGCCGCTTTATACGCTCTAAGCGATACACGTATCTCATGAGTTTCTTTATCTGGGGTGATGAGAAAACCATCTCTCATCTCTCTTCTTGACGTCATCTACGGCAGCTTCCGTTTTGACAGATAAAAGTCATCCGCAAGGAGATCTGGTACCCACTTGTCCAGTGCCTTTCGAGATGATCGCCGACCGTACCTAGTGAAGAATTTCAATTTCCTTGCCCATCCGATCAATAATCATGAAAAACTCGATCTACGATCGCCTTTGGCGCCGGGAATGCGGGGAATCGTTGCGGTATGCTGGGCTTCGGGGAATTTATGGATCTAAGGAATGGGTCAATGATCTTGACATTGTGAATGAGCTCGGTGGCCATACTGGATGTGTCAATGCTCTCAGGTATGTTTATTGCTTCTACCTAGGCAGTACTTGGTTTTATCTATCGGCCAACACTTCCGCCATCTCCGATGCATGTCATACTAACGGTCTCACAGTTGGTCAAGTTCAGGGCGTCTGTTAGCATCAGGCTCCGATGATAAGCACCTCAATATCTACTCCTACCAACCCGACTCCTCCAATGCTCCGTTCGCGCTCAACACAACCGTTTTCACCGGCCATAGAGCCAACATCTTCTCCGTGAAGTTTATGCCACACTCGAATGATGGGACTCTGGTTACATGCGCCGGCGACTCGCAGGTTCGCGTCTTCGATATCGAATACTCAAATAGGACTAGTAATGATGCCGCTACCACCGCATTTGCGGCTTCCACTCGGAGGCGGCGCTTCAACGAGTTCTTCAGTGGCGCGCGGTATCTAAGTGACGGCAATACCAACGCCAGAGTGTATCGAAGTCACTCAGATCGCGTGAAGCGCATTGTCACCGAATCTTCCCCATTCCTCTTTCTCACTTGCTCTGAGGATGGTGAGGTCCGCCAGTGGGATCTGCGACTACCATCTAGTGCATACCCTCCATCGCGGGGCGGTCTTAGCCTCATGACACAGGGGTCGGGAAATGATGACTCTAATGTTCCGCCCCCCTTAATCTCATACAAGCCATACAGCTTGGACCTCAATACGATTTCTTGCTCGCCGAGTCAACCGTATTATATTGCCTTGGGTGGTGCGCACGTCCACTGCTTCTTGCATGACAGGCGGATGCTTGGCCAGGATACCTCCACTGCAAGGGGCAGCAGACCTACACCAAGCGCCGGCAGTTCCGCTGATGAGGAAATGAGCAAGGCGACGCGATGTGTGCGAAGATTCGCACCGGGTGGCAAGCATCATATGAAGTATGTTGATGACGGACACATCACTGCTTGTAAAATCAGTGACGCAAACCCCAGCGAGATGGTTGTTAGTTGGTCTGGGGATCACATCTACAGTTTCGATTTGATTCGCAGCCCAGATGCCAGAGAGACCCGGGCCGGCAATAAATCGACCACCAAAGGCAAGGGTCAACGGGCTCGCCGTAGTTCACGGAGCCGAAAGCGCAAGAAGCCCACGACGCCTTCATCGCAGGAAAGCGGTGGTCGACACCAGTCTCGTCGTCGCTCAGCAGAGTCAGATACTTTTAGAGCCCAGCACGAGAATGGCGAGGAAGAGGATGTTACATTTCCCACAGCCTCAGATAGTGATCAAGGCATCACTTCCCAGCGTTTGCTCGAGCAGGCTCGATATGCTGTACTAAACGAGTCCCAGCGATTGAGCATGCATATTGCAAAAAGGTTGGTAAAACTTCGACAGACTTTGTTCTCTCTAGAAACTACGGTTCGGGAGGCCGCAGGGTCCGGGGACGTGAGACCCGAATCGTACTCGGGATCCTTTACATCCGCTCTGGAAATTGCTTCGTCGCTTCTTCCACAAATGGGCGATATCATGCGCGAATGGAGCTACCCCATGAACCCTTCACGGGAGACTGTTAATCTCCAACAATCACTTCGTCGCAATCGTCAATCTTCGTGGAGATTTGTCCAAGCTGCTGGTACGCTAGCTCACGCGTTAGCAGACCAAACGCAAGATCCGGAAACATCAAACTTCGAGATGATCAAGCCTGCGCCGGGCGAAGACGACCCTATTGACCCAGTGGCCCTGTTCGGTTATGAATTCCTCCGAGCAATCCTTCTCTGGCTTCAGGGCGGCAGGCAGCGTCTTCTTGAGGGTTTTCAACGTCGCAATGCCCCTCGACGATTACACAGCCGTTTCCCAATCCCGGATGAATCCGGAGAGGACGCCATTGAAACCATTCTGGTGCCTTATATTATGGAATTGGCGCGAGACACTCCGATTGTGAATGTCGATGCGAACAGATTCGAGCATGACAGTACGCGCATCCTGTTCCAAACCCAACGGGCTGCTATGACAGCATTTGGAAATGCTGTCAAATTGCCCTTGGAAGATCTCGGAGGCTCAGCTGCTAGGTTCGACAGGCGTCGTGATTCTAATCCTACGTCACAGATCCGCTCTCTCGACCGTGCCTCTGCGAAGAGGTTCTGGGCTTTGCGAGTAGGAAGAGGAATCTTGATGGAGGCAGGTAGGGAAGTAAATTACATATTTGTCGACAATGCTTTCGGCGGTCTCCACGCTACAATGAATGGATCTGAGAGCGACTCTGGTGAAGAGAGAAACCAGACAGATATTGACCCTAATGAGGAGGAAGAACTCGCCAGGGCTGGTAGTTCTGTTGCCAGGCATAATAATCCTCGGCCTGAAAGCTCCCGAGGCGGTGCAACATCTTCTTTTAATGGCAGCGTTGATGCAGATGAAGATGAGAGCGATGGTAGCCGGGCAGAGGAGTCAACTGACGATGAAGAGCTTGATGGCTGGTCCTCGGATTCATCTTTGGATGAAGATGGCGAGGAATCTGATTCAGATGATATCATATCCCGGAGATATGCCATTCGAAAGGCGCAACATAAAATTCTTGAGCGTCATGTTCCATGTGTACCTCATATGCGAAGCTATCGCGGTCACTGCAACGTCAAGACCGTCAAGGATGTCAACTATTTCGGACTTAATGATGAGTACGTGGTCAGCGGCTGTGATTCTGGTCACATATTTATCTGGGATCGCAAAACATCAAATCTGGTCAACATCCTAGAAGGTGATAGTGAGGTTGTCAATGTTGTTCAAGGTAATTTCCATTATTGATTAGGAAAACAGAAGCTAACATTGCTAGGCCATCCTTATGAACCAATGATCGCTGCCTCGGGAATTGACAACACCATCAAAATCTTTTCGCCAGACCAAAACGCCCAAGAGGATGCCCGTAATGGTGTGAACATCCTCGACCCCGACAATCCATCCAACAAGTTTGGACGAACCAACTCGACGATTGGCGGTCTCGAGAGCCGAAAGCGAGTCCATGAAAGCTACCGCATCATGAGCCAAAACGATGTTGAGCGTCGTGGCGGTATGAACGAGGCACACATCACTGTGCGTTATATGCTCCTCGATGATTATCTAGCTCTCCTTACTGACTAGTACATAAAGCGGAGTATGCTTGAGCGTCTAGCTACCAACCTGAGAGGCGGACATGGTGGCCTTGGAGTTGGAATTGAAGATATTGGCTCTCCTGGTGAACATCGAACTATTGTTATCGATGATAATTGCTCGGTATGTCAGATTTCTCATTAATTCTGGAAGTTATACTGATCATTCAATAGGTGATGTAAAGGATGAACAGGCGGAGCGCGGATATCTGCGTTGCACAGCAGTGTCTCATAACTACACACATTTATTGTTATAGCAACGCACACTCTTTCCCTTCAAAGTCACCTATATGGCTCTAAATTTTTATATTTTTATACATTGACCTAGGCCCCTTCCCTAAATTTCCAATATCATCACCCTCGCAACGAAGCCCCAGCGTTATGTTTATTCAAACTCATCTTTCTACGCCGGCAGAAACCGACTCTTATATTTTCCCAACACACCCCATGACAGTGAATCATTAGGGCTTGTGAGCTACTTCCGCCTTTTATTCCCCTTTCTAACCGACGGAAGTACTGACATTGAGACTCATTAGGGAAAACAAAGCCAAGGAGGGACGCCGGGCTGCCTGAGATACAAGGGAAGCGAAAGTTGGGGGAGGACAGCCCGAACCGAAACCCCAGTGCCAAAACAGCTGTGAGTCATCTAATTCGCATGGAGTGAGGAAATGATCTATGAACTAATACCCTGACTAGCGTCTTGAACGCGACGATTTCAGTTGTGTGATGACCAATTTCCCCCTGGTAGATGTGGCCCACATCTATCCGCTATCCCCAAAGAAAAGACGAGCATCGGGAAACAACGATAAGTCCACTAGCTCGTACAACACTGGAATACGCTATATATGTTCTGGGGCGAAGACAAAGCCGATGAACGGAAAGCCCGTTTGACGGGCCCACATAGCACAGAGCTTTGCGAGAATTTGCTTTGCCATCTGCAACACTTCGGTGCGTCGCTCGATTTTCTAGTGTTCGTCGTCTGGCCTACAGTCGATGGCAAACAGAAGGAGGAGGTGGCAGTCGACCTTCGGGCCTCACCTGAGATGGCGACGAGAAGACATCTTACGCTTCGTCCGCGGCGCAAATATCCATTATCCTCGTCACCTCTCTGAAAGGGGCTATTTTGGAAGTGGGCGTGTCTGAATCAGAAATAAAGAGGCACCGAAATATGGATATATGGCTTGGCCTCGCGAGTGGAAATGCTGGTGCTTGTCATAGCGAATGATTTAGGAAGCTTTGATCACTAGTGGTCACTGGGAAATGGTACCTCGGAACAATCCGCCCATATCTCTTGAGTCCGTGACCAATCTACCGTATTTTCGCTGCCTCGGAAGGACCTGGCTCAGAAGAAGACCGACAGGGTGGGGGAAGCTGCAGTTGCAAGCAAAAACGGCCATCCATTTTAATATTGCGATCCCCATCAGAACTATGTCTTGTGCCCAAACGGCAAAGAGAACTGCTACATTGTGGATTCAATACTAGGACAGTTACATTCGAACACCAGGTATCCACAAAATGTGCGTGCGGTGTGGAAGACAACATGCAGGCGATATGGGCGATGTCTTCAAACATGGGTGAATGCTTGCACGACAAAAGAAGACTCAACAGAGGGGTACGAGTTGATGAGGCGAATAGATACCAAACGCCTCACAATATCCAAGATAGCCGATAGCTGGTTACTCTAAACGACTCCATATACGTCCACAAATGTAAGTTGAATCTTACTTGTTATAGAATTGAGTTGCTAACTCTACACAGTATATCCAAAAAGTCAGGCGCGGATGTAAGGAAGACAAAGTCGACCATATGTGGTCGCAGATTCTGCGATTTTACTTTCCACTTCGCAGTCTCTCAGCTCGCTATCTACGATAGCCTCATCATCTATTTTTTTGCAATTGATGAGCCTGGAAATGACATTACAAGGGAGACATCCTTGCTTTCGATACTGTGATATATGCTTCTAGTCGCCTTTGGTTTGTTCGATGACGCAAAGCAATTAGGGCTGCTCAGCCTCCCCCAGCTGTGGGTGAAAATTGAGTCAAACTGCGCTTCTCTTGGCTTGGCTTAAGAGTTTGATGGGTGAAGACATTTTATGAGGCTTCTTTTGTGTGTTGATCGAATTATCGACCCACCTACCGATCCTACCTACGAAGGTGGTAACTTCAAACGCCAAATGATTCATCACGCAAGGATAATCATATCACGTTAATGTGATTTTTTTTGATAACCCCAAGTTACAAATAGGTCAACTAACAATTCAATCAGACCTTCATGACCGGGGTTCTTCCCGAACAACAACAACACATTGTGGTGCCTATTTCTGGATGTGATATCCCTGATGAACCTATCTTTATCACGTCATGAGATCTTTCCTGGGCTGCGGCGGGTCATCAAAGATGCTTGCAGAAGTTCTTTTTTCTCGCTATACTTTCACACTGCTTCACTTCATACACTACCTTGTTCAACCTACCAGGCCTCGTATCTTCCTGAATCCAAGGTCGGTCGAGTTACCCAGCCCCACTTCAAATATTCAATTGCTGATGTCACACCTCAAAAAGTGCGGCTTCAACTTCTTCTAGCCCCAATCCCCCCAACATCCCTCCTGGCGAAAAGGAGGATAAGGAGTCTGTCCTCGCAGAGCTGTTCCGCCTCGCAGGCGAGCGAGGTGGAGATACTGCGCCAAAGCTGTGCTCCAGGTGGGAGCAGCTGTGCTACTCTGCCTGGCAGTTTGTCAGGCGTTGAACATCTTATTCTGGTGGGCCCGGATTCACATCCGGAGGTATGTCAAGTCGCTGTGTTGATTACAGGAACATTCTGACATTTCATGCAGCAAGTACTATAGAATGCTCCGGCCCCTGAGGTCTAAGCACCGGGGGAGATTGTCCTGGGTCAGTCTATGGCCGCTTTCTCTGTGACACTAATGGATGATGGGTTGGGGCCCTATTCCTGACTCAATTATGTACCAAGGACCTCCCTCCCTATCCCATTGAGTCTCCTGCACTCGGGCAATCAAGACAAATGTTGGCCAGTCCGATCCCGCAATCCCTCACATGATACTTGACTCACTCGTGGCGGCAATCCTCGTCGAAGTGAAGGGTCTACATAGTATGACCAAAGCAATCGCAGAAATGTCGAAACGTCCAATGAACAAGTCCAACAGGGGAATTAGCGCCCCACATGAAACTTTGGCCGATCAGACCCGGAACCTTTCCTTATGCAGCCAGATGCCAAGCCGCGATTGCTCTAGCAATTGAGACGATGATCAAGCCAATTTATCATCCTTATCATTCTCCCAAGTGTAATATCAGGCACATACGACCATAGGGTGTGGAAAACAGGGCTTCCCGTCCGCTCAGCCGTACTTAAGCCACACGCCGGTGAGTTAGTAGTTGGGTGGGTGACCACCAGCGAATCCTCACTGTTGTATGTTTTTGTTTTTTTGTTTCTTTGATTCGTTAGGAAATCACACTTCTTGCCAACTCCGATGGGAGTGTCCTACAGACGTATAACATAAAAAGAGTAGTCCCAGGAGCTCAAAAGATACTAGTACAGTATGGAAGATACAATAGTCTCGACCTAGACGTCTAGACTCACGCAGGATCTAGGAGGCCAGAATCAAAATCGAGGTTATTCGTCCTCAGACAACCTCCATTGGAGAGAACTATATACTCACGTGACCGTTCTTATCGTAGAAATTTTTGCGATAAAAAAAGAACTTGCCCGCACGAATATCGTCGATCTACAGAGGGGCAGATCAAAGACTTAATTTATAAAAGTCAAAGATCAACTGGTATTGCGCCAATTCTCTAGAGTCGGCCGCTCAAGTCTATAGCCTGCTCTTTCTCTACCATCCCATATCTCGCAACCCGATATCACAGCTTGATATCGACTCTATACTGCATTTTTGGCTGCCAGAGAAGTAAGAGTGTACAAAAAGTTGTTTGTTACATCCTTGGAGACAAGAAGAGTAAACACATATCACATCATGTCTCAATCGCAAGTGCTCCAAGCTCGCAACGAGACAACCACCAGGCTCTATGCAGACCCTCACAACCCCCATCTCCACCTTGAACGAGGCATTCAGTATGAAAAGCTGGGCTTCCCCGACCTCGCCTCTGCAGATGCATACCGCGCGCTGGCACTGCTAGAGTCAGTGGTTGACCCAGATGAATGCGAGTTCCATGCCAGACGGAAGATAGACCCTTCCCAGCAAGCTCCGGAGAAAGCGACAAATGAATCAGATGATGAAGACGAAGACGAAGATGATAACACTGTGCCCATCACGCAAGATGAATACGATGCCATCATTGACCAGGTGTATGTCCTTTTAATACGCAGTCTCGTCCGCTGCGGCTGTTACCGCGATGCATTCGAATTCGGCGTGCGCGGGTTAGCCCTCCTCGAAAAGAGATCCGCAACAGCCTCAGTAGCCGCTTTGAACATTCAGATGGACCGTGTGAAGCAAATTTACAAATCTCGCACCGACTCCAAAACCGAAAACGTCAACCTAGACTCAATCGATCCCAGTGTCCTCCCCGCACAGGGCTTCGCCCGCCGTGTCCTGTATCCCTGGAACGAGCACGAGCCTGACCGCCGCTCACCAGAGACCCTGAAAATGCTCAACGAGCGACTGGCAGTCATCGCACCGAAATGTGAAGTCCGCGCAGTAGAACTACCAGTTCTGCACGCCTCCGCAGACGACCACTCATCAAACATGGACGTCTCCATCCAACTCGGCCTCTTCGCAAAAGAAGATATCGCCCCAGACGAGATCATCCTCCGTGAATCATCACTTCTCACAGCAACCAACCGTCTCCACGACGATCTCTGCGACGCATGCAACGCCCCACTCCCAGAACTCTCCTCCGCCGAGCCCCCCGTCGCCTGCGACGGCGGCTGCGTAGACATCATCTTCTGCAGCCAGAAATGCCACGACACCGCGCAGGAGGTGTACCACGGTGCGATCTGCGGGTTGGAGGACGGCCTCGACTCTATCGGGAAGGATGTCCCCGATCCCAAGGATAAAGCCGATTACCTATACCTTCTTCTGCTGGGCCGCGCGCTTGCCATGTCCGAAACGCAGGATAAGCACCCGCTCGACCTGCCGGAAGTGAAGTATATCTGGGGTGATTTCCACGATTTCGATATCGAGGCTGTCTCGGAAGCGGAGACAACGCCTACTACAGACGATACCGCTACGCTCCCCTTCTCCTTCCAGCTCAATGTTCTTCAGCCGGAACGTTTCCTCGATGAAATGGGTCTAGATCCTTATGCTGTGCTCTATAGATATGATACCTGGGTTCTGAATACGCTGTTTGCGAAGTTCCGTGGTACGGCGTCGGGTCGGTTGTCGACTTGGGATGGAGGTCCGGAGTTGTGTGCTGTTCATCCGATGTGGTGTCTTGCGAACCATTCGTGTGATCCTAACGTGACGTGGGAATGGAGTAGTGAGATTAATTTCCGTGCGCGGAGAGATGATGAGACGGCTGTTTGGTCGCGTGGGCATGAAATGAAGGAGCTCAGACCTGGGGGTATTGCGAAGGATTCGGAGATTCTGAATCATTATTGCGATATTGGATTGCCGGTTCAGAAGAGGAGGGAGTGGGCTGCTGGAGCTTTGGGTGGGACTTGTTTGTGTGATAGATGTGTTTGGGAGGCTGGTGAGGTTGAATAGGTCTATATGGGTTGGTGTATAGATCGACTTGATCAGGATGAGATACCCTTTTTACTGCATTAAATGAGAATATTGCCAAGCAATGGCTCTTAGAATTCACTTATTACTTGACACATTATGGTCCATTTGAATATGTTTATTTTGACATCGATATGGAACCCCGAAAAGGCGTGGGTACTCCATGAATAACCGATTTGCTCCCGATCCCCCTAAGTTTCAAATTCCTGGCACCAGACGGAAAAGGACAACGTCGTATTTTCGCTTCAGATACGCACTATTTCATTGACAGTAACACATGGTCCGTCCAGCCGATCCCCGCGGGATCAAGCATCAGAGCCTTCCATTTTATCTGCGTCGAGGTGGGGTTCGCGAATAGCTTCGACCCCGTGAGTCGGCCCGACGCCTAGGAGTGGGCGAGCGGGAGACAGAGTCTGTAGCCCCGCGTCGTCGGCGGGGAGGGGGCGACACAGATTCAGACGAATACCGTCTCGCACTCCTAGCGGGCTCACGACGAGGTGGAGGTGTGACGGATCGGGAAATTGATCTGGTGTAGCTGCGGTTTCTCCGGCTAGGAGGGCTTTGGCCTCGACGCGGCGGTGTGACAGACCGAGTAACCGAGCGACGAGATCGATAGGGACTGCGACTTGGGCTTCGTGAGTCGTAGGAGCGGGATCGTGCTCGGCTACGCTTGGCCGGTGTGCGGGAGACGGATCGGGATCGGGATCGGGATCGTCGTGCGGGGGTCCGGGACCGACTGACTGATGTGCCACGACGGCGACGGACTGGGGACCGAGAGCGTGAAGGTGTGTAGCTTCGGCCTCTGGAGGAGGGAGTGATGGAGCGAGAGTAGGAGCGTCCGCGGTCCCTAGAAGGAGAGCGGGAGTACGAAGGTGACCGGGAACGGCGGGAGTGAGGAGATCCAGTGCATGTTGAGCACATCGAACGGGATCGATCAGATGGAGTGCGCGACAGGGACCGAGAAGCTCGCTCAGGCAGAGCGGGGACTGTCGGGCGGGGAAGGGCTTTGAGGCTCTCGCGCATGTCCTCTGTCAATACACCCATACCGATACTGGTGAAGTAGTTGACAGAGAACCTAGTGTGGCGTGGGTTGTCCGTTGGGAAGAGACCCGCGAAGCTTGGTTGCAGGATATCATCCCTGAAGCGGGCCTGTAGTCCAGGCAGACCAAGATTCTCTGCGAGGCTTTGGAACAGGATTTTGATGAAGATACGGCTGCTGGATGTGGTCTCCTCTTCATTGAGATGAACCACGGACAAGACATGCCAACCAATCGCATCGTTGCTGATGAGATGGCCGAAGAACAAGGCGATATTGCGCAGTTTGTTTGTTTCATAACGATGGATGGTATCATAGTATTTGGCAAAGGCAGCCTCGAACAGGTCTGACCAGAGTCGGTTGATCTTGGCGAATCGCTCTCCAACCAGGGCAAGGAATTTGGAGTATGTCCGTTCCTGGGAGCAACACTCAATGATCATGGACGGAAGTTCATGCTCCAACCCGGCCGGCAGGTTGATCTTCATTAGCTTGTGGCAACATTCTTCGAAATCAATGCTGGACATGATTGTGAGGTAGATTGTTCGGCGAAGGTTGACCAGATCAGTATTACTCTGATCCTTAATATCCATCTGTACTTCTTCTGTATCGGATTCTTCCTCTTCGCTTTCATCTGATTCATGCTCACTATCCTCGTCGCTCCCCTCGCCCAAGATCTCGGCCTTCAATTTCTTGTAAGCCTCCTCGTGCTCCTCCCACTCTGGGTCGTACTTGAAGATGTTGAGAGTGTCTTGGGTTTCCAGCTCGTCATCCAAGCCGGCACGGTGTGTGATTTGATCCTCCTCTTCCACTAGGTCCAACTCCTCCTTAATTGCTGGGTTGTCCTTGTACCGATCCTTGCGCACCTGGAAGAGCACTTCGATCATATATTGTACACGCTTATCAATATCGGCCTCGTGTAGAATATTTCGGAATTGGTCGAATACGGCAAGTGCGATGGGGGCGTTCATCTCCTCCAAGTGCTGACCAACTTCTCGAGTGAGACCCACAGCAATCTCCACGCTGTCGTCCGTTGGCTTGTGCAAAAGAAGCAATAGGATCTGAGCAGCCAACATTTCGTGGGCGACTTGTTGATTGCAGAGATGCGCGATGAAAGTTGTAGAGGAAATGCAAACTGCCTTGTCGTTTCGCTTAAAGGCCTTGCGGAATTGGACAATCAACCGGGTTAGCAATAAATCGCCAACCTGCGGAAGCTTGGTGTTGACGATAGACGCCATCGCTGCATAGATTGGAGTGAAGGGCAAACTGGCCGCCTGCGCCTTCATAATCGACCGACAGAATAATCCTCGGCCCCTCACCAAGTTCTCCGCAAAGAGTTCCGGAACAATGAACTTGATGTTGGAAACGTTGATTTTGTTGATCAGACCATTGATCGACTTCTTCAAAGCTTCCCACGCCATGCGCTGGTATTCCTTGCTTGTCTTGTCCGTAATTTGTGCCTGTAACGCACGGAGTCGGGCTGGAGGGATGTAAGTGCCACCGGATCGCATGTTGAGCAGCTTCTCATATTCTGCCTTTGCTGAGGCCTGTTTTTGTTCCTCGGTCATCGGCTTGCGCGCCGCTTCGCGCTTCTCGTGTTCGCGAAGACGTTCAGCGAGTTGTCGTTCTCTGTCATCGGCATGTTCTGCGTCGACTTTGGAAACATCGATACCTTCTCGAAGGGAATCACCGGGAGGCGATCGACGACGATTTGGAGAGGGGGAACGAGAGGGAGGTGAGCGTTTGCGAGAGGTTGCGGCTGGTGAATACGACGCGCCTGGGGGAGGCGTGGGCACGCGCACCGCAGACTGGAGAACATCCGATTCGGACATTTTCAATGAGTAGAGAGTCCTCCGGGGTAGAGAGAAGGTTTAATGTACACCGGAGGGGCGGTGGTTGTGAATCTCAGCTGGGACTGAGGTTACAAGATGATTGAAGGAAGCAGCAGGAGAAAGCTCTAGCGGCGGTGCACGTGACCAGCGGTGACCAGAGGCCAACTAGGAACAACGGGAGCTCCTGAGATTCCTAGTAGTTCTGTCCAGCGCAGGATTCATCGACGTTCCTTAATATTTCTTTTTCTTTAAATTACCACTCTTTTATCAGAATGGTAAATTACTCAGTCTCATCCAATGGACATACTCCACTGACACTGCTTTAGCTGGGCCAACTCGTAGGATCCGTCATGCTTTTGGTCGCGACCGCGATCTTTCTCTATTACACTGCGTGGACCCTGTTGATGGTATGCTAATTGATAATAATGTTTGAATTTCCATACTGATGTGTGTTCTATAGCCCTTCGTCGACCCCGGTCACCCTCTCCACGACCTCTTCCCGCCCCGTGTTTGGGCCATCCGCATCCCCGTCATCCTCACACTCTTGGGTTCTGCCGTGGTAGGCACCTTCATTGGAATTGTCATGATCAACAGCAACAAGAAGAAGGCAGCCAAGGCCAAGGCCGCGGCCAAGAAGAAGACCTAAGCGACCGTGGACATCATACTGGCAGAGAGGGCAACCCTCCGTGTCAGCACTCTGTACCATCATCCATTTCAAAGCTCAGTGGCTATCAAAACACATCTCAAGTTAATTAATTTTCTATTGAGCGCCTCTTTCACGCTGGATATACCTTGGGCATGGCCCGGAAGAATATTGGAAGATAAAAGCGGTCACATATACGTGAAGATATGGACCAAACCAACCAACCGCGTAGGGTATGCCCAAATAAAACAGCCTGAATTTCCCGGCCAAATGTCAAAGCCCTGACAAGTCGTCATTGCCCATACCACAAATGTCCCATGACCTCGGCTAGAGCGATGACGCCAGCCACCTCCTTCAAGGCCAACTTTATTGAACCAAGGAATGACTAGGAAGGACACGGCTGAACTCGGATATTGACTTCATGTTCAGTGTCATGTACAAAGGATGTAAGGGGGATAATATCAGCCAAGTAATGACGAGGTGCCACCCGTGGGCACTGCAAGATATGACTAAGGTCTTATCAGTGTTTGCATAGTTTGACAACATTTCCCCTCATATGCGTGCACAAGGTGTATTGTAGAGTCGGGATTGGAGAAGAGGCAAAAAAAAAAAACAAAGACAATAGACAAGTAAAGATGGAGAATCAGATCATGCTTTCATTAGAAATGACACAGTCAGAGGATTATTCCGCACTATGACTCAGGCTATTATTATCCACCCTAATAACCCCGTACCTGACTGATGACCTGGGGTCAGCCTCCCCCTCTTCTCTTATCGCATACCATAACATCATCCTTCTTCCTTGACTCATCGAACTTCAACTTTAGGAACTTGTGTATACAAGTTGGAACATTTCTTAACTTGATCTCAACAGCTTGATCTCTAAGCTGTTGCTGTGTTGCGCGTATCTATTAAAGCTTCCCCGCGTGTCTAGAGTTCTCTCCGCTCTAGATACGCTTCTCCGTCTTTGCCACTCCCTTATCTTTAAGACACTGTGAATCCAGGTATGTATTTCCAGCAGGTTGTGATATTTGTTCACTTGATTGATTCCATGAAAGTCGTCCTCTTTAGTGATACCTAAGGTTCCGGTGCCTAGGATCTCAAACAGAACGATCCTATCCCGTTCTCAGACCCCCAATAAGGTCCTGAGAGCGGCTTCACTCTGTTACTTCTATATCGCCTCTCTCTGAGGCATCATCTATTTGAATGCTCCCGGCCGCATCTGACGATCTTATCCGCCAGCATAGCCGTTTGCCCGAAGACGATAGTTCCTTCGCCCCGGACCTAAACCGGACCATACCAGAGCATGAACCAAGTGGGAAAAGCAAAAAGAAGAAGGCCAAGAAGAATAAGGTGGCCAGGGCTGTAACTGAAAGTCCACCGGACGATATGTATGTATTCACCCGTGATTGCCTAGTTTCTGATGAATACGCGCGATTAACGCTAGATTGTATGCATAGCATCCAACCGTCTGCCCCACCAGAGGAGCCTCTCTCTTACCCAGATCCCCCACCTCTTATTGAACATGTAAATCCATCTATCACGTCACCTGTTCTGGATGCCCTCGATTCTCTCGATGAACCTGCAGGTGACGACCTCACTAGCCGCACCGATACCTGGGCGCAATCGGTGCCTTATGGAAAGAGCCCCCCCACCGATATTATGGATGGGGATATACCAAGCGCATCGCTGCCTAGTGCATCGCCCTTGAACTTTCCAACAATTCAAGAAAGGACTGGCTTCGGCCATCCTTCCTCGGCATCCCCCCAGACTCGAACTTTGCCTTCTAGCTATGGTAACGGCTACCGAAGTAGTCTAAACTCGAGGCAACAGTCCGTTGACAGGAGAAAGAGTCACTCTTACGGGAGCCCAATGAGCAATCACGCGCCTCCCCCTCATCTTCCTCAAGCACACTTCTTCGGAGCACCAGACATCGATATTCTTACAACTCAGAATCGATCGCCCACCGACGGAAATTATTCATTCTGTAGCTTTGATACATTACCTAGCTTATCACCGAAAGGGTCGCGGACAGGAATGAACGTCTTGCTGGTTGGGACAGATGGGGCCGTGGAGATCCTCGCCATCGAAGATCGGAGAACTCGGCTCGTGGGACAGATCACTGGGCTAAATGGCCGTGTGATTGAGGCTAAACTCCTGTCCGGTCACCCATCGAGCGACCCCTTTGCATCATCCCGGCCGCATGTGGCTCTCGTTGTTCATGGGCCGTTGCCGCCGCATGAGGAGGAAGGTCGAGTCTCGTCTGCGACATCCGACGCAAATGAAATCCCCCCTTCAACGATTCGCGGTCACTCGAATGATAAGCGCTCAACGCGAGACGATATCCAGTTCTACCAAACCCGAGTTGAAATTTACTCTTTCCGGACCGGTGAACATGTTTCCACCCTGTTTGCAAGCAAGCCTGTACCATGTCTGGAAAATCTCCCCGGCCTCCCGTCCTTTGCCCCCTCGCCCGTGGGAAAATTGAAGCTCTTTGCAGCCGGTGCTTATATTATCCTAGCATCCGGGGTCAGTGGGGAAGTCTATGTCTATAGACATGTCCTATCCCCGGAAACAACTGCATACCAGTGTCTGGGTAAGACATGGACTGGAGTTCAGTCTAAGGAAACGCGGCGTTACTCGACCTCTTCAAGTTCTACAACTGATCCCGACGGGACCAGTACCGACTCTCCTCACGGTTCTTCTACCCTGGAAAGACCCATCTTAGCTGTGCAAGGAAGGTGGCTGGCATTCGCTCCCCCATCCTCGGCATACAAAGGGTCGATCCAGGGTACTGTTCCTTCGAGTTTGATTATCGGAAAGGTTCCGGGAATTGAAACTCGCAGTCCTCCTGTTGTTCCCTCGGTGTCATGTGCGACAGACGTAGGAGAAGGGGAAAGTTTCTTCGACAAAATGGCAAGAGGTGTTACCCAGGAACTCGTCAGAGGTGCCCGCTGGATGGGTGACCAAGGAATGCAAGCCTGGAACAATTATTGGAACACCCAGCAAGCAGCCGGCACCTCTCCACGTCGGCCACCTCAGGGGCCGGACCCTCAGACACAGGGATATGGATTATTCCCTCCAACCCATGCCCAGGATACACAGACGTCAGCCACAGAACCTGACACTGTATCTATCATCGATCTGAGACGATTTGAAGACGGCACGGATATACGAAATGTGTTTATCCACCCAGTTTCAACGTTCCACGTTCCTAATGGGTGCAGTTTCTTGTCTCTTTCTCCAAACGGCTTGATGTTGTTCACAGCAAGCAAGAAGGGCGATGTGCAGTACGTGTGGGATCTCATGCAACTCAAGCACTGTCGGTCCATGGCTTTTATGGCTGATGACCAGACGGGACAGAATCCCAATGTGCGGCAGATTGCTAGATACGCGCGGTTGACTACATCTAGTATCGTTGATGTGATCTGGACCCCCCCGGTGGGTGATAGATTGGCTGTCATTACACGTAAAGGCACCGTCCACGTTTTCGATCTACCTCGAAGCGCATTTCAGTGGCCCCCGTTCCGCCGTGCAAAGCCTACTGCAAGTAAGTCGCCGGCTACGGATCCTATGACAGATGATTTGACCGGTCAATCCGCTGGCGGGAACCCCTTGTCAGCTGCCATGAAGTTGGTTGGCGGTAAAACGCAGCCATTCTTCTCTGCTGTCCGTGGTCGTGTCCCGTCCACGGGAGCTGCATTTCCTAATATGAGTGGATTTGCGTTACCTTCTGCTGCTAGTGTAAAGAGTGGTAAGGTTGTTGCTGCAGGCCTGAGCAAGTCAATGGGCGCCGCAACTGGTACTGTCAATACTCTGCGCCATGTCGGAGAGAATCGCCTACACTTGCCAGGACTAACTCGAGACCCTGCGCCTTCTCGGGTGACGTGGATTTTCAGCAAGGGTCTCATATTCTTGGGTGTCGTGGATGGCGGATACTTCAAGATGTACCGCCTTAAGCGTGCTACTGTATCCGGCCACAAGAACCGACAGCCTCACTCTGTTATCGGCGGCAAGGAGTCCCAGATTAAACTACCTGACAATCTCCAAGGTCCTTGTGGACCAGCTCCTTTGTCTGCTTTTGATCCAGACCTAGTAGTTCATGCCTCACTTGTTCTTCCTTCCGTCAGCTCGCAACCATCTAGTGCTGCAAGATCACTTTGTCAGCCTCTCTCGCAGGCCGAGATTGAGACAAATACCCCATACCAGCCGTTCCACACTGATCAGCGGGTTGGTTTGAGTGTCTTCTCCTCTAGCAGTGATGCGAGTGAGCCGAGTGGACAATGGGTTTTCGGCAATGATATCCCGGTGACGAAAGTGCACTTGAGGTCCTTCAACAGCTCCAGCGATGACCATGGCGATGACGAGGATGAAAATGCTGTCATCCACGGACATTCGCTTGGGGCTGGCGGAGATATAGAAAACCTCATCACGCTTGGAAACAGCACCGGCAATGTGGAGGAAGTCGTTATCACTACCCGCCGCAAGAAGAGACACTCCACTCCTCTGAAAGCCGATGATGGTTTCTTCGAGGATGATTGCGAGGTGCTGGACTTTGCTCGAGACCGCGTCTGACTCGATATTTCCCTTTTCTTGTCTTATCCGTTTTGCTCTACACTCACACTCTTTGCATTGATTTAGAACTTGTGCTCGCGTGGCATCGCTGATCACAATTGGAGTTCGGAGCTTTTTCTTTCCTCCCTTTTCGATCTTTGCTTTGACTTTTACCATACACTTGCATAAACCCATACTATCTTCTTTTCTTTCTTCGAGGTGGGTTGTTTTTCGGATTCCTGATTTCTTTGCTCTCTGACTTTACACGTTTGATACCGTTCACACAAACACAAATACCCAAATACCCAGATTCAGCCCAGAACGTTTTCGGAGTTTTTATGTTCTCATAGATGGTGAGGCTCGGCGATGATTTACAGCTAGGTTGGTCTCTCTTTTTTTTTTTTTTTTTTTCTAAGGGAGTGGTGGTATGAACCCTTTCAACAAGCCCTAAGCTAGAATGGAATACAATCAAGAAACAGATAGCTACAAAGCACCAAAAAAAATACATTTTATTCCATGCATACTTTCATGGCTGTCATGTGGAAGAGATGTTAGTGAAGAGATAGGCAGGGTTGGATAAATTCCATCATTATACATATCGCACGATCCCTACATACAACAGTGAAGGCTATGAATACAAACTCATGTACATGTATAAGTTTCAGACAGGGGGTGTTTCCAAAATAAAACAATAAGATTATAGGAAAGAAATAGGTGCGGGAAGTAAGTGATCTGGAGCAGCTTGAGATATCAGGGTGGTACTGCAAGTGATTGCCAATTGAATAGTAGTTCGTCGAGGAGGATTTCGGAGGCTCCTTTGTATCAACAGAGAGCCGTGACGTGCAGTAATGTTTGTCATCTGATGTATTTGGCTTTAAGTAATGCTTTCTATTCACCAGAGTGTTGTGCTTCGGCAGGCTTAACATCCTGTTAGAAATCTGTAGGTAGTGGTTCACCCATATGGGATTCATGTGAGGTTTTGCAGATCGGGTCGAACCCAAGGAGCTTGACTGCATCGACGTGTTTTCCTTCCATGCCTCAATCTATGATTATACTGCCAGATGAACGCGGCATCCCAGTCACACCAGTGCTCGTGTTTGTGTAGATTAGCAGCCTTGCAGCATCGGCTTGACCAGCTCTGGCAGCCAAGGGCAAAGGTCTTTCGAACTCGAGACGAGGTTAGCATTTCAAGTTGAGTGATTGATGAGAGAGAACCCCCGTTTGTTGCATTCCGCGTGCTAAGTGAGAGTGTGAGAGGAAGGAAGATTAACACCGGTGGGGCTAAAGGTCCATGGATCAATCACCCTACGACTGTAATGATCCTGACAGTAATGTCACGATGTCACGGTGGCCATATTGCAACGCCAATTGTACGGCTGTGTTTCCATAGGGATCCGTCGCGCGGAGGTTCACATTAGGTATATGGATTAAAACTCTGACCACATCCTTCTGGCCAAATTTAGCAGCCAGTAGTAGAGGCGTCAATCCGTGTGGATCTAGTTCGTTGAAATCTATATCTCCTATAGCATTCGCAAGGGCCATCGCCCACGCCCAGCCGAGCCGAGCCGCTATATGCAAAAGCGTGGCAGCGTTCGGACTGACCGTCCTGCCAAGCGCCTCTGAATGACTTGAACGTGAACTCTCATGGCCATAAACTGTTTGAGGGGGGACCCTTTGGGACTCGAGCAGACATTTGGTGATCTCTGCATGTTCTTGTTGCACCACATCTTCATCAAGAATAAGATGGATCATCTCTGGGCGCACTTCAAGGGCTGCTCTTTCAATGGTGTTCCACATAGTAACCAGATGGTTTCGTTCCTCCTGGCTCTGTTTGATCAGCTGAGCGATGATGCTTCGCTGTCCGCATTTTGCAGCCAGGTAGATTAGCGGGAATCCCTTTTTTGCTGCGAGCCTCATAGGAGTCGCATAGGCAACATCCATTGCTCCCACATCAATATTTTCCGAATTCAAAAGCAACTCGGTAAGGTTGCCAAAATTATGCATAACAGAAAGATGTAATGCCGTTCTTCTATTGGAATCAAGCTTCCAGTTGACGTTTGCGTTACATGCGTTAATGAGATGTGCAGCAAGTTCCACAGACCCGGTTACCACGGCTCTTTGAAAGAGCCGCTTGACATCATCAGATTCGATAGGTAGCAAGACATTCCCATCACATAGTCTTTCAAAGAGTGGTGTGATTTGAGATGAGAGAGGTAGAGACGATGCAAGATGAGAAGCCCAGAATGTCTTGGCATAGTTATGCAGGAAATCATTCCTTTCAAAGGTATTCCAGGGGTTCAACGCATTCGCAAGGGGCTTTGCAATGTTGAACTTCAATGGAGTCTTCTTTCTGAGAAGCTTCATGGCCAACTTGCTTGAATCATTTAGAGTGTGGCCGGTCGAGCAAATAATCTTATCCATGGCGAGACTTGCGCTTACTTCGGGGATAGCCTGTTTTGAGACTTGTTTTGTAAATTCTGCGCGATAAAGATAGGTCATGATGATGTCCGACATCCTGCGATGGGCATTCACAAGATCAACCATATTGTCAGCTGAATTATTGAGTCCAGTGGTGAGGTATTGTTTGACACTATTATGGACAAAATGTAGAGTCAACTCCTCCTCGTCAAGAACAACCAGGCCTCCGCAGCACGTGAGTGTACTGTAGATATTGTTCAAGAGTTGGGATGGATTCCAATTAGTATCACCAGGAGTCACACTCAATGCTTCGCGTAACTCTTCGGTTGTCAATTGGCGCTGAGCAACGGTGATGAGCTCTAATATCCGTTTCTGGTATAGATTACCTGGTTTGTTCGCTCGCTGTAGAGTCCGCGAAAAGGTTTCAGAAAGATCTTTTGGAAGGTCGTTCAGGGCATGTCGTATCTCTGCATCGGTCTGCATGGCACACAAGGATTCGATTTGCAAGACTACCCATAGGAACATCCCCTGTGAGCCTTCCACCAAAGAATCCCGAATTTCCAGCGGCAATATAGGATCGCGTATCTCAAGTCTCCGTGATTCAAGACGCCTCTCAAGTTCCTCTGTAATAAATGTTTCAATTTCAGAGGTATTTGGGGGAATAGGGACTATCTTCGCATTGAACCGAGATGCTGGGCCAATATTCAGTGACGTATTGGGCTCTTGGCGAAATGACAAACAGATAGACAGTTGGAACGAAGCTTTCAGATTATAGAGGTCTCGCAAGAAGAGTTCTCTCTCGTCGGTACTCATCTCGTCCAATCCATCGACAACGACAAAAGCCTTGAAGTCAGGCTTTAGGACTGATTGAAGTAGGCCCAACATTCTCTCAAATGGGATTCTGTGAGAGGTAGCTTCCAACACTTGACAAGCTTGCCTCAGATCCACTACCTGGCTCAGGAACTGTCTGACAAGTGATCCGATTGCAGTTCGGGCTTTCAATGTCTCAGCAACATCATAGCGGGCGAAGAAAAACGCCACCGTCGTATCTTGGCAGGCAACATGAAGATGCAAGTCATCGACTATACTAGCAAGCATGACAGACTTCCCAGCTCCAAGTTTGGCGGTATAGACAAGGGGACTACGTTCTGTGCGGTCTCGCCAGGCTTTGTAGTGCGGACATTTGAGAAACAAATCCGTGCTCCCTGCTTTGCAGACTTGCTTCCATGGGACCATGTAATCATACTCGCAGCAAAAGTCCAGGACTCGCTGTCGTGTCATAAATCTTTGCTGATTGGCCTGCTGACTGGAGGTCGAGCTGAAGAACCTCGTCGAGACATTTCTGAATCTAGAATTGGCCTCGGCCTCTTCTTCGTTCCGCTCGTGCATCATAGTATTTGCTTCACGTTCAATTAGCTCAGCGCAAGAGGTAAGTTCACAGGTGAAGTTTTGCAGGCTCGAGTCAGATAATGCAGCCCCAAACTTCCTGAACGTCGACATTTTACTGAATTTCAATATGTCGTGGCACAGTCGAACGACCAGAGTGAAGTATTCACAGACAGCTGACTGTAAATCTCGAGATCGAGTATATACTAAAGCAAGCTTTTCGAAGATATGTGTCGAGCGACCGACATTCATGAAAAGTACCGAGAGTTTCTCCAAATGTGATGACGAGCTTGTAATCAGCTAGCGAGGATGGTAAGCGTATCATCAAAGCAAGGCGAGGTAGCTCTAATTTGAGTCTCGAATCTTACCAACAATGACAGACGAACCATCGACCAAACGCCACACGCGATGAGATTCTGTGATCCTCCAATCAGGATATCCCCAAGTGCAGCGAATCTTTGCACTGCTTGAATAAGATTAATGAACCTCGTGCCCAAGCATCGGCCACTAGGCAAGCGACCAATCTCCGCGGCAATGATTCTGACATCCTGAATAGTCGGCGGCGATGCGAGCGCTTGAGTTCTCGACGCATTAAATCTAGCTTTTTGTTCCGAGGAGAGATCTGCGACAAACTCTGATATAGCTTGACCAAGCTTGACCTCAGGCTTCAAGCCTGAGCCTAGAGGAATTCGAACCAAGGCCATGGCAAGCGTCTTTCAAATGGACATGTAGGTATCAATATCATGCGTTGGTAAAGTGAAGTATAGACAAAAGTGCATGTCAGTAGGCCCTTTAAACAGCCACATAGCTCAATGGGCTGCCCAGCATCCCCACTGGGGTGTTGGGCCATGCTTCTGGTGCGAACTGAAACCCCAGGCACCTGGAGCGGGGGCATCGGTCATCATTGCCAAGGCGAATGGGGGCTGTTAATTCTGTGGCTGTGAAAGAGACTGGTCACAAATCAAGTCTCGTCTGCTGCAGAAACCACACAAGCTGCAGGTTAGCTATGAAGCGCCACAGTTGATTGGGCAACAAAAGAGTGAGTCCTAAATTACCACACACATAAAGTGGCTGTGTCAACAAAATAGCACATTTGTTACGCTGTGAGAGCAGAGAAAGGCTTCGTGGGATGGACTTTTCCAAGTATAACTGACATTTGATATATAAACATCATGGGCCTTTTTACCTTTTAATTAGAATCGAACAACGCTTCAAAAGTATCCAATAGCATTTCTATGTTCGAATGTGACAAAAACCATATCCAAATAACACCCAACGCCTCTATAACATCACTCATCACTATCTTCAATAATCGGTCTGTTTGGTTTCCGACCCTTGGGTTTAGACCCACTACTGAACAAAAGGCTAGCATCCATTAGCTCAAAATCCGAGCCATCATCACCGAAGTCATCATCCATGATTGCAAAGGGGTCGTTCTTGTGCTTGGGTTCCCGATCTGGAGACAACAAAGAAACAATCTCCCCGCCAGCAGGTATTGCAGTGGCCTTGTTGGACGTTCGCTGAGAAGTAGTTTTAGATGGTGTTTTCAAGGGCTTTTGGCTGCGTCGAGGTTTCCTAGTTGAATCCTTCCGGGACGTCTGACTAGACTCGTCTGACGAAAGGGGCTCCCGGGCTAGAATGTCTTTGAATCGACGGTCACATTCAGGGCCAGCCTCATGCATTTTCTGTAAAGCTTTTACCATGCGTCGCGTGAGAGATCCATGCTTGACGTTCTTTGTGGGTCTTTCAATGAGCTGCAAACGTGGAAAGGCGTCGTTGCGGGGAAATCGGATGAATTGTGGAGAAGTGGCACCAATGTTCTGGTAATGATTTTCAAGTTCATTTTGCTCACTCGTGCTAAGAACAACGTCCTCCAGCGACGGAACGTCCACAGGCTCGGGTGTTGGGATCCGGGGCCTCTTTTTAGGGGTGGCTTTCTTCTTCTGTGGTATGCCGCCAGCCAAAGTCGAGGCTCGAGTGAAGCCTGTCTCCACATCATCGGGCATGTGGAACACCTTGGCGGGTCGCTTCGGTGCTCGCCCTTTGCGTTTCGGCTCGAGGAGTTCTTGTTGCGAGTTCTCCGGGGGTATGTCGATGTGTCGTTTATCGGGCACTGGTCGAACACCCGCGGGTAAAATGCGTGCAGAACGATCGTCGTGAAATGTGAATCGGGAGCCGCAGGCAATCATTTGCTGCATCTTTTCGTAGTTATCTTTGGCCTTGATGTAGGAGTCTTCTTCTTTGCCTTTCATCAATAGCAGAGTGATGTTACCGGCCCGCTTACGGCCTGTTCGACCCATGCGCTGCAGCATGCGAATGGGCGATGCCGAGGAGTCGTAACATACGATCAGATCGACCTCTCCAATATCCAAACCTTCCTCGCCAATGGAAGTAGCAACGATCGTGTTGTATGTGCCTTTCTTGAAATCCTCAATGATTCTGAGCTGTGTCTTCTGGTCCATGCCTTCAGAGCCTTTCGCGCTTGATTGACCCACAAAGACATGAGGCCGAATCATGGGTTCATATCTTTTCAGCACCCTCGTGACCTCTTCAGCACTGTCACGGAAATGCACAAAGATCATGACACGAGTCGCAGGCTGACTAGTGCTACCAGGGAGTTCTTTCCCTTCACCCCTGTCCATAAAGTGATTCAAAATAACTGACTTGAGATACTCCAATTTCGGATGGCCAATAAACTCTGGATTCTTACTCCATGGTTCAAGATGGCTGAGTAACTTCTTGAAGCTATCATGCTGCACAACTTGCTTTTGATACTTTCCACCTCCGCCTTTCTGCCCTTCGGAGCTTGATTTGAAATGGAGGACATGGCGATAGAATGGCACGATGCCATGGTACTTGAGGAGATCGATAGCGTGGGCCAAGCTAGCAAGAACAGTAAAAATGGAGTTCACTTTGCCTTTTAAGCCAAAATTGGCATTCCGGCCAGCGTCAGACTGCATCCATTGTTGCCTTGCCACTGTGAGACCGTACGCTGTCAGCCCCATCGGGTCACGTCCCCAGTAGGCGTTGAGGGTCCGGAGTTGGTCAAGCAAGGGCTGCAAGGCTGCTGACATGAGGTCCATACAGAAGACCATTTCATCTGAATTTTCAAAAGTTTCGATTTCGATATTGCGAGCGTGCACGTAGTCGCGAATGTCAAGCGAGTTCTCGGTGCGGATTTCGACGCGTGCTATATCCAGGCCATCAATAACCGCCTGTACCGATTCGACGGTTGAGCCCGGCGTTGCTGTGAGCGCTAGCACGCGGAAGCTCTTATTGAAGCGCCGAAGGAATTTGACCACCTCCACATATGCATACGCACCCGTCGCGCGATGGGCTTCATCAACGACCAGCAACACAACTCGCTTGGGATCAGCGATTCCGGTCTTTAGGTCATTGATCAGTGTTTGGGGTGTCATGAAAAACACTCGCTTTGATTTCCACTCTTCGGCGCGAATACCCGGTGATGCCCCTCCCGTGAGCATGGTCGACTCGGAGCGTGGGATTCCGGCAATATCCAAGCAGGCCGATACCTGTTGTGAAACTAAGGGTTTCGTTGGTGCTACAAAAATGATCTGTGAATCTTTCGTCCAGCGAAACCAGTTGAGCATAATTGTAGCTGCTATGAATGTCTTTCCCAAACCCGTTGGTAATGCCACGAGTAGATTATGAAACAGGCCTGCCTGAGTGATGTTGAACTGGTAATCTCTGGTTTTCCCCAAGTTTGTCGGGTATAGCCATGTATCTAGAGCTTCTGTCACAAGTTTGTGTTGGGTTGGTGGTTCGGTCTTCGTTGACGGGCCCCAGTCTTGGTCGCTCGGTACTACCATCTCGGGATTTGGAGCAATCATGCCGAACAATGTACTTTGTCGGAGATGTGGTTGTCGAATTAGGCCTCGTGTTTGACTGAATTGCGAAGCTGCAGCCTGGACTGGTCGTGCTACCGGTGACAATGATGGCGACGAATCAAATGCACCTTCAGGAATGTCCTCCAGCTCAAATGGGACATCCGCTAAGATATGCGTGTTTGTCTTTGTCGGCGGGGCAAGTTTTCTCGTAGCATTATTGTTTGACACGCTTAGCGGTTGAATTACCGCTCTGGTAGTCTTCTCTTCCTCAAATGAATCTAAGGAAGCTGCAATAGCGGCCATCAACTCCTCATCATCATCATGGGTATAATTATTCTCCCGTCCACTACCACCATCTTGTCCTCTAGTTTCGAATTTTGGCGTAGGAGGTTTTGTAACAGGCTTCTGCCATCGCGGACCGCGTATTCGTTCTGGACTTGAGGAGGGTTGTGTGAGTTGTGTGACGAACATGTCATTCTGGACATTAGCTTGCTTCAGTACACAGCTCTTGATTTTCGGGCGGTTTTGGTATTCTTCAAAACCAAGAGGCGATTCTCGGTGCCGACCGGAGGGTAAGTCGTCGTTCTCCATATCAGAGAACGAGTCGATTGAAGAACCGTCATCTTGACCTTCGCGCTCTTTCCCACTGTTTCGAATGCGGCGGCGTTTTGCGGGGCGTGGGGACCCATCTGGGGTTCCAGGGACTACGAAGTCGTCATCATCGAAGTAATCCGACTCGGAATCTGTCGACATCGCGCGGATGGTTCAAAGGCATTGCCATTGTATGGGCAATCATCTCGCGTCGCGTCGCGTCATCAGGTGATGAGGTTATGTTTGTATGGTTTGCACTGGAGCCTTATTTATGGAGCCCAAACCTTTGAATGTACTACTTCATCTCTCAGAAATGGCCAAGGTCTAGACGAACTACGAAATACGGAATATGGAGTAGGTGCATGGGGAATTCAAATAACCTGCTTGTTTATCTATCGAACATGTGCCTTGTCCAATTACCCCTTTTGAAACCTTCATTCTATGATATTCAAACCACCTGACAGCCCCATGATGGCGTACAGCATATAACCACATACTCTGTACGGAGTACGAAGTACGAAGTACCACGAACAGCCTGAAGATTTGTCTTTTCTGTCTCTTGATTTCAAGGAACTTCTGCCGAGCTCCGAGAGCCAATAGGGATAGTCATATACACCAGCAAAAAATAGATTGGTCCCTTGCTCACACGCTAATGCCCGAAATCAATCAATATTGTCCAATCTGACAGGTCTACCATCCCGAGTGGCTTCAATGTGTGACAAAACCGAACCCCCTTCCTAAGGGGGAGATTGCCCTGCACAATATCCTTGTACGGGGAAGTAGGGTGGTCACCGTGTATCACTTAGATGACTTATAGAGTAGTCTGGAAAGTGCCAGATGCAATGAGCATTAAATATGAGACATCATGGGGATCTGCACTGACCCTGTATTTGTTTCTGGGGTAGGTAAAACTCCATGCCGAGGCCCGCCAAGCGCGTTTGCTTTGTGGTCTTGTTTTCAATATTTAATCATTCACTTTCCGCTCATTTCCCCCTAGTTCTTTAGTACAACTACTGTCGCTACTTACCAGTCCTTTTTCTCTTGATTTCATCATTTCCTGATTCATTCAACTCAACATGAAGTTCAGCATCCTTGCCCTCTCGGCCGTGGTCGCTTGCGCGACTGCGGCAGACACTACTACCGCGAACGCTTCGACTGTTACTCTGACCCCCGAGGCTCAGTGCGCGAAGAGCTGTAAGCTATCCATTCTCGGAATCTCTTCTTAGCTTGATACTAATCCAACTTCAACTCTAGGCGAAGCCACGGATATTTGCTGCACTGCCAAGTGCTACAAGGTGCCATGCCCTAGCGATAACCAGGCAAATGACACCAATGAATGTGTCGCTGCCTGCCCTCAAGGCAATGGCTCCCCGGCCGATACCCAGAAGTACGCCGACTGTGAGCAGTCCTGCTATCGCTCACACTTCTGGGGTGGCAACGGCAACGGTGCAACTGCAACCCACTCTTCCGCCACCTCCACTGGCACCGGCAGCACTGCCACACAGACCAGCTCTGACTCGTCGAGCACCGACTCCAAGTGTATGTCCACATTCATTGTTGCTGATATGGAGCTTTGCTAACATCACCCTTCAGCTTCGGACAGCAATGACAGCAACGATAGCAATGATAGCAAGGACAACAACGGCAACGATGACTCCTCTTCTGCCACTGCTACCAGCTCCTCGGGCGAGTCGAAGGAGACCAGCAACGCCGGAGCCAATGTCAAGGTCGGTGCCTCCGCTGCCGGCCTATTCGGTCTGGTTGTTGCTGCATTTGCTCTGTGAGGAGATTGGATGGGTCTTCAATCTACTACCTTGTAATCTGACATGGTCGTATTGGACTGTCCCAGATCTGGACAATGGGGTAGCCCTCTCGGCCTTGTATCATAATCTTGCCTTCTTCCGTGTGATAGTATCTTGAATATCAATTTGGAGCCCTTTTTGTTGATGGAACAAGCATATCTGTAACCGCCGTAGTTAGACTTTGTTGAAATTCAAGGAAGACCTTGTATAGGAATCTTTCAATGTTATATCGACCCTATGCCTTCATGACATTAGTCCGCGCAAATTCGGCACCCGGTTATCTTCATCTTCAATAAATATGAAGCTATTCCCACTATTCCACGGAAAACCCGGTTTCATACAACACATAGTTGCAATACGAGTCACATAGCTCTCTGCGTAGCTTTAAGTTGACGCTGAAAACACGGTCGAGTGCCATTCACCGCCAAACTTTGTTTACTGCGGGGGAAATCCAGCGTTTCCTTCAAAACATACATACTGCTGATTCTTGGGGACACAAAAGCTCTCAAAACACCATATAAGAATCCAACTTGCACCCTTGACATAGGTCTTGGCTACCGTTCAGTCGGTATCATCAAACCAAAAAAAAACCATTCCCCCAAGAACCGGACCAAACGCCCCACAATGGATGATAGCAGCGAAGAATTTCAAGCGCTCTACAACGCGATGTCCGCTTTCGTGACAGACTGCATGTCAGGACATGACCCATCGCATAACCCAGCACACGTCCACAGAGTGGGAGCGCTCGCCAACAAGATCCTGGAAGCAGAGCGGGCATTGCACCCAACAACGCAATACAACGGAGCAGTTGTCAAACTCGCGGCACTGTTGCATGACATCGGAGACAGAAAATACTTATCCAAGATGGATGCGGGCGAAGAACTCGACCCGACGACGATGGTGCAGCATGCGCTCCTTGCACGGGGTGCGACGCCAGAACTCGCATCACGGGTGCAGACGATCGTGTCACATGTTTCTTATACGACTGAATGTAAGGATCCGGCATTTATCCGAAAGATGATTGACGAGGATGGGTTTGTCGAGCTTGGAGTTGTCCAGGACGCCGATCGACTCGATGCCATTGGTGCTATCGGAATTGGCAGGTGTTTTACCTTCCTTGGAGCGGTAGGGAAGAAGTATTCTGTTGATGGGAAATGGGAGATGGATAATTCCATTGAGCATTTCGGGGACAAGTTGGTTAAGCTGGAGAGCATGATGAAAACTGCTACCGGGAGGGAGATGGCTAGAGTACGGACGGAGAGATTGAACGTCTTTGCGGGGTGGTGGGAGGAGGAGATGAGTGTTGCTTCTGGTTCTACTTAATAGGTAACTTTATAGAGAGCGTTTAATATGTATATATTGATTTCTTTGTACACTTCGAGATGGTTGTGATATATGTCTAGATAGTCCTGTCAGAGATCTTGTAGGTAGTGAGCATATTTCATACTCTAAATCAAGATTCAACAATCACGAAAGAAACCTTGTCTAAATACAATATCTGTAGCTATGTGCTAGTGTACTCTTTTCTCGTGTTTTTATAGATGCCATCGAGGCTATAGATATAACGTACTGCCACGCAAGCAGCCCGAAATGTGCACGCACCTCATCCGCCCGAGATCAACACCGCCATTCGTCAAGCAACAATATACAACCAACCTTCGCAACCATGGCTGATGCACAATTTGACAGCGCGCTGTGAGTCATCTGTCTAGCCAGTAATACGGCACTACATACCTCTTTGCCCTCAATCATGGCACCCGCCATGACAATCCTAGACCCCGACGCAACCCCGCCTCAAGCAGTTGGAGACAAGTGAGCTGACCACCCCTTCTACAGCGACCTCCTTCGGCGTCTGAACCCACGGGACACCAAGGCAAACTTGCAAGCCATCACCTCAATCGTCCCCGATCTCACCGAAGACCTCCTCTCCTCTGTTGACCAGCCCCTGGAGATTCGCCGCTGCCCGCAGACCAACCGCGACTATCTGCTCTGCGACTACAACCGCGACGGCGATAGCTACCGGTCACCATGGAGCAATGAGTTTGATCCCCCGCTTGAGGACGGTACCGTCCCCAGTGAGCGAGTGCGCAAACTCGAGGTTGCTGCAAACGAGTCATTCGATGTTTACCGCGAGCTGTACTATGAAGGAGGTGTGGGGAGTGTGTACTTCTGGGATTTAGATGATGGATTTGCAGGCGTGATTCTACTGAAGAAGGGTACGTTATGGATTGACCACGGATTACTATGCTTAAATTGCAACTAACGTTATTTTGATTAGGTGTCACCCCAGGTTCCCAGAGCTCCGGCGAATGGGACAGCATTCACGTTTTCGAGGCCACCGACCGCGCTCGCATGTCCCACTACAAACTCACTAGCACTGTTATCCTCCATCTCGCCAACAAAACCGAGGCTCTTGGTGATATGGACCTTAGCGGGAACATGACTCGTCAGGTGGAAGTTGATCTGCCTGTAGAGTCGGATGCTAGCCATGTCGCCAATGTAGGCAGGCTGGTGGAGGATATGGAGTTGAAGATGCGAAATTTGCTGCGTATGTTTCTTTCTCTCGTCGCAATTTAACAACTTGGGGATTTTATGCTGACCAAGGTTTTCATAATATAGAGGAGGTTTACTTCGGCAAGGCGAAGGACGTTGTTGGCGAGCTCCGAAGTAAGTGGATGCACGTAATATCTTGCTGCTGCAATATGCTAACATGAACATAGGCTTGGGTCCATTGTCTGATGCAAACAGAGACCGGGAAACCCAGCGTGAAATGATCATGTCCATGCAGAAGTAGTCATTTTTACTGTTCTGACAAATATCCTGCTCAGTTTGGCCGATGAACTATACCTCTTTTCGTTTTGTATAGCTTAGTTCTGTGAACATGCTCGAACACTGGTCCATACACATTTTGCACTTTGCACTTTCGTACGTGTATAAATGTATCCTCCTCCAATGGGGCTCATTGTATTCGTAATTTCAATTCCAATGGTAGCATATAGCCCGGGGTATCATAAACGCATGAAGCAAACCCAACCACTCTGGCTGGACGAACTGATAGCACATCATTCAGTCCATCTGCATACCCTCCGGCTCATTCGATGGCCTAGAATCCTTGCTTGCCTCGGAAGGCTTCTGTGTCTGCTCAACAAATTTCCGAGCTGCCGCCCACAATTCAGCCTCCTTATCTTTCCCAACTGTATCCTTCCGGGTGTTCAACCGACTGATATCCAGTGAGTTTGGCACTCGTGATTTAGCTCCCACAACTCCTTCGGCTCTAGCTCCAGTTTTGGTGTCCCCTGCCCGCGGGCCTTTCTCGGGTCCTACCAGAGATGATTCCTCTAGTGAGTAGATCTGACGACGGAGGTTGACATCAGCTGAGGAGAGAAGTGCGAAGTACTTCGCGCTTGCTTCTTTGAACCGTGTTTTGTGCGAGTCAAGCGATCCATCTGGCGCAACGGAGGAGGAGTCTGGTTTGGCATTGGTCAAAGCTTGGATCGCGAGACCAGCTGAATGAAGAAGCTTGGTAACATCCTAATGGAGGAAATTTAGTAAATATTTCCGGTATAAATTAGATTGACCCCAGTACTTTATCCATGTCATTCAGCTGTCGAATGCGATCGGCGGAGGTAAAGGTAGGTAGCTCTTGCGGAGGCACATTTTCGCCCATATTGACTAGTCCGACACTGGATAAAGAAGTTGAATAGTTGCGTCCGTAGCAATCAATTCCACTGGATTTTTGAGTGTAGAACAAGAGATGGAGATCGCAATGAAGCTCACTGGTTAACATCACGTGCCAGAAGTAGGAGGGTCTTAATAAGCGGTGAGGTTGCGCGGGCCCGCAGCTCGTCAGGATATCAAATTCAAGATATCAAATCCATTATTCTATCGAGCGGTGAAGTATCATATACCTTTGGGCACTATATACATTAGACGAAACACTGATAGCTCATCGCCCAAGTCTACCATATAATACACCGGTGATTCTACACGTTGTAGCAACTCTGTTCTGTTGCCGTCCTTCATCGCAATTTGAGCTGTCTCGAAGTTGTCGTCATAGGCGTTGATCATGTCGGCTCCAGGCGGTGCACCAAGCCCTGGGCCGCGAAGCGGCAGTATGGGACCAGGTGTAAATGGAAATGGGATGATGGGTTCCCAGCAACCTTTACCTGGAACCCCCGTCCATTCAACACCCACTCCAGGACCCAGTGCACCACCAAGTGGTGCTATGTCACAGCAAAATTTAAACCAAATAGTAGGTACCCTTGTGATTTATTTGCACGTTGTTTGAGAGATCTTGTTTCCCATGTACCCTTTGTCCCTTTGCGAGATGATTGCTCTTTGTGTGTTGTGTCCGTCCTGTGTTTCGGGGTCGGCCAAGTTTGAGAGGCTTGATTCATGGCTGGGGAGTCTGAATGTCTGGCCTTAACGCCGAGGATATGGAAAATGGTACAGGCCTGAAGCTCCCTGTTCATTGGCCACGGCAGCCCTTGGATGGTGAGGAGGTTCGCGATAGGAAGCCAAAGGCAGAGCAGCGCACTGTGGGTGATTCGGTCGATGCGACAAGCCCTAGAGTTCTCCATCCATGGGTTATTGCAGCCCGTATGTGGTGACTGAAGTCCACGACAAAGGACTGCATGGGTTTATCTGGAACTCCAACAATACGACAATATGATCCATTCCACAGACCTCAAAGAGCATTGATAGTTGGATGTTCAAAGGGCATTTCAATTTATACCTGGCGATCAAGGTCTATGACTGGGCACCCAAGGCGCCGCAATTCAGAGCAAACGTCAATAGCTCATTCACCATTCTCATCAATCGGTTCTCACTCAACACCCATTCTTCACATTTCAACTATTACCATTCATCTGGTTTATTCATATTGATCAACCTATCAACCCATACTTTTCATTCATCCTCACATCAGTTGAATAAACCGAACCGCATTCGCAAAACCCCAGCAGAACCGTGAATATGCCAACTGAAGATGAGGATTGGCTGCCTGCTCGCCGGCGGCAGCCTCGCCGGCGGCCCCGCCAGGCCTCGCCCACCCAGAAGACCCAGAAGAGACACAAGCCGGTGGTTGTCGATCTGACTGAGTCAGAATCTGTGGCGCCTCCACCTATGGCGAAGCCTCCTTCCAAGCCTGCTGTCAATCCTGTCGCGAAGCCACCTTTCAAGCCTGCTGCGGATCCTGTCATGAAGCCGCCTTCCCAGCCTGCTGCGGATCCTGTCGTGAACCCGCCTTCCAAGCCTGCCATGAAGCCCGCCGTCAAGTCTCCCATCGCGAAGCCTCTGGAAACCGTCGAGGTTGAGGAGACACGCGCACATGAACAAGTCGTCGGTTTACCCACTCAGACTCCTCTCAGCACGCCCTGCTTGTCTCACCATTTTATTTGTTCTCTTTTTGTTTTCTGATAAGTTTGATTTGAATTGTTTGGATTACCGTCTAACTTTTCATCTTTTCTAGGTTATTGATTATTTGGCCAAGAAAGGTTACAGTCGTACAGAGGCAATGTTGCGCATGGAGTCTGCCAACCAGGAGATTGATGGGCGTCCGCTCCCCCAGCTTGGGGAGGATTCCCGTCCTAAGACTCGGCAAGGTTTTGGTGAGTTGAGCATTCAATCAATGTGACCCGACCTACCGACTAATACATTGCCTAGATTTATTGAAGAATTGGGTCGAGGAAAATCTTGATTTGTACAAGGTATGCGAAACAAGGAGCGACCTAATATATGCATGCTAATTATGTCATAGCCTGAGCTTCGACGTGTCCTATGGCCGCTGTTTGTCTATTCCTTTTTCAATATGGTCACTTCCTTTTATCCTCAGGATGCGAAGTCGTTCTTTGAAACCAACAAGAACATGTTCCTTCCTGAGCATACCGATGATGTCCGCCACTTCGAGCCTATCAGCTTGCCGGAGCATCTGCAGGATAACTCCGTTGCTAAGCTTTACCGAACCAACAAGTACCGCATTGTGTTGAGCAACCCCGCTTACACCAATCTTCTCCAGTTCCTGGAGAGCAAGGATAAAGAAGGAGGTTCTGTCATGAACGCAATTCTCAGCAGTTTTTGCTCGGTGAAAACTTTGGACCGAGCAGCAGACGACCGATTCAGTTTCGCTGCCATGTTGAACCAGATGAGTGCGGACCAGACCTTCCCAGCTGAGGATGAAGGTATTCCAGGACACCACCCTGGCTCAGCTTACACCGGTGACAACCCGGCCATGGCCGGCACACTTCCCCGTCTCAAACTCGGGAAACTCCCCATGGAACAATTTCTGGAGGAGGACGTGCGGGCTGAACTAGCAGAGGAAGATGCGAAGCAACCTCCTGCCGCTGGTCGTAATACGCTCATTCAAGAGTTCGACCAAATGATTAAAAATGAAGATGACGACGAAGCACCTACTCGTGCAGACCTTCCTTTCCCTCAATCCACTGCTCGTGACGTCCAGATCGAGGTCAAGAAGGTTATGGAACATCGCGATCGGTTCGAGATCAAAGCTCGCACAGGTGGAGTCGGTCCGGGGCTTAGTGTGTGCATGTTCACATTCCATAACACTTATGATAGGTATGTTCATTTGAACTATCTTTTTATCACAGAACTAACAAATACACAGTGTTACTTGCATGGACTTTTCAGATGACAGCCAGGTTGTCGCTGTTGGATTCCAGCAGTCATACATTCGGATTTGGAGTCTTGATGGCTCGAACATCCAATCTGCTGATCCTGACCTTGATAATTCGCCACCTGCCAGCTCGCGCCGCCTTATCGGCCATTCGGGTCCCGTCACTGCTGTCGCATTCCAGCCCTGCGCAGCTGCTCGCGAGGGCCTTTCCGGGGATGATAAGGTTGCCACCAATGCACGCTGGTTGCTTTCGTCATCCATGGACAAAACAATTCGCCTTTGGTCCCTTGATAGCTGGCAATGCATGGTCGTCTACAAGGGTCACGACCGCCCTGTCTGGGACCTAAGTTGGGGACCGTTTAGTCACTACTTCGTCTCGGGTGGATCTGACCGGACCGCCCGTTTGTGGGTGAGTGACCAAATCCGCCAGCAGCGTATCTTCGTCGGTCATGACCATGATGTGGATGTCGTCTGCTTCCATCCCAACTCAGCATACGTTTTCACTGCCAGCTCCGATCACACTGTCCGCATGTGGGCTGTTTCGACTGGTAATGCCGTCCGCATGTTCACTGGCCACACTGGCAGCATCACTGCGATGGAGTGCAGCCGTGACGGAAAGCTTCTAGCATCCGCTGATGACCAGGGTTGCATCATCTTGTGGGATCTCGCTCCTGGTAGACTGCTGAAGCGCATGCGTGGGCACGGTAAGGGTGGAATATGGTCTATCAGCTGGAGCGTGGAATCCACCGTCCTGGTCTCAGGTGGAGCTGATGGTACCGTGCGAGTTTGGGATGTTGCCGGTTCCCAGGAAACCACCCAGGGTGGCCGTGTCATCGGTGAAACTGGTACTGGAACTAGACTGGATGCAGGCACAAACCCCTCGACGGGTCAGGCCAAGAAAAAGAAGGGGAAGGACGTCGTTGTCACTGCCGACCAAATCAGCGCTTTCCCGACTAAGAAGTCGCCTGTCTACAAGGTCAAGTTCACCAACATGAATTTGGTGGTTGCTGGTGGTGCCTACTTGCCTTAAGATGACATTGAGGCCCGTTGTTCTTGGCGTCATGCGCTCTTTTTTTTTCTCTCGGAATACCCTTACTCCTCCTTGTATTATCACATCCCTTTTCACGATCCGCGCATGATGATTCCGTGTGATGGAATCCCGGTGGCGTTCGGAATCTCGAAACCCTGATTCTCGGTGTTTATCGATGGGGAGGCACGAACTTTTTGTCGTGCCCGGCAGCTTTTTTGCTTTTCTTTTGTGTTTTTTTCGCTTTAATTCTTGTCCCAACGGGGTGATATGAGGCTTACGACTAAAGGCTGGGTCACTAGCTGCCCTCTATGGCCGGTTTGACCTGGGCCTAAAAAAGAAGCAACTCACGCCGTTCAAAAATGGAACGTTTCTGCTCATATCAGTTTCCTACATACGAGTAGGTAAAGCCGATCACTTGTAGACGTAACGGCATTAGAGAAAGAGTCCTCGTAGATCACGTATTTGCTCAAGAAGCATGTGTTTACATCTATGAATGGTCTTTTATTGGACATCATATCTCATTGCAAACACTGCGATATATCATAAATCCTATCTTAGATGCCCCGTTGGGCCACCAGTAGCGCCTGTTCCCTTCTTCATTGCCGCTGATGCTTGCATATCCGCTACCTTGGGCGGAAGCACCAATGCGCTCCGGTCATTTCGTCGGTAAAAGTCCGCCAGAATCTGCGCAGTTTTCACAGGCTGGTCCTCATGAACAAAGTGGCCTGCTTCAGGGAAGACCTGAAGTTGGTATTTTCCTGTGATACTAAAGTAAGTACGATGCCGAATGATCATAGAGAGCCGATAGGGATTTTCGAAACGCATACCTTGCATCTGCCCGATCATCAACTCTTTATCTAACCTGTCGGTCCCAGCAAGCAGTAGTAGCTTTCCACCTCGTGCATCGAGGAACTTTCTACTCAAGCCAACGAACCAGTTTTCCCAGAAAGGTTTCGTTGCGGAGAGGTTTGTGCGCCACACCCAAGGACGGGACGGGTCGCTAGGCTCGCTTTCTTCGTATAGGAGGGATGGAACCGAGACGCGAGCAGAAGTAGTGTTCCGGATTGTACGGGAGCGAGTACTTGTATCTGTTAGCCATGGTGGAAGGACGACTCGACGTGGACACATACTGCCATTCAATTCCAGATAACAGGGATGGGAATCTGGTCGGACGAGTCGAAAGATATTTTTCCATGCTCTGGAGAGCATCCATTGCAGACCCTGTCAAGTTATATCAGTATCTGATAGACATGTACCAAAAAGGGGAGCATACCTTCCACTACGTCGAACACCGCGTATGCCAACAGCTTCGGACCCAGCTCTCCTTTCTTCGCGACGTCTGTAATCACCGCCCCGCCGAGACTGTGTCCAACCAGAATAATATCAGGGAGAATCTCCCAACCCATCCTGGTTTGTGTCTGGTAGATCACATGGACAAGATCCCGGCTCAGAGTGTCAAGACTAAGGTCCAGCTCGGCCTTCCCCGAGAATCCAGAATGGGCCGCCGCTGCCGTAGAAGGAGCCTCGTCATCAGTCTTACTGTCTAATGTAGTCACGACAGTGCGGCCATGGCTTCGTGCATCCAGAGACAAGATTCCTGCCTTTGGGAGAATCTTCCGGATCTCTTCTGCGCAGGAGGCGAAGGAAAGTCCCGATGAACCCGCTCCATGGTGCATGACAAAAAGCGGGCCTGATTCAGTTGGCGGTGTTAAATAGACATGATGTATAATATGGAAATTATCCACTTCCTCTGGAAGAAAGAGCTCCTGGTCAAAGAAGTCTGTCCATGTCAAAGAGGTTTGAGATGATTGTCTGCGGTCTCATGTTAGCGTTCTCTTAGAAAATCTGCTGATTGCCAATTGATCCCAAGTTGAACTGGAAATTGGAGAAGTAAACGAACCGTCGGCTCGCTCGGGCGAATAGCTGGCGCGTGGGAGACGGGATGATGGTCCCGGTGGAGGATACTGACGATGCCGAAGAGCTATCCTCTCCATCCTCTGAATAACTCATTGACTCAGGCATTGGTGCTTCGGGCGGAAATTTGGCCAGTTTTGCCTTGGCGAATGATTTCTGAAGGTCACTCATCTCAAGTGGATACTACGGCTGTGTCGATCAAAATGAGGGGTGCATAAATGAGGACTGTCATAAATTTTTGTTTTCGCTTTTCCACGCACAGCCAATAATTTCTCCAAGTGAATTGGCTTTCAGTTGAAACAATCGAGTCCATTCACATCAGGTGCTGTTGTCGTCAGTTATTGCTGACTAATACCATCGCCAGCTCTGAGATGTCCTGCCAAAGTTGTAGAACTTAGAAATGTCCTTTTGGAAATCTTAACGATGGTAATCATATAAAAGACTTGGATATGGTATGTATGTACCTAGTTGGTCTTCATAGTAAATCAGCATAAAATTCGCTGATGAAGGAGAAGTATATATGAGGAATCATCCCAACTTGCTACGGCGGTAATATATATAGACATTGATAGATGATTGAAATCTGTTAAACGAACCGCTAAGCACAAGATAAGAACGCCTTTCGCGTCCAGTCAAGTCCACTCCTAATCGGCACCTCAAATTTCCTCTCATCGTCTACAAATCCGCCACGCAACATTCGAATATAGTCAACTCCTAGTTTTAGATCCGTGGACCTTTCATCGCATTTAGGGTCCCAGACCCGCCATCCATTCTCATTTGATATTTTCCAACGCATCACGACAGGTGAAGCGGGTGGAGCAGTAGGCGTAGGAACTTGTTCCTCGGATGGCTGTGGTTTGGACGGACATGGTGGCTTTCGTGTCAACGAGAGAAAGATTTCATGCTCTTTTGAAGATCTGTGGCGGTATAGCAGGATCGGATTCGAAGATAGCGTCGAGGAGGGGAAATATATTGGATCTTGTAGTGTTTTTACTTCTTGATTCGGCGCGTGCAAGTTAAACTTGACTAGTTTCGGCTCGCAGGTTAGCGGTGGCAGAGCAATAACCACCTCGTTGTCGCTCCAGTGGACGAGGATTGGTAGATGAGGGGGTAGACTCTCAATTCGTTCGCCGAATCTATATGTGAGTTCGGGTTTTGGTGTCGGGGTATCTTCAATGTTTGAAATTCCATGACCTGACGAAATTGAATATGTAGACAGACGCAAATGACACTCAGAGTAGTCGTCACCGTTTATGAATGAGGAGTCTAGGGAGTAAAAGAGCTTTCCACATGAAGAAAAATGGAGGTCTTTTGATTGGAGTGTTAGCAGCCTCAATTCCAACATTCGTAACTAAAGGGAATTAAACCAACCTTGATAGAAAAGAGGTTCTTTATCTTTGGAGATACCTGGATAGTCCACAGTATTCCATGTTTCTGTGTCAAATCTGACAATTATAGCCTGGCTCTTGATGGAAGTTATAACAGCGAGAGGCAGAGATGGATGGAGCGCAAATGAGCTTCCAGCAGTGTTGTGGTCAGCTAGAGGAATCCAGAGCGGTGAATAGGACTGATGATATACGATCAACCATTTTCGTGCTAGCTTTTCAGGTGATTGGGTATCTCTGTGTCGTTCCTCGTCGTAGCCAGAGTGGTAGGCGGAGTCTGCGTCTGAATTTGAGTCTGATCCTGATCCAGATTCTGAATCTGAATCTGAGTCTGAGTTTGAATCTGAGCCCGATGAGCTAGAGTCCGATTCGGAACTCGAATGATCGCGTTGCCATAACGGTCCTTGCTTCAATATTTCTTTTGAAATGTGGAAGATAGTCACTACTCCCCATGCTGCAGACTTGCTGTCTTTGCGTTTCACCAGCCAGTTCTCATTTTGACGAGCTTCTCCCAAGGATCTCGGGGCTGAAAATGTTTTGGAGACACCATTTTGAGAAGATCGGAGCTGTCTAGACACTGTATCATATTCCAGGATATTCACCATCGAAGACGACTCTTGAACTTGAAATGCAGTTTCTTCCCAATTCAACTCTGTAAGTCGGGGGATAGGACGGAAAGTGCTTCGTGTCGCCTTGCTTTTTGAGAAAATGGTGACCGGATGGTAGTGGAAGAGATCTGAAGGGTCATTTCGATTATGGTAAATCAAGTCCGCGAACAACTTCCCTTTGGAAAGAAATATGGAATTCAGGCGAAGCTCTGAGATATCACTCAAATTGAGCTTTTCGCTGGACCTCCAGACTTTTATTCTTTCTGATTGAGGGAATTCACCCCCAAGCTTTGATTCCATGGTGCTCAACGGAACACATTGATCTAAGATATCCGGTCGAGATGCTAGAACTTCGTGCCAATCATTTATGAAAGCACAAAAGTCAAGATCCAACGCGGGTCCATGGGGTGGATGTTGCTCCAACCACGTAGGCAATGGGACACCGAAAGAATCCTGCTTGTCCCAGCCCGTTTGTCGCAGGCTCATCTGGTAGGTGCCGGCTCCTTGTTTGGCGTATCGACCGAAAAGATAAGGGACGATGCGACTTTGTACAGCAACACAAGTCCAAAGGTTTGTACTCTGAAGAAAACGTTTTACCTCTTCGAAATCTTCTTTGCTATTATTTTCTCCATCAAAGTGGATGAACCAAAAGGCTGCAGCATATCTCAAAAACGAGTGTTCTCTGGTGTTCTCGTCCAGGACTGCCTTAGCAGTAGCAAATGACTCATAGCGCTTGTAGTTTAAGAATGTCAGGCACTCGCGTCCAATTTGTCGAGAAGCATCGTTTGAGTTAACAAAGAATTTTTGAATCCGAGACAGATTCTCCTGCTCCATCTGTCGAATGGATTGGTCGATGAGAAGATCTTCAAAGTCTTGGGCGAGGAAGTCTTGGATGGTTTTGTGTCCCAACCTGATCTTCTGATCGTTTTTGTTATCAGTAGAAGAGGAATCTAAGAGCAACCAGGATCCGCAGAGAGAATGAATCTGCTGCTCGCGAGGTTCATGCCCTTTCAAATAATCCTTCTCGCCGGTCCGGATCGAAAGTGCATTGCAGAGCTCATTCCAAGTAATAGGCTGGACCGTAGTAATTAGTATCCTAAAGACTCGTCTAAAATATCATTAGCGGTTTGTAGAAGTTTTGATTACTTCCTTTGGATGGAACTCACCTGACAAGTTCTTGCTCTCGTTCGGGCCTTTCGCAGAGCTTGAGTAGTGTACGAATATAGTATCCGGTCAGACTTTTAGGAAACTCTTCCAAGGCCTTACTGATATCATCGTCACAGGTAATGCCTTCGCCTTGTAGTGTATCAACCAAGAATTTCGAGTAGAGGAAGCTCCCTTCGATATGTTTCTCAACGAAATAATTGATGTGGTTTGCGGCACACTTGATTGACTGTAGCCCGTCTGACAAGAACAGCTTGATGTCCGCCGACAGGGTGGATGTACTAGGAGAAAATGTCACGGCTTTCAACTGCTTCATCATGTTTCGAATCTTCACGTCATCCCGGCTAGTGAAGAACCATTTGGTTGTGCCGTAAGCTGGAGAGGATACAATTTTTGTGAACATTTCTCGCATTCTTTGATCATCGACACATTCATCCAGGCCATCAACAATCACATAGACAAGGCTGCATCCCTTTAGAATGCGATTTACCGTGTCCACTGCAACTGACGGGATATGTATGTATCTTGCATGCTGTGCCATTTCACTCTGGTAAAGTTCGACCACTGTATCCGGAATTCCAGTCTTGATAATGTTAAGGAGCTGTAGAGCAAGGGCACGAGGACCCGTAATGGCCTTCCTTAGAGTGAAGTCGCTGAAAGAGTAGAAGTAGTATGCTGTCGGAAGATTCTTCTTCGTCAAATGGTTGATAACGGCTGATGAAAGAACCGTTTTCCCAGAGCCTAGTGGCGCATTGTACCAGAACACATTGGTGGTCAAGTCGTCACGCCAGCGTTGGAATTCTGGTTCGTCAAAGAGCCACTCGCATGTCTCTGCATGCCTTCGTTCAGAATACATTTGCAAGTGACCGCGGAGATCGAGGTCATCGCCCGCTCTGATCCAGTCAAAAATTCCTTCCTTCATTTTATCTGCCGTGGATTTGTGAGCAAATTACTTGGTAATGTGCTTGGCTGAGGTACAAAAATAGCTTGCAACCTACTTTCTTGTTCTATAGCGTTACGCTTCCTATCATCATGGACAAGCATTGCTTCTTCGGCCGCAGTGATTGCCAGGACTCGAGCACAATCTTTGCTAAGACGCTCGACAGTCAGGTTTATTTCATCGGTCATGGAATTAACAATGTTCTTAATCGCGCTTATAAAAACTATGCCGAGTCAGTAGACTGTATAAATGATTACAGCAGCAATGACATACCGTGCTCGGACAGTAGTTTCGAAGCCGTTGCCCAGAAGCTAACGATGTTCTTGTACGAGGCAACAAGACACTCGCGTACCTCATCAGAGGTTTTATACGCAACAGCAAACTTGCCATAGCACTGAAGATACATTCCGATTTTGCCCATCGTGTCTGATACGAGCTCAAACATCGAGTTGGTGTTGTGTGCGAGCTAGAATAGACTCAGAATCAAAGTACTCTATCCCATTTTAATATTGGTGCACTCACCTTGAGCACAAAACGAGCGCCCGATAGAGCCACACCAACCGCGAAGGGACTTGCCTGTACCAGCATGGAGCAAGCGTCCATCAACATAACAAGGCCATTGATGAAAGGTGCAAGGGCCCCAAGTCCTCTCAACGACTTCGACGTGCTCTTCTGCTCTTCGAGCTCTTTTACATATCCCCTCAGTTCTTCCGCACATAATTCGACGCCTTGTGGGTTTGAATTTAGTGCCAAAACCGACCTTGAGGTCAAGACTTCTTTGTAGAATGGGCTCTTCCGGTCGCGAGTCTTCATATCATCTAGGAACTCATCAATAGCCTGAGCCAAAGGGCTCGATGCCGTGATAGCTGCCATCGAGATTTAGTTATGACTTGGACACAAATGCTCAAGTAGAATCTAGATAGCCCTTTTATGCATCTGCCGGTGCCCAAAATTAAGAGAAGTGTGCTATTCAGCCCCAGAAGTGCCGGTTCCAATCAAAACCCCGGTCGACCTTTCTTTAGAGGTGGGGAGAAAGATATCACCCGGGTGATTTATAGCTGTAAACAGACGATCACAGGCCTAGCCTTTCCCTGAATGTAGTTAGAAGTGGACTGAGGCGGGAAGCCTGTACATATGGCGTTGTTCGATTGGTCTACTCGTACAGACAGTCAGCACTAGTGCACGCTAACAAGTGCTAAAGGCCCAGAGGGGCGTAATCCCCGCATCATGACAGGTGTGATATCGGCAGTATTTACTTTAGCTGCAGTCACTGCAGGCCCGTGCTGCCTGGGTTCGCTGGCATCGCCAATAAGCGATGCTTTACGTTGTCTTCAGCCTCAGCTTACCCGACGTGAGCAGCTTACGTCGTTCGTTTATATTGACACAACCGACATAAATAGTCTCCATATCTTGCAACAACACAAACATAACTAAATCAGCCAACATGGAAACCGCTGAAGACCTGGCTGGAGAAAAGTGCGAGTTCAAAGTCTATCGTCACAGTCAAAAGAAAGATGGAAATATATCTGTTGAGACCGTTTCAAACCCCTTTGCTCGACTTGGACTCGGCGACAAGGACAGTCCTTATGCTTTGATTGTCAATCGCTTCCTCGGCGAGAAGAATCAACTCAAGGAAACTACTCTACAAATAAATTCCAGGCGACTCATGAATGTCTTTCGAGAAGTGATCGGCTTTTACCCCACTGTCCCGGCAGATTTCACATCTCCCTTTGAGCTGAAGGGACCATTTCAGATCCTTCTACATTATTGGGAAGAACTAGACGAACGCCGACAAACAACAAAAGATGCTGACGAGCGTATGCATCTCAATTTGCTGCTTGATTTCATGAAGCATGAGATTGGACCCGAGCGAGAGCGCCTTCTGAGTATGCTACGGAACAAACAAATCACATACAAGAACGCATGGTGTATCTTTCGTCCTGGAGACCTGATATACACCGAGTTCATGGGCCATCCTTGGTTGTTGCGGTGTCAAAAGACTGCCTATGAAGAAAGCACCACAGATGGTCAGTATATGGAAGTCCACTGTCTCTTCACAGACCACGATGGGACTATCACTGGCGAAAATTCTCATGTTTTTCGGATATTTCAGAAAAGAAGCTTTGCCGCCGAAAATCCGGCCATCATTACCAAGCTCCCGTGTTTTCCTCGAAAATTTGTCGAGGACCAATGGGATCTGGAAAATCGACTCATAGCTCGCGGCGAAAGGTTTCTCACACTGCAGGGCATATCTGTTATGTCCTACGACGGACATGCCCAGTACCTCAAGGAACCGGACTACAGTTACTTTCATCCCAGAATGGCCGACTTTGACGGTGTTTGGCTTCCTTATACTGAGCTTGGAAGGGTAATTTTGGACCGCAAGACCTTCCAGGAGGACCAGTATTCAAATGCAGGCAGAGTTCAGGCCAAGACGCCCGATCCGCTATGCTGTCCGCCATATGAGTATGGATTCTCTCTGAGTCGCAAAGAATGGTGTCGGTTTTTTATCGACTCGATTAGAGACGTTAAATGGAAAGAGAATGCTTGGGATTCATTGATTATTGGTGATCATGAAAAGCTTGTTCTTCAGTCGTTAGTCACGTCTCACTCGTACCCGGAAGACGCACGGGATCAAAGCTTGCAGAAAGGAAAGGGTCTGGTTGTTTTATTACATGGCTCACCTGGGTCTGGTAAAACATTGACAGCTGAGACCGCCGCTGAGGGATCAAAAAGGGCGATTATGATGACCTCTCTGGGAGAGCTTAATAAATCGGAAAGGTACGAACAAGTGTTGAATATTGCCCAGCAATGTGAAATCGGAAAGGACTAACTTCAAAAAGTCCTGCGGCTTTTGAATATCGCCTCAAACTTCTTTTGCAATATGCAACAACCTGGAAGGCAGTCGTCCTAATGGATGAAGCGGATGTGTTCCTCGAGGCTCGAGAGGACCACGGCGACACTTCCTATCGAAATGCTCTCGTGGCTGGTAAGAAGCTTATCCAAGTCGCTAAAAAGCAAAGCTAACATGCATTTAGTTTTCTTGAAGGAATTAGAGTACTTCAGTGGAATTGTTTTCCTCACCACTAATCGTATCAAGTCCTTTGATAAAGCCATGAAGTCTCGCATTCACCTCGCACTCGAATATACCCCGCCAGGCCTTGAGACTAGAGAAAGACTCTGGTTGCAAATGTTGAAGTCTATACCAAGCGAAGAAAATTGTATTGATTTTGATGAGGCCATGAAGGCCTTCGTGCTGGTGAAAATGAATGGTAGGGAGATTGCGAATGCTGTCCATACGGCCCGGACAATCGCACGCTTCCAAAAGAAGCCGGTTGGGATTGAGCATATCGAGATGGTCCTGGGTGTTTGGAAAAGATTTGATGAAAGTTTGCAGAAAATCAGGCAGGGAGCTCCTCATCCTATGGACAATGGCTCGCACTTGATGATGCGAAGAACGAATTCAATTATAGAAGATGAAAAAGGCGGCTTTAATTCATGAGATGTGTATCTGATTCGCTTTACTGGCGCATATAACATTATTTGAGTTTTTATACAAATTACTCTTACCTCTCGAGACTTGTTGGTTGTAGATAAGGTGCATGTAACACCTTGGGAGGTTATAACCGAGAACATTTGGCTCGATATAATTACTTAGAATCCTTTTAATCTTGTTAGAACAGTCAGACCCTGGAATTGACCAGTTCACATACTTAATTTCCGGGTTTTTTCATGAGTAGTCTATGCCGACCATTTATTGACGCATTTCGATGTACAAGGAAAATCCTCGGCGCAGGGAATCGTTTATATAACTTTCTGTGTTGAAAATCATATGAGCAAGTACCAGGGGTGATTTGTATCTATCGAACAAGTGCTGAAATCGATGATTGGAAATATTCATATGCAAAGAACGAAAAAGATTCCAGCATGAGTTAACGAGTCCTAGACAAGAAGCCTGTAAGTTTTGTTAGATTACCTTCATAATTTGTATTTATTTCATATACCCCAATAATGGCGGTTTGGCCGAGTGGTCTAAGGCGATTGAGTATGTTTTCTCTTCACAAAAATACCACACAACAACATTCACTAACAATCCGAACAGCTAGAAATCAATTCTCTTCGGAGGCGCATGTTCGAATCATGCAGCCGTCGTTCATATCTTTTTTTTCTCTTTTTAACTCCTTGTATACTAGTTATTTAACTATATAACTTTACTAATTAATAAGGAAGTAAAGATTCTTAACTCTTGAGGCATATGCCTAACTACAAGGTGCTTAAGTATATTTTGCATGGACAAGTATACAACATACACAAGACCTAATTTGTAAGTTTACCTGTATCTAACCGGCCCACAACTTTTTATACAAAAAATACAACATACGGAGCCTCAGGTCCGCCAGCCATATGAAAGGATCACCCATATGGAACTTCTTTTTTGAAAAACCTCCTTTTTACTTTAAACATCAACCACACCACCAACTATGCCTAAAACCAATAAAAAATTACAGCTTAAAATAGATCCAACTCTCGACCCTCTCTCTAACTAAACTAAACCTAATATCGCGTAAGCTGCGCGAGAATTCGCGGTGCCCGTATGTCGACTCCGCCGCCGATAGAAAGGAAGAAAATCTAGTTTTTCTCAGCCATTTTATATTGAGAGCCCTTTGTATAACTTATAGTATAAAATCAAATTTCCTATTCAAAGACTATATTCGAGTTTCGGCCTAGGTTTAAAGGAGCCTCCTTACAGTGTTGCGATTTCAAATTTTAACCAACTATCATGCCTAACATAAGTTATTCAACTTTTAATGCGTCCCTGAAATATACTCTTACGATTTGATCAGAGCATTAGTGTAGCATTTGCATATCAGTTCTATACTTAAAATAAGGGTTACCAATATAAAAATGGTTGAGAAACCAACATCTATGTATGTTGTATGTACCTTTTGTATGTGTGCCTAGTAAAAGATACACTTCCATATGGGTGATCCCTTTCATATGGGTGGCGGACCGAGGGGTCCGTATTTTTTGTATAAAAGGTTGTGGGGCCGGTTACTAGGGGGCACTAATGAAATATAGTGGCATTTCATGACTATTTGAACCCAATACTTCTATTTTTGGCCGCCCTGATCACCGCCTTTCTATTACTACTAATACTGACCCCACCTGATTAGATGTGAGTGGATGCAAAATTCTTCCGGCAGAAAATAGAAGTACCCGGGTGCAAAATAGTAGATAGAGGTTATCCAGGTTAATCTACGATACATATGTATGTATCAGCGGTACAAGTAATAATGGCGGTTTGGCCGAGTGGTCTAAGGCGATTGAGTACGTTTCTCTTTACAAAAACTCCACACAAAAACATTCACTAACAAATCCAACAGCTAGAAATCAATTCTCTTCGGAGGCGCATGTTCGAATCATGCAGCCGTCGTACACATCTTTTTCTTTTTCTTTTTTTTTCTCCATGTCACTCATGGATGAATAGACGTGCAAGAGTTTGTTAAATCTTAGGTAGTCTGCAGATCTCTTTCGAGTCCTTTGTGCTGTTTCATTGGTTGGATTCTACCTTACCGCCTGCAGGTCCCCGTCAATTTTTCCATTTCTGCCCTCTAGGGCTATTAGGACTATGCCCGCTATAGGGACTCAGTTCGGGCCTTGCAGGCCGCAGATTATGCCGAGTGTAGCGAGTATAGGGCCTCTCTTACTGACTTTCGCTTTCGTTCAACTTCGTTGTATCAACTATCGTATAGTATGTCAGATATTCCTACTTATTTAGATGATTTAGAGCTCAGTATTAGTTAGTTCTTAGTATCACATTCAAAGACGCGAAGTAGAAACGCGTCTATAAAGAAATTTTTAAACTTACAGAGGTTCACTAAAAAGTGGTAGTACTCCTAAATCTAGAATATCTGATATCAACACATGAATATTAACACTTCTTGCGATATCTCGTCCTCTACTGGTCAGATATTGTTTAGAATAGAAATATATACTAATATAGCTGCTGTGATTTGATATTTCAGATTAAACTCCATATAATGAATAGAAAAGGTAGTAATACAGCGATTGCAGATACCGATTTACTAGATACCAATGGGCTTTATTGGGGGCCTCATGGAGCCCCCACCAATGGGCCATGGGCTGGCCTGGGCTTTGAAGTTAGGGCCCAACCCGGCCCATTGCGAAGGTTTATGCAGGAGATCAGGTCGAAGCTAGTAGATCTTCGCTTTTAGTATCGCCCAGAGATTCTCAATCGGTTTAAATCAAGCGAATGAGGAGGCCATTCCATAACCTCTATCTCTATCTGACCTAGCGTATTCCGTACAATATACGCGGTATATCTTGGAGTATTGTTGTGCTGAAAAATACTACCTTATAGTAAATCAAGATGGGAGGATCCGGACTTTTACCTTCATAATGCACATGTATTCCAGTTACCTCATTAATGGCGGTTTGGCCGAGTGGTCTAAGGCGATTGAGTACGTTTCTCTTTACAAGAACACCACACAAAAAAACATTCACTAATAAATCCAACAGCTAGAAATCAATTCTCTTCGGAGGCGCATGTTCGAATCATGCAGCCGTCGTTCTATCTTTTTTTCTTCTCTTTTTTGCTAATCCTTGATCTTAATTTTCCTAGTATGAGAGGCCTGTATGGATAGAACTAGGAAAGCTATCAATGATACGATCTAATTTTTGTATAGGGATTGATAATGCAACCAACCCGCCTTCAAATGCCTGATCTGTCAGTTCCGCCTTCCTGATTAGGTACGATCAGGATTTCTGTCATGTATTCTGCCACCACCAAACTAATTCTGGTTTACTTTTGAACCTCCAGAGCTCCAGTGCTGTTGGATTTGATATCCTAAACGTGGGGCGTAAATGCTTGATGAAGGTTGTAACAGGGCGATTATTCGTGTATCTGAAGTGTCGTTGATGTATGACTTGGGCGAATCGTGAACTGTGATGGTGAGCCACAGATGGAGAATATTTGACTTGTGAACCCATTTATTCAGGATGGTAAGCTCTACGGCGGCCGAACACCCTTGTCAAAATCATCAACAGTGGGTTTCGTGTACGCGCCCGAAAGTAGATCGTGAAGTTAGTGTCGGTGTATGGAGAGGTCATTGAAGGCTGGTTAACCCGAGAAGTTTGGACGAAAGCTTGATAAGAGAGAAGAAGACCTGGGGAGTATGGAGGGTCTCCGAAACGCTGAAAATGAACCTGAGAAGATAGAACATTAAGGGAAAAGGAGTAGCCTATGACAGAGGGCCGAAAGGTGAGAACACTGCATTTAGTTCTATAAGATCTGCGAGAGCATTGAAGCCATTAGTGATGCAGGGAAAGTACCAAGAAATAGCTGTCCGTAGGTGTGAGGCCGTCGTAGAGTTGAAGAGATCGTGCTGAGAACCATAGAGCGGCAACCAGTGTAGAGAATGCAATGGAGAAGGAGAAGAGATCAAGATAGTTGATTGACTTTGGGAAAAGAAAGAGAGAGAGAGGCCAATCTAGCTAGAAGAGAGAAGACTATAGCAAATAATTACTCCGTTAAATCGCCGCTCTGTTTGCTAGTCAAAGGGCGTCAAGCTATTTAGAGGCGTGTCGCTTGCCCATCTCTCTACGCCCCGCACCTCCCTCCTCATTCTTCTCCCTGACACCTTAGGTTTCGACGACATTTATCCATCCTTCGTTCCCTTCCAAGCGCCCATACCCTACACCAGCATGTCATCCTTTCTTCCAAGCGATTGCATGTTTTGCAGTAGATGCAGCTTCGGTGGCCACTTTGCTAAAGACTGCCAAGATCACTGCAGGTGGTGCCATAAGTTCATGAAGCCCAACCATTTTGCCACTTGTAAACAGGCACCGGCCTGCTTCAAGTGTGGAGAGAAGGGGCACGTAAAACATGACTGCCCATCAAGAAAAAGGAAACACGAGGATAGGTCTAGGTCAAGATCTATGAGCTTGCAGACTTGCTTTCGATGTGGGAAGAAGGGTCACCTGAAGCATGATTGCCAGCAGACTGAGCCAACCTGCTTCAAGTGTGGCCAGCCAGGTCATCGCAAGGCCGAATGCCCGCAGATGAACCTAATGATTTCACGGGAGCTCGAAAATACCTTACCATTAATGCAGGATTCGCTGCAGTCAACTAAGATCATACCCGAGGCAAGATCCCCGTTTCCCCTCCCATGGTCCAACTTACCTCTGACCCAGGTCATTTAGACTCAGCACCAGATCATGATGCCTGAAATGGAGCCAGTAATTCTTTCACTTGTACAGAAACTGCACGGACAAGAGATCAAAGATCCTCTGATTGAACATCTAGGCTATCAGTCTGTGATTGATGCTGTCGGGGGCGAACAAGTGTTTACCGAAATGGCATTGAATGCAATCGACCCTCGTATTCTCGCTCTCCAGGGCAAAATAATCACAGTGGAAATGTATGTATTATCCACTAGCTTTAGCTGAGAAAAGCTCACACAAGCTAGGCTAGATATTATCCGTGCATCCCAGATGCAAGAACTCGACCCTTGGCCTCATTCTCATGGTGGCTACTGCGACTTTATAACGGATTCCCGAGATGCGAAGTACTGGCGTGGATATGTCGGACAGGCCTCAGTATTGGCAATTCGCATTCCTCAGCATTGCAGTGCAATAAGGACAGGGAAAAACAACACCCTACACTATCACATTGTCACAAAACCTTCGGCGGCAGGCTACCGCTACAGCAACTTCATTCGGCTATGGATCATACAATTTCCAAATTGTACCCAAACTTCGACAAAAGAGGCATTCGAAAATGTTTTGGAACTATCATTCACTCGTGCATTTCAAACACTTGCCCCTTCTATCCTCGAGCTTTATTTTGGTCCCTGCCCAGAAGGCTCATACTCAAGCCTTGGTCTTAACATAGTTCCCCCACTGATGCAAGGTAGAGAACTCTCACCGAGAGTTCGGGCGGAGTTTACAAAACTTCTGGAGGGCTCTACAGACTCCGAGATCCGTGAGTGGCCAAGTGTCCGGGCAAAGCAGAAGCACCGGCCCAACGCCTCCGAGAAAAGCTTGGTTGAAACTCAGAGATGCCCAAGATTCACCGCTGAAGAAAATGTCAATGCTCTTTATGTTGCCATACAGAGTGGAGAGGAGTTTGCTGATATGGCTTTCTGGCCATCAAAGGGAAAGGTTCCATGGACGCCCCTTGGCAGTGAGATCCAGCCCTTGGATGTGAAGGCCTGGTTTGAGAATATTTCCAACTGGATCTTGAACGATGGTTGCACCAAGAGCGATCTAGCAATCCCAATAGGCACTACAGTAGCCTCTGTTGGCATCATGTTAGATAGCGTTCCGACCCACACCTATGGCGAGATATCTCTCCCTTGGGGGTTGAGAGAAAGCGGGTTCACGGAGACAAACTCTTTGATATGGTTCACCAATCTTCAAAAGTACAAGCTTATCCCTGGGACATTCCAAGTCGGCATGTCACGCGACACCGATACAGAATTCTTCTCAAAAAGTACCCAAGAATTGATTGAGAAAAGCAGCCTCCGAGTCATTCTACTCTGCGGAAAATTCGCTGAAAAAGTGGCACTCACAGAGCAAGACCTCAAGAATAAATTTATTTTGGATCTCCAAGGTGCTCGATATGAAATCTGGGTGAGATTCCGACACAATGCCATTGAGCGCATCTTCGTGAGATCGCCCGCTCCTCTCATCACACTATGGTCGAACAAAGGGTCCATAGCTGTGAAGATCGACTTACTGTTTAGGTGTGTGTCGGCTGTCTCAAACACTAGGCTCTCCACGACATTCTATGAAAGTGCACTCACAGTAGCACTGGTGATTCGTGGGTGGGACGATGAGAGATCTGAGAGGGTTGACCCGCTCGAACCAGCGCTAGAAAAAGTGAATCCCACTTTGAGAATATGGCTAGAAAGGTTAGGGTTTAGGGAGGACGAGGATGTCCGCCGTCTTGCAGAGTGCACAGCGGGGTCATTGAGGCTTGGTTTGCTCGTTCTCCTGAAAGTATTACCAAGAGCTCCACCGGGGGTAGGACCCAGAAAGGTCCCACAGTCCAAGACAAAGCGAATCGGCGTGATATCTCCAGAGACGATGGAAAAAGTCCGATTATTACTGAAAGATGTCCAGAAAGAGCTACTCCCAGTGAATAAGACTGACACTGGCGACGTTATCAAGCCCTCGCACACCCAGTGGGAGGACACCAGCTTGGTAGATGAAGACCTCATAATGGAAGCGGTTGAGCATGGGAGTGCAACACTGAAAGAGTTGGACTCAGAGAAGGAGAGACTAGTGGTCGAACGGCTGCAAGCACAGGGACCTGGGGCAACAGAAGTGAACCAGATGACCTATCAAAAAGGTCTACAACTTCTCATAGGTTATCATTTCAAGGGACACGAAACCAGAAAGGGGGAAGTCAGTACTTATCAGTTCAACTTTCAACATGCAACTTTCCGAATCCACCAAGCGCCCCCAAATGAGACATCTTTTTTTGTGAAAGCCGAGATAGCACCTATGGGTGAGAGACATCCCCACGCCTACGCCACCAACGCCTTAAGGAGTGACCCGGGCATGCGATTTGGCTTTAGAGTTTCATTGCGTGATGAAAAGGGAGAAGAGTCATTCGTGAAGTATGCGAGCAGCTCTACGTGGCAAGCCATCGCGATCGCTAATTCGTTTGTGGATGGTCTCGATGGGGACTCATTTGAAGAGATATGTCGTCGGAAAAGACGATTTGTCTGGATCGACAAAAGGATTAAGAACGTGCCACCAGAACTGCAACCATTTATTAATGGGGCCTACCGGGACGATGAAGACAATATAATCAGGTTCAATAGTGCTTCTCCTAAGGTTCTGAAGCCAACAGGTTAAACCGTGTCCTGGTAATGAGTTTCATCTGGGAAGATCTCATGAAGGTTGTGACAACAGCACTAGCTATCATTGCCAATTATTGAAGGTGGGTGGGAATTCATTCATCGTCCACCTAAGCCGAAAAATGTAGACCCGCGAAAGGAAAAAGGAAACATCCATCTCTTTCGGATATCGATAAAAGAATTGTGTATCAATCAGCGTATCGAGTAGGCGATCCAGGAGGAAGAAAAAAAAAGAAAGGAAAGAAAAAAGATGTGAACGACGGCTGCATGATTCGAACATGCGCCTCCGAAGAGAATTGATTTCTAGCTGTTGGATTTGTTAGTGAATGTTGTATGTGGAGTTTTTTTGCAAAGAGAAACGTACTCAATCGCCTTAGACCACTCGGCCAAACCGCCATTATTAATTATACTTTCATTTATATCTTATATCAACGTATTAACAATTTCTATCCATTCCACTAGTGCGCTCGCTCTAGTACATAGTAAGATTACAACTCTGCTTAAGTACCTTATAGGTATATAAATTTCTTAGCCCTCGAGAGTGGGCATGTAGCTCGGGGATACTTCCGAGGTCGAAAAACTTATTCGGTGTACCCGCCAAGTCTACTCATATTATCAATGAATTTTGGTACATTTCTTGGCCCAGATCTGCTATGTACCCAAAAATTCTATATTTTATGACCTATACGGAGTAATAGTACAAGTATGATATTACATCCTTTTTTACACCCGCTTATTGATTGTTAGAATTTAAGCCTTACTACTACTTTATTAGGTAGTTAGGGATAGACCTCCGCACCAGCCCATAAAGCCCAGGGCCCAACCCAACCCAACCCGCAAATGGGCCCGGTCCTTAGGCCCACCGGTGGGCTATGGGCCTAGGGTAGAAGCCCACTGGGCTTTCGTAGGGGCCCAATGGGCCCCAAACAGTACAAACATGCTAAGAATCTAGGTGCCAAGTAAAGTTGAACCCTCCCTTTTCTGTCTTTTTAATTACGCTTCATTTTACCTACGTTTCTAGGCCTTATTCCTAAGGTAATATTCTATTTATTAAATGATTTAGAGCTTAATATTAGTAATTTCTTAATATCGCGTTTAAAAACACGAAAAAGCGCGTTTATAAAGAAATTCTAAAAATTACAGAGCCTTACTAGAAAGTAGTAGTATTCCCGTCTAGATCTAAAATATATATCTAATATCAAAATATCAAAATTAATACTTTCTACAATATCTCGTCCTCTACTTATCGGATCTTATTTAAAATTAAAATATATACTAATATAGATACTGTGATTTGATATTCTGAATTTAGACTCTATATAATTGGTAGAAAAGGCTATAATACAGCGATTGCAAAGGCTAATACCGATGGGCTTCATTGGGGGCCTTATGGGCCTCCACTAATGGGCCGTGGGTTGGGTTGGGCTATGGGCTTGAGCTCCGGGCCCAACCCGGCCCATTGCGGAGGTCTAGTTAGGAATCCTTACTTCCCTGCCAATTGGGAAAGCTATACAGATACCTAATACAGTAAAGCCTGGTTATAACGATATAATTCAGACGGAGTAAAAATGTTGCTATACCCAGGTGTTCGTTCAATCGAAATGTCATATATAAAATATTTATTTCTGGTTTATACACAAGCTAGGTGCCAGAACAGCTCCTAATATCGCTCTGCTTCTCTAACCCCGATTTCCTTGCTTCCGCTAACCATTTATATCTATTATACTTACCAATTAATTATTGTAAAGCCACCTTCTAAGAGGTTAGGATCAGCTGGGCTTGGGTGCCCGGTTAGGATTAAACAGTGTGATATTTTCATTGGTTGAAAGGTAAAAGTCAAGTCACGCGACCAACTAAGGGGACATTAATTGGTTGAAAATGCTTAATAAAGCGCTGGATATAACGATCTTTTGCGCGGGAGAGTAGATGAATTTAAGATAATCGTAGAAAGGAGGGTTTACTGCATACACTTAGAGACAAAAAAAGAAAGTATGGACGACGGCTGCATGATTCGAACATGCGCCTCCGAAGAGAATTGATTTCTAGCTGTTCGGATTGTTAGTGAATGTTGTATGTGGTATTTTTGTGAAGAGAAACGTACTCAATCGCCTTAGACCACTCGGCCAAACCGCCATTGGATGTAAATATTCTGCAAAAATGTGTATTAAAAGGGCCTCAGTATTTTGACAGTATACTTAAATGTTTCAAACCCCATTTATAGCAATGAATACAATAAAGCACTTTTCTGTGTGAGATTCAGTGCTCCCTCGCTAGCATAGAAAATCCTCGGGGACTTGGATTATTCGGGATGATCCACTCATAGCTTTCGACGAAAAGCTCAATCAACTAGAATAGGTGAATAGTGAATATATATTGTTCGGATATCAACTATACTGTTTGCCATGCTGTTTGCTAGTCTAGACTCCTGATACCTTTATTTGCTTGTTTGCTTGCTGCTTTACATGAGTATACATAAAAACTTATATCTTATAAAACTTTAAACCCCGGCCTCTCCATAGCTTTCTCCAGTACACCCTCTCCCTTCTTCATCTCTCTCTCATAGCATGCTCTTAACAAGCATGGTCGACATATGTACTGTTAAATGCGATGATGAAGTGGATTCAAAAACCTACATTAGACAATCCGGACTAAGGTGGGCAGAAGTATATGAGCAAGTCATTCGATACCGACGAGTGACAGTGATCCACAATATAATAAGAGATACAGATTGTTTCAATATATGGATTGTGCCGAGGCGTGGCTTCAACCTCTTTGTACCTGCCCTGACTATCAAGGACTGTTGACAGCAACCCAATAGACCGCGTATTGTTCTCGCATGCGGTACGCTAGCTCAAGCACTAACTGGGTCTTGCCTACACCATGGTGGCCTCAGATTTCCGTTTCAATTTTTGTGTCAGGCCACTAAGCAGTTCTTCGCGGCCGGTAAACCGCGTATTCCGTTCAAACGCCACCTGCTATTTGGCCCTGCCCTGCCCTTCACCTCTATTAGCATTATATTTCGGTATCACGTATTCAGAACAACGGCATACATTGTTTCCAAAGAGCCTGTTTCTCCCCATACGCCTGTATTAGCTTAGCAGCATATCTATATTCTGGTGACGGAGTATGAACCCGAATATCTTTATCAAAATGTAAATTGGTTGCACCTATCTCCGTTATTATCCGTCAGTCGAGGGAAATTAGGACTATGAGAAGTCTTCTCAATACACACTCTACTTTGATTTTAGCTTCTCAACACAATAGTGCAATTGAAATACCACCGCCTGGTGGCCGAGATACACCTCCGTCGCTACCTCAATCAAGCCTTGCTCCTGATACTCTGCCAACCCGACGTCCTGTAACCCCTGGTTCACATTGAATCAAAAATACCGCTTGTTACGATAATAACCCCGCCATCTAGAGATGAAGTTTTTTTCTGTGTGCTTAGTTTCAGTAGCTGGGCGGCCTGGCAGATGGTCACTGGGATGCCAGGATTGCCGTGTATAGGGTAGCTGCGAAGGCGCACGATATCCTTGGTCTCTTGCATAATGCTGCAGACGAACCTGGAGCCGTTAGCAGGATACGGAACTATCAGCTCATATGCACTTACACCCGGCAACCCCGGTTAGCTTAATCATTGAATAAATCGGTTGGCTTAGCTCCATTATTACTGATGACTTCGTTGATTACACTCTCAAGCGTGTTGGCATCGAATAGGGGCTCATTCTTTCCAAAAACGCTGAGGTTGGCCCGTTTCGGGGCCTTCTTAGATATAATTTTCATTAACTTGATATATGCCATGATGCAGTCATCAACATCCATCTCCAATCGACCTAGCATGATTGCAATCAATTTGTATCTGTCAGCCATCCGATATTACAACATGAACCAAATCTACTAACCCGCCTGTACTAGTGCCACCTATAAGGTCAAACACCTCGCAGGGTTTCTTTGCTGGTGAACCCTCGGGACGTGTCTGATTCAGTTGATCCATCAACCCTTTCAGGATGTATAGAGTTAACAGCCCGCGCATGCCACCACCATTGAGGGACAGTAGACAGAGCCCGGTGCTGTCCAGCGGGTTCGGTTCCCGCCATGAACGGTTGCTACTTGCTGCACAATCCAGTGTTCTATTCAGTCTATTAATCTTTGCTCAAATGAGCTACAGGCCTAAGCGGAAATTAAAGAGAAATAGTTATCAGTCTGACTTAGAGATAGGCAGTTTAGCGGAAGACGCCTGGGCGGGGCAAGAGCGACACCTTGGGCTGTGCTGTGACCAACGCACCCCAGCAAATGCCACATTAAGGACCTTCTGGCAACGTGGAGCTTAATCCTACTCGCAATTCGCCAATGACCGCTCAGGTCGCCAAGGATGCTGACTGCAGGCGCTCGTTCAGCCTGGTTCAAGTACCCGGGGGTGGATTGAGACCAGTTCAATTGCAATACATGTATCTAAAAGTCCTTGTATTCTAGACATGACTTAATATCGGGGAGGAGGCGCAGTACTGAACCTCGTATCTGCCATGTACACAGCAATGAGTGCGGCCTGAACAGAGCTGTTAGTTTCCAACTAAAATGACCTCAGATATGTTACTTACTAGAGATAAGTCAAACCCCTCAGCCACAAGAATTTCAAGCACTTGTCGTGGCATCAAGGACACATCACCTTGAGAGGTAGCTTTAGGTAGCTTTTTATTCATTGTTATGCTCTCACGAACATCAACCACTTTCTGGCCCCCAACACTAGCCGAGAATCCTTGCCATGCATAACAGCCCGTCTCTCGCACTTCGACCGTCACCATTCTATCACGCTCGCTTCTGGAGTCCGGCTCCATCGAGTTGCGAAATGTGAGTCTGTAGACTTTGTTCATATCGACTCTGAAATCCACAAGCTCTTCGTCTTCCTTGCCAGGTAATCGTACCCGGAGTGGTCGTTTCCATGCGAGGATAGCTGCGCGAGACTGGAACATTGGGAGTCCTGAGGAATCACGAAATTCGCGAGCTGGAGTGTCACCATATTTGTGGCCAGTGACTGTGAAAATCGTTGAGTCGTCCCAGTATCTCTTGATGGTATATTCATTGGGCGATAGTTGGTCATATTTAGGTTTCAGGTAGAGGAGAGTTTCTTCATCGGCGATATGTTCTTGTCTGATTCCGACAGGCTGGGAGAGTGTCTTGACAGCCTTATTTACGGGTGTAATATTATCATAAGAAAACATGGCGAGGAGTTTGAAGATGAAAACATTGCAGGTCGCGACATTTCAATTTGGAGAAGGGATCGACATGGCCCCTCTACCCGACAGATACCAGTTTGTGAATGAATACAACATTGAGTCCATTCATAACTTGAGAGTGAAACCCCTCTAGAAATAGGAAGATCCCGAGATCGGATGGAATATCGTTGACCCCTCACCTGGGCATTTACCCAGATAAGCCAGATAAGCCCAATTTATAAAGACATCACTCCCCCTGATTTTGGAGCCTTTTATGTACCTGAATATTTTCTATCAAAATGGAATATCGTTTGTGGTTAGCCGGTAAAGAGCAGGATGGGAATGGCGACCTGTGGGTAACGGCTATCTTGACACTTTCGAACAAGCATTGACAAGTATACAGCATCCCAATTGAAGATCCAGCAACCGGAGAGATCTTCGCGCAGTAAGATAACTCATAGACCTTGGGAAGCCATCCCGGCCTAACCTTTAACAGATGTCACGCAGCCTCATCAGAAGATGTCGAGACCGCCATCTCCGCCGCCCACGCAGCATATAAGTCCGGCATATGGTCGCGTGCGAGTCGTCATCACCGTGCCGATGTGCTAGACAAATGCGCATCGCTTCTCTCCGATGTCCTCCCGCAACTCATCTCAACAGAATCAAAGCAGACTGGTCGAGTGATACGGGAAATGAAGGCTCAAGTCCCATCTTTGACAAGATGGTTCAAATACTATGCTTCCCTGCTACGAGTCGAGGAGCGGTCTGTCCTGCCGACGATGGGTAAACTGCATAACTTTGTCGACCGAGTACCTCTCGGCGTGGTCGTTCAGATAACCCCGTTTAACCACCCGTTGTTGATCGCCGTGAAGAAGCTTGCTCCAGCACTTGCCGCTGGAAACAGCGTTATAGTCAAGCCTAGCGAGCTGACCCCATTGACGACTCTTATGTTGGGCAAAATTCTCCGCGAGGCGGGAATCCCAGATGGCGTGTTCAGCGTCTTACCTGGATATGGAGCCATCACCGGCAAAGCACTGGTCGAGCATCCACTAGTGAAAAAGGTGGATGTGACTGGTGGTACCGAGGCCGGCAGAGCAATCGGCAAAATTGTTGGTGGAAATCTGGCAAAATACACCGCGGAGCTTGGTGGAAAGGCGCCCTTGATCGTGTTTGAGAAGGCCAACATCGATACTGCAATCAATGGAATCGTCTTTGGAAGCTTCATCGCAAGTGGACAGACCTGTGTGGCCAGCACCCGAATTATAGCGCAAAACTCCATCATGCATGAGCTGCTGGATAAGCTCAAGGCCAAGATCGAGAGCATTACACGCCGAATCGGAGCCCCGAGCAACCCGGAATCAACCATGGGGCCACTTATTTCCGAAAAACAGTTAGCAAATGTGGAGCGTCTAGTCAATAGCGCTCTAGAAGGAGGGAATGCGGTCGCTCTCATCGGTGCAAAAAGGATGGGCTCTCAAAGCCCGCTTGACGGATTCAACTTCGAGAAGGGATATTTCTACGAACCAACGCTACTTGCATCCAGCAAAGAAAACAACAGTATTGTGAAGACATCTATCTGGCGTGAGGAGGCGTTTGGTCCTGTTATTGTCGTTGCAGGGTTCGACACCGAGGCAGAAGCAATCGCCTTGGCAAATGACAGCGAGTTTGGATTGGGAGCTGGTGTATGGACACTCGATCTCCCCCAGGCTTTCCGAGTATGCGAACAGATTGATGCGGGAATTACTTGGGTGAACACCCATCATCGAAATGACCCTAGTAGTCCATGGGGAGGTTCAAAGTCTGCTAGTGGAGTTGGAAGCGAGAACGGAGTCGAGGCTTACAATGCCTACACAACATCGAAAAGCACAATCATAAACTATGCTTCGCCTGATGAGTCCTTGGCTGCGGATGACTGGTTTGGAGATGGCTCCGGCAATGTTAGATATGGTTGAATACTTTTAGGTAACCATATATAGTAGAAGTTATATCTAGTTTTATTGAAACTGTATCTCACTTTAGACTCTTTTCTATACATTATGAAATGCATGTCATTTGTATCTGGCAAAAAGCAGGAAATGACGGTGTTACTTGAATATTCAAGATATAGATCTGCAGTAAGAAATGCATGATGTCATACCCAGCCGGGATACTACGCCTTATATTTCTTTATAATACAATGAAACACTCCTCTGATTTAATTTATATGAAACCTACTGATATCAAAAGATCGACACTCATATTCATCATGTCGCTTCGGGGTCGCAAAACCGACCCTAGACCCACGGGGCCACCGAATAGCCAAGATCAACATGAACCTACTGAGCGCTCAAGACTGCTTCCTGCAGAAAATCATGGCTTCCTCACTCCAGATGATCCAGCGGTGAGTCAAACTAAAACTAAATATCACACAAGTTTTAGCTAACTCGAGAACCCAGGTATCGCCCTACAATCTATGGAGCGTGCGCGCCCTGCGCGGCGTGTCAGTCACTGCATTAGCAATTAGCTTCATATGGTGGACATTCCTGCTTGTCTCCATATTTGTTAGTCCACCTATGATCCACCCACGAGGGTCGGGCTTCTTTGCCTTTTCATATACCACCTTGGCGACAGGATATCTCGCCGTTGGACTCCTGTTCTTCGCAGTGCCATCCAAGCCCATGACCATATGGGCCATTACCCTTGCAGCTCTTCTTGTGTTGGACATGTGTATTATCCTCGCTGTGCCGCGAATCCGTCTTGAAGAGGGCTGGGTGGGGATTGCATCAGTCGTCTGGGTAGCTCTGATCTCCATCTACCATGCGATCCAGAACCAAGCGGTTGCTTGGGGTAAACGAGAGGAGGAAGAGCGCCTCACTGGTCGAGAAGAGACTCGACGCTCGCTCCTGGAGTGGGTTGCTGTTCTCGCTGAAACAATTTTACTGGCTGTCATGGGCATCGCCACGATCCTGTTCACAGCGACTCTGATTTTGCGTGCTTTCGACGCCGGACTCGAAGCCCCGGGTAAGCGGTACTTGGTACATGGGGAAACCTATCAGGTTCATCTCGCTTGTGTCGGGAACAAAACTGCAGACGACAAAGTACCGACAATTCTTCTGGAGGGTGGGAATGGGCCGGTCGAGCATACACTGCAACCCTTCATCGACGATGTATACGGCCGTGGTGGTATCGGTAGATACTGTTACTGGGATCGACCGGGATTCGGATGGTCCGACAATGCACCCTCGCCTCATTCTGTAGGCATGTCGGTAGATGCGCTAGGAGAGGCGTTAGCTCTTGCTGGCGAGACTGGTCCATGGATAGTTGTTTCCGCTGGAGTTGGCAGTCTATACTCCAGGCTGTTCGCCAGTCGTAATATTTTCGAAGTTCGCGGCATCTTTATGATCGACCCTCTCCACGAGGCATACTTGGCAGACATTGGACGACCCGGTCGTGGGTTTTTACTTTGGCTTCGTGGTATTCTTTCCCCCCTGGGATTGGATCGGCTTGCTGGTGCCATTTTACGCGGCCGTTCTCGTGAGGACCGAGTTGTTGGTCGTTCGGCTTACCAGTCTGGAAAGTACATCAAAGCAAAGCTGCAGGAAAACCTTGTTGCTGTCACCATGACTGCCGCTGAGATAAAGTCTGCTCGCCATGTTCAGATGGGTCATGCTCCCGTGGTCGTTGTGAGCTCTGGGCAAGAAGTGAGGAAAGATTCTCAGTGGGCAGAGCGACAGGAAGATCTTTCTCATATCACAGACAACCTGTTGTCTTGGGATATTGCTGATGATGCTCCTCATGAAGTATGGAATACTGGACAGGGACGAGAGATATTGGAAAAACGTTTGAAGGAGCTTGTCCAAGAAAGTCAGGTGTATGAATAATGAGGGTGATCATCGTCGGTAAGTCGTGTTATTATCTGTGAGTTTTTGCATCTTTAATCGGGCGTTTATCGTGAAATATCGGAGAGGGCAGGAAATTTGTTAATTGTGTAGTATGAAATACATCGGAAGTTGAGGGGAAATGTACCCTCAGGAATAGTTCCTTGCCTGACGTCACCTCATATAAATATGACTTATATGTAGGCTCATTACTCCGTGTTCATCTGTAGCATATACCTAGAGACATTCCAATATTTTACCATATATCTATGTGACCGGAAAAAGCAAGTTCAATGAACCACGAGAGAATCAGTGAATTATCTATCTACAGCAGACCCCAGGGCTGTAAGACGCGTAAGACACAAACTGGATTTCGAGTATATTCGTCGAAAATACAGTGATATCGGGCAGAGCTTTAGCCTGCTATAACCAGCCGACGGACCCAAGGGCTGTCTAGCTTCCGTTCCCGCATCACATCTCCATTTCGGGTCCGTGAATCGACAATATCCCGGGAAAAAAGGGCGATGCACAGCCACTAGTGACTCCTCGTGAATTTTGTGGCAACGCGGTGGGAAAGCTGAACCGAAAGGCCTGGGGGCGGTGCGATGAAACCGAACGGCGAAAAGACGAAACCGGTCATTCTAAACTAGCTCCCTTAAACCTCTTAGCAAGCTGGTCACTCTCGGGACTGGGAGATATGGACCGGGGTAGAGTGGAGGGTGGGGGGTTGCGGCGTTTCCGGGCTTGGGAATCCGGGCGAGAAGGGTCCGCCGGTGTGGGCCAGGGGCGCTTAGGGGGGCGCTCACCACTCTCTTGAAGAATTGTCATCAATGTGGCCCATCCTGGGGTATTCACAAGCTGCATGCCCTCGATGGGGGACTTCGTTCTGGCGACACGGCAGAGGAGCGATTCCTCGTCCTATTCATTAATGGGAGTTAGCGTCGCATACAGTAACAGATGCACGATATAACACCGACCTTGCTAAATGTGCTGAGTCCATGCAAGAAGCACAGTATGTGGAAATCAGAAACGCCTTGGATAGCTTTATCGGGATCACCATGGGACATCAGTTTCTGGGCAACGTGTCGAAGCTCCTGGCTCTCGCCAACAACTTCACGGTTCTCAATAGGGAAGCGACTGTTGGTGAATAATGGGGATGACTCTGTTGGGAATCCATGGGTCAGGGTAACTAATAGGAAGTCCACTGGGAAACTAGGCTCGGCGCTCTCCTGTACACTTGCACCGTACTCATTAATTCGTCGGTAGAAGACTTCGGGAATGTATCGTGTCCTGCTTCCGGCATCTTCGTCATACTCTGATTGTACCAGCATCACACTCGGGTCCGCTGAAGGTTCGATGATATCTCCTCGAACCATCTCAACTGCAGAAACAGATGCTTGGTATGAACTGATAGAAATCGCACCAGCCTCATCTCCGCTGAGCACACACGTTACAAAATCGGAGCCGAACTGCCCTGTCCGGCTCCATTTCGTTGACTTGGGGTTTTGTGCCTGGAGTCGTGCAGCGAATGCAATTTCAAGTGAAGACAAGAAGTACGAGTCGATGTGGCGCTTGCAAACGACTGAACCATCTCCACGGCCAGCATCAATCAAGTCAGTAAATATCACACCAACCTTCTGCAATCCGCAGAGACGGGCTACTTCATCCACTTCCTTTTCGTTGTGCCAGTCATGGAGTGTTACGCCATCCACTTCGCCGGTTTGCGGGGGCTCATAGATTGCTTCAACGACAGCCTTGATACCCAGTGGTACTTCAGTGTATTCCTCATATGTTCCATACAAGAAGCCCAGTCGTTGAGCGCCTGACTTTCGCCAGAAGTCAAGGAGGGAATTGATTAAATCAGAGGACGAGAACTCCACATGGTCTACCATTCGGAATTCCTGGGGTTGAAGACTGATTGCACTTGGTTGACATTTGGTGCAAATGCCCTCCGGCCAAGGAGAATGCCCCGATGGGCAATCCGTTCGCACTCGGTAATATGGCTCGTTGAGCGGTGGCATGAACGAGGTTCCCATTTCGGGCTTGTTGGTCGCGGCATTGATTTTCCGCAGGTATGAATGGAAAGAAAGGTGCTTAATCTTCTTCTCTGCCATGTTGCTCGCATCATAAGGCTCGAGTGGCATGCAGTAATCACACATGCCTCGGGGACCATGTCTGCACATCTTGTAGTCCATGCCACGCTTGATTTTCCCATCTTTCTTGTCTAGCAGATTGTCCAGCGGTGACTGTTGCACTAGGTCCCACGGGTTCTTCATCGGAGCGGCAACACTTGGTAGTGCACGAATCGGAACTGTCTGTTGTTTGGGAATTGGCGTGCCATTGAGTCGGTATTCTGAAGTGCTAGATAAGTCGCCGTTCGAGGGTCCATTATCTTGTGCCTGTTCCCGGTACCCAATAAAGAGCTTATCGCCATGCCTTCAAGTCAGCGGGGCGTGAGTAATTCATTCCATAAAGGCCAGAGCTTCCACACTTACTTGAGGCCAACCTGTTCGAGTGAAACACCTTGTAGGCCGTCTAGTGGTCTCTCCTCACCACCTGTGCCGATCGGTTTATTTGAGAGGGTGATGGACGAAGGTTCGGCGGCTGCGGGGAGATGCTCTAGAATCTAATGCAAGTTGCCAAATTAGCTTTTGGATCTGATCCTGCTATCGTCCCCTTCTGACCAAGGGCAATACCTTTTTTTGAAGTGATGGAAAGAGTTCCTGTGGGCTGACCGTGAGTCGAAATTGGCCGTTTCGACTCTCGAATCGCAGAAGAATGGAGGCCATCTTGGCCCTTAATTCCTAGAGCACTGTTAAGGAGAAATGAGAGGCTGCTTCAACGAGAAATATAAAATGGAAGAAGAAGAAAGTGAGAATGAGAAGCTCGACCCGGAAGCTTCCCTGGTCACGTCACAGTTGGCGGGCGGTATGGTACCTGACTGACAAAACACTTTCCGCTCGACTGTGGAGTTTTCAGTAAGAAGGCGGTAAAATTGTAAAAGTCGTTACACATACAAAGCCATCGTATAAATAAGAGCTGTGGGTTCACAGCGATAGTACTATATTTTCACATTATTAAAAAAAAGACATTTATTAGGTATCAACTTGGAGACTCTCACATAAATAGTCATAGCCAGAATCGTCAAATGTAGCAAATGTAGAAGATGTGGAAAGCCTCGGAAACATTGACCAGTTAGTGATAGTACTCGTACAGTTCTGTTTTATTTCGTTTTGACTTCACTTTTCCAATAATTCCTGGATCTTCTAACTCTTGTATTTTAATTATCCACCTTAAATTAGGGTCTAGAAATAGGTGAGTTCATTGAATGCTCGATATCGATTCGTTGGCCTTGCGAGCGTGTATATGAATACTAAGTGCCCAAGAAGAGCACCCCAATGTCTGAAGCTACAAGAAGATCTATTGCTCACGGGCTTGTGCAGAAGGGTAGGAATTTATGTAGAATACTCGGTCACTTGGGCAACCCAAGAAAACATTCATAAACACATGATGCAGGTTTTATGATCTTAGCTGCAAGCCTGAAGGACGAATCTAACATTAGATGGACATGAGAATCAGCCAGTGTCAGCCCGCTCAGCGGAACTATAATTTAAGCTTACCAGAGTTTGTGTATAGACTCCACTATCCCACATATCTATGATATTTGATTGTTCATATACGGCTTGTACTATGCTGTTCAGAGATACCAAGGTAGCTATCACGCGGAGGCAGTACTTTGTTGCCAATCATCATTAGGTTATCATCATGCTGACTTTAGGCATGTAAATATTAGAAAGATAATTGGCAATGTTGCCCTCCTTGTAATGGCGGCCAATTCTCGGCAAAAACCGTTTTGTGAAATAGGGCGCAGCCAGAGTGGTTCCTTGTCAATCTTCTCCCGTGGGCTTCTCGCCATATCGATCTCGTGGGCTATCGATTCGAGGATGTCCTAATAACCCCTGTCCATGCGGAATCTACTCAAAACAACCACAGCAAAAAACAATGATGGCTCAAAGCATACTAGAGCGATTTCGTTTAGTTCTCTTCGGTCTCTACCTGAGTGAGAAATAGGCCATGATGTGACATATACCCTAGTCTTGGTAATTATAGCCACTTGATTTATGCAACGAATCTTGCTAGATGCCAATAACGGCAATCTCGATGTGCCGCGGCATGTACGCCGCCAATAATTAGTGCGGTAACATTTCAAGTGCAATACAATTCAATATGGAAAAAGTTGTGATCTGCATAGTGATAATTGCCTATTAGTATTGGTATTACTGCTAAAAAAAAGAGGTTTGGCTTACATTAGCACGAGCTGGCACGGTAGATTATATAGAAGAGATCTTTGACGGTAAAAGGACTATGGGAGGTAATGATGAGGCTCTGCTATTTAGAAAATAATGGGGCCAAAACGGCTCATGAGAACCCCCTTTACTTGGCATAGTAGATGAAATAAAAGACAGAATACAACATACGAGGAATCCCTGCCTGATCGTCACTCGGCTAACACACCATTCGCCCAGGCCTAATTTCCCCTATAGTGAAGAAGGCAGAGCCTTGAATTAGTGTCTCAGCTTTCGGTAGGATGTCAGAATTAATCAATCCGCATTCAAATAAATGGTCCAAGCGCACGGCGTGGGTGAATCCTTCAAGTTCCCGAGGATGTTTGTCCAAAGGTTATAAACAATCTAGGTCCCTGGTCATCATTCCCAAATATCCAAGCAAGTATCCCCATATCTCCAGCTATCATGCCAACCGCAGCCCTGTCCGGATACAGCTTCTCAAACATCGGTCCATTGACCACTACGTTCACTCCTCCCGCATCATGTATTTCCTCGTTTGGTGATGTGTTGCTGGCTGACGCCAGCCGCACAACTTCATATTACAGAAAGGTTGACTGTGAGTGGGCGCAGGCCTATGAGTGCTTCCCAAGCGGTAGTTCCATGGCTTCAGAGCACAGTAATGCCATAACCCAAACATCTGCCACCGCCACAATGTCAATGATGGGGTATTACTCGCCCGGCCTCGTCTGCCCGTCTGGCTGGGCCACGATGGGCATAGCGGCTCGCTCGGGCAGCGAGTCCCCCAGTCTCTCGGGAGCTTTCAATTTCGCCAGTGCAACGGGAGTGCAGGGAGAAGGAGTGCATCCTCGTAACATCATCTCAGCCCTGGCACCGAGTGAGACTGCCGCCTGGTGCTGCCCAAGGTTAGTTGGTCTTTCATTCTAGACTTCGTCAATCTGCTGTTTCTAATCCGTTTTACATCCTGATAGTTCAATGACCCCAGTTGCAAGAGGGGGCTGCACTTCGCGCTTGTCGTCATATGAGATCAAAAGCTTTTGCGTGCATCCATATTACACCTCCTCCTCTATCACGACAATGGACCCGAGCAGAACATCCGATTATATTGCCGTAACGCAGGTTCCGGGCTTGATCATGATGCATCAGCCCTCAGACAAATCAGAATCGCATGTTAATGCGGCTGCTCAAGCTGAAAGCATTAGATGGGGGCAAAGCGTACCTTTTGTCGGGTTTATCTCGATGGTGCTAGCTCTAGGTACTGCCATGGTTCTCCTTTGATTGGAACTCGATCATACAAATTCCATAACTATATTGTTCACATTTACGAAAATATGCGCCTCAGTTTATTTGCTACTGATTTTTTTTGTACGTTACGGAGTGGTAGACAGGGGTGTTTCCATGATGGAATTGTTCAAGAAGTCGTTGGAAGTATGTCCAGCTCTACCGCAGAAGTATCCGTAAAATCGGACACCAGCGTCTTTAAATTATTTTCAACTCTCAATCATGGCCATAAGAACCTCTCTAACACCTATTAATTCTAATATGGTGTGAAAAAGTGAGGTATCTCTAAGCCTCCGAGGTCAAATCACCAGCCATTTCACAGTGGGGTTACTCTTCCGCGTGACCTACAGTGGGTCCGGGGTCGAGCCTCGGGGCTTATAGCCTCAGCCCCAGCCTTATTGTAGACCCCCATTAGGCCCCCACGAAAGCCCCGTCTATGAAGCAGATGAATCATTAAAATATATAGGCTTTTATAACTAGGCTAAAACAAATAGGAATAGAAATACCTTATCCTTGCTTTGTTTTATATAACCAGCCCAAATTAACTGAGTCCAAGATCAATGAAATCAAACATTAGAAAAAATGCACCTGCACAGCATCAACTACCGCAACAGAATCCGGCCATCGCTCGTATCCAACCTCGCTTTTATATCCATAGTATGGCTGAGACTTCCTTGTACCGGCAAGCCCAGGCCTCCGGTCTTTTCACCCGTCATATCGTTGTATAGAAACAACAGCGGCAACGGGTCATTCTTCCACCTGGGAATGCATCTTCGTCGAGCCTTCCATAAAGTCCCAGCAAGTACTAGTATTCCCAAGAGCAACACGAGCGTTAGAAGCACAATCCACTGCCACCGCACCCCGACATGCGTAACGCTGACCCGAACACGCCCGACAGCTCTCCCGGATTCATCCTCTGCGTTTACCCTATAGCGCGAGTCTCGGAAGCTTTTTGAGATTGCTTGAGCGATATTTTCCATGGTGCAATTTAGTCTCGACGGGAGATAACCACCACAGCCGACAACGTCGCCTTCCCCTAACGCCACGAGGATGTCGCGACCTGCATATATCGGGTCCGGGGCGGTTGCTAGGTAGTTTGGGGTGTTGTCACTCTTACTCAGGCGGCCTGTAAAAATTTCCTCCACAAATCTTGTAACTACACGGGAGGAAAGGACGTTGTAGCCGAATACCTGGTTGGGCTGGTCAATCCCCATCTCAGGACCCCAGGGTGGAATGAGATCGTAATGCGCAACGAGTTTATCTCCGCGTATAAGGCTGGATTGATTCCATGTAGCGAGTGTCTCTTCCTTATACACGTTGTTTTCGACAGAAGGTCGGAAGCTCCGCACGACTGGAATGATGGTGCATTCGGTGGCTTCGAGATCATCCGTCGATGACACCATCTCGTGAAGCCAATCTGGGGGGATGTCTCTTTGACGGGCGATGAACTGCACTACGCCTAGTGTTGTATTTGCACGATTTGACTTCGCCACAGGTGTGTCAACACCGCTGCCAACGAAAATCATGTTTTCTTCACTGCCGGAGTGCAAATTATGTCCGTCGTCAGGACCGATATACGACCCCTGTGTGTGGTTTCCAGGGAGACTGAGAGTGCAATTTGTGCTGCCAAAGTTATCCTCAGGCTTGATGCAGGACTTGGAGAGGAGGCTAGTGATATCTGCGCAGAGAGCGCGGGCTTCCAAAGCGGCAACTGGATCCCAGGTGCAGTTTCCTGACGGGCATGAGTATTGCGGGATTGCCCATGGCTTTTGGGGATCGTTGTTCAGGAGGGAGTTGTAGACGTTGGCTTTGAGGACGACATCAACACCGGAGCCTATGCTCATATGTTAGTGCAAATTTCTGCCACTGTCGCCAATTCAGCAACGAACCTGCCTGCAAATTCATTGAATTCTGGTCACTAGCACTATAGTTGTCTGCTCTGGAGAGCAAAGCTTGGTGAAAAGGGTGGTCAACCATGTCTTGATAGTAGTAGACGAGGTTCTGCGCAAAGGGATCAATGGCGATAGTCAGGATAACTGCAAGACTACCTAGGACGGCGAAGTGTCTGCGCAGTGTTAGAAAATTGTTCCCGACGATATAACAATCGTTGATTACTACCTTGCCCTCAATGTCCATATAAGCTCCATCGCCCCGTAAGGCCCTCTTGTAGCGGAGTCGTACACACGAAGCTCCTGCACCGGCCTTTCTCGTTTTTGAGCAAACCATATCCACTTTAACTGGCCCAAAGCTTCACTGCTGGAAATGATGATACCGGCTCGAAATATAGTGCTCATCCAGGAAATAAAAGAATTTAGCGACATATATTGCCAGCTAGGTTGTGGTTTTCGATTATATTGCGCAAGCACCGTGGCCAACGCGATCAAAACGCCTGTTGATGTTACCAACCCTAGTACCTCCCAGACAAACCAGTCATTAAATGTAGTAGATAATGACTGTGATAGGTTGCTGGGCTTGTCCACGTTATTTGCTCCATCGCTCCCCGCTTCAGGAGTATTGGCGGACGAAGGGTCCTCATCTTCACTCACTGATGGGTGACGATAAAATTCTCCCTCTATCGTCGCCTGGGCTAGCTCGTATGATGGATCTGTTCCGTTTATGCTCGAGGCCATCCTGAGTGCTTTTCCCCAAAATTCTCCACGGGGGAGTTGTTTTAAAATAGCTTTCCATGCCAAGCTGGCAAGGTTGTGTCGCGGGTGGCTATATCAAACTTAAAATAATTATAGTCAGTGAAAATATGGCTATTTTTACTCCGCCCTCCTGCCGAATGCTATAACGATCATTCCTAGGGTGCGTCTGGGGTAGGCTGAGGCTCCGCACAGATAAATGATCTGCGGTTGGCTTACCCCTTAAAGTCAGAGGTACCACGTCAACAGAGGCTGAGCCTTGGGGTTCCTGTCATGTATGTCTGCTGCGACAGGGACTTCAGGGCAACAAGTGCGTGCCCAATGCGGCTCGCTTCAATGCAGGAGAGTTCGTACGACCAGCAACAAAAGTCTCCGATAATAGCACATTCCCACCATTATGTCAACTTCTTGATCACTATGGCCCCCTGAGAATTGTTGGATCATGCTCTTTCGCATCATCAGTCCTTCTCTGACTAGGACCCCACCCTATCTCGAAGAACAGGTTGTGTTTGAGCATCATCTTGTACGAGATACAACTTTCTAAATCCTAACTCCTTGTTAAGCCATCATCATCTCCTCAACACAACACTTACTAGATATACTAAGGATATATAGATGTGAACTAACATAATATCGCTATACTGTAATCATTGCGAAATTAGTGGACATAACGTCATCTACTGCAATCGCCTTTTCGAAGACCTTGCTGCACTTGATGAACTCACTGGCGTTGACACTAGGTACCACGCACGCAAAGGGCTCGGTGAGACCCCTACTATATATTCAACGACCAAACAATTTACGAATATACGTTATTTAATATATTAGGCTCATAGTTGTAATAGCTATGCCTAAGTGCCTAACTTGATATAACTTTCTCAAGATAGACTTGTAATTTTCTTCTACCTCCTATTCGGATATGGCTCGACGCACAATCCCACATAAATTGGCCAATACGCTTTCCCTCCCGCTTTTTTGGCTGAGGTCAAACCAGGGCGTGGCGCTCACATACAACATATGTGTAGGTGAGGTGGTCTCAAAATCCATGATATACTCGTCACTTATATCCATTTGGAGGAAGCACATATAGTGCTGTGCGGCATTTATGACTATGACGCTGCTAGGATTGTCAGTCTGTACTTGAAAGGAAATATGCGGAGATGGAAACACCTAGGCATTCGGTGTTTAGAGGATCTGGAGCCAATTAAGCTTACCTTCGTAGTGACTCATCACCCATATTGGATAACCTTGTCGCTAGTGCTTCGCAAACCATCTGCGCAAAGCTCCTATCTGATATGACGGGTCGACCATTTTCTACACAATGGAATTGCGTCTTCGCTTCCAAGAGTGCAACGTGGTTCTTCGCAAGTGCAAAAGATCCATCTTGGTTTTGTCGTCGCAAACAGAGGCCGCCGTCATCAATGGCAATCATTCGCCGTTCTGCGGTCGTTGTGGTAGCGGCGAGCCTCGTTTTCGCATCTCGAAACTCGACAACAACTGGATTTGATGCAGAGTTTTGGGGTGCAGCAAAGTAAAGGATATGTCGAATGACGCATGACGCGAGTCGCACAGTGTCATCTTCCGGTGTTATACTCAAATAGTGTGTACTAGCGTCGACATAGGGCAAAGAGGACCTATCGGAGCCATCTTGCGAGCCATCGTGTAGTGGACTGCTAGAGCCAACTCGGATTGCGCTGGAGTCGGCGAAGTCTGGCTGGGATATTTGTCGCCTAAGACGCTTCGGGTGCCCCGGCCCATCGTCATTACCATGCCCACTTTCATTCTGTCCTAGCACAGTGAGAGCAGATATGTCTCGAACGCGTCGGTTCTGGTTTCCCTTGAACATGGCCATAGCTGCCCAAATTTGAGCAAGTGAAATGCCACAATTAGACCTTCGCACTAAATAGTGCTCGCTTTGGGTCATAAATGTTGAGTCGGGGCCTCGTAAGAATGCTCGGATTTCATCCGCTGGAGACTGTACATCAGAGGGTGCTGCATAGTGTGATAGGATGGGAAGTAGGTTGCGCTGCGGATCCCGCCGTACTACACGACATGCAAGCAGATGAGGTCGTCCCCAGTGACTGGCTGAGAGATTTGCTATCTCCGAAAAGTTTTGTCCATTCTCAGCTTGGAAACGAGTCTTGAAGGCAGATTCGGAGATAACACTGTTAAAATAAGGAGTGTGGACCATGGCTCAGATATTTGAAGAATTAAAGAAGTTGTTGAGCATGCTATGAGAGATCAAGAAGCAAGAAACAGATCTGGGAGGTATTTATACTAAACTAGCAAACAAACTGGCAAACTAGCGAACAAAGAATCTTAGTCTGAACTAGCGTAGTGTAGCAAGCCCAAGGGTTGATATCCCAATCAGAAGTGGTATTGGTCTCCCATATTGTCTAACCATTCATTTGCGGTTGCCTAACGAGCAGCCTAATCACTGGCAGGTCTGTGCCCAACTCAGTTGAACTAGTAAGAAGGGTTATAGATGGCAGAAGTTAATAACCCTTCTTGGGAAAATATTGAGAGAAGGATAATTTATGAGCAGTAGGAAGTGATTTAGTAAAACCTTGAATGCATGAAGAGAGAATAAAGAAAGAGGAACTGTGGACAAGAAGTGCTGGGAGCAAACAAACCGAGGCCATGTCCGCGCCACGTGACAACCAGTTTGATAGGATGGTTGGTCATGTGACAAAGGCGGTCAAATATTTCCGTTAGGCGGTGGATATATTCTATTGGCTTTATCCATGGATAGTGGTGCCGATTTCAAAATATCAAAGGTCATCGCCAATCTTATCCATAATGTCATAATGTCGGCCACTTCTCAGCCAAAATCGTTTAATGATATCCTGCGCTACCATACCAGTTTCCTTGTCAATCCTCTCCTGTGGACTTCTCACCATCTTGATCTAGTGGGATGTCGATTCGAGGATGTCGGGACTACCCATGTCTATGCAGAATCTCCTCAAAACGACCAGAGGAACAATGATCATCCAAAGCCTTGCCAGAATACAGCAAGCGACGCTGAAGGACTTGCTAGAAATATCTCCCCTCCCGCGAAGCGTGATCATCTCATCAACATTTTAGTGGGCAAGGAGCGTCCTTTTTCATTCTTTAGGTAAGAGCCACTGTCTAACAGAACAGCTTCCATAGGAGTTACTGACAATACTATTAAGCATTAAAGGAGCGCCATTTTATTTTCAAGGTCGGTTTATTCACAGACCAAACTATATCATGTTTCATCGTCGCAATGAACCCGCGGAACACATCCACAATAGCCCACCCCCGTTGGTAGGCTATGTACATTACACAAGCGTCAACGGATCTCGCGGCAGGCGGTTTATGGCTTGCCCGGGTCCAAGGGGCACGCTGAACCACATTGTAGGGCGTATCTACAATAAGCGACTAGCTCAGATAACCCCAAAGGAATGGACCGAAGATCCATATTTCATATGTCACTTATTGGCTCTTGCGCAGCTTCAAGAGCGCAAGCTCAATTTGCCAAAACCAACTACTTACATAGTAAGTTTCACGCTTGCTCGCTTTCTCTCTGCCAGGCCTCAGCTAATTCGCTTCCAGTCGCGTCTTCTCGTGACCCACATATTTGAGAGGGAATACATGCTTTTATACGAGGCCCAAATCACCACCGAGCTTCTGAATGGACTTAGGAATCCGAAGGATGCAACAAGCCCCATGGAATGGCCTATCATTCGACGGATGAAAATCCCATACAAGCCTTATGTTACCTTCGCCGACCGACTCGCTGCCGAGCTTGTGGCACCCGGTCCGTTAGCTTCCCGGGATCTTTCCAATCCATCAGATGATATGAATGATAGCAATGAGCACAGTATGAAACGACCACACGAAAAAGAGGACGCCGAGCGACTTGTTGCCGAGGGTGTGGAGCCCAGTTCCTTACCCTACCGCGATCTTCCTAATACGTCAAATGACGTGAATGATGTCAATGAACATAATATGAAACGATCTCACGAACAAGAAGACTACGGACCATGCAAGACAAGGCGAATTTGAAAGAAATGAGTGAACAGTTCATAAGCATACTACGGTCAAGGTGATTTCTTTGCGTGTTGAGCGTTCCGATGGTGCATTTTAGAGGCGTTCTGGACAATTCTATCAATATTTCGCTTGAGTCAAGGACAAGTGACGACTGTACAACACTCAAAAACCTTGTCGAATATTACTACAGCTGTCTTTCAGCTACATTAATTGGCTATATAGCTTTTCCTACCTCATCTATGACTCCTTTGTAGCCCTTAAGCTAACACCTACTTGCATTGCAAGAGTGACCTAACCGTGAAATCGCATAGAACTGAATGCGTAAAGGCTTCATGTATCTAAGACGTATCATTCACTTCTAGAACAATAATATGGAATGTTGTATATTGGAAGCTGTTTTACTCCTGCTTCATCAGTGCACCAATCGTCGGGCAAGACAATGTTCCTGGTGATGGAGTCAAACCCGGCCTCCCTTTTGGTTGTTCTGCCCTTCAGGCCACCGGTAGAATATTGGATGCCTTTCATTTATAGTAGACATTTCTGGTACTTTTGATCCCATACATTTCTTGAAGGACTTGCTACAAGTATTGATGGGCAAGGTTTAGGATTTAGGTAGGGGCGAACTGACTTCTCTAATTGGAAATAAATGTTTGTCTGGCGCCTCATAGCTTGTGATTTACGGTAGGAGCTATGTATATAGATCCAAATTCGTGCATGAACCGGCCTGAATCCATAAAATAAGAATGGAAGCTTACAAAAAGCCATACATCTGGAGAATCTGGTGTATGGATCCCATCGTTGGTATCCAAGCTTCTGTTGTCCGAAAGTTCGGCCTTTTGTTAATCCATCATCGAGAGGGTCTTGACCGCTCAACCTCTTGGCCATGTCATATAAAAGAGGCGTGATACTCACCTAGACACTTTACAATGCGTCATTTCAAAATTCCAGGGTTCTAAGCCCTGCTCCATTGCTCGCTTTGTTATCATTATATTGGAAAATATGGATTCCAATCCTACCAGAATAATAATTTATACCTGTGTAACCGACATAGATGGGTGTCCCCAGAGGCGCTATGTCACAATTGGAGAAGATTTCTGTGCAACTATGTTAAACCGTGCATTCAATCCTTCTCTTCACCCAGCGGGCTATGACCACGTTCATATTCCCGCTGATTTTGATTCACAGAAACCCCTTAAACGATGGTTTATTCTTGATTTGGGGGTCGTTCAACAACTCGACAAGGAGGATGTTCGGCAACTTCCTCATCAGGTATACCTTGCAAGTCAACAGAACGGCAAATTGTGAGGCGTCTAGTCTAATGTTTTGGTATTGGATACGCATTCTGATTAGACAGAACCTTTATTCTCCGTAATGGATGGAGTGAAAAGGCAAAGGAGAGAGCTATTTCATACACTTGGGGGGGTAAAGAGGAGCAAAAGATTGTTGAAGGTATACGGAAGGAAATCAATAACGAGATGGAATGATTCAAGGCTTAGATGTCACCTCACTTATTATATTTATGGTGTCTCTGGTGGTGTTATCCCCCTACATGCAGGGCATTCTTCGTTGTCCTTAATCCTCTTGCTAGTTGTGGACGTCTTCACGCTGATCAGGGGGGCAGGTACTTGGTTTTGAATGGCAGGCGGACATCTCGCGATATATACTGTTGCCTCATGGCCGCACAATCCAAAGATACCTCACATATTATTACACATCTAATATGTTTAGCATTGGCCCATATTTGTTGCTGAATGATTCTTACTGCTATGCTTTGAAGTTGTGATGGTCTACTTTTAGTCAGTAGATCAAGGCCGGGTTGTTTCTGGCTTCGTTTACCACGAAGATGTACCTTTTGAGGATCAGAATATACCTCAGGATTATTAGCTGAAACCTGGCTCTTCAGTCTTAGGCAAGAGAGCTGAGCATATACGTTATAATGGGGTGTTGTAAAAGAAACCGAGAAAAATTCCCACATATATCTTCCATTATAGAGATAATTGTTCAATAGATAATGAAAATGGTATCTCCGTATCATCATAATAATTCGAAACGCCTAAGAGAACGCCCAGGGAGAACCTCCAAAAATCAAAGAAAGCAAGTAGAGACATGGGTCCAATCAAAGAATGGTACATTTCTTAGGCAAACCGCATGGCCCCTCGCTGCTTTTCTCCTTCTTAGCTGGCCCCTGAGAACCCTGCTGCTCCTTGACAGGCTGCTCCGTCTTTTGAGCAGTCTCCCCAGCAGCAGGGGTCGAGCTCTCCGGCTTCGACTCGGTACTACCATGCAGTCACTGGACCTTAGAGACGGTCTCGTAGAAGGCCTTACCCTGGGCAGTGGCAACCTCGAGCTCAAGAGCAGAAGGCTGGCGGGAACCGTCGGCACCCTTTAGATGAGATGATTAGCAATAGAAACGCTTTGGAGGGTGTAATGTTAACTTACAGCGAAGGTACCAGCACCCCAGGCGCTACCACCGTGAACCTCGTCCAAGTTGCTCAGCTGGGCGAAGACGGTCTTGTAGCCGAGGGGAACGTAGATGAAGCCATGGTGAGCGAGAGTGCTCATGGAGGCAAGAGCAGTAGACTCCTGACCACCACCCTGGGTACCGGTGGACACGAAGAGACCGGCGTACTTGCCCCAGAAACCACCGGTAGCCCAGATGCCGCCGGTCTTGTCCCAGAAGGTCTTCCACTGAGCAGGGAAGTTACCGTAACGGGTAGGGATACCGAACAGAACGGCGTCGTAGGCGAGGAGATCGGCGGGCTCAGCAATGGGGTAGTCAGACTTGGGAGGAGCGTGCATCTTGCCCAGGACTTCCTCGCTGAGGGTCTCAGCAATCCTAGAGATAGAAATGTTAATTAAGTGATTTGATGGTAGAAGAATAATGGTGTCACTGACTGGAAGATCTCGGCCTGACCACCGGCGGACTCAATGCCCTTCTTCTCGGCCTCGGCCAAGGCCTTGATGTGGCCGTACATAGAGTACTGTTCGGTCAATTAGTGAGATGAAGGAGTATATTGCCATTGAAAGACGTACGTAGACAATTGCGATCTTGGGAGCCATTATGACGGTTTGTGAGGATTGAGTGAATGTAGAGGGAAACTGAGAAGGCGTGGGGGAGGGGAGCTAATTATATGGTGACACCCCGCCGGGAGGAATGTCCTAGGGTACTTCATTCCCCATATTAATTATTAGGGGACTTAGGTACCTCTATGATTAGCGAGCTCAACAAAGCTTTACAGTGGCTATCAGTCATCGATTACGGAGCAAGAATGGAGTATGATTGGCTAAAGAGGATCCACCCGGATATAGCTCTCCCCTTAGTGATTCTTACTGAGAACTGACAAATTAAAATTTAGACGCTAAGGGTCTTCAGAGCCAAGTTACAAAATCATTAGTAAAAAATAGTAATTGTTGAGATTCTATTGCTTTTAGGTGTATATCTTATATCCTTTCAATTCCGTTAACTATCTCTTTGCCTGTCATGATGTCATCGCATCGCCGATAGTTTGGGAGAACCTTGGGAAAAGGTCCGAATGCACTAGGAATGCACCTAGACATCGTACGAGTTAGATGCGTAAGCTGACGGCGTACTGAGGGCCGGTGGCTGAATATGTTTCACAGTACTATAAGTCTATTATAGGCGAAGTGGGTGAAACAGTATGCCTCCCTTGACCAGATGTGCCATTGAGCAAATGAAAAGTAAAATTTATATATTTTTGCGTCAAATTTAATGGGGGTATCGCGGGACTAGCGAAAGAACCATAAACGAAAAGAAAACAAGCCCGTGGACCCTTGCTGAACCCACACCTCACTCCATGCCATGCAATGTCGCCAAAAAAAACCCTTGCGATAAGAATCTAAGACCTCGGGAATCCAGCTAACCCCTTCCACGCCCGCGGAAGCGACCACGCCCAAACCCACCACCCCGACCACGTTCATTTCGCCATTCTCGTTCCCGTTCCTTTTCGCGTTCTTGTTCTTCGCGAATGAGAACTCGTTCACGTTCAAGTTCTTCCTCCGTCTTCTCGGTGCGCATTGTAGGCCGTGGTAGGTTTTCCGTCCAGCGAGGGTGAGCATTGGCGCACGCTTTTCCCTCAGGGCAGAATCCGGCTAGATAGAAGACACATAGACGCCGGCGGACGTGTCGCTTTGCACAGAGTGGTCCCAATTCGCAATATCCGCGGTCGTAGTGCTCGCAAGGTGGCAGGCGTGCCTCCTCGCGGACATGCTGATAAAGGCAATCGTCACCATTGGTGCAGTATCCGGATCGCGAAAATGACTGGCATTCTGGCATTCGCCGAAGGTTATATTCGTGGAGGTATTCGCATTTCAGTCCTTTTTTGCACAGTCCCTTGAGGAAATGTTTGCAAACCAGCGATCCGTGTGTTGTAGATGGTGCCATTCCGGAGGCTGTGGTAGTTGAGGTCGTCACGCGGGATGGTGTGGGATGGCGATCTGGACAGGCAGGTCCTAGTGGGCAGTGTCCTTCGCTATAAGCTTTGCAGACAGGTACATCACTGGCAAGTCCGAACCCGAAGCTCTTGCGCAGAAAGGGTGTGAAAGAAAAGTCATTATAGCTAGGATCGCGTGTCGGCTCGGCGGAGATGATGCGCGCAGCTGCGCTTTGAGTATCGGCAGCCATGGCTCGATGAAGCTCGGGTGTAGTTTTGAGGGCAAAGAGATGATCGGTGGTCGTCGCGGGTCAGTGTATTCGACTGACTTGTGTACCCGCCTTTTTGTGGATAAAATTCCAAGGATTATGGAGAGAGTAGCAATCACAAATTCTCAGACTATCTCAGCTAAATTGGCATGGAGAAGGAGGATTGAGGAAGAAGGCTTAGTTGAAGGTCGCGGAGCTGTCCAGATTGTTCTCCAGTTGACGCCTTAGAAATCAGGTGGCGACACAGTGTTTGGCTTGTTTGCATTTGACATCGGAGACGTGGACAAGCTTGGAAGCCAGCGATACTAAATCTTTCTCCTTACATTGGTAACAAAATTTTGATTCATACGTTTTATACCACCAAGCCTAGTGCTCTTATTCTTTTGGAAATGATACGATTATATGCCGAATGGAGATAAGCGAGGTGGGAATCAAGTGAAGAGAAGCAATCAGGACAAGAGAACTAAATCCCAACAACCAATCCAATTAATATCCATTTACATGGAGTCTATAGCAAATATTCCGAAATATTCTTATTTATCTATAAACACAAAATTTGCCAGATATGTCTACCTAAACCCGAGTTGCTGGTCCATCAGATCCCGCACCATCGCCTCGAATGAGCGCCATTGAATTCCAAGCTCTGTTTCCGCCTTAGTTGTATCAACTGGGAACGAGACACCCTGGGTATCTTCAGAGATCAGAGCCCCAGAATCCGGATAGAGTTTTCGCACAATTTTCGCAACGTCTGGGCCCGTCGTCTTCGGCCCGGCCAGCAGATACTTCGAGCCATCGGGGATCTTGGAATCCAGTGCTTTGACGTGGGCTTCGGCAACATCTTGTATATGCACTCCCACGGTGCTTCCAGAGGGATCGCCCTTCATGATAAGATTCCACAGACCACTGTTAGATCCCGACTGGATTCCGTCGGCTGAACTCTGAACAAGATTGTGCCCGTATACAAATGCAGGATGCAATGTCACCAATGCATAGTGTGGCTTGGCTGTTTCTCGGAACTCCCAAGTCGCCTTGTTTGCAAGAAGTTTGGATGCCATATACAGTCGCATTGCTGTTGCAGCCGGGTTTTGAGGGACCTCAAAATTTCCATTCTCATCAACGGAAAAGTCCCAGTCATTGTCCTCTAGGAGATGCGTCAATAAAATTCTTACTCGGATATAAAAAAGTGTGATATAACGTACCTTTGACCACACCACCGGCAGGAATGCCAGACAATGGAATGAAGGCTGCAATGGACGAGGTAACCACGACTTTCTTGATAGTTGGCACCTTTGCTGCTGCTTTCAGCAAGGCAGTGGTTCCTTTCACAGCCGGGCCGAAGTATGCTTCCTTGTTGATCCCATGGGGAAGTGGGGATGCAAGATGAAGTACATAGTCCACGCCGTTTAACTTGCCATCAAATGCCGTCTCATCAGTGAGATCTGAGATGATAACAAATTCAACTCGGTCACTGTACTCCGACAACAGAGTTTCCAACTGCTTAGATGGCTTGCGAAGACAAACCCGCAATCGATAACCAGCTTTGAGAGCCTCCACTGCCGTGGCGCTCCCAATGAAGCCAGTAGCTCCAGTGATAAATATCAGTTCGTTGGACATATTGTTGATTATTAGAGTGCTGATGGGGGATAAACCAACTGCTAGGCAGCTGTCTTTTATATCTGTCTGAATTTGTAATCTGCCGTTGAATCTAATTTGCCCCAGTCTCCACCTGTGTATAATTGATAGTATAGCACAATCACTCACGTCATAGGATCCTAGTCCGGTTCTAAAGATACCCTCAACTCCATGAGACATAGATATGTCATCATATATTGAATGTTACCCCGATCCAATAACCCGAGTAATCAGTGTTACTATTGTGAAGCTTCCGAGGCAAGTTGCACGATATAATCATCAAAATCGCGGCCGAGGCTGATGAAATGATCAAAAACCTTAAAGTGTCACAATTGACCCGCTATTTTTATTCAAGACTTTTTTCTATTACAATATCTTCCCGAGAGATGAACACAATATTATATAACATACGGAGAAATAACAGTCATTATGCATATGGACGATGGCGCGACAATTTGATATCACTAATCTCGGTCTATTTGGGACCTCATGATCTTCAATGTAGTATATAAAAATGAAGACGATCTAATAAATGTAAATCTAATCAACAACTATTCATTCACGATTCATTTTGAAATAATTTCCAACACGATCATTCCCAGAAGAAAATACTTCCTTCAAAATGCCTCTCTGGGACATCAAACATAGCCCAAACACTATTACGGCTCTTGAAAAAGAACAACTCGCCAAGTCAATCACTAAATTGTACGTCTCGTACGGCCTACCTGCATTCTACGTCCAAGTTCGCTTCACCGAGGACACCCCCGGTACTGCATTCGTTGGCGGCGAAACTCACCCCAACTTTGCAGCCTTGACAATTTATCACATTGCTCGTGCCTTCAAGAGCGACGAAAGCAAACAGCGATTCTTAGCTGATGTTGATGCGATCCTCAATCCTGTATTTGAATCGAAGGGAATGGATTGGGAGTACTGGATTACGGAAGTGTCGAGAGACTTGTGGAAGCTCAATGGTCTGGTCCCGCCACCGACTGGGTCTGAGGGGGAGAAGAAGTGGGCCGAACTGAACAAGGCTGTTAAGCTCTAGTGTTGTATGAAGATCACGGATGATGAAGATTGATCAACTGCCTCCACAACATTGTAAAAGTCATTGAGACGAACATGCAGATCGTTCACTTCAACGGATACAAAACCCGCATCTAAATTTGTCATGTCGCCGAGTATTTCAAGTGCCCCGAATCAGACTCTGTGTTAAGACCATACCCGTAACTGAAGACAACTGTGGCCGAAGAATAAATCATGTTCAACACCGATGGTACCTGATTATATGATGATCCATGATTACCTATCTAGGGCAGGGGAGGGTTGTAGGTTTGTGTTGGTTATCTTGGGACCGTTCGTTGTAATGAGCACATTTGGCCAATAAAAATAGCTCGTTTTCATTTTTCATGTCCTCTCATACTCCGAACTTTGGAGTGATTTGAGGGGCATGCGATGTAGTCAAACGGTGCCCACGGGTCCCCGCAGGATGCATTCCCTCAGGCAAAGCACAAAGCCCGGGCCACACTGTATAGTTCACCAGCCTCATATAAATCCCATGAGCGAATCAGATATCCCTGTAAGCGATCCGATCGAAAAAAAAGCAAAAAAAAGCAAAAAAAAGCAAAAAAAGGATTAGCAAAATATCAAACCTGCATAGCCCCTTTTCTTAGTCTCTTGATCTGCAAAGATTTATTGCACACCGGGACACGAGCTTGTCGTATTCATGGTCATCCACAATGGTTCATGATCTTTTGCATCCTTTCAAACATGGGGCGCATGCAAGACGATCCACCATCGTACCTTAGGTCTTCCAGGATTTTCCGATCACACGGAGATACCCCGAGAAGGTCCGATCTAGAACAGGTTCATGGCAAGTAGGCAACCGAACAATCCCCCCGCATTAGGCCAAACAGTACTTCTGTACGTTGAAAAATCTGTGCATTTCGCCTTCCCCGCATTTTCGTTACCGTCCACCCCAAGTAGCTTAGTGACACCTTGAGATCTGCTTCAAATCTGATCATCCACACTCCCCCAATTAGTCTAAGTGGTAGAACAGATCCACGTGACAGATTCCAAAAAAGGAAACACACGATTGCTCTGGGCACTTTCCGACTTTCAATTCATCCTTTCTCTTTCTTTTCTGTTCATATATTTTTGTTTTCAACTTCAGTCTTTCTACTCCTCCAATGAGCAAGCTTATAACACTCCTGACTCTGACGTCTTGACAATGTTCTCAGCCTCCAGGTTCTTCCGTCGACTGGGTGCGGATCGTGACCCCGCTGCCCACGTCTCTTACGAAGTGCCTTTGTACACAAATGCAGCCTACTATCCGAATTGGAGAATCTATCGAAAGGAACCTCCCTCATCTTTACGTTTGGGATTTATCTCTCACGTGTTCTATGCATTTGCCTGGTAAACACAGCCAATTACCGCCGTTCAAAGGCCCGAGTTCGTGTAGATGGCTGATGCGCTAATCTCAAATTGGTTTCTCGCAGGGTGAAAGATGATGGCACTGTCTATGTCAGTTTTAATCAACATGCACATCCTCCAATGTGGGAATATTTACTGACGCCGCGTCATAGCTAAGTGATGAGTGGGCTGATACCCAAATGCCCGTTGATGGTGCAGAAGGTTGCCTTAGAGCTTTTGTCCAATTGAAACAACAGTACTCTAAAATGAGGGTAATTCTCTCTGTTGGCGGTGGTGGAAAAGGCAGTGAGAACTTCGCTGCTGTTGCCAACAGCCGATCTCGGGTGGACACTTTCGTTCGCACCGCGCGCGAACTGGTGGATCAATTTGGAATTGATGGCATTGACAGTAAGACCGTGTTAATTTTTTTTTTATTCGGACGCACGCTGGAAGCATATGACTTACCATATTTGCTACGCAGTTGACTGGGAACATCCCTCTGATTCCAAGCAAGGGAAGGACTATGTTCGTCTCCTCGCACGTCTGCGGGAAGTCCTACCCGCTCCACGATACGTCCTTACCACCGCCCTCCCTGCTGGCCAGTGGGCATTGCGCAACATTGACCTTGCTGCGGCACAAAAGTATCTTGACATGATCAACCTCATGACCTACGATTTTGCTGGGCCGTGGGAGCCCGAGACGGGCCATCAGGCGAAGCTTTATGGCCCAGGTGTATCTGGTGATTCGGCGGTTTCTTACGTCGTAGGACAAGGAGTATCTCCTAGAAAGATCATTTTGGGTGTCCCAGTTTATGGACGCTCCTTCCTGGGTAGCAATGGCCCTGGTCAGCGGTATACTGGACATGGTGGCGAGGATGGTGTTTTTGACTATCGTGATCTGCCCCGACCGGGCACACAGGAGTACTATGACAGGGACATTGGTGCGTCATTCTGTACTGGAGCTGATGGTGGTTTTGTCACATACGATACCCCAGAAACGGTAAAACAGAAGGCGGAATTTGTGACCTCGTCGAAACTGGGTGGACTGTTCTATTGGCATGTTTGCTCTGATGCCCGAGGACCGCGCAGCTTGGTTGAGACGGGATACAACACTCTGCATGAGATGTGAGGGATTTCAGTTTGAAAAAGCAACGTTAAATAAAAAATCAAATTCTGTCATGACTACTGCAAAGAGTAGTGAAAAGACCATTGGAAATGTGTTGGCTTGCCAGCCGACTTTGACCAGGATATCTAGTAGAAACAGCAAATCATCTATATATACGATGTTGCATTGTCAACAAGGATCACCGGGTACTCGGCGCTTTCACGGAGGACAAATTATAAGGCACAACCTTGGAAGACTTCCATGAGACAACCGACGGCCGAGGTCCATCTCCCCCGCATATTTAATAGCTTTAATCAATTTCATTCTGAGTGTTCTGAATGTTCTGAGTGTTCTGTTTGTTATCTTATAATTGTATTCACTTGTAAGAATCACAGCATGTCCTCCCAACAGCCCGCGACAGTAGATACCGGTTACGTCACCGACCCCAGCCCATTGGGGAATACCTACACATCGGATCCCAGCCTTCAACGGGCACTGGCATGTAAGTTTCTCACTCATATGCAGCTACCCTATAATAACACCTAACACTATTCAGGGTACTTACCATCCGCTACATTTGAATCTATACAACCACATCTCACCCAGCTCGGTTCCGAGGCTATTTCCGAGCAGGTTCGTGAATGGAGCGCCGATGCCGAGCGTAATGTGCCATACGTCAAGAGTCATAATGTTTGGGGCAAGAGATATGATTATGACCGATTGATAACAACGGAAGGTTGGAAACAATTGGGGAAATGGGGTGCTCGGAATAGGTATCATCGACTAATCGGCTTGAAGATGACATGCATAATCTAACTTGACCCGATTAGGATCGTTTCAGCGGGCTATGACCAGAACCTAGGGGTTGATAGAAGGACAGTTCAGTATGCGCTGTTAGTAACTCGTTATCGATCTTCTCACACTATCACTGATGTCATGATCCCAGGATCTATTTATATTCTCCTTCTTCTGGACTCTACTCCTGTCCAATTAGCATGACCGATGGTGCTGCTTTTATTCTATCACGCAGAATCAACAAACTGCCATCTACACATTCTTTCCATACTGCGTTCAACGGGCTGATCTCCGAAAAAGATGACCACTGGACCTCGGGCCAATGGATGACCGAGAGAGCCGGTGGAAGCGATGTTCAAAACACCGAAACATGGGCAACATACTCGCCTCTAGCTACCACAGGGTCCGACCCTCTAGGTGAAGGCGACTACCTAATCAGCGGATTTAAGTTCTTCTCCTCAGCAACGGATGCAAACCTTGCCCTTTTGCTCGCTAAAACACCGTCCGGAAAGCTAAGCACATTCCTCGCCCCATTGCGACGGACAGTGATAGGCGCCGACGGCGTCCCTAGGGTTGTATCCAATGGCGTCAGGATCCACCGACTGAAGAACAAACTCGGGACCAAAGAATTGCCAACGGCCGAATTGGAACTAAAGGACATGCGTGCGCATCTCCTTGGAGAGCTAGACCAGGGCATCATCACCATCGCGCCTCTACTCAATGTCACCCGTCTTCATACATTTGTCGGGTCACTTGCCGGTTGGCGTAGAGCTATCAGTATCACGAAGAGCTTCGCGAAAGCGAGGACTACAGTTGGTGAACCGCTCTGGTTAATCCCGATGCACTTGCGACTCCTCGCAGACATGGAAGTAAAGCATCGCGGAGCGATGAACCTTGCATGGTTCACAGTTGCTTTGTTTGGGGTGGTTGAGGATCAGACATCCTCGTCCAATAAGCTCGCCCATCTACCTCATCCCGGCAAGGAAGCCGAGGTGGTTTTCCGCGTCTTGACTGCCACTGCTAAGGCTGTCATTAGTAAAATGACCACTATCGGAATCCAGGAATGTCAGGAATCTATGGGTGGAGTCGGATATATGGATGAGGCTGATGAGCCCGAGTTCAATATCTCTCGGATTATGCGTAATAACGCGGTCAACTCTATCTGGGAGGGTACTACCAACGTGCTAGCGAGCGAGTTTGTTCGATTCCTTATCAAGAAAGATAACCTGGGCATATTTGGGTGCTGGCTTGACCGTACCTTGACCCTGATTCAGCGGGCAGATCTTCGGAATGTCCTGACAGCTGCGTGGTCGACTTTACGTGCTCGTTTTACAACTCAGGATCCTGCTTCGACTGTTGCTGATGGCCGTCGTTTTATGTTTACACTAGCTTGGATTTTATCCGGTGCTCTTCTGGCGCTTGATGCTGAAAGGGATAATGACCCTGTCATGGCAGAGATCGCTCGTCGCTGGATCGTGAGCGCCGAGGGTGGTGTGGGAGACCAGGTGTTCCATGATATCGTTACTGTCAGTGGCAATGCTAGTGCTAGTTCCGGAGGCGATGAGCATCTCCAATGGGACTGCCGTATTGCCTGGGGAGTTGATCTGCCGGCGAACCGTGCCTCTGGTCATCGATCCTTGCAAAAGGCGGGTTCGAAGCTTTGAATAGCCAAGCATGAAATTTGACGCTTTATATAGCACGCAAATTTTGCTGTTCTATGTGATTCTCAGGTACATCACTATTTATATGTAGCAAAGTCTTTGTACGCTTTATACCTTCTCTCGCGTTTTCTGCCGTCCAGTATCAAACCTTGAAGGGTGAGAAATATATACGAAAAAGACATCTAAAAGGATATCTGAAAAGTTATAGAAAGACTACCCAAAAGACCACCCAAAAGACTAACATACCTACCCGCCCCATACCTCTGGCATATATAAATACCAGACTATCTAACCCTTCCTCCCTTCTTCATATTCAAATCTGCGCTGATCATGGTGGCCGTGGGGGTGAGGACGAGGCGGCAACGGTGGTCGAGAACGTCCACGTCTTTGTGAGCCGCCGAAGGATCCGTTCCAATCGCCATAATGGCAAGGAGCTTGAACGGACCACGTCAAGCAAGAGGCTCGCCTGGAGCTGTCTTACGTTTGCTTCACCGGCCGAAATGTTTTCTACTGCCTCTGCCCGTTGACGCCCCACCAACGCAGCTCCCAGTTTAAGGGTGATTTTGACCAATACAGCGACATATGCACCTCGCGTATCACCCTGGACCCTGCCACATGATCATTTGGGCGAATGGTTTGCTCTGGTTCCCAGTCTATAAAGCATTCTACATACTCTGTGGAAACTGGAACCCCGCCTCCTACCTGGTCGGTAGGAAATACCGTCTGAGTATCTCGGAGAATAACTTTCTAATCGTTTTATTCCGATGACACTTTGGGGGGAAGAGCCCATACCATCCCTCGGCCAGGCCTAACGGTCGGTTCAATGTGAATGATATAGAAATGGCTGAATTCTGTCAAGCTTTCCAAAGCTGTATGGGAGTCCCTTTCCCCTATACCCTATCCTTTGGGCAAACATCAACTAACTGTAAATATCTGACAGCGCGACACCAGAGGAGGTGTGGAGTACGGCCTACCAAGATATTGGTGTCCTAGTACTAGTACGCCAATTCATTGTGGACCGCATCAAAACCTGGAAATGGTGGGTAAACCCTTGGTCCGAGAGGCAAGAAGAAGAACTAGCAGGTGACAGGCAGAAGGGGGTAGGGCCTGAACTTGGCAAGGTGGAGCATGAACTTGCCAAAGACGACACAAATAAGCTCGATGAGCTGGTCATGAGGTTGGATGCTCGGCTGAAGGATTAGGGAAACACCCGACAGAGAAGGAGCGGAGGAAATCCGCGAAGTCTCGGCGTGGTGGTCGCGGTTGTCATGGTGGTGAGGTCCCAGGGATGTGGTATGGTGGCTGCTGCTGCTCACGCGATGAACTTGAAACCATCTTCACTAAAACTAAGACGGCTAGAAGCTTGAAGACAACGATGTGCGTCGATCAAACAAACACCAATATCTATACCACGTAGACCACCTAGACAACTGACAGGCTAGAGATAGTCGCTGTTCATTGCATACACAACACTGTGAAGGTTGACTGCGCAAAAACTACAGCTGGCATCTATCAGGACACTCACACTTCTGGTCATCCGTAAAGAGAAGAATAGTATCGTAGAGTGCCTTTGCAGGCAAGGGGTGGACGGCATTCTCCCTAGAATTATTGCAATCACTCAAATGTCCTATAAACAATAAGCAAAAGATGAAATGTTGGTTAAGATAGAGCCTCGGCTAAACTCCACTCTCGAACTTCTCCAACCCACCGTCAATCGGATCTGCCCTGTCGGGCATAGCGCCATGTCTTCGGCATGTATAATCTGTCATAAAAGAAAGGTACATTGATAGATCAGTTCTTAAATAATGCAACTAATGATTATAGGTGAGGTGTGACTTTGCCACACAAGACCCTTGCACCAACTGCAAAAAATCAGATGTGGAGTGCAGGTAAGTAAAAAAACCCCGAGAGATCGAATTCAAAAAATTGACTCCCTTTAGACCATATACAAGAAAACGCAAGAGATTCACCAACAGTCTCTCGCCAGGGCGAAATGTGTCAATCTCTGCCCCCTTGAGCCAGACACCGCGGGGCTCACAAGTTCCTCCTGAGTCACCAGAAGTGGCTTCACAGCGGAATTCTTTGAGCGCGTCTGGGGTCATTCCAAATGTTCAAAATGAAGCCAATTCAGCTAATAATGATCCCTTCATTAAAGAAGAGAGCTATCGTGGCCGCAGTGAATATCTCGGTGGCAGCGTCCCGTTTGATGAAAATATGGTCAAACCCGGTCGCGAAACTACCTACACCAACCCCAAACCATCAGCAACCGACTTGCAAATGCTCCGCGATCAGGGTGCCTTTGAATTACCTCCAGTATCTGTTCAAAAAGAGTTAATGGCCAGTTTTAATATGCACTGTGCACCCTGGACACCGGTTGTGGACCCGAAATGGCTGGAAGAGAGTGCGCCGCGATCAATGCTGCTTCTCCAGTCTGTCTTTCTCGCTGGAAGCAGAGTTTCTAAAGCTCATTTAGACTATGGGTCTAGTGAAGTGTTCTATCGCCGAGCAAAGCTACTTTTCTTTTTTGGTGGTTGTGACGACCCTTTGATTTCTATTGTGGCCGCCTGCCTGCTGCATTGGTATAACCCGGTTGGGCCCGAAGATGTCTCTACCGATACCAGTGGTTTTTGGATCCGAACAGCCGGGGCAATGGCTTTTCAGATTGGACTGCACAAAGAACCTGCGCCGAATGCTCGAGATCGGGGGCTTCGGAGAAGGCTGTGGTGGTCTCTGGTGGTAGGTATCTCATTGCAACGCACAACGTATCACGCACTAACATACTTAGGTGCGAGACAATATAATCTCTGTTGGCGTAGGCCGACCACGAACTATCAATCTACGCGACAGCGATGTGCTCCCACCATCAATTAATGATTTCCCCGTGAACAACTTCAAATCTCAATTATTCCTAGCCTACTACACGATATGTCGGCTTCTGGGAGACACAGTCGAGTCCCATCTCCGACAGGAAATCTCTCGTCAAAGACAGGTCGATCTTGAGAATGCCGTCTACCGATGGGCAAAACAAGTCGTTCCAAGGCTACGATCATCTGTCGCAGACCAAGACGATCCGGCCATCTGCAATTTCGAAGTTCAACAGCTGATGGTTAAGTATTTCGTGGTCCTCACTATTCTCCATCGCTCTCCTACTCCAGGGAGCGTACCACCCGCAGCATCTCTGGTCGCATCTTCATTCATTGCCGGGATTTACGAGGAATTCCTGCTTCGCGACGAGCTTCGATACCTGGGTCCTGTATTCGCATTCTATCCACTATGCGCTGGACTATCACTTCTTTCTAGCTGTCGCTATACCCACCTGCAGGGTACGGCCGAACATGAATTGACAGTCATGAAACTCTCCCTTCAGAAGTTATCTGAAAGATGGCTTTCAGCGGTGGGACCATTGCGTGCGCTGAACAAATTGACCGATAAAGTCCGAGAGCTCGGTCCATTTGCGGGTTCGTCGCCTACTCTCGACCAAGATGCAGCCTCTTTCTTCGAGGGATTCGATACGAAACTTTGCAAACAATGGCAAATCATTGGACGATCCTTAGAACCCACAGGGAACACTGGGATCTCACCTACTTGCACTATGGCGGATATTCAAGACCCTAATGATGCCCTTCGGTCCCTTGATGCTCCGCACGGACAACAGGTGGATTCTTACGATTTTGCCTCCCCTGATGTTAGTTTGGATCCGTTCAGCAATAACTGGGAAGGTGCTGGATTTGACTGGAGTGGATCCTGGCTACTCAATGTATGAACTTGACAAAGCCTGAGATTTGGCGTTATGCAAAATCTGGTCAGTCTCGGTTCATGTCTTGTTCTATGTACAAAAGCTACTTTCTTGTTTTCTTTCAAAATACCACCCATTGTCTCCTGTTCGTCTACAATAATGTCGTTTATAGCTTACCTATGTTAACCTATATTATCGTTTTGTATATCAAGATCATAATACTACCTGAAGTGTTCTAGAAATTCGACATCGGCAAACTACTAGAAGGAAGTGATAGTGGTATGAATCGATGGGGTATATCATGTATACTATACCCTCATTGTTGATAGTTGCTCATTTCATCCTACTCCCTTCATCGTACTGCGCCCCGTGTTCATGCTCATCCGCCTACTCTGCTACTCTGTCCATCGGGCTACCGCGCGTTGCTCCCCCACGGTTTTCAACACCACATGGGGATCTGGAGTGACCACCCGCCCCTTCTCGGTGTCTTTCCTCATCACGGCCCTCTGACTTTCCCCATTCGTGGGTCTGCAACGCCCACAGCCTATTCATCTGGCGCTGCAGTGAGCCTCCTATCGCCTGGAGGTCCTCTCTAACCTGCGACACCTCCACCCTTGTGGCAGGCTTTGTAGGTCGCCTTTAATTTTGGCCTTCTCGGCCTGGCTGTCAGCCCACCAGTTATACACGGTGACCAACTCCCTGACAAACTGCATCACAACAAGTATGATGCCAAAGACTTTGGTCTGGGAATCCATTTCTAGTACCATCTTGTCTTCTACTATCATATAAGTATAGTCAGTTGGTTTCTTCTCAAAGGCTGGGGTATAGGGAAAGGGTACATACGCATCTGAAGGGCTTGGCCGGTCTTTGCCATCTCCTCGCCGCTCATATTGAACCGACCATTAGGCCTGGCCGAAGGATGGGGAGGTCAGGTGTCTCGCTGGACGATGGATGTGTGCATATCATTCTCAAGTAGACGGCAGGGTCGTTAGACAAGCCGGTCTTTTGTGCACGTTCTCGCAAGTTCGTCCAGATCTTGCTCGTGGCGGTGTTGGTGGGTTTGAGTGGGTGGTAATCCACGTTGCTTTCCCTGTTAGGCTAATCTGCCTTCGCGTGTAGATGATGGTGTACGCGATGGAGGTTCCATAGAGATCCAGAGTTCAAGGTGTAGGTAGGATCCAGGTAGTGTCTAGGTAGGCATGACATTCAAGATCGACGTGCGGACATGTGTCTCAAAGGTTCATCTTTTAGTTGTCAAGATGAGGAAGAGATGAAGAAAGAGTTGTTGTTGGTATTGTAGACATTTTGTATTGCTTGATTTTAGAGAGATATTTCAGAGAGTAGAAGGAAAGAAGGTGCCAAGTAGGGCAGTCTCGAACAGCCAGTGCGCCATAACAGATTTCCCGTAGTAAAATTTGTGAGATAATTATATTTCTGTGCCCAGGTGGCTATATGTATACAAACATTCAAGCATAATAAGAATCGTCGGCTTGTACGTGCCTATATAGTCTTTTCAGTAGTCATTTTAGTAGTCTTTTGGATCGTCTTTTGGATATTCTTGGATACTATTTTCAGAGGTCTTACTTAAATATATTCTCTCCCCTTTGTTTGCTCTATAAAGAGGTAGATGGCCGAAAACAGGCGGAACATAAAGAGTCAGCCTGACATTAGTGAAAAAAAAAGAAACACAATGCAAATTTCAACCGTATTCCAGGAGATATTCCCATTCATAATAATGTCATATGACATCGAGGCAAACCCATCCCGGACGGTTGCTGGGTGGATTGTTGTTCTATTTAACGTATTTTCTGCGTCTCCAGAGCCCTATGAAGCCTATAGCTTTGGATCAGCCTTATCCAAGGCGTGACAAACTTCCTGCATCGTGAGAAATCCGTCCTCAGCCCAGCATCTCCGGATAATAGCCCCCAAAAACACACTATTCACATTGGGAAGTTTCTCATCAGTGGGCCACGCCTTAAATATCTTGGACTCTGGATCGTCATCTATATCAGTCTCCATTTCAGGTACAACATAGAACTCACATCGGCATCCAGAGATGACCTCGTATATCATTGAGCCAAAGCGTGCAATGTCGAACTTGACTGAAACAAGATCTTCAGATACAAAATTGGCCATGCCCTCGTCATCCGAAACAATGACAGACTCAGTGAAGTCGCACATCTGGAGAGCAAGATTCTCGTCGAGCAGGAAATTTCTTGTCGCAATGTCGACAATCAATACCCGCCGTTCGTGTACTCGACGGATGATGTGTGCAGCTTCCTGTAGCCACCTTAATCGTCGGATGTTGTCCACGCTATCAGCATAAGCGGACAGATAGCGGCTGAGTGACCCTTGGCGTAGATATGGCATCTGAATCTCGGTGTCGGAAACCTGGTGGGGTATTATCACGCCTTCGACATGCCCAAGATGGCAATACACAAGTCCCTCATGCTTTATCAACTCTATATTTTGCTTGGTCATTTGCTCCCAGCCGATGATTGCTGTCTCGGACGAGTTTTTGGGCGCAGTCCAAATATTGGCAGTTTTGACTGCAATATCTCCGAAGCGCATCACACGTCCAGTTCGGCCGAGACCAATGAGTTCAGGTCCATCATTATTCATGGTTGGTGGATTTAGCGAAGATAGTTCGCTTGTGATGTCTATATCTCTGATAACAAAGCACTTACCCCTTGAGCTCCTGGGGGTCATGTGCTGCACGTGAGGTAAAAGCTTCGGCAGGGGCTTTACAGAGGTGCAAGTAAAACCTATAACAATCTGTATATGTACATTGTGTAGAAAGACACTCAATTACGACGCATCGGGAAGAATTGGAGGAATATCAAAGTGTTACAAGGTGCTTGCTAGGTGAAGCAGAGTCACAAATAGTAATTTCATCTATGTCTTTCTGTGACAGTCTCGTTGTCTCGAGATATAGCCAAAAAGCTCAGTAAAGATCGCAGCAATCTACTTCCCTTTTTTTTGAAGGCTCTTTGTATGCAATGTACCAATGGTTCCCTCCTGCTTTAGTGAAAGGCATGCCCTTCTTGAATTCCTGGTTTTCCAGATAGGAGAGGTTACGAGACCTTGACTGCTCAAATGACTGAGGGGCTATCTCTTCAAAACATAAGCGGGAACTCGTAAGTAAGTGCTTGGGATCATCTATGTCAATCCAACTGTGCCAGTATGGCCCAATGACTTGAGTATTCCACAATATGTCATCTTGAGTTAGACCAGGGCCCAGATTAACCCACCTTGTCAAGAGGACAGTCAAGAAGAATCTTGAAAGGAAAGCTATTGAGATAGCAAAATAGCTCATCACGTTCCCTGGGTGATTTCACAGGAAGCCATCACAGGTGCAGGAAGCTCAACAAATGCTCAGTGCAGCATAGTAGCTTCAAGATTCATAGCAAGATGTGAAGAGAAAGAGGCTCCCATTAGAATTTCACATTATCAAATTAATTCTCTGGATATATAAAGCCAATTAAAACTGGTGGCCACAGTCATGTAAGAGCTTTTATCGCTAATACAAGCCAGAGATGTATCTTCATAGATAGGCCGTATTGCGCAAATATAGAGGACTCTGTGACAAAGCCCCTAGTTGGTCTTCTTCTCAATCTCGCTTGAGTCCTCTGAAGTGAATTTGACACGCTTACCGTAAACCAACGGAGTACGAGAAAGCAAGGAGCCAACGGCATATCCGATGTAGGCTCCGACGAGAATGGTGATTGGGAATGCCTGCCAAGGTCGATCCCTTGATACATCAAGTTAGCTGAGTATTCGGCAATCGAAGTACAGTATAGAATGTAAAAACTCACCAGTCAAGAGGAATAGGAATAGCGCCTAACCATGCCCCCAAACCTGTGCCGAGCGCACTGCCCCAGACCGCATCAGCGGGACGGGAAATACCCCAAACCTCGTTCCACACGGTGCGATCCACCCCGTGGGCGTAGATCAGGGCTGTCGCGGACAGAACGGCCATATGGGCCGCACACAGGACGGTCTCAGAATTGTGCGTCGTGAGCGGGGCGCCAAATAGAACCAGAAGGATTGTGAGGACCGGGGTGGCCAAGGCGAAGGTCAGAGAGAGCGAGAGGAGAGCCGGCTAGAAAGTCTTGTCAGTATCAAAGACTCACAGGTTCCACATCAGTTGGAAAATAATCGCGTACCAGTGACCGGGACCAAATGCACGCCCAGCTGTTGGCGTGCTGCTTCCGCTTTCCATGCTTTCCATGGCGTACAGCGCTACCAACCCCAGATGACCGAGGACTTGACTTGCCATCAGCCGAGGTGGATGCGCTCGTTTCTGTTAACGGTGTCGACCCGGCGGGTGGAAGACAAACAATCACGTAGAAAATTTGTAGAAGAGTGAGCCATGGTAAGGTAGAAAGAAGCTCCTTGGTGGGATCGGCCACCAATGATTTGAAACGGGTAGCGCCCAATGCCAAAAGGAGTGCTGGGTGCGCAATTGAATAGATCCGGGCTGACAGCGAGGGGAGGATGTTGACGGGAGGGGCGGATGGTTTCTCGTCGGGGGCCTGGGGTGTTAAAGAGGAAGCCCCTGGTGCAGAAGAGGTATCTGGGGCCATTGCAGAATTCAACTGGCAGTTTTCTGTGGAAAACAAACCCTGAGCAGCTCCGGCTGATTTGGGATGGAAATGGGGGTCTTCAATGGAGATGACAGCTCGACAGTGATTGGCTGTGGCCTTGATGCCTTGCCGCCCGTTTCCTCAGGCATATTATCCTTAGTGCCTTGATTTTCGGGCTACAACGGCATTCTGGACCTCACGTATTGAATTTATACTGGTTGCTTACATTGTCAATACATAACTAGTCCATAAAATTGCAGCAGCTCCTACTACGTGCGATAGTTGACCTCATTTCGGAGTGTTTCTAATTTTTTAGGTTTTTTGCAGTTCTTAATATATTTCTTTGACATGATGGTATATATTATTATTCTTGTCTTTAACTATGTGAAAATATATCTCAACAATTGTCTCGCTATCTCTTACCATCAGTCATCCAAATCAGGACCAATATCAATGGATGTCCTATATCTAGCTTCCTATATAGGTTAGCGTACCGCAGAGTCGGGGTATATACAGGAGCGTTCTCCCATTTAACCCCCTCAGCTCCTATCGCCTCCCATCTTGTTCATGCCGCCACATCGAAGAACCCGGGCATCTATCGCCTGCGAGCGTTGCAAGCGCCGTAAGACAAAGGCAAGGACATGATGATGCGTTGAAGCGATGATTACTGACAGCAGGATAGTGCAATGGAGAGCTCCCCGTATGTTCAGCCTGTGAGCGGTCAGGGTCCAGTATGCTTTGAAATCTATATATCTCAAACCGATAGATAGTGTGGAGATTCTAATAAGCGCAGATTGTACATGGCCAACGTTGCCTCGGCTTGATGCCCTCCACACCACAGAGCACTCGCAACTGGTACAACATGCTAGCAGACTAGAAAGGCAAGTCACTGAATTACAAAATCGCCTCCAGTCCCAGCAGAGAAATGAGGTCTGCACCCATGAAATCGCCCCGCATTCTATCTCGCCGGTCGACTGCCATGGTGAGCTATCCACGGATGTTGTGCTTTTGAGTATGAATGCCGCTGCAGAGCCGTCATTTGTCGGTGCAACATCGGGCTTCTCCCTTTCTCGACTGGTCGAGGGAATCTTATCGCAGTCTATGGTAACAGAAAGAGCTAGAGATAATAGCACTACTGTCTCTGATCAGACAATGCCAGCGCATTCTGTGGCCACAGACCAAGAGGATGTTTTGGTTGATACGTTTTTCCAACGAGTGCATCCTCGATATCCACTTCTTGACGAGGTTTTGCTTCAAAATTTATTCCAGGAGAGGGCCAGTGACGAAGACCACGATGGCCCTGATCTCTTCTTACTATATATGGTTTACGCTATTGCTGCGAGGACCATTCAGCTGCACCCTGAGATGCGTCGCTGTACAAGCCCGGAGGTATGTCACGCCACAAGAGCCAAAGGAACCAGGTTCAACTCTAAAACGCGTGTAGACATATTTTACACGTGCTCTTCGCCATATCGATTCTGCTCTAGCGAGCCAGAGCCTACAACGGGTGCAAGCCCTCCTATTAATTGCCATATACCTTCTCCGAACTCCAAGTAATGTGTCAAACCTTGGAAGCTGGCACATTATTGGTCTCGCTATCCGACATGCGGTCGAGATGGGTCTTCATCGCAATCTTCGTGATTCTCGGGCGAGACAATTAAATTCAGTTGACCTGAATCTGCGAAATCGTGTCTTCTGGAGTGCATATATTTTGGATCGAGCGGTCTCATTGACCCTTGGCAGACCATTTGCCCTAGCAGAACATGAGATCGACGTTCCGGTAATTTTGATTTCTGATTTGTTACTTCTGAATACTGATGAATGAACAGGTACATGACTCGAGAAAATACCAATCCTTCACCCACATGTGCCATTTGCGACGGCTAGAAAGCCGCATCCACCGTGAAATATTTGGTGCCGACGTGCACGAAGCGTCGGATGAAAAGATTGACTGTTTCCGATATGAGCTGGATGCTTGGCGACTTGCTGTCCCGGTCCCAATCGATGCCTCCTTTAATCTCCCTGGCTACTCGATGTACGATACAAGGGAGTTCTTCGATATCCAATATAGCAAGGCACTCCGTATGCTCCTTCAACGACGTATTACCACGACAAAGAAAGAACCAGAAGGAGACGTGTCGAAGACAGCAGAGTATCTTACACTGAGTGCTCGGGCAGCTGGTGACATTTGTCAACATTACAAAGTGCTCCATCAACGAAGCCCTTTAGGCTGGAATCTCCTAGCGCTACATTCTATCTTCACTGCCGGTCTTACTCTCTTATACTCCACCTGGACTGGGAAGGAGAGGCCCGATCTCGTCGCGTTGGAAGACATACGAGCATGTTCGAGTGTTCTATTTGCTATATCAGAGCAATGGCCGTCAACAAAACGGTTCAGGGATATCTTTGAAACCCTTACGCGGGAGATGATGGATATTTTGAAACGCAGCCAAACTCAAAATTGGAACGGATTGTTTCCGGTCGATGCGGAACCGTTTGGGGGTGAGGGCTTTTGGTCGATTTTTGATGACTTGGTTGAAGACGATTACATTCGCGATCAGTTCAGGCTTGAGGAAATAATGGGTTAAATCAGAGATTATACTTCGGCTTTTTCCTTTGCCACCGACTATAACTGAATAGACATCTAAAGAAAATATTGAAAAGTCTTCTAAAAAGACCACTGAGAAGACCACTGAGAAGACCACTGAGAAGACTACCGAGAAGACCACTGAGAAGACCTCTGGAAAAACCACTGGAAAGACTACTGGAACGACCACTGAAAAGAAATCACATGGCCGTTTATGCGGCTAACTATTATCTAGATGTAATTCAGATATATTCTTTCATCGCAACTCGAAATCTTGAAATATTCCTTCACATGGGCAACCTTTACAAACTCGCACCGTGCGTTTAGATAAATTATAAACGACACAACAGACAGTCGACGTGGGCCCAGAATACGGTCCAGTATTCTCCTCTTGAGAATTCTGTTCCACGGCATGCTCACATAGACTATGGGGATAACCCGCATGGTCCTGGAATGCCGCCACAATATCCTGTTCGATCAAATTTTCCTTCTGTGCCTGGTCGCGCAGACCTACCTCGAGTCGCTCACCCCGATACCATGAGCTCCCTCCGAGGTATGTATCGGCAATTTGCGTCTGGGACAGGAAGGGGCCAGTCTGGAAGTGGTTGCTGTGGAGGAGATATGGCTTTTCCGAGGTCGATGAAATGACAGACCTGAATATTGTACTTGGTGTCACTTCTAGGCACATACCAATATCGTCGGCAGATGAGACCATGATATTACAGGAGACGTGGCGTGGGGTTCGGGCAATGCATTTCAGTCCGAGGGAGTAGTTGGACTGCTCAAGGAAGAGACGTCTCAATGCCCCGGAGGGGGGGATAGGGATTGATAAGTCTGGAGCTTGATCAATATTGCTCTGCAGGGAGTTCGCTGTGAGACCTAGTCCAGCCCCGTTGCATCCTGAGCGGCCCAGCTGACCTGCCTCGGTGACGAGAAACATTGTGGGGATGTTTTCGGAGGGATCTGGATGGATCTCGAGGTAGATGATGGCGTCGTCGATGACAAGTCGGTGGGACATATCCCAGTTTTGAGCAGTGAAGACTATCTTGTCCCTTGTCGCGGGGGCAAGAATGATTGCAGAGGTGCATTCTTCTGCGACTTCGACCTGCACTTTCTCGTCGACGGGTTGTTCCTCGGTGGCCGGCTTCTTCTCGGTGGTATGTTTAGAAACTTCAATGGCCTTGGGATCCTCGACGGCAGTTGTCTCCTGGGAGATTTCAGGAATAGATTCCACGGTCTCTCTTTCTTCTGCGGCAAGAGCTTCGGAGACGGCCTCGAACTTAACATGCGAGAGGTCATATCGCGCGTTCAGCATGACGATGTCTTCGATTGTAACTCCAGCACCGGCGGCAACACCACGCATCTCTTCCCATCCTGACGGCCAGTAACGCTGCAGTCCAGGAATATAGCAGCTGTGAATGACTCTCGAAATTGAAGACCTGCAAATCAGCATCCTCTGATTGAACTTTGAGATCTGAGTGGCCTACCATGGTCCTAGTTTGCCTGGTTGCTTGTAGTACGTAACATTGAGTTGGATCTTCTCCTTGGTTTGCTCACCATAGGAGAACCCGCGGTCATAAGGTAACCCATGGACCACCACATGCTGATAAAACGGATTCTCAGACATATTCCGAGGGGCGCTGGAATATCTTTGCAGATCTGCCAGAGAGTCAATTGGCTAGCAGAGAGGCTTATCCGGAAGATTGTCGTTCTTTATGAACTATTTACTTCGGCAGCCTTCCGATAGCTGCAAATGGTAAGGGTTAGGTTATCTCGGAGATATCGGTTGCTGCCGAGACATCGGTATGAGCCGATATATCGGGATTCCCGACAATTAACTCTCGGCAGTGATCCTGTGCTATGTTTACTATCATGACTATCATTACCCCAGGTCAAGTAAAGGGGCTAAATTGATAAGGGAACCAAAAAGAGTGCGGGGAATACCGTTAGCTCCATGTGGCTGCCAGGGAACTGGAGAAGTACTTATTGTCCTTCGGCCGCCAGAACCATGTCCTTTTGCCAAACAGAAAGACTCTTTAGTGTATCCACAAAAGCCCAAACAGATTACAGCAATGGGAGAACACGGTGTACAGGAGACCGCCGTCCCCCACGGTGAGAAGGCCATGCATGACAAGGGCTGTGACGATGCCGCAGAGATGTTCAACGGCGACTTGGTGGTGGAGTACAGCGCAAGAGAAGAGAGCATCGTCCGCTGGAAGCTTGATCTATCAATTGTGCCTATGGTATAAATCAATATCCGAGCCCCTGTTACCTATACACATACTTACTACTAGGTGTGTAGATGCTCATAAGTTATTTACTCTCCTTTGTCGACAAAGGGATCCTATCGACAGCCGCAGTTTATGGGCTCCGCGATGACCTGGTAAGACAATTACATTCAGACTCCTGTGATTATGCATAAATTAACAGCTCCAGCGCCTCGTGGGCCAACAATATAGCTGGTCCAATTCTATATTCTACTTCGGGTATGTTGCTTAACTCCCTTTCGTCCCTCACAGGTCTAATGCAACACAGCTTCCTGGTCTGGCAGTACCCCAACTCTATATTCATGCAGAGACTACCAATTGGCCGCTGGATAGGAGGCATGGTATTCCTTTGGGGTGTCTGTGTCGCAGCCACGGCGGGTGTCACCAATTTCGCGACGCTAGCCGTCGCCCGATTCTTCCTTGGTGTGTTTGAGGCATCAAACAACCCCGTGTTCACCCTCCTAGTCAGCCAGTACTATACAAGCCAAGAGCATGCATTGCGGGCGTGCTTGTGGTGGGCCGGTGGTCCGATTGCAGCATTTATTGGTGACGGCGTGTCGAATGGAATCGGCCATTTCGAAGGCGCGTTGAGCAGATGGCAATATCTGTACCTCATCTTTGGTCCCATTACAATGGCCTGGGGTATATTTCTCTTTTTCGCTATGCCGTCATCCCCCATGACGGCGTGGTTTTTGACCCCAAGGGAAAGGCAGATCGCGGTTGTCAGGGTAAGTCCCATTTACACATGAGATAGTGTCATTGTTGATGTATCCTCTAGGTCTTGCAAAACCATACCGGATTAAAGAATCGGCAATACAAGAAATACCAGGTCATAGAATGCTTCCGTGATCCTCAGGTGTTGATGCTCTTTGCCATTGTGTTCCTTCAATGTATTCCTGGTGGCGGATTGACTGCTGTAAGGGAACGATCTAACATTGGTACACTATTTGAGTAACTGACGTTTCTTTCAGTTCAATAAGATTATTCTCACGGGGCTTGGCTACACAAGTGTCGAATCTACAGTTGTTGCCATGCCCGAGCATGCGATTCAACTCGTCTCGGTGGTACTCGCGTATGTGGCTTCCAGCTTTCACTTCATGTGGTTCTATTTCTAACGAATCAGTGGCGGCGTATGTTCCTATATAGGCAAAGGACGATGCATTGCGATGATTTTGAGTAATATCTGCGTGCTAGTTGGTAGTGTCCTCCTCTACAGTAAGTGACCGAATCCCATCTTTCTTTACCGATATTAATTGCTGCAGCTCTTCCCGCTGAAAGAAAGCTGTCCCGTCTCGGCGCCGTCTACTCGCTCCTCACATGTACTGTTTCATACATCATGTGCATGTCAATGATTGCATCCAACGTAGCTGGGTTCACCAAGAAGATGACAGCAAGCGTAAGTGAACACCTTTTTATCCTGTGAGCGATTGATTAATGCCATTTAGGTCATGATCTTTATTGGTTATTGTATTGGTCAAATTATCACGCCACAGTTCTTCATCACTTCTGAAGCACCAACATATCCTACGGGATTCCGTGCATATTTCGTCACCGCATCGATGATGATTGTCATTGAAGCCGCTTTGATGTAAGTGTCCACCCAGCTTTAAAGGCTGTCAAGTTCTAATTCTCATAGGATGTATCTGATAAATGAGAATCGGCGTCGTGATAAACGCAGTGAAGGATCAGTCATTGCAGACGAGGGTAATCAACATCACATCTTAGAGACAGATTTGATGGATTTGACAGATCGGGAGCAGCCGAATTTCCGATACAGTTGGTGATGAATTTGACAAAGTATATATAATCACAAGAATAGTCGGCCGCATAAGTGGCTTTGTGGTGTCTTTTCAGGGGTCTCCTCAGATATCATTCTGTTTATGTAGATGTGCCAGTTTTATAGGTCGATGGCCAACAAAAGGCGGAAAAAGGCTTAATTTGTGCATTGGACTTTTCTATGTATAACCTTCGGTGAAATGCTGAGGTAGAGTACCTAGTATAGGTCTCATCCTTATATGACCGAAGAACAGAAGTCACGGATATTCAACTTACATACATTTAATACCAATTCCTATCAAAATATGGTCAAAGCCATGTATGTATCTGGTGAGGCACACCGTACATTTTCTTCTTGCTTTCACTTAGAAGAGAGCTACGTGAATTTGCATTGCCCTGATAGTTCTTATATCCCTTGGGAAGATATATATTTTGTTGGCTGAACGCATCATGTACGTACCTATATGTAGGTGACCCGAGGGCCTTAGCTGGTCTGGATTTTCTTTTGATGTACCACAGAGAGCAGTTGTGCGTATCTGATGGGCTTCAATGCAGAACGGAAAATATAAATATCAGTGCAAGAGTGTATCACTGGCCATTCCATGGTTGTGACATGGCTGCTTAGTCGTCCCTGACTCGTCGGTCAACTTTGAAGCCACAACATTCTCAGGTCTTCATGCGATAGCATCACTTCCACGACGAAAGACACGTAAGAAACGCAATCACTTCCTTCATGGTGATTTCGAACTGATGAATACCGTGGTACGATGAGAATTGACCATTTCTCCAGGATTTCTCCGGGCGACACTCCGGCCGCGTACACACCCTACAGCTATGCAGAAGGAAGGCGAAAGAAACCTTGAAAAAGCAACATCCCTATTCTTGTCGTGGAGTTTATAACGATAACACCAGACCAACATCGCAAGCGGAACCTAATAATAGGAGATCGGGGGAAAAAACACGAAAACAGATCAAGACAGACCAGCTGCAATTGCAGAGACAGACATACATTCATTCCACATGGCAACGTGATCAACTAAAATCCGGAAAAGGGCTAATAATATGAAGTGAGCTTTGGATCATTGCGAGACAGGGTAGGGTGAGGACAACGGGGTAAAGAATACATGGGGGGTCATTCAAAGGGGACTTGGGAGAACATCACACTATCCATTCGACAGCAAAGGGATAGGAGGGCAATATGGTCACGAGTACGAGGGCGAAGCCCATTCATCATGAACGAAAAGAAAAGACGGAAAAAAAAAACCTCATTTAACGCCTCAGGTGACGCCAATGCTCCGTGAATAAGCCATTCCTTCTCAAATGGTTAAACAGATCCTGCACAACTGGATAAAAATAGAAGTGCAATCGACGCAAGAGCAATCGTGATAATGATAAAAACGGGAGAATGGAAGCACTTCGTGAAAGCAGATTGAAGAACATCAAGCAGCCGAGGTAGACGGTCCTGCTGTCTCTTTCGGGATTTCATGGGACACTGTTGGCTCTGATACCAACACAGACTCGGTAGCGGACGACTGAGTGGGCTCCTTCTCTTCAATGACAACCTCAGCCACAGACGGCTTGGGACTATGCGGCTCTTCGGGGATAGACGGTGGAAGACCAGCGCCAGGCAAGGGAGACACAGGTGAACGCATATGCTCTTCCTTGGGCTGTTCGCGTTGGACATCGACTGGGGTGGGGTTTCCATTCGTCGATTCTGTGATAATGGGAGAAAGAGGCTGATTGGTGAGGGAAGGATCGTCCTCCGACCGGGTGGGGCTTTTTGTGCGCTCACGCTCGTCCTTAACAACCTGAGCGACCTTCGCCTTGAATTTTCCGAACAAACTCTTCTTCTCATGCTCAGATCCTGCGGACGAGGTGCCTTGAACACCAGCATCCAAACTCAGTGGGTGGCTGGAGAGGTCTGTGCTTTGATAGTTACCGCTGCCGATTGAACTAGTGCTTTGTTCGGCTCGGGGATTCGTCGCCAACAGAGGGGGAGACGCGACGCCTAGTCCAAGTTGCTCACTGGTGCGCTTGGATGACCGATGGAATCGCCAACTACGGCGGTTCTCATGACGAGAAGCATCGTCAGGCTGATCCATGTCAGACTGATCAGTGAACGATGAACGAGAGTTCATGGAGGGCGTGCGGGACTTCTTAGGTCGCAGAGAGTGTTCATTGTGAGGTTGCGAAGTACTTTCTGTGAGAGCCGGGTTCGAGTCTAAAGGGTTCTCTCGGTTGCCGAGTGTGGGGGCATTTGGTGGTCTGGGTGTGGTATCGCCAACAGCGGCTTCCACGGATCGGTTATCGTGCTTAGGTTCAAGATCCGCACTAGGATCTGCATTTGAGGCATGGAGTGAGTTAGCCGAGCTTTGGGCGCTAATACTTGCACTACCGGGAATGCGCTTCTTCTTCAAGCGATTCGGTTGCCGAGGTTCTCTCAGCTCACCATCAGCTGGCGGTGACTTCGTGAAGAAATTTGAGAGTTTCCTCTCGCGGCTCGGGGTAACAACTTGTGGAGGTGATGCGACCGGGGGTGATGCGACGGCCGTACTGAGATTCTCATGTGGCCTGGCAGTTTCACTGAGGCTAAGACGTTCAGCAGTTGCCGGAGGCAATGGCCCATGGGTTGACGTGTGTACATAGGCGTTGCCTGGAGCCAATGAGGTGCTTGATTGACCAGGGGCCCGTTGCTCAGGATGCTGCTGCTCCGAAGCCTGTTCAGGGACTGGCTGAGGATCCGGATGAGACATCGACTCAGGGATCGGCTGAGGCTGCTCAGGTTCTTCGCGCACTGATGGTGTTCGACTCGTCGATCGAGAACTCTGATGAGAGAAGGCGAGCCCGGAAGGGCTGTTCGACCCCGTGTCGTTGGCTCGTGCATAACGCGCAGAAGTCAAGACTGGACCCATCTTTGAGGGTAAAGTGTTGCTTCGGTGAACACCGCCACCACCAGCGGTGATTGAGGTAGGAGTTACGGGGCTTTGGGCGTTGTTAGAATGACGGGAGTTGCGCGATGAAACGGAGACATTGCGCCGGATACTGTCTAACTTGCGATGGCTTTCTGTGTTGGCACTGGCGTTGGACACGGATCGTCGGACGGTTGTGTGAGATACGGGTCGTGAAATGCCTCCCTCGACCTCTTTCATGGTCTGCTCATCGGCAGCCGTGCCACTCATTCCGAACAGGAAGTGGTCCTGGTTCTCAATCAAGAAGATCAACACATCCTGACTCAACTTATATTCCTCTGGCGACATATCATGCTGAGGGTGGGACAGCATGCCTGGTTGGAAGATCGCGGACAGATTACCCGACGGCATGCGATTCTGATCCGACTTTGAGGCGAAGACCGCGAGGAGGTCAAGGATATAAAGGAGGAGTTGCTTGTTCAGTGGGGGAAGCTCAATGATGAGGTTCTGGTATGTCTCGACAGCCTTTGCATGGTCGAACTTATCGGCATCGGCAGTCTCCTTGTCTTCTAGAACTTGTCGCTGGTAGATACGTAGAGGCTCACGGAAGCGCTCATAGAACTCCAATGGCACGATGGGCTCCGGCAGCTGGTTTAGGTATCGGCGAAGTACATTTGCTGCATCGTGGACCGTGTATCCGGACCAGTCGAGTCCTTTACCATATCGCTCGGGGGAGTCGAAGACCTCCTGGAGGTCCTTAATACGCTTGGCCGATCCGTTAAGGCGAAAGATTCCTTCGACATCCGTTGCTATTCCGGTGAGCAACAGTTCATCGAGTATAAGATGGTAAATGCTCACCTTTTTCTTTTAGAAAAACTCCACACTTCGCAACAACAATGGGCACGTATCCATATATGGAGCTCTGACCGTGATCGTTTGTCAAAGAGATTGCCACATTGGCATACTTAATGCTGACATTCAGCGGAACTCCGAAGATGCCGCGGGGTGTTTCTTCTGCGACAAACGAGTCAGCAAACCAGTTCGAGACGGTGAAGAATCCAACAAAACAATTGAAAAGCGAGCAAATTTCCCAACTCAGATATGAACCGCCACAACTATCTCCTGTGCGACAAGAGTATACCCGGCAAGGTCAGGGGAGAGGAGTCGCGGACCGCCACGAGCCGGGGCGCCTGAGGAAACATTTACGCGGTCGCTAGTGTTCTAATATCACTTTCGCGCAGTATGGCTTACCTTTCAATTCGTCTTTCCGGGTGCTCCGTTTGAACTGCTTCCACCATGACGCTAAATCTCGCTTTGATGGCGGGGAGCTGGCGCCGACCGGGTCGGGTGAGGTGGGGAGAGGGTGAACGGGGTCACCACCCGGGTGCGACTTGCCGACCGTCACCATGGCGAGTCCGGAAGGCGACTCGAGATAAATCGAAGATACTAAGAATCGAAGAAGCGCAGGGAAGTGGGTGTGTCGATCGAGGGATTTCGGGAAAGTCGAAGCGGCCCTGCGTCACCGCCCTCGTGTGGGAAATCCTGGGGCTGGAGCCAAAAATAGCACAGGCACGTTTTCGAGGGGCAGAGTAAAGATGGGGGATTCGAGTAGAGTGTGTGAACAAAGAGGATGAGAGGAAAAGGCGAGACGAGGGTAAGTTTGATGGAAGGGATGCGAAAGGGCTGAAAGGTCAGGGTTTCGAAAGGGTCAATGAGTCGGGGGGGCACGAGCCAAGAACCAAACACATATGACAGAGAGCTGTATTTTTTTTTTTAAAAAAAATGACCTGGTTAAGGGAAATTCTAGAATGAAACTATGAATAGACAATATTGAAGACCCAAGGTTCCCGTAGTCAAAAGACGGGTCAGGGTCGCCTGTCATGTAGATTAATTTACAGGTACACAATGTTACTTGAAATTAAGATCTCTATATATTCAAAACATCTATATACAATAGATAATATAGCTTTAGAATGGAATTTCTGGAACTTCTAGAAGTTCTAGATAAAATATTAAGACTATGAAGGCCTTCAAAGAAAGTCTGGAACCAACGGGTCTTGAACTGGCTGGAACGTGTCTCGACCCTTTTAGGGGCTTTTTGGGAAATTAGTCGCTTATATCTCGGGTTTCATATCTTCACCAGGTACCGATTTTCTTCTTTTTTGGTTCTCCGTCTTCTAGGTTAACATTTTTACAGTGTAAATGAAGTTGAAGTATATTATCTCGGTTAGAGCATATCTATTGCCACTTGGTCTATTGCGGGACAATATGTCTCCGGTACGGCTTAGATCGTCCCTCGGACGTAAAACGTACTTGCCTTGAAGTGGCGTCTTTGGCGTTCTTACCATCTTTAGATCATTTTGGGGCGCATGATCTACATATAGTTTTTGACATCTTATACGTCATCTGAGTTGTCAAAAGTGCAAATGACAAAATAAAAATAGACGGGTATTCACCCCTAGGATGTAACTTTTTATCCACGAGCAGAAACCCATTTGACCATACATTGGAAGTCATTGTGGTGGAAGCTGCTGTCCATAGCGTCATGAAGTGAGGTTGAAGGGATATTGGTGACGTTGAGAATCACGTGGACTACGTCTTCCAATTTTGGATAATTTTGCCGTTCGGATAAATCCTATCGCGGAAGGCTTGGAGTAGGTAGAGCTACAGAGCATCATCCAATACTACCCCCAGTGAAGGCCATTGCTTTGAAGATTGAATTCTTGGAGTTATAAGATATTATGTGATCTAGAAAGTTATTAAAGTGGAGGACCCAATGCAAACAAAAAAGATGAGATAACTAGTTAACTAGTTAGTTATTGATTATTAATGTTATGGCCTGGTAACTAAGGCACAAGATTGAAGTCGCGTGGGCTAATATTTCTCCGGCACCCGAGAAGCTCAGAACCAGCGGAGCTGGCAGCTGGCAGGAGAATTGTAGAAAGCATCTTACCATCAAAACATCTTGATATCAATCATCTATCACAATGGACGGGTATGTAATTCCTTTGAACCCTCCTTAACTTCCCAACATATTTTCTACCTTATTATTCTTCCGGATCATTCTCTGAGAAACCCGCTAATCCCCAAATCACAGACTTAACGCATCGGAACAGCGCGAATTCGCCGCCCGCATGGAGCGGAAGCAGATGAAGGAGTTTATGACTGTATGTGTCTCCTGGCTTCCGCATTGAATATCCGACTTCGCGCTCATTCCCTTGTCCGTGATGCTGGATCCTTACCATCAACTACCTGTCTTCTCCCATACTCGTGATCTAACAACCTTCCTTTCAGATGTACTCCAAGATGGTCCAGCGCTGCTTCGATGACTGTGTCAATGACTTCACCACTAAGTCCCTCATCAACCGTGAGGAGACTTGCGTCATGCGCTGTGTCGACAAGAACCTCAAGAGCTCCGCCCGATTGAACGAGCGCTTCCAGGAGCAGAATGCCGCAATGATGCAGAGCGGCAACATGGGAGGCAACTAAGGGTCTATTTTGATAATAAGAAACATATTGTCGATGAGTATGTTCCGTTTTGGGCACCATGCATTCGATGAATTGATTGGCGAAATTCAATCGACCCGGTTGTCGCCGGCCAGACTGTGGCTTTATAGCTTTATATGGAGGTTTAGATGGATGACAACGTGGTCGATGACCTATTGGCGAGGAAGCAGGCAGGATCGGCTCCTTTCCGTGTACCATAGAGATTAGCACGGGAGATATCTCTCCTCTCCCGGGGCTCAAAATACAAAAGACTTGACCAAACCAAGGAAAGATGTGAACATATATGTTGAGCGGGTTCGCGGAATGGGACTTAGCTCGACTTCTTTCTTCATGTCGAAGTCGACATCTATCTCCTGCTGTCGAACTGCTTAACGGTCGTGAAGGCCAAGGCCGGGCGTTTATTGTTTTTGATTTTTCCCCCCTTATCTCCGGCGTACAGTGGCAGAGTTGAGGTTGCCCAGGTGAGCATTCAAAGTAGTTACTTTATCAGTTTTCCCCGACTAAATACTATGTATTCCCCGGACTTTGGGTCCTAGGGGTTTCCCGGTCGATATAGCTATTCCTTCCGAGGTCGGCGACATGTCTTTAGATATCATATCATGATCCAATAGGAGAGAGAATAACGAGTACAAGTAGCTTGTCAACTACTCCTCTCTATAGTGCCTATATATAGTGGCACATAGTGCTTATAATAGACAAATCAGGTAGATTAACCTTATTTCCCGCGGAGTAAACATCCTATACGGGAAATATCTTTATCTTTCCCCAAGTGGGGAGAGAATGTGAGGGGAGTTGAAGGTGTCGGATCTCCAACTTCTTTTTGATGCTTTTTATCTTTCCCCTCACCGGATCCACCCCTCCTTCAAAAGCCCGTCATTTCCCTTCTTCTCTTCTACATTGATGTGAGTCTTCTTTTTTACCCCCCTGGAATTTTCCTACTAACAGTGCTAGTTTTGGAAACATTCACAATGGCCAGCACAGTAGGACAGGTAAATTATTCTTCTCTTCTTTTAAATAACCTTGCTAACTTGAAAACAGACAATCACTTGCAAGGTGAGCTCGATCCGACCGCCCCGCATATATGACGTCGACCAGTGAATGAACACTAAACGAATTGACAGGCTGCCATCGCCTGGGAGGCTGGTGCGCCTTTGTCCATTGAGGACATTGAGGTTGCTCCCCCCAAGGCTGGTGAGGTGCGCATTAAAATTCACCACACTGGTGTCTGCCATACCGGTAAGCCCCGCCAGCCCCGCCCTGAGAAAAAGAAACAAACTGCCGAAAAACCCGAGATCAACGACAATTATTGACATCCCTCAGATGCCTACACTCTCTCCGGCAAGGATCCAGAGGGTGCTTTCCCCGTTGTCCTCGGTCACGAGGGTGCCGGTGTTGTCGAGTCCATCGGCGAGGGCGTGACCTCCGTCAAGGTCGGCGACTACGTCGTCGCTCTTTAGTATGTTTCCGGCTCCGATCTCGGCGCGATATCCCACTGACAATTGTAGCACCCCCGAATGCCGCGAGTGCAAGTTCTGCAAGTCTGGCAAGACTAACCTCTGCGGTAAGATCCGTGCTACCCAGGGTAAGGGTGTGATGCCCGATGGCACCTCCCGCTTCAAGGCCCGCGGCAAGGACATTCTGCACTTCATGGGAACCTCCACTTTCTCCCAGTACACCGTCGTTGCCGATATCTCGGTCGTCGCTGTCACTCCTAAGATCCCCACTGATCGGTCCTGTCTGCTCGGCTGCGGAATCACCACTGGTTACGGTGCTGCTGTCGTGACCGCCAAGGTCGAGGAGGGTTCCAACGTCGCTGTCTTCGGCGTCGGCTGTGTTGGTTTGTCTGTTGTGCAGGGTGCGGTTAAGAACAAGGCCGGTAAGATCATTGCTGTCGATGTCAACGATGGCAAAGAGGCCTGGGCTCGCAAGTTCGGCGCTACCCACTTCGTTAACCCCACCAAGCTCCAAGGCAAGACTATCCAGGAGCACCTCATTGAGATGACCGATGGTGGTTGTGATTACACCTTCGATTGCACTGGTAATGTCGGTGTCATGCGCGCTGCCCTCGAGGCCTGCCACAAGGGCTGGGGTGAGAGCATTGTCATCGGTGTTGCTGCTGCTGGTCAGGAGATCGCCACTCGGCGTAAGTTATCCTCGTTCTTCACTTCCATTGTATATTCGCTAACACATGCCGCAGCATTCCAACTCGTCACCGGTCGTGTCTGGAAGGGATGTGCCTTCGGTGGCATCAAGGGTCGCACACAATTGCCCGGCCTGGTCGACGATTACCTCAACGGCGAGCTCAAGGTGGACGAGTTCATCACTCACCGCCAGTCGCTAGACGGTATCAACACTGCCTTCGATCAGATGAAGGAGGGTGACTGTGTTCGTTGTGTTGTCGACATGCAATAGATGCAATATTCTATTAGTCGATAAAAAATAACTGATGTGAAATATGACTTTAATTATTTCTTGGATTCAAATTCTTCTATATAGCAGTACTATTTATCGAGAAGGATGAACCTTTTGTAGGGCAGTGGCTGCCATCAAGGTCCTCAGCCCCGCAACACCTCGAGGCAACCTTGGAAATGTGTACATGTTGATGTCAGCCCAATAGGTTGGGAAAGGCTATGATATCCCTAGAGCAGTCGATTGATGTCAATGGTAGAATGGTAGCATAGCAGTACCTTCGTATATCAATTGATAGGTCATAGCATTGAAAGATCTAGGGTTTCCTTGAGGCCTATAGCTGTTGAGTTCTGAAACTCTCTTCTCTCCTCTCCTCTCTCTTTCCGGATAGATATCAAGGACTATCAGACAAGGTAGTCACTTCAATCAGATCCTTAGCCGCGGAAGAGTCACAGATACCGCGCAGGTTATACTTCTGACTCCGAACTCCCCACTAACCCTCCACTAATAATATACTGCCAAAGACGCCAATCTCGGTTCTACTTCGGAATAACGTCGCTGTCAGCCTGTGATAGGTGGCATATTGCCCACATACAGCACTGCATATCCACGTCCTGAGGGGTCTATGAGGGGCTATCAAACCCAATCCCAACTCCGCCGCCGCGGCGATTCCCGCGGCGATATCGAGGAGGGGTATATAGTCCACGATATCATTCATCTGTACAAGACCAACTCATTCTAAACCTTCTCTACAATCAAATCAGTCTATCTACCACTACTGCATTACTTGCCTTCTACTTGTCCAACTCCAGAACAACTCCACAACCCACCAGCATCCCTCCGCACTCACCTCTCTCCAACATGTCAAAGATCCCAGACCCAAACCCAATCACCCTCCCAGCTCCCTTCTCCACAATCCCCCGAACCCCACTCCTCCTAGGCCCATCCCCAATCCACCCCCTCCCCCGCATAACCGCCGATCTCTCCAAAAACAGCCCTCACCCGGTAACCATCTACGCAAAGCGCGACGACCTAAACTCCGCCTACGCCTACGGCGGCAACAAAACCCGCAAACTCGAGTACCTCCTCGCCGACGCCCAAGCGCAAGGCTGCACAACCCTCGTCTCCATCGGCGGCGTGCAAAGCAACCACACGCGCCAAGTCGCCGCCGTCGCCGCACGCTCCGGTCTAAAAGCGCGTCTTGTTCAAGAACATTGGGTCGAATGGACAGACCCCGGCTATGAAAGTACCGGCAACATCCAGCTCTCCCGTCTGATGGGCGCGGACGTCCGTCTCGACCCGTCCGGCTTCGGGATCGAGCATAAGAATACCGTTCAAGCTGTTGTTGAGGAGACGAAGGTCGCCGGCGAAAAGCCGTACTATATCCCTGCTGGAGCGTCGGATCATCCGCTTGGCGGGATGGGGTTTGCGCGGTGGGCGTTTGAGGTTCGGGAGCAGGAGAAGGAGATGGGTGTTTTCTTTGATACTGTTGTTGTTTGTGCTGTTACGGGATCGACGTTTGCGGGGATGATTGCTGGGTTTAAGTTGTTGGAGAAGTTGTATCCTGGGGATGGGAAGAGGAGGGTTATTGGGATTGATGCTTCTGCGACTGTTGAGGCGACCAAGGCACAGATTTTGCGCATTGCGAAGAATACGGCTGCTAGGATTGGACTTTCTGAGGATGATATTACGGAGAAGGATGTGGAGCTTGATGAGAGGTATCATGGGGGTGTTTATGGTATTCCGGATCGGAGGACTTGGGATGCGATTGAGTATGCGGCGAAGATGGAGGCTTTTATTACGGATCCGGTTTATGAAGGGAAGAGCTTTGCGGGGATGATGGATATGATTCGTCAGGGGGAGATTAAGGGTGGGAATGTTCTGTATGCGCATCTTGGTGGGCAGTTGGCTTTGAATGCTTACTCCGAGCTTGGTCGGACTAATGAATAGAGGTATCAATGTATTTAGAAGTTGGAATGGGAATATACTTACATGGAATTTACGGATTTATGAATAGGAAGTATGGTTGTAGCATATTTAAGCTTGAATTGATAAACGAGTGACTATAGTTGGCGCGTAAAGATGATTGAAGGGAAGCATGCACAATCTAGAACAGCTTGTGCTCCAGGGTCATCTCCGACTCAGGCTGGAGACCAACGCAAGCACGGAAGATGTTGATAAGAGCAGAGCGCTGCTTACCCAGGGCGTTGACGACGGGGGTACCGGGAGGGGTCAGGGGAGCCTTGAGCATGTAGCTGAGAATGCTCAGGACGCTGTGGAAGCCCTTGTAGTCGTCACCCTCGCTGTCAGATTGCCAGCTAATACGGGTCATCATCTCGGCGAGCACAACCAGGTCAATGATGAGGGGCGAGGCCAGAAGCGAGTCCTCACAGATGTTGAACAAGCTGATAGTCTGGTGACCACCCATGAAGATCTCAGCGTAGTACTCATCCAGAGCACGCTTGTTGTCACCGACAGCAGGCATGTACTTGATGACAACGGTGTGGTCGGGGTGCTCATCCTTCTCGTAGAGGATGTGGTTGGCAGCGACCATGTCATCCACAACGTTGGACTTGGAGATCTCCTTGGAGCGGAACTGCTTCTGAGAGCTCAGGTTCTTGCCGTCGTTGTTGCCCAGGTGGTTGTAGCTGGCAATGGAGGTGAGCTTGATACCAGCGTTGATGAGGAAGTCAACAAGGGCCGACTTCATCTTGGTCTGGCCAGACTTGAAGTCATCACCGCCGATGAAAGCACGACGCTGCTCAGCCAACTGAAGGGCACCAGGGACAAAGGTGTTCTGGGGCGAGCCGTTGATGAACGGAGTGTCCTCAAGGATGGCAGCGACAGCGAACACGGTGGAAGGAGCAACCTCCAGGTGACCAGACTTGATCGAGTTGATCAGGTTGTCGGCAGTGTCGTTAACACCAGGGATGATATCGGCGTAGCGCTCAGTGTTGGCAGTCCACATGATAACCACCTTATCCAAGCCGTTCTGGGCCTTGAAGTCGCGGATATCCTTCTGGATCTGCTCAACGTGAGCCCAGCAAGCCTTGTCACCCTTGATGACATTGTCGGCACGGTCCTCCTGGTTGGCAGCGATGAAGTCGGGGTAGTAGATACTAGGCAGCGGCTTCATCTCAGCCATCTCCTTGCGGACCTGGTTCTTGAGGGTGGGCTCCAGCACCTGAGCACGGTCCATAGACTCGGCGAGGTTCAAGCTGCTGATATCCCAACCGCCAATGGCCAGATCGTTAGGGTGGACCATGGGGAGCAGGTCGTGGAAGGGAATGTTGATCTCCTCACCGGTCTTAGCATCCGAGCCCAACTTGACAGTGGAGCTCATGACGATAGAACCGTAGTAGTTGGAGGCCTGCTTGCCATCACGAGTCTCCCAAGAGAGGTTACGACGGTTGGCCAAAATACCAGCAGTCACGGTGGAACCGTTGTTTCCACCCCAACCGACCAGCATCATACCGACCTTGCCAACCTTACGGTTGACCTTGAAGTTGTAGTTGGTAGCCTTGGGAGTGGCAATCAACTTGTTGTCCGCGGTGCGGGTGATCTCAGTAGTCTGATAGGCGTACTTCGACTTAATCTCGTCCTCAGTATAGACGACATTGGGAGACTGGACAGTAAACAGTTCTTGGCGAACCGACCCGTTCAGGGTGCCATTGGCAACATCCGAGCTAGCGTGAGGAGCCATTGCGGGATGAATTGGCGAATTGAGAGTAGTTTGTGTGATAGCTTAGCTTTAACGGATAAAGGGTGCGCAATCCGATGCTCCTCCACGGTTGGATGAGCGTCGGCCGTTGAACGGGTGGTGCCGGCTAGTAGGGAGTTAGCAATTGAACGATCATTATTCATATAGAGAAGGAGAAACTCACGAGTTAAGACTTGTCGCGAAAATTTTGGCGGTTGTATGTGACCACTGTCTCGACGAGAAGTGATCTGACCTGCTGACAAGGTTTATACGAACCTAAAATAAACGGGCAAGAATGATATGATTGAGGATGAGAGAAAGAAGAAGAGAGAGAGAGGGAGGAAGGGCCACAACTTATATGGTCTCCGCCTGTCTCCGGCGTTGTAGTCCCCCGTTCCCCCGGTCCCCCGGCTTCCCCTTTTTGTTCTTTTTTTTTTCTTTCTTTTAGCTTCAGACTACTTGTTATTCATATTATAATTGGTTGAAATGATCACACCGTCTATTCTTTCTAGCCGATACCGCATTCTTTTTGTTCCTGCATATATGGCCTTTGTATTAGCCCATACTATCATAACACATCTACCGAATTACCGCTTGACGTGCTCCGCTTCCGGGGGTTCCAAGGTTTTCTTTGGTGCCTGGCCCGGTACATTCCTTTCCCAATTCGAATTTCGGTGACCTTTTCTTCCAGGGGAGCTTCTAATTGTCAATTGAATGATAGTAATTCCTATATTTACTGAAATAATAACCGATGGAGTATCAATCAGACCACGAGCCTTTGCTTGAACCGTGCTGGAGGGGTAACCTCCGCGGGGCAGAATGGCGGTCAGCCCCTGACTTGGCCTGGTCTTGGCCCTAAATTTTGCTGCCTTTTTTTTCTCTTTATCGTTTCTTAGTCGTTACTAGTATCCTTCGCTTATTACGGCATATTCCCTCCAGAAACACATGTTAATTTGCGAACCTTGGGAGAGACGGCCCGGATAGCTCCGACAGCATAGCATCCCTCAAATTCGCTTTGAAATTCACAACTTTCCAGGGGTTTAACCAAAAGCTTTAACCGACAGCAATAATATGTAATAATATCAAACAATTCCTACTTTACTTTACTATAGAATAAGATAATGGATCCTGAAATGTTATCAATGCCCCACAACGGCAAGATCTTCTCAAGTTTCAAATCTCCAATCCCCTAACGCCTGTATCAGCCCTCTCCTTCAAAATGACCGTGAAAGCTTGTAACGCATCAGGCTGTGCCAAAACTGGCCTTTGGACCTGCTCAGCATGTGAGCCACCCAATGCCAAAGCTTAGTACTACAGCAGGGAGTGTCAGAAAGCCGACTTCAAAGTCCCATACTCAGCTATGCGCCTACAATCCCATACAACTGCTTCTTGATCCGAGCTACCCCTGTTGCCGGTGATAATCAGCCTGATGCAGCTTACATTGAGCCATTCCACCTCAAAGCCTATGGAAATTGGGGCCTCGAAATGAAAGAGCTCAGGGAAAGGCTTGGCTGGCCGCAAGCTGAGGAGGCTGGAAAATTCTATCCTCAGAAGGACATCGATACATGGTACTACTATATGTATCAATCGTCCGGTCACAACCTCCCCAAAAACAAACTTGCCAGTCAATGTTTGGGACGAACTGTGACGGGCGATGTTGCTGTCGTCAGATCGTCCCCGGCAGAGATCGACGATTACGAAGAGACTTTTACCAAAATGGACTTGAAAAAGACTATCGAGTATTACAAGACTGCAAACTCTCATGAAGTGTTTGAGCAGCGAGAACGCTCGCGTCTTTCCCCGGAAGATGGGGATGCCGGCGGACTTTTTGAAAGGTGTTCCTCACTTCAACTTCTAGGGTTTGAACCTGGTAACAGTGTGGTCGTATTTCCTCTCATGTATTCATCTGTGATTTGTTTCTCTTATATTGCTCAACTGTGTTACGCTGCTTTATGCATCTGTTGTTCTTGACGCTGCATTTCAATGTTGCGCACTTCCGAAAACATAGTGCGTTCTTCTATGGAAACAAATCATGTCTGCAATCCATAGATACCTCCATAGTATGGCTATTTCTCATTGACTGAACACTCCTGAGAATCATGTCCCTATTTCTTGTCCCTATTTCTTTTTGTCACAAAAAAAATGCTTATACTCTCAACCCTCAATCTTTCGGCACTCCATTGCCTTCTTTCTCCAAAGGGCCATCTTCCTGGGGTTGTCGCCCAGTTAACCTGTTAGGCAACTGCTTGGCCACACGAACAGGATCTAACCAACCTGTGGACATAATAAACACCTCATCTATATCTTCCAGCGACAGACCTGCAGTCTCCTGGCAAAACAGATAGATTATCGGTATCATCGCAAAGTTCAGAACGGCAAATATGAGAAAGTATTTCCATCCAATAGCGTTGAAAGCGATTGGTGTGACCTCAGCGATCAAAACACTCAGAGCCCAGTTTATGCCAGACCCGATACCATTGATAGTGGTACGCAGACTGAGAGGTGACACCTCAGATGCATAGAGGAAAGGTATGCCGCCAAACCCGAGAACCATGCTAAAGTGAAAGATGAACATAAAGACCACAGCTGCGTACATGGCGATGTGGTTTGTCGACTGGGAACTAAGCGCAGCCACGAGGATCATGGTGATTGCGTTGATTGTCGCACTTGACAACAACAAGAAGCGACGACCAAATCCTTCTATAGTGAACACACAGACAATGCCACCAAAGGCACCTGACAATTGATAAACCACGGCCAAAATCCTTGATGTTGTCGCGTCCAGGTGAAGATAGGTTTGGAAAATCGTCGTACCTAGTGGATCCATGAGCGAAGGACATTGGAAGGGATTGAGGGATTAGAGTACATACTGTAGTACGTGATACAGTTGACACCCGTCAGTTGTAGCAATATCAACCCACCTGCCGCAAGCGATACACGATGAAAGATTCTCTGATGACCCATGCGAAAGATTTGGCGCAGGGATCCATTACCAGCAATAGCTAACGAGGCCGTCACATCCGCTATCTCCTTCCCGATCATTTCACTTTCCATTTCCGTGTCTATCAATGCTGCTAATACCTCACGAGCAGCAGAGACTTTGCCCTGTTGGACCAGCCAACGGGGAGACTCAGGCATATGAGAAGTAAATATAATCACAGCTAAGCAAAATATGATAGGCAGACCAACTGGGACACGCCAGCTTGCACTATTGGGAACATATGACATCCCAAGATCGACAAGTAACGCCAGCGTAAGCCCCATAGCGACGAAGACGCCTGTGGTCCCGACATGCGCACCACGCTTGGCAGCTGGCGATATCTCCGATTGCCAGACAGGTACAGTGGCTAGCTGACCGCCGGTTCCTAGACCTAGGATAACTCGCGATACCACTAACTGAGAAAAAGGGAACGAACTAGCCATGAGGAAAGCCCCGATCATTTGCGTCACTGAGGCGAGTATGATAGTTCGTCGACGTCCAAGGATATCACCCAACCCAATGCAGGCGATGGCTCCTAAGAACCCGCCTGCGGCATACAGGGCCACCACAGCACCCTGTAATGTGGATTTGTGGTGTTTTTCTGAAGGGTGGGCATTGGTCACGTCGATTTGAGGAAATTGCGCTTTGAACCAGGGTAGGGTGAGAACTCCTCCTAGTAATGCTTGATTATAGCCTAGGGACATCATTGCAGGCATAACCACGCCAAGGAGTGCCGCGTAGTTGAGGCGGCTGCCTCGAAAGCCAAGAAATCGTGTCATGGCGTGCAAGGTTTGAAATAAGGCTATGTTTGGGTGGTTTGGTGTCAATTTGGAAGACTGCCGACGTGGTTTGGAATTAATCAGATATCTTGCAATTGTGTGGGGTGGATTCAATCCTTGCATTGATGTTACTTTATTGCATTCCAATCTCGAGATCAGCATCTAGAAACACATGTTTTACCAGTTCAGCAAGGTTAGCAGTAATATTTTGAGTTGCAGATCGAGATGATCGATGAATGCTGCGGGAGGTATAAGCAAGGGGTATATCATATTGTGTGGCTGTTGAACACTGTTACTATAACAAGACAATTTGACGGTCACATCATGATATATAATTTAACATCAAGACTTGTTGCGTGGGATTTCCATCAAATTTCGGACGTGGGATCAACTTATGGGGGCTGTTCGTGAATGATTCATTGAAGATATATATATGCGTATGGATATTACCTTCGACCAGTGGACAATTGCTTTTTTTTATTTTAGATTGTCATCTTCCCTTGAACTTAGGTAGTTAGTAAATATTTTACGCTAAGGTAAGATTAATCATCTCTATCATTGGCATAAATATATTGTGGCACCGGATTAAATCCCCCGCAGTGGAGAATGGGGAACTTCCCCGACGGAGGTGAAGAAATCAACTCCGTCATGCCCGGTCCGAAAAGCCAATGCTGGTAAGTAACGATCTAGATCCTTATCTTCTAGGATTTGAGGACTGACTATATTAAGTGATCCATGTCGTGTACTTCACCATAAATGTAATGCCGCTTAACGCCGCCCAGACCAGTTCTTCTCTAACTGTCGATAGGTGACGGAGTCTTGCCACAATGCGGCCGATGCGTTCGCACAGGTCGCGAATGCGCTCGAGGTAAAAAAGAAACTAAGTTCCGACAGGCCAAGGGTCGGACGACGCGCACTAAGTTTCCTAGCAATCAAGTTTGGCTTCGGCCACCACCTAGAGGTTGGATTTTCCACTCGGTTTCATTGATATCTAGTCTAACACCAAACCATTATTTAGTTGACTTTATACTCGAAAGTGGAAGCGGCCAGCCAGATGCCTCGACACAGACACAGAGCGCAAGTAATATTGAGTCACCTGCCGGGAGTTTGCATAGTCCTGCCGACTCCACTCCTATACCGGGGCCGTCTCCCGGATCTTCATATACCGCCCCTTTGCCGCAATATGGGTTCTCAAACCACCAAGTACATACGAGGAGTAGTGTTGTTTCAACTCCTCCGGTGGTGAGCACACCTGAACGATCATACCAACGGCCATGGCCGCTGAGAGATCCCCGCGAGGCGTATTTATTGCAACATTTTGTGGATAAAATTGCACCCTTTGTAAGTGATCATTTCTGTTTAAAATAAAATCCGGTAGTCTGACTGAGCGATATCAAGTTTGATTGCACGGATAGCCAGCAGCATTTTGCTATCCACATCCCTTACCGAGCACGCCGTTGCGACACATTATTCAATGCATTATTGGCCATGTCAGCTCGTCATTTGAATCGCACAACAGATTTTGACCCTTTCGTGTCAGACCATTACTACCAAGCATGCCTGGAGAAGTTGATCCCCGCGCTAGACGATCACAGTGTTACGATGGATGATGATTTGCTGGCTGCTACTGTCATTTTACGCTTGCTGGAAGAGTTTGATGGTGAGTAGTAGATGCATTCCCGCTTGTGCCAATAATCCAACTAACTGAGCATAGTCCCACTCGCCGGGTCGGATATTCGAGGCCACTCCTTTGGGACAAAGGCTTTCATACGGGGCCCATCAATGATGACTACAACCCCGAGTCTACGGCAGGCTGTCTACTGGAGTGGCCTCCGCCAGGAAATTTACAATGCCCTTAGCCTTCACCAAGCCCCAGATATTGGCCTGAGGTCCTTGAACTTGAGTTCCCATGTTAGCCCGCTGGGCCCTGATGCAGGTGATTGCGCATGGGCGAATGAAGCAATCACTCATTGTGCAGACGTTTTGATATTTTGTTTCGGGGAGGGACCTCGTTCGGTGGGGGTGCATGCAGAGCTTAAGGTACATAATCAGCAATGGAGGGAGACTCGGCCGGACTCTTTTGACCCATACTTTGTGGGTGAAGAGGTGGAGGTGGGAGTTAAATTGCCCGATATTCGTTATGGGTGTCCCTGGCATGGTACGTACCGAGGATATTTCTGGAAGTGAACTAAGGCTAATTACTTGGGACTATAGCAATTGGCAATCAATATATCGATCTTGCCCAGATTCTGCTTTCTGTGCATGACCCAAGTCTGCCGACCGTTGGACCTCTGCGCAGGCGTCTGATCCAGGAGGCTGATGTAAGTGTCTTAACTTTGAAACCTACGTTAAGTACCGAAACACAGACTGACAGGTAGTTTAGGACCATATCCGCCGGGGTGTTTGGACAGTCTGTGGCGCCTCATTATCCAATGCCTCTGTGCCCCCCGCCATGGTTGTTGGTTGCATGGCCATCCATCTATGTAAGCAGAAACTGCTCAATATCTTCTAAGTATGAGGCTAACTAATATCACAGGCGGCGATCGCTTCACAGACCCACATGAACAGCAGCTTTTGATCCAAGTTCTTATCCAAATGGATGCACTTCACGGCTGGCCTACGCATGTACTCCAGCGACAGCTTCGGGAGACGTGGGGCATACGTTGACTTTGTATCATTTAAATAGAAGTGAAAGAGAGAAAGTTGTCTCACGAAACTGAGCCGTGTCTGAGAATGCACAGACGCGACAGGTGATCGTCCCTCTCCCGTAACCAACAGCCCCATACTCGTAGCATCCCGTCCCCACGTCATATGCGAGTTTTCAAATGTCCGGGCTTGGCTTCATTTTTGCAACTACCTAAACGGTAGAAACGTATTAACAATGCTATGAGTATGTACTTCTGTTTTCGGACAAGTGTCAGGGCCATGCATCCATGGCGTTCGGTGGAAAAAGTAGTGGCCAGTAATATGAACGGATTGGGAAGAAAAATGGCCCCGCGGATCGCCAGGGTAAAACAAATTGATTGTTTTGTATTCGAATACTCCGATAAGTTTGGGATTTTATTAAAGCGCGTATATTTAAGGGAATCTTGGATGGGTTCATTCTGTACAACATCTGTATGTTGCATGAAGTACTCCGTACTGAGTACAGTAGTCGAATGTCAAAATTCAGATGGAGAGATATCTCTCCATCGAAAATGCACTCAAAAATCACCTACACAATATGATTGGTGACGGTGGAGGATCAGACTCCAAATACGGGCCAGTCGCGTTGCATTGTCTTTTTTCCCGTTTGATGTGCATATCCCTGAATGTGTTGCTCCACTGGTTTGAGAACAGGTATAACAGATATTGATATAGGGAGAGTAGGGGGTTTTAATTAAATATATAGTAAATAAGTTGTAGAAAGATGAAACAGCTATATCTAATTATGCAAAACAATCATATCAGATAATATAATAGCAATATACTAAATGGAACCCCCCTGAATAAGTTACGCACCCCCTTTCCGCACTGGAGACGCTACCCACACTAGCGTATTTTCTCAGAACACAAAGACATCCCCCCCCATACTGGAATTCTCCTAGACTTCACTTTCTTAGAATCTTCCCCATATCTCGGGATATGGCTTAAATTCGATGTTCACGATCCTTGATGGCGTCAATGAACATGGGCATGTTGCCCACCATAAAATGCTCCAATTGTGGGTGCAATGTTGAGATCTCCTCCATGGGAGATCATACTTGTATTCGAAATGATTTTGGTAGGCTTTGTATATTCAATACGACAGATCTATGCGCTGACTTTATTAGCAGTCGCACCTATCCCATCACCGCCTCCATCCGCAGGGTTTGACTCAGACCGATTTGTAGAGGCAAAGGTTGGCCGGGGGCCACCCCCGGCCATAGACCCCTCCGCTGCAAGTATGTCTCAAATCACCATGTGAGGAGTTGAAGGGATCTGTCACTAACCCTACATCTAGACCGAGCATTCTTGCAGCCAAATATGCCGACACCAGCTAACAGTGTCCATCTATCACCACTGCCTGCCAGTCCAGCACCATCTACACTGCGCCCGTCTCACAATCCGACCGAGGATCAATCTGAGAGCAACTTGGATACAGTTTTCTCATTTCCCATGCCTGGAAACAGGTCACCCACTGAAGTGAGGACACCAAGCCCAATGACGGATCGGAATCTCCTTAAACTACGAACAGCCCCGTCATCGGGATTGGGGCTGGGTTTGATGCCGGAGAATATGCAGCTTCCACCTAGTCCAATGCCACCCAAGTCCCCAGAGACGAACCATAACAGGGAGAATTCAGCGGCGAGCCACAGCAGTTACCGGTCGTCTTTCGCCAGCAGTCGCTACGGCGATTCCACAACAAGGTCATCAGCCAACAGCCTCTCGCGTGGCTTCCGGTCATTCATGGATGACACACCACCAGTGCCACTGGCACCTCTACGCACCCCTCACAAGACGTCTTTCCCCCGTGATTCTAACGTCTCGGTGGTTTCATCCCGGATTAGCAAGGAAGAAGCCAGTGGGTTCGACTTCGGTATACCTACAGGTCAGAACCAGACTACCGGACTACATGATCTCCCGGAGGAATCTCCTTCATTCCAGAATCAGACCGAATATGTCGCTTTCCGTCCTGGACAAACCCACCTTCACCCCGCGACAGCGGAAGCAGAGCCAGGTAGCGATGCGCCGCGGAAAGGTTCTAACGCGAGTACCACAAGTGCATTCTCTGTCACTAGCTTTGCCCGGGCACTTGGTCTGGATGACCAAATGAATCACTCTGAAAGCTCTGGCTCTGATTCATCGCCTTCCGATGCCCGCAGTGGTAGTTCTATGTCCAGTCTTCCATCCGATGGTAGCTTGAGTCGACACAAACCCACCGACCCTTTGAATCTATCCCCCTTGGTGGAAGACATGCCCGCCCGGACACGACAGACGATTGTAGAAATACCCGGCCGTATACGAAGCACCATGGAAGAAGTCCCACCCATCCCGGCTGCTTTCTTCAGCCCAGATTCACCTACCGACCCTTCAATCAACAAAGGTGGAGTGTCGTTAATTGCGGAGAGGAAGGAACCTCCAACTCCCATCCAAACACAACCACAACAATCGATACCCCGAAAACCACCACCACCTCAACGCTCATTCACAGCACCCATACCCCCACAACCTAAAACACCGACGACACCGACCCGGTCCGCGACTGGGCGTTCGAAGGGGAAGTGCAAGGGTTGCAATGAGACAATCACAGGCAAATCGATATCATCCTCAGATGGCCGCCTCACAGGTCGATACCACCGGGGCTGTTTCGTCTGCTTCGAATGCCACTCTCCCTTCCAAACAGTCGATTTCTACGTCCTCAACAACCGACCCTTCTGCGCGCAACATTACCACGAGCGCAACGGCTCCCTTTGCGCCGGTTGTCACACCGGCATCGAGGGCCACTACCTGGAGACCGTCGAGCGGAACCCTGCACGACCAGACCGCCGTCGATTCCACACCCAGTGTCTGCAGTGTCGTACATGCCACGTCCTTCTCAAAGGCGACTACTTCGAGTGGAATGGTGAAGTCTTCTGCGAAAGAGACGCTCGCAGAGCAGCCGCTGCCTCCCAGCACCACTACCCACCACCTGGTCCTGCTGGTCCTCCTGGTCCAGGTCGTCGCCGCCCACCAGGCTCATCTCCCCTAGCCCAGTCCGGCCACTTCCCACCAGGCTCGTACCCTCCACCTGGCGCAAGACTCGGACCTGGACCTCCACCCGGACCCGGACTCCACCCCGGCGCTAGATTCCCACCTGGAGCTGGGGGCGGAGGACGTTTCCCTGAACGACGCACCACTAAGCTTATGATGGTTTGAGCAAACCATCATTCTTTCCTGATTGGAAAGCGCTGAGTTGCACATTCCTTTTTTTTCCGCATCTCTATCGCGGATGGCGTTCCCACTTTGTTCATTCGTTTATATATCGCGATATACCCTGTGCTATCTCACCCATTTAACTTCCGCTGGCAATGGCGTTGATTTGTTTTTCTCTTGCATCGGGGCTGTCCTGTGAAACCCCATTGACGTGTTTTGTGATTTTTGGTCCGGCGTGTATTTGTTGATTTTAATGCCGAAATGTATCTAATGTGCTCTCTATCGGCTCGGTGTTTGGGCTGGTTATTTCTTGTACACGATTTGCAACTATAATATGAGCACCTGTTGATGTAATCTATCTACCAGGTCTAAAGCTAGGGAATATCCGCATGAGCTTTGAAAACGAAAACGTTCTGCTCGAGTTAGCGCTAAGGTGTTCTACGGTGGTGAATTCAGCATCTGTCAGACGGGTGAGGCTGCTAGCTGCAGCAAGAGCACCATCACCAGGATTCTGCCTAATGTCACGATCTGCTATCACCTGCTCATACAGGTTTGCTATTTCTTACTTCTTTATCTAAAGAGAGTGTTTGCTTCTAGATTTTTTGCTCATGATGCAGTATTTAATCCTTACGGATTCCCTGCTAGCTTCTTCCTCTTCTCTTTCTCTTCATCTTTGATATTCTACTTGAAATCCACTCTTTCTCCTTTGATAAAATCTGGCATGTAACACCTAACCAATCAAATGATAGCCCTGCATAGAGACAATCCTGTCGGCTGAATTATCACTCCACGCTTTACATAGTTCTTGGCATCATCTGCAAAGTCCTTTATCTTCCTTCATCTCCCATTCGGCAAAGGAGAGTCATACAGGGATGTCAATATACAAACTGGACAAATAGTACATACAAGGTAAGACGTGAGTATGCAAGGATGTGTTGTCCAAACTCGTGCGGGGTAATCCGTAGGACTCGTGCTGATTCAAATATCTCAAGGGACTCAATCCAAATCTCATTTGCCCTGACTATCATAATATCACCAAGCAAAGTAAACAATGGGTTCTATTTGGGTTGCAGACATACCTCGCCCGGAGTTGACAGATGAGAAGATCGGGCCATCCATCACGAATGTGGAGCATTTGTCTTCTTACAATTGGATTGAATCTTCCAGCCCTACTATTGCGGTTCCTGGCTGCCCGCCTCTTTGGTCTCCACCCCAAACACCCAGAAAAGTAGCCAAAGACTCTGGACTCATTTACATTGCTCAAAACGCGTTTCGCTATCCTGAAAGTCCGCTTGAACCACTTTTTCGCTCGCTGTACACCGAAAAACCCTCATACGATATACACCAAGCCGACTTGATAACTGATCGAAACAACATCCGCAAACTTCTGTCATTCATCAATCCAAAACTCTCTAGAAATGGACTGGAGCCTTTCACCATTGAAATTGAGACTACAAACAATACAGCAATCTTTTGTCGGGTAGAAACTGAAACACATACATTCGTCGGCCCACACGACTTCAGAGGCTACGGTCACGAGTTTGAGAAAGCCTTCACCACAACCCAAGTATCCGGCAGCACGGGACATCATCGGATTATCTCCTATAACTTGGAGGATTTGAAATTCATAGTACGCTACGAGACTGACGCTTACGTTGAAGAAACTTCGAAACTTCAAAGTGGTTCGGAAAATGAGACTTTTCTGAATATGATGGAAAATCTTTCTCTTTCACGACCCGAAACTTCCTCTCGTCTTGCCGAGTCCAAATTAGTGGTCCAGGAAAAAGGAAAACAGGTCCCAATTAATTCAACTCTTGAGATAAAAACACGCGTGTCCCACAAGCCTATCAACATCCAAGAGGTTCTTCCACAGCTGTGGGTATCGCAAACACCGAATGTTGTCTGTGCCTACCACAATGGTGGCACATTTGGATTACCGGAAGTCAAAAACGTCACTCGCGAGATTGCTGAATGGGAACGAAATCATGCCAATGACCTTTGGAGATTAGTTGTATTGGTCAAGGGAATCATAAGGGTAGTGAGAGAAAATGGTGGGAATGCTGTCGTAAAATACGACGGTCGAAGTGACAGCCTTGCGCTTTTGAAGAGCAAAGGGGGCAGGATGTTAGCTGATGATCTTTATTCGAAACTCGACGAAACGGGATCGACTGAAGCGATTGATACAAACTCTCGCAAAACAAGACTCAGAATTGGGGATACTTTCTACAATGTTGACATTTCGACGATACCATATTTATCAGCTTTTGTCAGGTTTCAAGGTGTTTCCCAGCCGCAAAAAACCGAATTCATTCACGGCAGTATTGCTTTGTTTGACGTTGCTCTCAGGGGCTTGGAATCAGGCTATCGGCAATGTTTCCGCTCTTTGCGAGATGATATCCCTCAGTACCACACCCTCTGTGAAACATATGATTTCCTTGGGGTCGACGTACTTGGCGGACAGTCAATTGATGATATTTTTGCTGATTTGAAGGCCTGCAAACCCGATTATCAACTCGAATATAAGCGTTATCGAGTTGTAAAGGGCGATAAATCTCGAGCACGGGACGCGGCATTTCGACTGCTATTTGTGATAATACGTGGGGAATTCAGCGATGAACAAAAAGATCCTGCCAAGGTTTACAACGCCGTGTTATTTATTGTCTCGCATCCAGGCACCTTCAAACAGGACACGAGAATTGCAGTGCGGTCAGTCTATGAGGAGCGCTTTGTTGTGTCCAAGAAGCAACGAAGTCAACTGGATCGTTGGAGAAAGGGGAATACTACTAACTGGTCAGAATGCGATACCACAACCGAGGATGAATCTGATGAGCCATATCTTTCTGACCAGTCTTAGGCCAACAAAATTCGTGAGCATGGTTTGTTTGGCTAGGTTGCTAGATATCTCTGGAAGCTGTAGTAGCGTATCTGCGATTCAATTTCTGGGTCTCAAGTCCAAAGATGTCAAACTTGCCTTCAATTATCCATTCTTTTGCATAGTTCTGTTCTTTTTGTACCGACATTAATAATTTTCGGTTTCAGATATACCTTTACACTCTCGCGCGCATGTCAAACCGTTTTCTAGACTGGTAGTTGTGTCATACAATACAGTAGGAAGACACCACAGGGTGTATTATACCCATGCTACCTAGTATGCCTCTCCATCCATAGTAGGAGGTAGATTGCCTCTACAATCGCCCATCTGCCTAGAAGATGTCAGTATTTAAGCACAGGCGAAACGACTTGGTTGCTAGACTTCCTGCTTCGAACTCGTATCTGATCCGTGATCTATCTAACAAATCGAAGCCGTATAGAAGATAATTGTAACGTTAAGCCGATAATAACAACAGATAAGGGGTCTAAATGGAAGAGAAAACGAGGGAGTAGCCATAGTTGGCTGAAAAGTGATAAGGGGCAAATAGAGGAGTCGGGCAGTCCGATTAGCCAAAGTTGTCGGGGCGTAGTAAGTGCAAAATAGAGAGGTAGAAGAATAGAAAAGTGAGAGAAAGGGAGAGTAGCGAAGATGTGACTAAAAACAAGCGCTTCAGATCCACCGTTTACAAGTTTAATAGACATGGTCTCTTTTCCCAATTCTCACCAATGACCCAAAATCATGCCTCATTATCTGATTACCCATTAATATACCATCGCACCATTATGCTATGTAACTATCTAGACTTCCGTTCCTCAAACTCTAGTCGCTCAACCGGAGCAAGATACATCCGTTTCAAGATCCACCCAAAGCAAATCACATAAAGCGCCACAGCAATAATCTCAATCCGCTGTCTCAACGGAATCCGATCTAAATTAGGATTCGGAACACCCAACACACCACTATGTTCCTTTTCCCACCCCTCACAAACCTGCCGGAACCGTCCGGGCTCATCGGAGATAACACCATCGATTTGATGTCGTATACACCAACGCATTAGATTCGGCGCATTCACCGTCCAGACATAAACCTGACGTCCTGCAGCACGCGCCTCGTCTAGAAACCCCCGTCCTAGCGGACCCATCAGGATCATCTGATTGATGTTGAAAGATACAAGTGGTATTTGTAGGAACTGGCGCGCATAGCTCACATCAACGCAGACAAGCGTCACCGCGTAGAGCGGTAGATGTTTTGCTCGCGCGGGTAGATACCGAGCAGACCAGCAGCCTAGAATGATTCGACGGTGCCAGGGTACAGTTGATGGTACTGAGTCGATTGTTTTGGAAATAAGGTCCATTATAGCGAAGGGTTCATTGGTGAGCTGGGAATGGATGTTAGCCTTGGAAAGATAATATGTCAAGAATAAATACCTTTATATCGAGCAAAATCCAGAAATCCTCCCGGCCTGGTTGACTTAGGTATTCCAATACATCGATTAACCGCGGCATGGGTTCGTGGGGGGCTTGTAGAGTTCGTAGAGTCTTTAGATACTCCCAGTCACAGTCGATTACTTTCTTCTTGATGCCGAAGCAGCGCATCAGGCTTGCATCCTTGGATGTATGAGCGTGGTTCTATATCATGGGGTGGGTGTGCGTACGTGTGATAAAACCACGATCCCATCGCGGGAGATGTGAAGGTCCAGCTCGAGGGCGTGTGCTCCTGCCCGGATTGCTCCATCTATTGATAGTAGGGTGTTCTCGGGGTATTGGCCTTTGAATCCTCGGTGGGCGATGGCTTGAGGGAGACGTGGGGAGGCACGGGAAACCGGTGAGTGGTGGAAATGAGCTTGCGGAATTGTGTTAGTTTGACCATGCCGGTTGTGGAGGGTTGCGTACCTGGAATTCCATGTGGATGCTCTGCTAGAGGTGATGTGTCGTCCATTTTGAAAGGAATTGTGAGTGTTGATGGAGAGAAGAATGGAGATTCGGTGATCAAACAGGGCCATCGGAGTTTGGCGGAGTTAGGCCCCGCTTCGTGGGTGACTGTGCATTGTTCATATTGCTGCCTGGAGTTGGAGTTCTTCCAGGTGCAGGGGTGCCAAATGGCCGGGTTCAGGTTCTAGAGATATTCATATGGTCATTGACCAAGAGAAAGCTGCCATGTAGAGAAGTTGGCGAGGTCGAATAGAGATTACTCAGCACCTGCAGGCGTCCAGCCCGGCTCCACCTGAGGCGTTAGTGATGGATTACTCCAAATTTCTCCAACCTGATTTATAACTTCGGTCTTTAACTCAGGGTCCTTTTCAATCAAACATCTTCTTCAACTAAAGTCGTGAGAAATGGCCGTTAAACAATGGATCACGCCCTTGAAGGGCATTGACAGCCTTAGCCAGACGGAAGTTCCAATGCCCGCACCAGGGCCGAACGAAGTATTGGTAGAGATCCGAGCTGTCTCTCTAAACTACCGCGACGTGGAAGGTAAGTCGCCCGCCAAGAATTGACCAGGATCTAGATTGACAGAATTTTATAAAGTGACCAAGGGCGAGTATAAACACCACAAATCCGCCGAACAGGATGCCACCATCGTACCCTGCTCGGACATGTGTGGAGTGGTGACGCAGGTTGGATCTAGCGTGACGAAGTGGACAGTCGGCGACCGGGTGCTTTCGACTTTCCTACCCGATCATCAAACCGGCCAGGTCACTGAAAAGGAGCTTGGCAGAAGTCTGGGGCTGCCGCAGGATGGTGTCCTTGCAACACACCGCGTGTTCCCCGACCACAGCCTGGTAAAGGCACCTAGCTTCATGTCAGATGAGGAGGCGGCTACGCTTCCTATTGCTTCGGTCACATCGTGGATGTCTATCAATGGTATGCGACCGATGGGGCAGAGTGGCGGAAAGGACGAATATGTCTTGCTCCAGGGAACTGGTGGTGTGGCTATTGCCGGACTGCAGATTGCAAAGGCGGCTGGTGCGAAAGGTGGGTGGATTTATCACCGTTCATTGGCGCAAATTCTAATCTACAAACAGTTATTATCACATCTTCGTCCGATGCCAAATTGGACCAGGCTAAAGAGCTAGGTGCTGATTTTACTATCAACTACCGCACCAACCCGAACTGGGAAGAGGAGGTGATGAAGGTGACTGAGAACCACGGCGCTGATATAATCTTGGAAGTTGGCGGTGCCAAAACGCTGCGGAAGAGCTTTGATTGCGTCGCTTTCGGAGGATTGATCAACTGCATTGGCTATGTCTCAGGCAAGGTTGATGCTGATGACGACCGCCTGAATGTCAATCTCCTGGCTCTCCGTCGGACGGTTACCCTCAAAGGAATTATCAACGGTCCCAAGGATCGATTTGAAGAGATGATCCGTTTCTATGAGACAAAGCAGGTTCACCCAGTAGTTAACCGGGTATTTTCGTTTGCCGAGGCGAAGGCAGCATTCAGATTCCTGGAAAGTGGCAGCCACTTTGGAAAGGTAGTTATCAAAGTTCAATAGAGCCATGAAGCTCTGAAAAAGAAATTCATTTTCAAAATATCCTAAGAGACCCTCAATTCTTGTCATTGCCACTCGGCTTGAGTATCCCAGTCGCAAGGCCCAGTTCTTCTCCCAATTCCTTCCCACCCACCGACAATTTCTTGCAATCCTGTAGCACAAACAGGAGACGGGCCCATTCTGTCTTGCTGGGGTTGCGCCACCCATGCATCGTAGCCCGTTGTACCGCAACATCACCTCGGTTCATGATAACCGGCTCGCTATCTTCCAAGACCATTTCAATCTGACCTTCCAGCACCACGCCATAGTCTAGACTCTGTGTCCGGTGAACCACAACAAGGTTGTCCGGGGCGAAATCCACAATTCGGCATACGGTTCCACCAGGGTTAACAAGGCCCAGCTCGTTCGATTGTATCAATGTCTCGTGGGTCTTGATATCCGCATCATTGTTGAGATCCGCAGGGAATTTCGTCGTATAAATAACGTTGAATGCCATCTTGCTTTCTTCAAGTGATTCCCATTCACCCGGTGTCGAGGAATGGATCACTGCTCTCCCGGCCTCATTGTGGCCTGTGATATGGCGAGTGATGGGCCGCAAAGGCGACATTTGACTGGTATTGGATGCCATTGTTTATAGGGCGTGAGATGTGGTCGGAAGTGTTAGGCTTTCAAAATCAGATACTTGTACGAGAGGCCCCTCGGATGGTTTTATAGTGATGCCAACGCTGCCAAACACGTACCCTTGCTCCACGTGATGCGGGGCAGGTTACATGTCAGCTTGCACACCAGCAATCTAGATGAGAATCTCACTGGCCTGCGCGGATCTTTGTTCGGAGTGGCATGTTCAAAGCAACCAACATGTTAGACCTAATTGAAAGATTGTCAATGCAGTTGCCATTTTGAGCGACACGGGACCCAATGGCTTATGGTTGTGAGATTGGTCAAGATTGCCCACACAGGGGAAAAGCAAGGAGAAACATGCCGAAGAGATGTCCAGCTACATCGATGTGGCCCGAGGTAGCTGCCGGATTCTTTCTCAGTCTACGGAATACGGATAGGCCCGTTAGCACCATCCTACGCTAGGTACGCCTCCGGGGCTGGGCGAAAGGAGTTTTGGCGAGCTGAATATCTCAAAGGAGTATGGAGTTCGGAGTAACCTTTTTTTTAATATTTTGGCTTTTATTCCGAGTTCCAAGATTAACACACCTGGCTTTCCGGCCCCAATTGTTCAGCCCACTAAACGCCGCATGACCTTTAAGCAATCGCACGGGCCTGACTATCCAAAACAAGAAAGAAAAAAAAAAACGATTGCAAAACCGGCTCGTTTATTCCGGAAGCCCCCACGCTTTGGTTTTGCGGGGAGAGCGGGGGAGAGATCATTTGTGAAGCTGAAAGTCATGTAAGCGAGAATTAGGGGACCTCGGGAATGCGAGACTGATAGATGGATATTTATTTCGCTCAGCTAAGTATAGACATGATGATCCGACCTCCTTTTACAAAAACCATCGGAACTCAACAGATGCCGGTCCATCTCTCATTCGCTCCGTCGGAATATCCCGCGCCCGGAGCGTGACTCCATCACGACGGTCGCGTCGTTTGTTATCAATTATCATGTAGAATGCCAGTGCAGCTGTCAAGCAAGCGCCAGTAGCACCAAATGCAGCAACGCTAATCAGCGCGGGCATATACTTGGGTGCATCTTGCTTCCGGAACAAATTGCTGCTCACTAAGCCCATCAAGTTGGCCAATGGCACACCGATACTGGTCAACAGTACACGACGGCCCTCGTGGGCGATGTTATTATTATACCATGTGCTGAGCATGACGGATGGGGCGGATGTTCCCCAAGTCATCATGAAAGTTGCGAAGTAGGCGACCTGGAGGTTATTCTGGACATCATCGATGGATGCATAGATCATGAATCCGGAGAAAGTGAACAGGAAGCCCAGAACGATGAATGGTGATCGGAGTCTGGTCCAATCAGAGGAGAAGGCTAGAACGAGCAGCATGACTGCTCCTGTCACATTTGGTGCAACTGTGTACAGGTTGGTTTTGACGGTGGGATAACCCAACCGGCCCACGATCTGCGGCATGAATAGCGCAACACCCTGCAACGGCACACCGAGACAGATTTCAATGCACAAGAAAGCGTATGTAGTGGGGTGCTTGAAAATGCCAAGGGCCTCGCGAAAGCTAAACTCCTCATTGACCACTGCACTGGAATCAACTTGGATTCGGTGGAAGGCTAGTGCCTTCTCCTCGTCAGATAAGAACTTGGCCTCGGCGGCACTCCGTGGGAGATATAGGAATGCAAATACAGCGAAGAGAACAGTGACGCCACCTTCAATAATGAACAGGTAGCGCCAATTGGGGAGATTAGATCCCTCGATCTGGAATACTCCGAATGCAATGAGTCCGGAAAACGCGTTTGCGATGTTCGACGCAGCGTAGAAAATAGCCAGACGACGAGCCAGCTCGCCACGACGGTAAAATGTGGTCAAGTAGTAAATGACCAGTGGGAAGAATGCAGCCTCGGACATGCCCAGGAACCAGCGCAAGGCAAACATGCCGCTAAAATTGAAGGCGGCGGACGAGAGGATGGTGAAGGAACCAAATGAGAACATCAGGATTGGAAGTACGCGCGCTGGACTGAACTTCTTTCCGAGCATCGAAAAGGGCGGTGCGAAGATCACGAATGGAACGAAAAAGATTGATAAGAGGAGATTATACTCATTCGGCTTGAAGTTCAGATCTAACTATGCGATTAATTTTGAGTGCCTACCGCTTGGATTGAGGTCTTACATACCCTTGCTCATCCCATCAGTTTCTGCATTTCCCAGATTCCCCTTATCTAGCGCATTGAATAGATCTGTCGCTAGTCAGTTCCCCCGCATGGCTGACGATATTCGGTAGACTTACACATGACCGCGAGGATAGGGAGCAAGCGATAGTCAAACTTCCGACAGAGACGTCGTTCAGCTTTATGGTCGACGACTCGGGTCACCTCGTCAATAACACCCGGGGCAGAGCCATATCCTTTCAATGTGACAGGCTCCTCAATGGTGCCCATAGTGTCGGTTTTCTTCACTGTGCCATCAGGCGACGGCGCTCGCGCTGGACTCGTCATGTTTTATCCAAGGTAATAAAATATACAGGAAGTCCAAGTGCACTATTCAAAGTTATAAAGCTGCAGATGTGCGCTTCTTATCGAAAAAGAGAGGTGACATCCCTTGCTCTATTAGATAACAAGACCTCGGGAATGTTGCATTGCCTATGCATGGATAGCAAGCACCCCCACGTTTCTCCGCATGGGAGCTTTGGGCTGATTGGGCAAAGATCGCCGGAGATGGTCGCATTGGGGGGAGTTTACGGACTTGTTCATCGTCTTATCTGCGGGGAAGAGGATCCCTCAAGCTTCAAATAGTCGAATCCTGGCTATATCCTTCATAGTAAATGTTCGTATCGTAGCTGCCGTTTCCTCTTCCTTCCGACCCCATTTTATGTCTCGCCGGTTTAGTATTGTTCTAAAACTAGATATTTCCATAAACAGGCGATATAGAAGCTTGGAAGTTAGGGTTGTATCCGCCCAAAAAATAGGGGTTGCATCTCATGACCTCACCACATTAAGCCACCTTGGAATATGACAGCAGATCTGACTGCAAAATTCCCGGAAAGTGGTTTTGGGGTCTCCAGGGACTTAAAGTTTATTTGAACTTCTATGTCTTCCTTTCAGGGACATTAGCATATTCTTTGAAATGAGGCGATCATCCCAGCATTGCCAATTCAATTTTCGAACCAAATTCGAATCACTTACTTATTTTATTCTTAAGCTAAATAGTATAGAGTGATTGTATAATTAATGATAGGAAGACAATTTATACTTGAACGAAGTGGTAAGTGACAAGGTTGCCCCTTCCGTTTTAGTGCTCAGACCTTGCCGCTTTAGCTTACCGAGTAGGACTGAGCTGAGACTCTGGTGAGTAGTCAGTCTAGTCAATTCACTGACCCTCGTCTGATTCGCTCGCTGAGCAGGACGTGGGCGTCGGATCTAGCAGCTTATAAAGCGACCTAAATAAACTGCACTCGCTAGGCGGCTTACATGTCACCTACCCCATTATCACGATCCTACAGTTACTTGCGCCACATGAGGCCTGGAGGACCATTGGTGTGAAGATACGTAATTAGATAGATATGCTTCAACACTTATTTTCTATTATGGGGTAATACTTGCCAGTGACAAAATTAAAGGTGCGGCCATCTGCTATATGACAAAGGGTTCTGATAACCGGGTACTTAGTGGATGAAAGGTGCAAGTTAAGTTAGTGAATAGTGATAGAAATCTAGCAGTACAATGTATAGCATTTTCAGGTACATATATGTAACTATAGTTGTCTCTAACCGATACAACAAGCATTGTCGGCCGCTTATACGTGCTTGTGATGTCTTTTCGGTGGTCTTTTTCAGCGGTCTTCTCAGATGTTCTGCTTATATCTCTTAAAGTATTTTCTCCCTTTTGACAATTTCAATTTACGGCAAAAGAATGGCAGCAAAAAGCTTAACGGACTTGTCCATATACATATAGTCTAGATATCAAGGACGCGGGAATTACAACATTTAATCCGACTAAGTAATCAATAAATGCACTTATTGGATGATCCCATCTCTGCCATTTGCTAGTTTGGCTCCATACTGTGATCTTTGTCATTTGCTAGATTGTTTGCTACATTTACAGGGTATAAATATCCTACGCAGCAGTATAGACGTCAGGGGTCAAACCCCCATTTCTGAACAATATAATGCCTTGATACCTCATTTTTTGAGATAAGACCAGCAGAATAAATAAAATACTTAAATTATTATCACAAGAATTGTTCGCTGCATAAGCGGCCTTGTGATGTCTTTTCAGTGGTCTTTTCAGTGGTCTCCTCACTGAGTCCCTATTTTATATGTCGACGGCCACAAAAAGGCGAAAACGGCTCAATTTGTGCAAGCGACCTTTCAACATCTGATAAAGCGGTGCAAGGAGCGATGAAGAACCAGGCCAAAAATAGACATCAAGGCATCGAAATTCTCTAGAACTAGGGGTTTGACCCCTGGCGTCTATACCGATGCGTACAGGGTATAAATATTCTGCTATCACGTAGATTTTATAATCAGGAACTCTCTTCTTCTTTATCTCTATCTCGCTTCTCGGCATTGATAAACATACTTTCAAAGGTTCTTCCTGAAACCCGATGACTCTATCCGCTGCATAAGGCTGATCTCACTAGCTTACCTGAAAGCCCGAAGACACCTTGAAGATACATCGAATTCATCTCCACTTATGTCCGCTCTTAAGCAACCGTTTAGAGACATCTCGCAACACTCGAAACTCTTCAAACCCTCGGGTGATTCCTCCCCCCTTTTATCGCCATACTAGCCACACTTCTGGCCACACTCCTCTTCAGCTGGTTCAGCGAAGCCTTTTCCTCATTGTCTCATTATTGGCAGCATAGAGACGGCATTCCTCGGCTATGGTGTCCGCTTTGGCTGGGATATATGAAACATGTGTTCCATTTTAGCATCATCTCGCTCGATGGCGTGTTTCCGGGCCGGAGTTAAGAGTGGAAAAGAAGTACAGATATAGATTGTTTCAAAAAAATTCAAGTTGATTATCCTTCAAAGCAAGTCACAAATAAAAGTTGGATCTGTCCTCTTGGGTACATATTGTAGACTGAATATGGACTGAGCTCAGTGAAACTCATCCTGGGCCCAATCTGAAACTTACTCAAGTCTGACTCTGACCTCATGAAGGTGGTAGTTAAGATAGGAAAATTCCAGTATTATTAGGGGAAGTTTAATACAAACAAGTGAAGAATAATTTTCCAGGGGCACACGTAGATGCCATCGTGGTCTTAACAGATATATTGCAACATATATCACAACAATTTTCTATATCTGGAGTCCACTATTATCAGGATTTTGACATTTATCCAATTATCCAGGATGCCGCCAAAAATTGTAGATGAATTTAGCCATTTCCCCCGCAATTTGTCTTCACGGGGAACATATGCGGCGGGGAAATCGAAGATCTAAATTTCAGACAGAATTTACCCACATTATCCGGACACAAGCTAACTGGCTATAAATGGTAGATTGAGGTTCAAATTGAAATGTGGGCGAATACGTGACCTTTGCATCAGCAGGTGGACTACCTGCCATGATCTTCACCATGTTTCAACTCAGATCTATATTTCTAATCTGTCTGTCATGCATCAATATAGTATCTTCCTACCCGTTACTGGCGCGAGAAAACAATGACGGCAAGTCGAGAGACTCGCACTGGGTGAATATATGGACTACTATGCCCCAGTTGGTCGAGCCCGCTAATCTACCTCCTGCTCCATTTGTACGTTGGTTTTCATTGTCACAGTAAATGCCCCAATACTGACAATTGGAGTGCAGAATGGATCCACCTCGGTGTTCAGTAATACTACAATTCGTCAAACCCTGCAGGTTTCATTAGCTGCACAAGAGATTCGTATTCGACTCTCTAATGCATTCGGCGCAAACGATCTCAAGATCTCCAAAGTGACCGTCGGCCTGCCGGAAAAACCGCAGGTAGGGACCAGTGGTCTACAGACAGAGACAGTGAAACCCGTATCATTCAATGGAAGCCCAGATGTGGAGATCCCAACTGGTGGACTGGCTGCGTCAGACCCGATAAAGTTCCCTGTGAAGGCCCAGTCGGTTCTCATGATCAACATATACCTCGAAGAGGGCCAGCAAGGCTTCTCTATCACTGGTCATCCTGGAAGTAGAACAAGTTCATACCTCGCTTTTGGGGATTGGACTGGCGCAAAGAACCTCACAGACTCATCTTTTAAGAGCACAGATCATTGGTGAGCTTTCTCCTGCAAACCCCTTGGCTTGCACAAACACGACTCTATATCTAACCCCTATTTTAGGTACCTAATAAGTGGAGTCGAGGCTTTACTACCTTCCAAGTCTAGTGCATTCGTAATCATTGGTGACAGTATCACCGATGGACGAGGAAGCACTACAAATGGCAATAATCGGTAAGTGGACCGTCCTGCGATGCATGTTTATAGCTCAACTTATGGTTATAGTTGGCCGGATCTGTTGCTAGCAAGAATGCAAAAGCATAGACCCACATCAACCATCGCCATTCTCAACCAAGCCGCTGGTGGAAATCGTATCCTACAAGATGGCCTAGGTCCAAACGTGATCAGCCGTCTTGACCGTGACGTCCTAGCCCAATCGGGTGTGCGATATGCGATGATCTTCGAAGGCGTCAATGATATCGGTGTCGCTGCTAGTGATACAGCCACACAGGCGGAGATCGAGAAGAAACTCAAGGCGGCATATAAACAAATCGCGACACGGGTGCATGCCCTAGGCATTCCGATATTTGGCGCCACTATCCCACCGTTCGGCTCATCACCGACGTCCGACTATGAGCAACCTTACTCAAGCGTTGAGCGGGAGAAGACTCGTCAACAAATCAACAAATTCATCCGGCAAAGTGGTGTATTTGATGAGGTACTGGACTTTGATCGGGCATTGAGGGATCCGCATGCACCGTCTCAGTTGCTGGAAAAATATGATTCGGGAGACCATCTCCATCCTAATGTGGCGGGGTATCAGGCGTTGGCTGATTATTTCCCTCTTGGGGTATTCGAGTGAACCTCGTATGATTCGGAGTGTCCAATGCAAAATATAAGTACATAGTCTTCAGATATGAACAAATGAAAGCTTTCAAACTTCCAGCAAAAAGAGCATATTTAAGCACGACGCGTGAACCGATTCTGAACGTTACGCTTGTAAGCACCGCCACCGATGAGAGCCTGCTTGCGTCCAGGGCCGAAGTCTGGAACACCACCCAGAGAACCGAAGATATCACCGACGTAGTTGTTGGCCTTGACACCAGCAGCAAAAGTCTCATCCCATCCGTCCAGAATACCCTCCACGACCTTGATACCAGCAACATAGAGATTCTTAATAGCGGGCTCGAATGCGCCCTGCTCCGAGGATTGGAAAAGGTTGTAAGATGCCGACGCGCCGGGGTAGGGACGATCGAAGTCAGACGCCGTGCGCATGACGATAATGCGAGAGAAATCGGTCAGTTTGTGAATCGAGGATCGGAGCAAGACTTCGAACGTGGCGTTATCCTCCTGTGCGGTTGCGCAATAATCGCCCGTTCCATTAGTCAACACCTTGGTGGTGTTTTCGAACGTCGAGCCGAGGATATGGCCGCTGAAGTATACATCAGTGGTCGCGACGTCGCATTCAACAACACTGGGTGGCAAGGTGGCAGCCTTGTACTTCCCACTGGGGGTCTTGTAGCGAGCGCGGTAGGCCTGAGCAGTGGCGGAGTCGGAGAGGTTTGCCTTGCGCGCGAAATTGGCGGCAATTGTGCGCAGGTCGGCGTTTACTTCGAAGACCTCTGTGCCGTAGATACTGGTCGGGTACTGGCCTGGGAAATCGGTGCCTTGGGCGATATATCCGGTGGTATAGTTGCTGGGAAGCTCGCGGATATCAATTTCGTACTGCAGAGCGACCTGCACTGCGTACCGAGCAAAGGTCGCGGATGCAGTGGTGACTTTGTTAGGGTTGACGCCGGCAATTCCCGCGACGAAGAAGTAGGTTTGCGTGAGGTCGAACAGAGGGGAGAAAGCAACGGAGGTTACAGTGGCAGCAGCGTTGATCTCGCCTTCTCCGGTAATAAGCTGACAAACTTCATAGTCTTCGGTGCAGTGGACATCTGGGAACAGCGGTGAGAGACCGGGAATAGTGATGTTGTGGGCAAGCAAGTCGAATTCAGGGATGTTCCACCAAGCTTCGGCTTCAGGTTCGAACTGTCATGATTTATTAGCGACATTACATTTCTGTCGGTGGAAGCGCATACCATTGACACAATGAAAACCTTAGGCGCAATTGCTCCATGGCCCTTGTGGGGCATAGTGGCGGCGCATAATGAGCTGCCGGTGAGCAGCAACGCCGACAAAGTTTGAAGTAGGTGCATGTTGAGAAAATTTGCAGTGACAATTGAAGGTTCTTGCGCCGAAGCTTTCTATTTGTAGGGCGAAGATTTTGTTTTCCTTGCGTCTTTCACACTACAAATGGATCATCGATGAGTGGACATATTGGTGACTTGATTAGGGCAAGATCAACATCAGTCCGTGGAGCGAGTTGGAGTAACTTGCTCAAAACAATACCGGAGATTGTCCTATTGGCCTTCATAATAGAGTTTTATTAGTTCGAGATAGAAAAAAGAAACAAGAGATTGTTGATTCTTGGTACTTGTCTTTTAATTGGCCATTTTGTATTTCGATGTGGGTATGCGATTCCACAACTTATCTTCTTACGACGACAATTGCTTTTAAGCATCGGAGCTTGCCGGCGGGTCCATTGCAGAGATTGCAGTCGGCTATGAAGAATCTTGTGAACAGCAGCATATTTGGGGATCTGAAGATGCATTCTGATCTGATCGCGACATCCTACCTTCGTGCTCAAGCGCCTGTCCTGTGTAGCAGAAGTGTGTCGATCGTAGAAAATCGTAAGCCTCACTGCCGTGACACCTCTATCAAACAACATATGAGGTTAAACATGCACTTTCTTCCAAACCAGTTGATGGTTCCACGTGTCTGTCAATCACGAAGGACCCCAATATCTTCTAGGCCGTCAACATGACATACACTGAGTTCAGCTGAGATCTGTTGTATGATCGCATTGTCAAATTCATCCCCTCAAATGGAAAACTTCCTCAGCAGGAATTTCCTGGACCGGAAGCATCTTCAATCCCACAAATATTGCGCTGAAAGGCCTTTGTTTAATACATGCCCGAGGCATCCATCATTCCACTCATAGAACCTTCGTATCCTCCTAATATCAGGACCTCCCATTCTACCTTCACATTGTAAAAGCCCCATATCCTTCTCGTAAACTTAAGTCATACCAATTAGTCCGATAAAGGCCTCGAATTTGTCCTTTATCTACGCCTTAATGAATCTATCTGTGGCGTTCTTTTCAGTCTCAACACGGTGATTGCCACATGTCCTTGTGGGACGGCGTCTTTGACGAAGAGATAGCGTCGTGTGAGCCACCTATTAGCTGAGTTCCCTCCCCTTTTCGACAGCAAAAGCTACGAATTGATGCTATCCGTAAAGATCTCTACCGCGTGGTGCTTTGGCAGCTGGAGTCATTTGGCAACTTTGCTCAGCCACATTACATCTCGGCAAGGCTGATCCGGAGAGATTCAATGAAAAAGAATTACTTTGATGTCTCGGGTCCCTGTGGTGCTTATCTCTGAATATTTCCGATGGATACTTGATACTCGCGTTATACCAGTTGAGTTCATCACTGCCCGCCGTCAATCTGTTGGAAATATCGTCTTTATCGGATCGGGTCTATGTTGTGTCCGGCATCAATCGGGTCCAAGGCTTCCTGTGTATTAGATGATAAGAAGAAATAGAGTGTAAGGCGGGCCTACCTTTATGGAAAGCAGCTAGACAGCTAGGAAACCTGCCATTTTTGTGTCTTAGCGAAAGTAATAGGAAGGTAAAGAAAAGGAAAGAAGTAGTGTAAGTTCATTTGTTGTGGAATTTTGATTGCCTCTGATAGCCGCCCAGGTGCCCCAGAGGACTAACTTAAAAGACTTGGCCTATCTGAATTTGCTGTGATCATTGACCATGCCGAGTCGCCTGGCCAGTAGGGAAAGAACCAGTAATTGAAATGAGGGTAGGTGACAAGAGAGAAGGGAAGGGGGGAGATGAGAGAAGAAGAAGAAGGAATTAATTATACACAAGAATAGTCGGCCGTATACGCGGTTTTGTGATATCTATTTAGTATTCTTCTCAGATATCATTCTGTTTAGATAGATCGCTAGTGGAAACTTGACAAACAACCTCTTTACAAATCGTGTCTCAACCATCCATCCTCTAAAGATGTTCTATATGCGTCCCTCTTCCGTCTCCTTCCATTTCCGCCACAACCTTATTAACACCCGAGAACGACCGGCACAACCGTGCAGATGAAAAGGGTAACCCCCCTGTAGGTTAGCACACTTGACCCTTGAGAGGAAACGATATACTACATACGAACTCCCCCGAACAGTTCATTCAGATTCTGACGCAAATGCATTAGTTCTACCTGGCCACCCTTCACCAGCTATGACTTATAGAGTATCTACGCCTTGAATAAACGCCTCATAGTCAAATTCTGATCGGTCCGTCGTCCAGCTATGCGTATGCAAAGACGGCAAGTCTCTGCCCAATTCACGAGGTCCTTGCTCAATTTGACATGCGTGGCAACGCCTTCAAGATAACTCCAAGCCATCTTTTTGGACAAGACTTTTTCTTCTATGATACACCTCCTTCTAATGGTTATTTATCGAGTATGTGGTACCCGTTCTCTCCTTGGGTGTACTATCTGACGATTCAGAGAGACATCCTTATAACAAATACCACTATCCGTTTATCTGACATATGCAAAGAAAAAGGATACGAGATTATATCAATGTATCAAGTTAAAGCCTTGATGAGATGACTACTAGGTACTGCAGAATATGATGACAGAAGCAGCGAACCATTATACTATAAACGACCCTATAGGTCTAGTACTCTATGCGTGTATTTGATGGCGGGCCAAATAATCGGGGTGTCTAAATTAGACACTCGGCATGAGTGAGTAATGAACAACCAACGAGAATTTAAATAGCATCGGTTATCATGTAGTCTAAGTTTGCGACTAGATCTTTAGTCCGCGGCCTAACTAAGCGCCCTCATTGAAGCGGCTCAGATTATGAAAGCACCGAGGGAGATCCGGCACAGGTACATATTGTACCCAAGTATTGCAGTAAAAGTGGCAAAAAATATACCCATAATCCATTGTCAGCAAGTAAAAATCAGAACACGGCTTGGCTATACTTCCATGGATGAACTCGGGAAGGTTGTGCGCCAGGCCCAGTGATGCCGGGGCTTTTAAGCCACCGAGTGACCACATGTTAAACGGTGGATCATGACGCATGTCAATAGAATACTAAGAATACTATACTTAGAATTGTGTATGGCAGATATGCGTTGATCCCCGGAGATTAAAATTGTTCGACCCTCAACGTCATCTGACGTCATTTTAATATAGGTACCACGGATGCCAAATAAAATCAAGGCCAGGGCCTCAAAGTCTCTCTGTTTATTATATTTGGCTTTCAGTTCTATCTTCCTATATCCTCGCATATCCTCGCACTCACATTTGCATCGCAACATATATCCATCCAAAACAGCGTCTTTCCTTGATACCCCACTCCAATACAAACCAAACCATAACCATAACCACCCACCATGCCTGGAATGCACGAACGTATTCGCGAGGACATCCTCCACAAAGAACGCGAACTCTGGACAGCCCTCACATCCGCCGATCCAGCACCCCCAATCTGGAAACTCAGCAACCCCGAAGCCTGCTTCCTATTCCCTCAAATGCCCATCATCACCCTCGAGGACGAGGAAGCCTTCAAGAAAGCCGTGCGACCACCATTCCACCGATTCGATGCCTACCAGTTCGAAGAAGTACGAGTCATCATCGTCGACCTGATGGCCGGCGTCGTCACATACAAAGTCCGCGCTAAACGAGGGAAGAAAGAATATATCTGCTCCGGCTCGACGACTTGGAGTCAAGGCTCGGATGGCGAGTGGACACTTGCTTGTCATCAAGAAACTTTGATGTGAAAATGTTATTTGCGATGTTTTTCTTATCCTTCTATACCTTTGCAGGGAATGTCTGAGTTCGGCGAGCGGCGAATGTGTGTTTTAAGTGATATGATGTCCATGTATCACGAGTCAACGAATTTTTTAATGCCATGAAGCATAATTGAATTTATTTGAACTTTCAATGCCCCGTTTTGCGGAAGAGAAGTGGTCTTTTTATATGTTCTAGTGGAGTTGCCGGTGAGTGATCAGCTAACTAATGCGATGATCTCGACTCCATACTCCGCAGTGCATATCGAGTACGATCTACTCGATGAGATCGACTCCACTCAACATTCAAGATGTCTAGGCTGTTCTTTTGGCAGTTTTCGCAAATGTATTCCCATTTCATTGAATTTTTTTACCTGTGGCTGTGTTGTTGAGTGGCTGATATATCCCAACCATTCAGCCGTGGCGCAGTTTTTTGAAAAAAAAAACAGAAAGCACTTCACTAATGCAAGCCCCTTGCTCTGCCGGCAGATTCTGACAGAAATGGCGCAATCACCAAACACCCCTGTCTAGCTCATCCTTACAACAAACATCAGACCATTGCATGATGAGTCAGGCCGGATCGTGAAAAATCCTTCCGCCTGGGCACAGGGGTGATGTGATCGAACCATTAATAAGCCGACGGACCTAGGTGGGTATGTAGACCCGATGTACTCCGTATGTTGTATTTAGTCGGTGTAAGACAGGATAACAGCCCCCTTTTTTCGTGAAATACGATCATTAAACCTGTGAAACGATCTGTGGACACGATGAGAGCCGCATCAGACCACCAAGAACCATGGGGCCTTCGATGGCGATCATCCACTTATTTCATTGTTGCGACAATGTCAGTGGCCTTGCTCACTGGTAGGTTCTGTTGCACATAGTGGAAAAATGCATATTTTGACCCTCCCATAGACATGTATCTGTATGGATTTCTTGTTCCAATTCTTCCGTTCGTGCTCGAGCATCGATTGGGACTTGATGTCTCGCTTACACAGCGCATGAGCACTGCGTTGCTATCGCAGACCGCGCTTGTCATGGTCGTGGCAAGTCCCCTGATCGGGTCCCATGCTGATCGCTCGGGCGCGAAACGTGCCTGGTTGTTATGGGGACTTGCGGGCGCGTTGCTGGGATCTTTGATAATTGCTCTGGCGACTTCATGTAAGTGGCAACTATCAGTTAGAGGATGGTATTCCCAGGGAGATGATTAATGTTAACACAGTGTTTGCTCTTTTTGCCGGGCGGCTTGTACAGTCTCTTGCCAGCACTGGTCTGTGGGTAGTCGGTTTTGCTACGCTGGCAGAGAACGTCCCTGCGGACCAGCTGGGCAAAATGTATGGGTTTGTGACCGTTGCTATTGGCGTAGGTACATCGGGCGGACCACTTGTTGCTGGTGTTCTGTTCGATTTAGGCGGGTATTGGGTTGCTTGGTCGAGTGTGCTTTTCGTTATTGTGTTTGATGTGATCCTGCGATGTCTGATGATAGAGCAGTCGAGTCTCCCCAAACTTACTCCTGTCGAGCAGGAACAGGATCCAGAAAGGGAGACACTTCTGCCGCATGATCCCGAAGAGGTAAGTAGTCACGCTGTATCTGAAAAGACGGGCATACAATTCTATCTATGCCTGTGTAACAACGGTCGCTTCATTGGTGGAGTGGTTAGTTATTTTTGCTACGCCGTTTTAACTGCCAGCTTCGACACAACTCTTCCTCTGCATGTGCGCGATGCTTTTCATTGGGGAAGTCTCCCCGCGGGTTTGTTATTCGCTGCTTTCCAGGGTCCCGCGGTGTTCCTTAGCGTTCCTGTCGGATGGCTGAAGGATCGGGTGGGGACGCGGTACCCGACCACGATAGGGTTTGCTCTTCTGGTCCCTTTAATGTGGATTATTGGTATTCCTGGGGATGAACGGTTTCCCTGGGCTTGCCAAGAGCATATTGGTCGGATTATATACGGTGTTGCTGTCACGTGTATTGGGGTTGTGATCTGTTTGCTCAATGGGGTGGGTATGATGGAAGCGACTCGTAAGTTTTTTTTTTTTTTTGGCTATCTTTTTAGAGGCTGTCACATGTGACGGATAATAACGTTTTGCAGAAGCTGTTGATGAGATCCAAGCCGAAAGTCCTGGAATCTTTGGCCCCAACGGTGGGTATTCTAGGGCAATATCAATTTCTAGTATCAGTTGGACACTGGGAATGTTTGTTGGGCCGATTGTGTCCGGATATGGTACGGAAAAAATCGGATACTATGGGATGAATTGTGTATTGGGTTCGTATAGGTGTCCCCCCTGTTTGATTTCTTCAAGTTTCAACGCTAACATAACTAGCGGGGATGTGCGGACTTTGTTCCTTTACCGCCTTCTGGAATTTAAAATCGTCTGTGCCTCAACGGTCTTAGCATCGGAGTTTGGTGGAGATGGTATGGAGATTTTATGGAGATTTAAACGAGATGTAAAGCATGTGCCGTGTTTAGATTGGATGAATTGAACTAGTGTTTGGGATTGGAAGGGGTTCGGAAGAGAAAAAGGAAAGAAAAGAAGAAGAAGGAAAAAAAATAAATTAAAAAATAAATAAAGAGGCTCGATTTTTAAGCTTAGCGCGACAAAAAGACCAAAGAAGGACCGGAAGACCGTTAGATTTGCTCCTTACTCCGTACCGAGGTACATATGTATAATATATAAGTATATTAGACTATATTAAATAGACCAGAACAATCAACCCCAGACTACAACATAAAAAAAGTTGGAAAAAGTTGGAAGAATTAAAGTGGAACAGTGATCGAGAAATGCAGAGAAATGGAACTAACAAATTCAAAATGAATACATTCTTATATCTAACTGGTCCTGAATTTCCGAAGTGGACAAGTCAAAAGTGAAACAAGGCCCAACAAAGAACTGTGCTGTCAGTTTCTCCGGTCTAACGGGATGGCCTAACGGGTTCCCTAGCTTTCCCCGAGCTCCTTCCGTTAACTGATCATTTCCTTTGTTGGAACATTCGACCGTCTAGGATCCTTCCATGATCCTCTTTTGATCTTCCCATAGATCCAACGCCACTCGCTATCCCTGACCTAAATATGGAGTATACTATTCAAATTTGAACTCGCATGTGAGGTATACATATTTTGTGATTTTCAATTATGACACGCGACTCCACATCGGAATCCACGGATGGATATGCCCGAGTGATCTCCTGCCCCGGCCGAGCCTTAGAGGCATCTAGCCTGCCCGTTAGTTTTTTTAGGTGCATAGTATATATTAATTCTGGATGAAAGAGCCGGAATCGTCAGATGGTAAAAAAAAATTCTTTTCGACATAAGCTCATGCCAAGATAATCTCCTTCACGGCACTTCTTCCTCTTGGAAAACTTGTCTTTCTATCTACTCAACATGATGGAACCAATTCGTCCCCCACAGAATATCGCCATTATCGGTGCTGGCATCGCTGGCATCGCTTGTGCATTGGCCATTTCCCGGGAGCTTTCTCCGTTCGTGCCAGATCTGAAAATTAAAGTCTACGAACGACACGATGTACTCTCGACTTCTGGCGGTGCTATCAATTTGACTCCCGTTGCCCAAAGACATCTGGCTCAGCTAGGAGTCCTCAATGAGTTGGATCGTATGGGTCCCGAGGGTGGTGCCGATGTCGATGCCATTGAACTGTTCTCCATGCGTTCGGGCCGCGGGATCGGATCCATCAACTTCACAGACAACCAAGGAAGAGGATTCGGCGGATATAAGGGCCGAAGAGTGATGCGGATTGCCCTCTCCGTCGCCATGTTGACCGTGGCCGAGCGAACTCGCAATGTGGAGATTGTCTTCGGCAAGAAGGTTATCGGTGGCGAGGAATTCGCGGATAGAGCCGTGGTACGATTCCAGGACGGTACTGAGGCAGTGGGTGACTTGGTCATTGGCTGTGATGGAGTCCACTCCGCCGTCCGAACCAAGTTTGTGGACGTCAACCGGCCGGCCGAGTACACGGGCTTGTCGTTTTTGCAGGCTACCATTGATACGGATTCACTCTCATCACTCCCTCACTTCCGCACATCATCACTCAATATCTCGCGTCATGGATCAATGCTCGCGAGCTACTGTGACCGTGATCGCGAACAGATCTTCGCTGCTGCTATCGTCCAATTTAGTCGCGAGGCGTTGAGCCTCTACCGACTTGAGCCTGGTCAGGATTGGGCCACTCAGAACAAAATTCGCTGTGCCCTCCGTGAGGAGATCAGAGACCGCTTCCGCAAGTGTGCTATTCCTTGTATCAAAGAGATGATCGAGAGTAAAGCGGACTGGATGCTTTATCCCGTATACCAAGTCCCCCCTGGAGGGCGTTGGTGCCTGAATCGAGTTATTCTTCTTGGCGATGCAGCACACGCGGTATGTTTTATTTATCAAACCCCCTTATTTATTCCATTCTAATAAGCTATACAGATGCCCCCGCGTGACGAGTCCGCCGCGTACGCACTAGACGATGCAATCCTGTTCTCTCGAATTCTAGCAAGCTATCGCTCAGAGCCTCTAACAGAGGTGTTTGACGCATACGAGACTCTCCGTCGTGAAACAATCAACCGTGCATTCAAAGAGTCCCGTCGTATGTGGGAAAGGAATCGCGATATGGGATTGCTGGAGGGCAGACTTAAGGAGTGGATGATGACTTTCCATCTCAAAACCAACGAACACGCACGCGAGGCAGCCTGGGAGTTTGACGCCACTAAAATTGCACTCCCCACGCCGGCGCCCAGTGAAGATCTGGTTTCATTGAATTCATTTTTGAGAGACCGCACTATATGAGGAGTTTGGATTTAGAGGACCGGAGTTTGGGTTGGCCTGTATGGATGCATGGACTGGGGCGTGAATCATTTCAATTAATGGATACCCGGCAATTAGATCTGAATATATCTAAATCGATATCTCTGTGGATGTTCAAGTCTTTTCGTACTTTTCAATTTTCGTACTTGTGTTTTGTACTTTTGCTGATGTCACGTTTAATGTTTAATCCATCAACATTGACAATCCTAGTTAATTCGAAGTAAACAAGCGGCTCGTGTTCCAGTTCTTCCTATCTAGCATAAATATACCCTACCTCACCGCAATAGTAACCTAAATCCCACGTTTTTCTACCCAGAAGGCTGGACGCATGACCGGCTCCTCAACGCCAGCGGAGAAGACCTTATGGCCCTCTCAGACACTCAGCGCACAATTCTCTTCGATGGTCTGAAAATCACCCATGGAGAAGATAGCTTCCGCCAAATAATGCAGGAAATGGATCGTCGCTACCTGGCCCAAGTTGAAAGTTCTAAGTCAGAGGAACCCAAGCAGCAAGAGCGCGAGCCCCTCGCACCTTTTGTCGATACCCTGAATTCTCTCTTCCAAGGCACAGAGACTGACTGGGGGAAATGGGGGTTTGTGGTGTTTCGCACGACTCCCTATGGGGGTGAGCATGAGACGGAGTGGGCGGACTTTTGAAGCCGGTGGGATGCCGTGATCGAGGAGGGTTTGGCACCGTATCGAGGCTTTATCTCGAAAGTTGACCGAGCGATCAATTTATTGGAGTTTCAGTGGGTGGAACAGCCTGAATTAGAGGGCGTAGATGCAGCGCATGTGGCTAGGTATGTCTCTTTTTTGATTTCCGATTCTTATCTTGACTGATATGCGAAGACGCTTCAATGAAAAGGCATTATCACGGGGATTCGCCACTTCCGCTTGTCTGATGGTGACACCAGATTCTCTAGAGTCTGTTCTCTCCTGGCCATGTCTTTCTTCCGTCCGCCATGAGCGCCAGGGGATTCCTTTTGTTGTTTCGGTATCCCGGAGAGCGAGTGCCCCGCGTCTTCCTTTAGGCCTAGGTGATGAGGATGTAGCCGGTGCTGGATTTAAAGGGTATCTTAATGTCGCCGTGGAGAGTATCGTGGAAGAGTTTAATCCTATTGTCGCCTTGCAGATGATGAATTTGCATACACTGACAGTAAAATTCCGTCATGATAATGATATCTGGTGTTCTAGTGATCGGTAGGGGATACACTATTATGAGGAATTGTGAAGTGTGGTATTAGTTCGCCGATAATCAAAATTATTACTCGTAGTATTACTCTACTTTGGCTGTCACTAATAGCAAAGGCTTCTATACAGTAGTAGTAGATGAAATACGAAATTTTGAGTACACCAACATTTACAGGGTATTCTTGCCGCAATTGAAGTACAACATATATAATTCTTAGCAACTAGACTGCAATAATTCAATCGAAACAAAAACAAAAAGCGCATCTCAGACAGCGATCACTGGGTTTGCCAACTTCCCTCAGAAGACAAGGGTCTGACCAGCAGTGCCAACGACACCAGCCTCCACCTTGGACGAGCCAAGGAGGGTGTAGCTGTAGGGAACAGACTTGAGGGTTCCAGCCAAAGCAGTGTTGGATGCATCACCGAAGTCGTTGTCATTGTCCACAGCATAGCCGTCATCAGTAGAGTAAAGGGGCTTCTTGCTACCAACAAATTTGTTAGACTCGACGAGGAGCTGGGCGCCCTTGCGGGTGTTGATGCCGTCGGCGACGTTCAGGTAGTAGTTGTTGTAGATGTGACCAGTACCGAAGCGGAAAGAAGGTCCACGCGAGTTGAGGTTGTTCCAGAAGTTGTTATTCTGGGTGACGAGCAGGTGACCGGTGTCCTCGGCGCTGTTGCTGTTGGAGTGTCCGATCAGGGAGGCCTTGTAGTGATCGTGGATGAAGTTGTTGGAGATAGTGACGTAGTCGGCGGCGTGGGTAACCTTGTCTATATTAGCGTCTGTGGTTTATTGGGATTCCAGTGAGCAGGACTTACATCGATAAGTCCGTCGTAGTAGTCCTTGTCGTGGTCCATGTCGGACGACACGTCGCAGTGGTCAACCCACACGTTGGTTGATTTTTCTAACCACGATCAGTTCTTTTCTTGTTTGATGAAGATAATTATGCAAGGGTACTCACGGATGCCAATGGCGTCGCCGTTATCGGCAAGCACCTTCTTCACGCCAAGGTTGCGGATGATGACGTTGGTCTTTTCTTTGACCAGGCTGTATTGGTTTTAGTATTATCTCATGTCGAGGTTAGGAACGGGAACATACAGGCCAAAGCCGTCCAAGATGGCTTTTGCGTCCTTGCCAATGATGCTAGTGTTGCTTCCAACACGAACTTGGTCGGCCTTCTGCGAGATAGTGCCGCTCACAAAGACGACCTTAGCATCATCGCTCTCGACGGCGGCTGTGAAGGCAGCGTATGACGAAACAGTGGTAGTGGTTCCACCGGCACCACCCTTGGTGCCTCCATTCAGGCTGGCATAACCAGTAGCAACCTATGTCAGAGTCGGGTCAGGATGTTGATCAGGAAGTAATTGAAGGAATAGTGGGTTGCACTTACGTCGTCAACGCTTGCACGCTTTCCTAGGAGGTTTGCCTCGTTGCTAGTTGCAGTAGGAGCTCCCAATGCAATGCTGGACAAGCAGCTGAGGAGGGAAACTGCGATCAAGTTGAAAGGAGCCATTGTGACACAGAAAGAGATCGGGGAATATTGAAGACTGAGTCTCAATGATGCTTTGCCAGAGTCTGTGAGTGTTGATATCAAAACAATGAGAGCATACCACGGTGGGTCGAAGGGTTTATATACCATGGAAGAGCTCCTTAGGGCTACTTGAAGCTACGCGTACATCCAGCACGAGCCATATCCACCATCATCCTGATTGTTGGAGAATTTCCCTGATAGATTCTAGTCTAGCCAACCCGAAGTTTTACCGGTATGGACATAAAAGTTAATTCTCCGACACGTCGAGTATCACCCTGATGTCTTAGGGGCGTTGCCTCTGACACTTAAAGCTTGGCATAGTTAATTGAGGTCTTCAGTCTACAATGGGTTCGAGACCTTCAGGGCCAAGGACACCCATGTTCACCTTGCGAGATGGAAGCTCTTTGGATGGAAAATAATAATTACATGCTGCTTGCTCACAGACCATTCTCGCCGGAATAAGTTCCACTAATGATGTGAAACGCCCCCAAGACTGCACCAACGAGACCCCCAGTTTCATATCCGGTCTTGGCATTTAGAAGCGTTAAGGGGAAAGTCATAAGATTTCTATTCATACTTTTATGAAGAAGCCTTAATGTTCCTCTATAATTTCAGAGTTGACTATTATGAAATTTGTGTATAATTCTTTTTGGTAGGTGGAGGCTTCAGCAATATAGTAATATGGGGCAAATGGCGTGATCGAATTAATCAAGTCTTTGACAAACACTTCATCTCCGATCTTCCGGCATTCAATTCTTTGACACATTCATATCCAAGACCTACAAGGAATAACCTCCAAGGACAAGGAATATCCCCCGCATATAACCGTTCTTCACAGTCTGGTGGCTGAGTAATCCCTGTTCTACCCCGGGCAATCTACATCTGCGGGGAAAAAGCGAATCATCAACTCTTCACTTGCAATAGGCGGAAATGACAGAAACATTTTCATCCGTGCCGATCGTCGACTTCGCTCGGTTAAACGACCCTGTGACTAAAGATGAGGAGCTCTCAAATCTGCGCAAAGCTATCTTCGTCGTTGGATTCCTATATTTGACCAACACGGGATTAGAGGTATGAGAGACAAGCAATGTATGTAGCCGGGATACTGACCAAATTGATAGAACCTAATTCGCCATACTCATGAAAAGCTACCCGAACTCTTTGCTCTCTCGACAGAGGCTAAGGAGAAATGTAACATGATTAACTCGCCATCGTTTCTCGGCTATACCCGCCTCGGTGCTGAGACCACTGCGGCGAAAACAGATCTCCGCGAGGTGAGATAATTTCCTTTTGGAGCCCTGCTACAGTTCACGGACACTAATTTTCCGTAGCAATTTGATTTTGGCACCCCTGGCATGAAACCCTGGACAGAGCAGGATCCCTTTTGGCAACGGCTTGAAGGTCCTAACCAGGTAGGTCATTCCGCCTCTAGAGGCTCATCTCCACCACTAACTCTCGACAGTACCCAGATTACCCAGGTGCTCAAGATCTGGTCGATGAATATATCGCGAAGACTGATAACTTGGCACAAGCATTCGTGCGCCTCGTGGCAGAATGCCTGTCACTCCCACGGGAGACATTCGATAGCTTCAAGGGTAACATGAGCCGACTTAAATTTGTCAAGTACCCATCGGCAGCGCAAAACTCCCAGGGTGTTGGCCCTCATAAGGACTCAGCGGGCCTTTTTACTTTCCTGTCTCAGGACAACACAGGAGGACTACAAGTACTCAACAAGAATGGAGAATGGATCGATGTGCCTCCCATTGAGGGAAGTCTTGTCGTAAATATTCAACAGGGATTTGAGGCGATTACTGGAGGCATTTGCGCGGCCACCACACACCGCGTTATCGTATGTTTACTATACCATTCATCGCTGAACCGTCTTTCTAACCCTCTTGTACCCCTAGGCGCCTACTTCTCGGACTCGTTATAGCATTCCGTTCTTCCAGGGCGTGAGACTGGACTTGACGCTAGATCAGCTCAAGGAATCAGCTGCTCACATCGTGGAGCGCATTCCAGCTTCTGATGACAAGAAGAAGCGGGCAGTTGATGTGCCGAGTGAATTCCTTTCTCCTTTGTATTCCTGCGTGAGTGGTCCTAGATCAATGTTTCATGCATGAGACTAATATATTGCAGTTCGGCGAGGCTCATTTGAGAAATCGCATCTTAAGCCATCCAGATGTGGGCCAGCGGTGGTATTCAGAGCTGTATACAAAGTATTCTCAGCAGGTCCTCAAATAGTTAGTGAAAACATTGAAGCAAACATCTGCTTAACTTCAACATATATATCTCTAACAATCACGGTGAAACAAGAACCCATACAGGGAAATCAGAACTTCTATATGAATTTCCGAGCGGATTGAAGCAAAATACACAATATAATGAAATTTTCAAGGCTGTGGGCCAATTCTTACCCGAGTTGATGTTGATCCTCTTTGTCACACTTCAAAGGGAAATATCCACACGCGGGGTAAATTTTAATGTCCACCAATTTCCCACTCTCAACAATGTCTAAGATCAATCCTGTAGCCCTTGAGGCTTTGCAGAGTCGCCTAAAGACCGCGACTATATATACACCCGAATCAGATAGTTACAAAGATGTTCTGGTCCGCTGGTCAGACACTGGAATGAAATATGCGGTACGGAAAGGAACATAAGAAATGGGACGACCGACTGATAAGTTCTAGGGCGTTGTAGTCCAACCAATTGACGCGATTGATATCTCAATCGCCCTGTCTTGGACACAAGAGTATAATATCGACCTTGCTGTGAAAGGCGGGGGTCATTCAACCGCCGGGACAAGCTCGAGCGATGGTGGCCTGGTAATTGACCTGTCGCGCATGAACAAAGTGACGGTGGATATCGAGCACAAGACTATCACCGCCCAGGGTGGAGCGACATGGAAGGAAGTCGACGAAACAGGTGCAGTCCACGGGTTGGCCGCTGTCGGGGGCACCGTGAACCACACCGGCGTTGGAGGACTCACTTTAGGCGGTGGTTATGGCTGGTTGAGCGGAGAGTATGGCCTCACTATTGACAATCTCCTGTCGGCGACCGTCGTTTTAGCGGATGGTCGTATTATCACGGCCTCTGCCACCGAGAACACCGACCTGTTTTGGGGGCTGCGAGGTGCAGGGTACAACTTTGGCGTTGTGGTAGACTTCACCTACCAGGCGTATGACCAGAAAGATCCAGTATACTCTGGCATCCTTGGATTCACTGCCGACAAGTTGGAAGGGATTATGGACGCGTTGAATGAATCGCTAGCAAAGCCCGACTCTCGCTTCGGTGCGATGTCCATTTTTGCTTTGGCACCAGATGGATCTGGGCCGATGATTATCGTAATTGGTTTCTTCAACGGCCCACGTGAAGAAGGCGAAAAGAAATTCGCCGGCTTCACGGCCCTTGAGCCAGTTATGAACACCCTTGATATGGTACCGTACTCTGTGGTGAACACCCTACAAAATCCCCAAGCGACCTACGGTGATCGGAAGTCCTTTAAGGGCATTTTCTACGAGCCACCTTTGGATCCTCAATTCGCGAGGGTGATCTTCAATGACTTCACGGCCAAGATTCAGAGTGAACCAGATCTCAAGACATCTGCCATCATTCTTGAGTTTACCGACATGCGCAAGATTTGCGAAGTGCCGCTGACTGCAACGGCACTGGCAAGTCGAAATCACACACAGAATGGTATCATCTATCTAAGATGGACCGACCCGTCTAAAGACCTGGAACACCGTGCTTGGGCACGAGAAGTCCAGTCCAAGTGGAAAGCTGAATTGGATTCGAAAACCAAAGACCAGGTTGTGGATTCGAGCGTGCCTCAGTACATCAACTACGCAGAACGTGAGTATACTTGACTCGACATTCGCACTTCGGTAGATACTAACATCTTATCCAGCTGGTGACTCTGTGGTAAGCAATATCTTCGGTCAGAACCTCGAAAGACTGCAAGAGGTGAAGGCCAAGTATGACCCAAAGAACATTTTCCACAAAATGCAGCCAATTCCAACGGGCGCATCTGTTACCAAGAAGGAATAGGATGAGCATCGACTTGAAACGAAGTGATAGCGTCATTTTGACATTGTTTTTGATACTATTTCTCCGAAAAATGTATTTTGTTCTTGGTGTGTTTCTTCCTGCTCTAGCAAGGGGATGAAAAGTGATAGGACAACAAATTGAGGATCTCAGAATGGAAAATTGGGGCCAAGCATCGCCGATACTTGACTGTCAATTGACCTAACTCGAGTATCTTCATAATTTTATTTACCTGCCTGTAGACTCGAGCACCTCCAAGCAGGTAGACGCTGTAAATTGATAGCCTGCAGATATTCAAGGACCTAGGTCATGGAAAACAAGGATAGGCGATGTTTGATACGTAACAGACTAAAAGAGGCGTGCGTCATTTAGCCGACTCAGCTGGAAATGATATTGACATGTTGTCGCATCATGATTTTACAGCATATTCCCAAAGAAGAATATAGCGTAAAATTCTTTCAATTCTTTTTTTTTGATATGTGATATATCACGCCAAAAATCCCGCCAAGATGGTTTGGGCCACATAGGATCATATAATTCGCAGGATAAAATCGATAGTTGTATTTGACGAACAGTGGATCCTATAGATCTAGAATATTTCTACGGAACTGCACCCCGTAGGTTCATTGTCTTTAGTTCAGATAGGTCTATAATCCTTCCGTACAGAAGTACTAACTTGTGGGGCAGATCGGGTTTCAGCTGAGGATCATCTCCAGCCCATTTGGCCTAATAAACTGGATGTGTACACATTCGAACACTTAAACTTCATATATAACGAAACTAATACATACTAACAGTTCTAGAGTGCCCTTCTATCTTTTTACCAAAATTGAGGGCCCGTAATTTATTTAATTTATGTAAGGGCACGGATCGTATAACCGACAGCTGAAAGAGATCATCAGAGAAAGCTAAAGACGTCACGCGTTTATATATCTAGTGTCCGCTCATAAATTCTATTACATGAGTGCAATAACCAGAGAATAAGATCTTTGTTCTCACCGTACTTACTGCTTTCCTTCCCTTCTGCATGACGCGTTCGAATTCTTGTAATCGAGCAAACAACAACACATCCCTTGAATTAAAGGCACTATATACTCTGCGTCTGTCTCATGATGACCCTCACGAGACTGGACCAATCAGCTCATATGAGCGCGACACTGCACCTCTTGGGTCGGTTACGTGATCTGAGGAACAAGAAACAACATATTGTTCTCAATGGCAACAACCTCGACATTGCTTCCATCGTCGCAGTTGCCCGCCATGGAGTTCAGCCGACAATTAGCACAGAAGAGCTGCTCACCAAGCGGCTCGAAATCTCTGTCGACACTCTGGCAGATGTGATCTCTCAGAAATGTGTCATATACGGCGTCAACACCGGTTTCGGTGGCAGTGCAGACACTAGAACCAATGAACTCATCGACCTGCAGACCCATCTGCTCCAATTTATCCAAAGCGGAATCATCACTGCCGCCGACAAAGATCCCGCCAGCAACTCAGAACGGGAACCTTCCCATGTCATGCCTCTCCCCTGGGTTCGAGCCGCCATCGTGGCTCGAGCCAATCAAAATCTGAGAGGTCATAGTGCCATCCGGAAGTGCGTGCTCAAGAGCCTGATTGACCTGCTGCAAAATGGCATTACGCCCCTAATTCCACTGCGGGGGAGCATTTCGGCATCCGGGGATCTTATGCCTATGGCGTATATTGCTGGTGCAATTATGGGCAACCCAGATGTATTTGTCCAGGTGGGAAAGGGAGCACAAGCCAGAGTTATGTCCTCGCCAGAGTCATTGAAGATGAGCGGGCTCTCCCCGTCGGGACTCGGACCAAAGGAGGGGCTAGGACTAATTAACGGCACTGCTCCTTCTGTGGCAGTGGCAAGCCTGGCACTATATGATACACAGCAGCTTGCCTTGTTGTCTCAAATGCTGACGGCTTTCGCTTCTGAGTGCTTGGCCGGGAATGTAGAGTGGGCTCACCCTTTTATTCATGCTACTCGACCTCACACTGGACAAATTGAGGTTGCAAGCAATATCCAGCGCTTTTTGAAGGGTTCCAAATTTGTCGTTGGCTTGGAGTCACAGAAGACATCCGGCGATGGACTCTGCCAAGATCGATATTCGACAAGAACAGCGCCTCAATGGATTGGTCCTTACCTTGAGGACCTTCTCCTGGCGCAACATCAGCTCGAAGTAGAGCTCAACTCCACATCAGACAACCCTCTAGTTGACACGAGCAAACAAGAAGATGGTTCCAGTGGGAAGGTTTACTCCGGTGGAAATTTCCAAGCCGTTGCCGTCACATCAGCCATGGACAAGGCCCGTTTGGCTATTCAGATGATAGGACGAATGATTTGGTCTCAGGTCACCGAGATCATCAATCCTGCTACAAACAATGGCCTCGAGGCTAATCTCAATGCTACCGCACAAGAGAACTTCACCATGAAGGGAATCGACATCAACATGTCAGCATACATGTCCGAGCTAGCAGCCCTGGCACACCCGGTCTCAGCCCACGTCATGTCCGCCGAGATGCATAATCAGGGTATCAACTCCCTGGCTTTGATTTCAGCGCGACAAACCATCGAGGCTGCAGATCTATTGGCTCACATGTGCGCCTGCCATCTATATGTCTCATGTCAGGCCGTCGAGATACGCGCAAACCACGTCCGATTTCTATCAGCCCTCCGCATCAAGATGGAGGATTTCACTGCAAGCGGGGCCTTGTATGGACTTGGATTGAATGGCTCACACATTCAGACACTATGCGCGTTACTCCTACCCATCGTCCAGGCAAGCTGGTATCGCGCAAACACCAATACCTGGAAAGACCGTGTGCTGTCTGTGGTTGATGCTGTTATGGCGCCAGTCAACGAATTCATGGCCACTCACGACCCAAACTGTTCGGTGTCAACGATCGTTGCATTTAAGAAGCATTTCCAGAGCTTCGTTTACAGCACAGCCGAGGCAATGTTTTATCCCAGCCCAACTATTTCCCCGGATGAGGTGGTCGCACAGCTTGGCGGCGGCACTGCACAGCTGTATACATGGGTACGCTCGAAACTCAACGTGCCTATGAATTGTGGTCTCCACGATGATCCTTTGTACAACGCACAAAAGGGCCTTCCCACAAAGGGTAAAAGGAGCATTGGAAGCTCGGTAAGCACGATATATGAGAGCTTGCTGGAGGGTGAAATGATGGATATGATTTTAGAAGGTTGGATGCAGGACGAGGCTTAGACGAGGCTTAGACGAGGTTTAGATTAGGATATTTGAGTGTGTGTAATAGAATGTAAATAACCTGTACTCACCCGCTGTGAGCATGGATCTGTGATGCATCTACCCAAGCGGTAGCTCAAATAGGAAAGCCCCCGGTAAAGTCCAGTAGGCCCCATGTATATGAGCCAGAATAGCCTCTAGAGAGGTCCTTTCTTTTGTAATGTTGTGCTTTATCTTCTAGTTGTATTTTGTAAACAGTAGGCATAAAGCGAGAAACCTTTGAAGTGCAGGACATTCTCCCGTAGATAATGCTTGAAATTTAACGTTCATAATATCATTCCGCATCCGACCAGACCTATCCTGATCCCGTGTATTGGCCGTTGTTCGGATATGGCAATGGAGTAGCGACAGTAGTGGACGGGGGGATGAACGGCGTAAGACTCCTGTTCCGACCTATATATAGTGAATTTGTTGACTAGCATGATACTAACAGCCCAGATGGTTGTGTCAAGTTCGCTCTGGTAACTCCGAAACTGCACAGAGGGACTCACAATAAAGTCCTCTACTTCGCCTTCCATAAGGCCCAGGCCAAGACGAGCAAGCCCTTGATACCAGCAGATAGCCAGAGAATGGGAGAAATCGCCCCAGTGACCTTGGTGACCCATCCACCGACGATAGCACCCACAAGCGTCAGCAGAAAGGCAATGATTCGCCGGTCCCGTTTCACGTTCCTCACAAGAAACAGCTGGGGATCCGACATCAGATCACAGAGAAGACTAGTAATCACCACGGTCGGGATCTCATTGAAACCCAAGGCACGACTCGCTACGATCTGACCGGCAGACTGCAGACTCAGGAGAACAATCGGGACCTCCTGATCCCATGGGGGCACTGCATGTGAATTATTGCCAGCTAGCGTACTAGAAACGGCACCTCCTTGGACTAGTCCTGCCGTGAGGAGGATGATACTGGCCTGTGAGGTGAAAGACAACATCAATGACGCTCGTCGCCGGGCGCCAAGGGCGCGATGTAATCGTGAGAAAATGAAGGAACCGAGGATGAAACATCCGATGGATGTGAGCGACCGTGCCCAGCCATACGGACGCAGGTTTTGGTGCGATGCACCTAGCCCGACGAAGATGGTGTTTCCTACAATTAACTGGGGTTTAGACGATCATGTGCGGGGATTGTGGATCGGCGAGGTTGTGGTATCACCTGTTTGCATAGAGACAAAAGTGTTGTAGGCTATAAAATGTTAGACGTGCGACAGTGGAGACGTGACTTGGGCTTCGTCTTGCCGCGGTATATCGTGCTATCCACAAGTCCAGATGTCAAACAACAAGCGTAAAGTAGGAGATCGGCATGCTGTGGCTCGAGCTCGGCCTTCAGGGATGTGGAAAGTCCGCCAAGTGTACCTTTTTCATCGTCCATTTTGGAAGTTATTGATTACAATGGGAGAGAAATGAAGATGAGGTGCCAAAGAGACATAGGAAACCTTTGAGATAAAGCAAAATTGACACATTTTCTTTTCGCCAACTGAAGGACGGGGGAATAAACTATGAAATTTGCCAACATGTGCTTCCCCTCCCCTGGCCCATCGCATCAGCATCTCACATAATTGACGCACCCCAAGACGGAGCCAAGTGACAGTGAAATCTCCGAAGCTCCGTGAGATTCCACGGAGTCCAAGACACGAAACTCGTAGAATTCCAGATAAGGGCAGCCACAATCACATTTCGTGCATAAAGCCTTCGTAGTTCTGTTCGGACGGGCCGTACGGAGTAGACCATGCCGACCTCACGCTAATTTAGTCTCCGATGCGTGTCGAGAACGCCAAGGATGACTCGGTGGAATGAATGTTGGCGTATTTCTTGGCGGCAACTTTCTCCTCCTGAACTCTATCCCTGGCTGGACTTGTGTCACCGGGGGTCCTCATTGAGGGGTCTGATGTACGACCCGCTTTGCTTGATCTCTAGACCTTGTGGTAGCCAAGAGTTTCAGTTTTTCAGACACGAGACCCCCGATAGGCGACCCCCGATAGGACGATACACGAGACGTTGAAGCCAAGAATCACAGGTCATTGGCGCATGTTGCTGCAGGGAAAATACACCATTCAACCCTCCATTTCGGATTTCAGCACATCAATATCCAATTCTGTCATAACCCCAAGCACGATGCCCAGACTCTCCATAAATCCATTAACAGAAACACGCAACATCCGGTTTGTCGTCGCAATATATGTTATCTTCAACACAGTTTTAGCCTCTTCAGGGTCTTGTTTTTGCTTCTTTTCTTGCGGTTCGGATGATGTTTGCACCGCCGGAGCTTCAAGGGTGAAACTCCGTCGCACGAAGGGGGATAGTTCGGCGTCAACTTCCAAGGCGCGTAGAGCGCATGATGCCAAACGATTGGTTGGGAGAGGGAGAGATATTGTGCTGAGTCAAGACGTTAGCATTGCTTTGGCTGAATCGGCCCTTGTTTTTTTCGGAGCTATTATTTCGGGGCGTGGAGGGGCTTACAGCGAGTAAGGGAATTCGGGATTGGTGGCTTGGCTGAGAGCCATGATAAGCGTAATTGAGGTTGGTAAAAGTTATCGAAGATTGTGGCTCTGAGTTCAACAAAAGGATAAATTCCAAGAAACAGGGGTATGAGTTATTGTGAGGATGACGGGGGTGGAAATTGGCAACGATCGGAGTGCCAGAAGGAGGACGTCCCGACCCGAAAACTAAATAGCTGACTCAGCCGAACGCTCAACGAGGCTACTGTAGGTAAAGAAGTCCAACTTCACTTTTGAACCTGGTGTACACATTGCACGACGGTAAGCGTTGATTCGCTACACAGCACTACAATGGCGCTTTCTACGTTTTTTTGGGTGATGATCTCCCGGTGTGAAGTTCTTGGCGAACGAAGGCCTTTGTGGAACGGTGCATTTGGCCAAGAGACGCACCCCCTCTGAAGATATCGCCGTGCCGATCTATTGGGAAAAAAGTGCATGCACTGCCTTCCTATATGCAGTCATCTTGCCAAGATACTTCACATTGATTAAATTTGTCTGAGAAGGAAGCTGCCGGATGAAGATTGTGGGCCGAGTTCACTGTCGCCAACCTATCCCAATCAACTTGGCAAGCCCAATGTAAACACGCATTATCTTCATCTTGGCACATGCTTTCGGAGATATATCTATGCAACGCTATTCTGACTGTTGATTGATGGGAATAGCCTGAGGAATCAGTCCCGCGGCTAGCGCTGTTGACATTGCGCAAGAAATCTACTCCGTGGACTCATTGGACTCACTCAGCTGAGGTCATCCAGGATCAGTCCGACGCGAAGGAAGATAAGGGTCTGCGGACGTCTTGGCGGATGGTGGAATGTTACATCCCCAAGAAATCAAGGCCTTTTGTCGCTGGTGAGATGCTTTGTCTGCTTCGAGGAGACGGGTGTTTCTCCTCTGGGATTGGTGTCCCCAGATGAAGCAAAAAACCTTGCGGGGTATAGATCTTGCGAATATAAAGAGCAGCATTGTCCCTCGCAGATTACGCTGTGATACAAGAACTCAAGTGTCTAAACAACAAGACATCTACTTTGTCAAAGCTTAAACATGACTATTACAATCACTGTCGAGAAGGACGGATACTACGAGGTCAATGGGACCCGGCAGGAGCCCACTGTCTCTCTCTATGTCATTCCAGCAGCTTCCAAGTTGCGTCGGATGCTGAAAGACACCAAAGAGCTCATTGTATGTCCTGGTGTGTATGATGGCCTCTCTGCACGCATTGCTATGCAGGTTGGCTTTAAGGGACTGTACATGGTAAGAACTCTGACCTGTTACACCACATCCCTGTATGCTTACCAAGTGCACAGACCGGTGCTGGAACTACCGCATCACGCCTGGGAATGGCTGATCTCGGCCTGGCTCAGCTTCACGACATGAAGACCAATGCTGAAATGATTGCAAACTTGGATCCCTTTGGGCCCCCATTGATTGCAGACATGGATACTGGCTATGGAGGTTAGTGATGAGCATTCTGAAACAAGAGACCATTCTCGCCTATATAAAAGCATTCTAACCCTTTCCCAGGTCCTTTGATGGTGTCAAAGTCTGTACAGCAATATATTCAGGCGGGTGTGGCTGGCTTCCATATTGAAGATCAGATCCAAAACAAGCGTTGTGGTCATCTCAATGGCAAGAAAGTCGTTGGTCTGGATGAATATCTCATGCGCATTCGTGCCGCCAAGCTGACGAAGGATCGCTTGCACTCGGATATCGTTTTGATTGCACGAACCGACGCACTCCAACAACATGGTTACGATGAGTGCATCCGCCGGCTGAAGGCTGCCAGAGATATCGGAGCTGATGTTGGACTACTTGAGGGCTTTACTTCGAAGGAGCAAGCTCGCCAATGTGTCCAGGATCTGGCACCTTGGCCTCTTCTTCTCAACATGGTAGAGAACGGCGCGAGTCCTCTCATCACCACAAAGGAGGCCGAGGAAATGGGCTTCAGAATCATGATCTTCTCATTTGCCACAATCACCCCAGCCTACATGGGCATCAAGGCCACTTTGGAGCGCCTCAAGGCAGACGGAGTAGTCGGTGTACCCGAAGGCCTCGGACCACGAACGATCTTCGAGGTCTGTGGGTTGATGGATTCTATGAAGGTGGATACAGAATCCGGAAACGACGGCTTTGCCGAGGGTGTCTAGTAGTAAGTTCTGAACTAGCATGGATATATGAGTTTTGCATTGGACAAACAAGCAACGGAGTTTCTATAGCTATCCTCATGTCTTTTCGAATATATCATAAAGCCACATATTCAAATTGGAAGCAATAATCGCAATATACAACCCCTCAGATAAGCCAAAGTCTTTCTAAATTTCATCCGAATCTGTGTCGTCTTGATGACATTCCAGTTCATCGATCATTTCAATAGAAGGGGTCAATGGGGAAAGCGTGTTCACCATTTCCTTTTCGACTATAGACCATTCGCCTGGCCGAATGATCTTCCATAAACCAGGCCATAGGCTAGATTTAACGATTCCATCCGAGGTATTCTCCTCTGTTGGGGTACGCATGTTCTCATCGCGGAACGGCACTCCGTATTTATGACTCCAGAAGATGTACGTGTCTTCCTGGCACTGTAACTTGTGTTTGAGCCTGATGCAGCGCGCAATAATGTCGTGTAGCTGTTGCATTCGCTTCGTTCTGTCGGTGACAGCGTAGGGACCAAAGCATGTTTCTACTGTCTCGATAATCCGATTGCACCGGTCTTGCAAAAGATCGGTTTCTAAGGATAGGATGGCAGTGCTCATCGCACATCGCCAATGCCGGGAGATGTGGTTAGAAACTCCTGCTGTTAGAACTCAGTTATAATAGTGAACTTTTTCTGATAGCTTACATTGTTTATTTACTTCGGTGTCGACTTTGCGAAGATAATTGCTCCAAAAGTGATCTTCAGCGCCAACCATAAATCGGTTCCAAAACGACTGATAAATTAGCCCGGCAATCTCGGACTGTATAATATCCAACGTCGAGATATCAAGTCTCTCTGGTTGTGGCTTAGGCTCGTTATTTGGTTGAGATGATGGCTTTGCTCCAAAATGAGTAAATGTCCAGTGTTCAAGGTCGTGATATAGTAGAGCCATCTCTCGCTTGGCTTCTTCGTCGGAGAAAGCCTCGGCTCCAGCTTGTAAGGTTGCTATTTTGGTAGTCAGGATTCGGTTCTCTTGTCGAGCTGTTTTTGTTTCCCGCATAGCATTTTCGAGCAGTTCGCCTCGTTGACGAAACTGCTCCTCTGCAAGAAGCTTGGCTCTATGCAGTATCTCCACATTTTCCTTCGTCTTTTTGACTTGCTGTTCGATTTATTAGATAAGAATAGCATAGAAGGGATCTTCACCACATACCTGACGAAGCCGTTCAAGTTCATCATGCACTGCCCTGCGATCCAAGCAACCTAATAAATTTAGTTGATTGCATTTCAGCCGTGAATGGGAAGACGAACCACTAGTAAGTTGCTCCCATCTCGTTGGTGAATCTGGGAACGTCTGATTACTGCTGTCCGCCTGGCCAGGCATGGGTAATTCGTGAGACCACATTGCGCACCGATGCTCGAGTGATGGGAAGTTTACAATGTCACAAATGCAGAATTCCAACTTTTACCGATGAGGTTATCTCAAACCAGGAAAACCAGAGCGAGACCCAACTAGGCGACTCCGATAGAATATAGGGAAAACCCGTACAGAAAATTAGAAAGTAGTGATCACAATTAGGTGATGTTGTAGATATATGCCTTGCTCCGACGCTCGTTGCGGCTAAGCGCAGGAGTCAATGATATCAAACTTGCGAAATTAGCAATCTTTTGATTAAAGAAATATAACCCACTAGTCTTCTCCTTTGCAGAAAATTGCTTCATTCTATTTTCCGAAAGTGATAAGAAAGACAAGTCGTACGAATTCAACATGACGGACACAGAGGAACGACCAAAGCTCATAGTGGGTAATGACTTCGGGACAACTTTCAGCGGGTAAATATATCTTCTCTGATGGTGATAGCGGGTAGTGGGCTAACTTTGATAGCGTTGCCTGGGGATTGAAAGACTGTCCTGATGATATTGAACTCATTCAGACATGGCCAGGTGGTGGTAACAGTGAGTCTGAGCCAAAAGAGAAACAAAGTTCATCAAAACTGATAGATAGTTCAATAGTCACAAGCCAGAAAGTCCCAACCTTATGCTCCTACGATGACGAGCGCATGAAATGGGGTCATCAGACTGACCAGTCGAGCCAACCGGGCACGCAGAATCGGCTCATCCAAGGAGTCAAGCTTTTGCTAGATGAAAGTCAGAAATTCCGCTACTCACCTGCTATTGAATCACAAAGTATTATCAAGGACCTCGAAAAAACGCCAGTGAAGGTTGCTGGTGACTACTTGGAAAAATTGGTCGTCCATGCCCAGGAGGTTTTGACACGTCGCTTTGGAACTGCGCTGAAAGCCATGGACTTGGAGTATATTCTCACTGTCCCCGCTGTGTGGTCCGACAAAGGTAAGGATCTTACTAAGCAGGCAGCACACCAAGCTGGTATATCTCCTGAGTGCTTGAGACTCTTGTCTGAGCCGGAGGCGGCGGCTGTCTGCGCCATTCGGACAATTCAACCAAATTCAATCACGGTATGGATCTCATCGCACCATGAATTGAGTCGGATTATTAATAAAGTATATAGAAAGACGACTGTTTGGTTGTTTGTGATGCTGGAGGTGGAACGGTCGTAAGTCGTTCTTGTATCAAACTGATTTGACAAATTTTAGTGACATTGACAATAGGACATCATTACCTATCGCGTCAAGCAAACTGACCCGCTAAGAGTTGAGGAAGCCACGAAGGGAACTGGTATGTATCAAAAGTGCATCTCTCACTTCTTTCTAACAAATTCCAGGTGCTGTGTGTGGCTCAGTGATGTTGGATGAGAGGTTCGACGCACTTATCAAAGACATCATTGAGGAGCAGTCGCATCAACCAATTCCCCAGTCAACTGTGAGGGCTGCAAGAAAGTACTGGCAAGATTATATCAAGCCAGGCTATACGGGTCCTCTCGATGACGATGATGATGACATGTGTGAGCCAGGATATTGGATCCCAGTTCCCGGGGTTTCAGGGATCTCAAACATCGAGCTTAGTGAGGGACACTTGTATCTCGACAGGTGCGTATATTGAATTTTACCTTATCAGCTCACCAACGGGCTACGCTAATGCAGACACAGTAATCAAGTGAAAGAGATCTTCGATCCGATCATCAAACAGGTTGAGAGTCTCGTCGCCGAACAGAGAAGGAGCGTCAAAGCAACTGGTCATACGACTAAGGTAAGCCCCCAAGCCGCTTTCAAAAAAGAAAAAGAAAAAAAAATCCCGATTAATTCCAATTAGGCTATTATTCTGGTTGGTGGCCTTGGTGCCTCGGGGTATCTCTTCAAGCGTTTGCAGGCTGCTTCTGATGGCATCCAAGTCATGCAGCCCCCAAACGCGTAAGTCCTCAATCTTTTGTTAATTTGAACCTATACTGATATAACATTAGGTGGTCTGCTGTTGCTCGGTACGTATCTGAGGCATTCTTATCTCTTGTTTTGTATCTAACAGGCTTAGTGGTGCCGTTATCCGTGGACAAGAAGGCAACCAAGTCGAGAGTCGCATTGCCAGAGGCAACTATAGCGTTGAGATGAAAGTCCATTTTGATCCCAAGAAGCATCGCGCAGATGAAAACCTCATATGGTGTCCGTATGAAGAGGAATGGTTTATGAGTAAACGTATGCAATGGTATATCTTTAAAGTGAGTAGTCTCCAATTCAGACTGACCATTTGGAGGCTTTGACTGCTAACATGAGGGAATTGGAGGGAAAACGCGTGTCCGAGGGTGAGCCAATAAGGATGTCCTTCTACCGTGAAGTGGGCGTTGCTGTTCCTTAGTATTTCACGAGAAGTTGCGCTTTTGCCAGAAGACTACAGCTCCCGAAGTAACTGATTCCAGTATGTACCCATGTGTCCAATACATATAAAACGCGTTTTACTGACCTGAAAAGGTGTCACGGTGCTGTGTGAGCTGGAGGCAGATCTGAGTAAAATCCCGAAAGGGCTCTTTACGAAGAAAATCAACTCCGCCAGGCAAACCTTTTACCACATCAACTTTGAATTGGTTCTAACGCCAACTTCCGCATCGTTTCTTTTCGACCTTCATTTCAATGGTGTCTCCTATGGGAGTGTGAAGTCTCGCTACTGAATTCAACTACAGCGAGCCAAAATAGGTACGTATGTCTTAACATAGCTGGGTACAAAGGGAATCTTGGCCGATGATGGGCGTGGCCGTGCTCCTTGCAGGCTCAATCAGTTGATCGCTTGAAATTGGCTTATGAAATCCTTGGAAAGACAGAAATAGCTAGCAATGTGAAACCGATGTTTGCTTCACTTGTGATGAAATTGTCAAGGCAATGTGCGTTAGGCAGTCTCATACAATATACTAAGGTATATTAAACGGGATCCAAGAAACCCTGGCACGTTAGGTTCCGGTAGACGAGATTCGATATTAGCCATCCCTGCTTCCCTGGAAAACAGCCAAATGTTGCAAGCCTGACCCTTCCAGGACATCCAACGGTGCCACGAGAGCCATCTGACTCCATGAGAAAACTTTATTCTTTCCGCCATAGATGAAGACTTCAAAACGGCCAGCAAAGGCTCCATCCACCCACACACGACTTCCATATATCTCGTTTGTGGAGATAGTGACCTGTGATTTGCGGGGGATGATCACAACCTCGTGGCTTGAGGTGGTCTTGTTGGCCCAGATTCGCCCAGGCTGGTCTTGGTCAAAGCCATCAGTCTCACCAACAGAGCGAAGTGGGTAAGGCCATCCATCAGAAACAAAGGTCAATTCACCATCCGATGACAGGGTAATTGTCGCATCAGAGGACTGCAAAGAAAAGGGACCCGTGACGTCTAGTTGGAGGGTATAATTCATGCCCTTACTGCCACGCCCTAAATTATATTTATCCTGGTTGGGCTTCGCGGTTGGCCTTGTCCATGAAAGCAAAGGTCCTGATCCGTGACTCTTTTCTCCTAGGAGACGTCGGTCGAGGTTTTGCCCGACAGCGTGAGAGGACAAGTGGGCAATAGACTTGGCCAAGGTTCGTTCGTGCAGGCGAGGACCACGCGCACCAGACCACGCCCGCGAAGCTACAACCGGAATGCCATCGCGGATTGCATAGTAGGCCTCAAGCTGAGTAGTGGCGTCTGGGCCGCTGTCATTCCAGGCAGCCAAGAGAGCACCTGGTACAGCTTTGGCATCTGGCTGTTCAGTGGTGTTCACTGGATTGAAGAGCTCTGGCGTCCACTGCCACCCGTCTTGATCGGCGAAGTTGATAACACGGGAATTGTTAAAGAACTGGGGATAGGGTGCTGGAGTGATAGGTACATGGTTGCTTTTCAGCGACATATACGCCCACCAATCCTCAGAATTGATGACTTGGTAACCGTTGCTAGCTAAATGAACTGGATCCGACTGTCCATACTGCCAGTGCTGAATTATCACATCCTTATCAATCGTAATGTTTGACGGCTCGTATGTCCCCCAAATACGAACACTTTTGCCAGATGTTTCTTGCACAAAGCGGGACATCTCGTTCACGAATTCAACATAGTCATCCGCATAGTCAGGATCGTACTCATCGGCACCGATGTGCACCTCCTTCGTGTGGAACCAAGGCAGGAACTCAGTCCAGATGGACTTCATCAAAGGGACAGTGTCCGGATGGGAGAGATTGAGCAGATCCCTCGAGTCCAATGCGAGTTCAGGTCTCCATTTCGTAACCGTGAGACAGTGTCCGGGGCTTTCGATCTCCGGCATAACTGTAACACCTCGCTGGGCACAGTGATGCTGGAAGTCATCAAACTCAGCCCGGGACAGCGTTTCGTTGGCACGCTGGACAAGAGGATGGAGAGCCTCGCTTTCGGGGTGCAACGAAAACTGCGAGTAGACCTCGTTCCAAGTCTCGTTACGACCACGACTCAGTGGATAGTTGTCGGTCGCATGGTACTGAAACTCGGACATTTTGAAGAACGAGGCATAAGTGCAAAGATCTTTCAGAAACTCCAGCGAATACCATTTGCGACCAGCATCTAGCAGAAATCCACGAGTCGCATAGGCAGGGGCATCTTCTATCCGACCGGGTTGTAGGGATGAGCGTGTCAAAAGGAGCTGCTGGAGGAGCGTTCGCGTCCCCCACCACATACCTCGCGCTCCAGAGCCTCGGATGAACACACTGCCATCCTGGATATCTAGTTCATATCCCTCCTCGGTCTCGCGTCCATTTTCGTAGGTAAATCGGTGCCTGTGGTCTGCGCGACCGAGGAAGATTCCTGACGCGTGCTTTGGAAATTGCCTGACCGTGCGAAGCTCCCAGGAATTGTTTGTTAATTCCTCTAAGTCCTCACGAAACGTATTGGCAAAGTCGGATGCGGATGGTGGAATTAGCGTTAGGCCATTTTGATCCTTCCAGCTGGCGAAATTGGCATCCAGGTAGATTATCCGGTTGGTTGTTGTTAATGAGAAGCCTTTGTTATGACCTGAACCAGTCTTCTCAAAGTACACTGGGGGCAGGCTCTGCAGCGCAGACGCGACTGCGGCAAGGGAGAGTAGAATCCACTTCATGTCTGGACATTGTATTCAGTCTTATTTTTTGTGATATAAAAGCACCCTTTTATGCAAAGCAAGGGGTAGCGTTACATTCCTACAGGAGCGTGGGGGTGATGGATGCACGGGGGTAGGGTTGCGGGGAAGTGTGGAGGTTATACACCTGTGGCTTTTTATATAGGCAGAGTTGTACTTCTCAAATGTAACTCTGCCCATATTTCCTCGGCTTTACTAGCTTGGCTGGTTTTATACTTGGAGGCAGGCTGAGTAAATTCAGCTAGAAGTATTTCATTTTCTATTCCCGCTCTTCTCGGAAGAACACCGCTCACGATACGGTTGATGAAGAATACTATAGACATAAGTGAATATACATCCAATAAATAATGCCGCACTCATCCGTTCAAGGCTCGGGCATATCCGGGTTTACTATAGCCGTTTGAACATGCACAGGAAGGACAAAGGTATTCCCCAGTCCCGCCCAGTGAAGCGCATCAAGTCTTGCAAGTCCAAGTTTCACAAGTGGGAAGCTTTGGCTCTGACACCGCAGAACCTGTAGCCACGAATCTACTAAATGCTTTCCCCTTACCGCATGTGCCATATTCGGAGCCTGTACCAGTAGCAACATCAGGTAATTTGAAATCGTCGCGAAACCAATTCGGGACCCTACATTGTTAGCACTCCATATGAGATTGTAGCAGTCGAAAAGGTAAGCTTACAAGAATACCAGAATGCAGTGAAGTCACTAGACGTCAGCCGTCTCGCAAAGTTCACCAATATGGAGGCACACTTCTCTGCAGCGTGTAGAGTGGCATCGCCAGTGCCAAACTCATCGGAGATAGCTATTTCCGGCAAAGATCCAATTTCCGGGAGGTCCATGAAGTCCATTATGGACTCATCTACGGGCAATGGCGATGTGGCAGACAGATCTTCCAAGTCGAAAATAAGCGGCGGGTCAGATGATCGTGCCATCGGTCGGAGCATCGCACGGTAAACATAGACCACAAGCAATAGGTAAGCAAAATGAATCGATGTGGGGTACGGGGCAAGCCCATTGACGGATTTGCTCCAATTAGGAAGTCGAAATGTTTCAGGAAGAGAAGAATACCAGGCATTCAGCTTCTCAAGCAGCCCTCGGCCGAGCTCTGCAGAGGCAATAAAGTTTGCGTTCAAGAATTGGGAGGCCCGAAGCGTGCTACAAATCAGGATTAGCAAGATTGCTTTTTGCCGATGAACAAACAAAGGGCCTGGGGGCCAAAACTTACTAAAATGTATCATGGATCTCTTCGCCGATTCGTGCGAGATTGATGAGGTATCGGAATGGAATCTCGGTATCACACGAACTAGTTGAGAATCCTTGTCGTGGGCCCACTAGAAAGTCTCCTTCATCCAATTCACTCACGTCCCACTCGGCGGGATGGATATATGGAGGTCGGCCCATCAGCAAACTGCGCCATTTGTCTTCGGCATACACGGCCCACCATAACCGCCGCCGGAGACGCTTCTCCCATGCAGGAATGCCCCACATGCGACATTCGATGTGAAGGCCGAGGGAACATGCCAGCCCAACGATTTGGCCGACGAAGGACCACAGAAACGGGGTATCGGCGGTCGTGAGGCGGGTTTCATCTTTCGGCATTTGATGTATATATAACAACGCTGCTTGCAGCACGGCCAAACGAGGGCTATGGATCTCTTCTGTTACGAGTTCATAGACCATCCGCCACAAGGTCTCAACTGGCGACGCGTTATATGTGCTCAGCACACAGAGGTAATCATCATGGGCGACAAATGGAAATGCTGATGCATAGATGGCCGCGAGAAGGTGCACGGGTACCTTTTCCAATGCTGACAGCTCGGGTAGCTGATATGTTGCAGCAGTCAACCCTAGTTGGGAACGGGAAATGATTGGCAAAGCAGGGAAGACATACTTGACAAATCTGACCTTCTGTTAGTCCATTGATGCTTGTGTCTTATTCGAGGGGTAATACTCACAAAGCCATTAGCCTCCTTCCATACTCAGGGGGTACTAGATAGTCCAGGCGTTCCCGTGTCGCTTCGCCGACTCCGGCCCTAGTTTCACGTTTAATGGAGGTTGTGAGATCTTCGGAAGAAATCATGAAGTGGATTGGAATTCTCTGTGCTGTGGGGACACCTCCAGCGTTGCGAAAGTGCACTTTGTAGAAATATTTCATGCCAGAATCATCAAAGCAACAATGTCTTAACAGCCATGGGTCTGATTCGGAAGATGCGCCGAATAGCTGGGCGTAACCGTGTTCCAGTTGATCAATACTCTGCACAAACTGGGTCGGGGGTCTTCCAGGGGCTAGAACACCGGACCCTGGAGATAAACCAGGAGTGTTCGGATCGAGGCCGATGTTTGGGAATCGTGGTTCAACACTTTGTCTTACACTTCCTGCCAAACTAGACTCGCGGGTGAAATTGCTGTTGCATGTTGGCCCTGCAAATGTATTTCCATCAATACTTTGAGCGCCAAAAGGCGACAAATTCTCCACTGTTCGCGCTCTTTTCGGTGGAGGATTATCAAAGGTACACTCCAGTTTCGCCGATCGGCATCGCAGACAGGGGCCTCCGCCATCGGTTTGACACCCTAGCTTGCGGCCACGGCATTGATCACACGGACGCTGTCTTTTCGACCGATATGGCCGAGAAGAAACGGGAGAAGACATGACTTGTTTCAGATGATCGGCGGAAGCAAGGAATGTAGGCTAACACGCATTTTATCAGGCCAGGCCAGTGGTGGAATTATCGGCGAACGTAAAACAGTGGGTGGCCGAGATGAATGGCCGAAGTTATAACCTAGAAAATTCACAGTCTAGCGAAACAAACACATAAACGTTGCCCGAAGATGCCGGCCAGTCGGTACCGCCGCGTGACACCGCTCAGTGACGTCATCCGCCGAGGGGTCACGGCGAACCGGCGAACGCGGGCAGCCGGCGGCTACTTCGGCATACAACGCCATGAACCAACCTACTTCTTTCGGTAGAAGCAGATTTTTTTTGCTCGGCAATGCTACAACACCTATATAAATGGCCTGGATGTTCTGATTGTAGATTTCAGTGTAGATTAAAAACATATTCAAGACATTTGTTAAACATTGTTAAAACATATATATCCATTGCAGCACTGCTTAATTCCTCTGAATCAAAATCCCACAAATCAGCTTCAAAAGTATCTATTATCATACCAAAATGCCCGAAACCAGCAGATTGAGCCGATACGATCATCTCAAGGCTATCTTTTCCAGGAATTCTAGCCAAGAGCGCGAGATCAAGGATGATGCGACATCCGAAACTACACTCGTCCCACGGTATGACAACTCCAACTATGCATGGATAGAACATTACGATGCTAACTCATTCTAGACAGACAAAACCAAAAACCTACAAGAAGCGTAACATACCCCGGAATTATAATGGTGAGTACCTCAGCCCTAAAGTAATGACATGCAACATCAGCTAATGGGGAAATATTATTCAGCGGGCGATATGTGCTTCGGCTCTTGCTGCAGAAATTGATAGACATTCAATCACCGACAATCATCTCATCGACGATCATAGAGCCAAGCATAAAGTACCTTATGCATTTTGACACTTGTGGGATGACCTTAACACCCCTATTTTTCACCCTCCCTGTATATAATTTATAATTTGTCGACATTATTTATTTATCTATTTTCATTTACCCTAAGTTTTTTGTTTTCCTGCATGTTTCAAGTAGGTACCTGAAGGTAACGTTAAAAAATCAAATCATTGGTAGCTTGTGTTGCAAACCTGTAAGGATAGATGTAGGGGCTCAACATACACAAATTGCGGGTTGACTTCCTCTTTCCCACATTCGATAAAGAAGATATCCACGGGTGGACTCTACCCTAATTTTATCTACTCCGTACAATATATATCATAGAAAAACCCAAGTGTCCCTATGAAATTTGACTGAAACACTTCTCCGCACAGTCCGGGGGAAGCGGGGTAAGAGAAGATGCATAAAATCACATTTCTTTTGACTTGATTCGTTCACTATAGTAAGATCATCAAATTGCATAAAATTGTGACTGGTAACTGTATGTGGTCTCCAACCCCCTGCCAGTCTTAATTAAGTCAATTATGCTCTTCCGTTTAAGCGACCGAGTTCCGAGCTAAGCACACGACAGCTGAACCGAAGTTGCGGGGACTTACGATACATCTATTGGAATTAAAACCGTCTTCTTCCTCGAGTAACTCCTTAGAATAAAACCCGACAATCTTGTACCTGGTCGTTCCTTTTAGTCCCCTACAGCTTGTCAGTCTCGATCGCTCAGCATGATCTTCGAACCAGCAGAAAGGATTCTGCTTCCAACAAGGGACCTATTGTCCTACATTTTTGATGAACCAACATATGACCAAGACCAGCCAGTGAGGGATAATTAATATTCTAACTTAGGCATCAATCAGCCGCCGAACTGACACTGGTAGATCTATGTCGACGTCCATAATCCCACACGGTCGATCTCCTGCAACCAGGCGCGAAAGCTCATTCGTCAGCTCATCGCCGGCCTACGGGCATCTGGTCTCCAAAAAGGCGATTGTGTTCTCATTCATTCATTCAATGATGTACGACGCTCCATTGTGTAGTTGAGATACGGTTAGGGGATACTAACTTAAATTCAGATAAGCTACAGCATGCTTGTGTTAGCTATTATCGGAGCTGGAGGAGTTTACACGGGCTCAAACCCATCTTACACCCCCCATGAGCTCGCTCACCATATCCGGGCCTCCGAGAGCAAGTTCCTTTTCTCCGAGCCCGAGATCTTGGATCCACTCCTGCGTGCGGCTGAGGAGATAAAAATACCCAAACAAAATGTTTGGATTTTTGATAATCTGGGACAATCTATTCCGGATGGAATGAGATCATGGAAACAGCTATTAGAAGTCGGCGAGGACGATTGGGTCCGATTCAACGATCTTGAAACATGCCGACAGACCACAGCCGCAAGATTGTTTAGCAGCGGCACTACCGGCCTGCCCAAAGCCGTGACAATTACACATCACAATCTTATTGCACAACATGAGGCTGTTTATGGCGTGAATCCCCGTCCTTACTCTGTCAGTTCATTCCCGTATCAGCCTGGAGGGGATATCGACAAACGAGGGCGATGTTAAAACTGACGCCTGACATACTCCATTAGGTTTCACGGGTCATTGCAGTCCCCATATTCCATGCATCTGCAGCTCCAGTGACACATATTTCAACCCTGAAAGCTGGCGCAGTCGTATATATGATGCGTCGGTTCGACCTTGAGACTTACCTCAATACAGTCGATAAGTACAACGTCACCGATATTGCTATGGTTCCACCAATCGTAATCGCAATCCTGATGTCGCCTCTCTCTCAAAAGAAACCTTATCTTAAAAAGATCCGAACGGCAGGTTGTGGAGCGGCTCCTTTGGATAAGAATGTCCAAGCCAGGTTTCGCTCACTGATGGGCGGCAACGGGCCATTCACGCAGGTATGGGGCATGACTGAAACATCATGTGTGGCTACCATGTTTCCCTACCCTGAGCACGATGATACCGGCTCTGTTGGCCGGCTTCTCCCAAATCTTGAAGCTAAGTGGGTTACATCCAATCCCTTAGCTGGATACGTAGGGTTGTGTTGATCTGAGCCTAATATCTATTTTCTACAGACTCATCGATGAAAACGGAGAGAATATCTCCGCCTTTGGCGTCCGTGGCGAGTTGTGTGTCCGAGGTCCGACAGTGACACCCGGGTACTTCAACAATCCCGAGGCCAATGCCGAGTCCTTTGACGCGGAAGGTTGGTTCAAAACGGGCGATATGGCCTATTGTGACCAGAATACTCGCAAATGGTATATTGTGGATCGCAGGAAGGAATTGATCAAAGTTCGCGGGTTCCAGGTGGCTCCACCGGAACTCGAGGCGGCGCTGTTGTCGCACCCGCAGATCGTCGATGCAGGTGTCATTGGGATCACCTTCCCTGGTGCTGATACCGAGTACCCACGTGCCTACGTGGTACGACGACCGGGGGATGCAGGGTCTAAGCTAACGGAAGCTGAGATTCAAGAATATGTTTTGAGGCGCCTTGCGAAATATAAGGCACTCACAGGTGGCGTGAAGTTTGTCGGTGCGATTGCACGGAACCCAAGTGGGAAGATCTTGAAGAGAGTATTGCGCGAGGATGCTAAGAAAGAAATTGAGGCTGGGCTTCTGAAAGCTAAGCTATGAGGTCAATAGAGGTAGAACAACTCAGTAGGACGACATTTGAAAGACGTTCTTTCGTGTCAATCCTAATTTGAATAAGCATTTGAGCAAACCTTTTAGTCTAACAAACCCCGGCTGTAGGGTCTCTAGGTGCGCAATGTGCAGTCGCAGCCAGGAAGAAAGAACAGAGGTAGTTAAGCTAATCTCGGGATATCCAATATCAGAATTTGATGTTAAGATATGCTTTTAACGTTTGGACATGACCTGGATACCACTAGAAAAGAAGCAAAAAAATAGAAAAAGTCATCGCCCAGGGGCAATCCGGCAACTCGAGATCAAACGGCACTCGAGCTGGGGATGGCAGGCGAAACAAGCGGTGCTCCAATTGTGCTCCAATTGTCACCGACAACCGCTTGGCCAACTGCCCGCCATCCAAACATTTATATGTCATAGTGCAATATATCACGTGCAATAACAACAGTCATAGAACGGGAATGTGACCTTAAAACATGACATGTTCCTAATTTTACGACACTATACATTTCATAATGGGAGTGTGCTGTCCTACCTTAATACGTTATTTCGCAAGAATGTACCGCCATCTCGGAATAGTCCCCTTAGAACGCGCCACTTAGATCATTGAAGTTTGGTTTGCATCAACCCAAAGTGGAGAAATGTGGAGAAGCCGAGTTCCGCGGCTAAGCATAAATTTAGCGGGGTAGCTACCCATGGATGAAGGCTATTAGATTAGATCAAGGCATTGATCTGTTCGTATTCGGCCTTTGAACACAATGCAAGATAATCAAACTAGTAGCTTGTGGTTGTAAAATGGTTGGACGTGGACATACTTTTACGTCATTGCTTGACTAGGCACCGTGGTAGGTATCTTACCTAGCGGGTCAGTCTTAGTGTACTCAGTAATATCTACCAATAGAACCACAGACTAGGCACAGTGAGTACAAGGTTGCAGTTATGCATTATATACCAGCTAAAATAACGTGGAGAGCTAACAAGGGTCTTAAGTTCAGGGCATCATTATCCACAGGGCGGTTGAGTTTGCATAGGCGGCTCCGGGATGGTAACATCCGAATCGGCTTCTTCCAATGTTGGTGGTACGACCGCTGATCATCCCCCAGATCCCAGATCCCAGACCCCGGAGCTGAGTTTCTTCTGACCCCCGCTGAAAATATCCCCGCACCATCATCTCCCCTCCTGTGTCGAACATCAAAGAAACTAAATGTGATAAACAAAATGTTGCGCCGTACAAGAAGATCGCCAACAGCTTGCTCCTGGTGCCGTCATCGAAAAGTGCGCTGCGATGCATTGAAACTCGGCTCTCCTTGTACTCGTTGTCGACAAGATGGTCGCAGCAAATGTGTTCTTCGTCCTCATAATCCTAAGCAGTGAGAATTATGATCGAAAGACTTGCCTCAAGAACGTATTTGCTGACCTCTATCTGCCCACAAGGTCGGAAAACACGATAACAGGCCTGCACTCCGACGACCTGCGCCAGTCAAATGGTGATCCAAATCTTACCTCCCAGCTACGCGCACATGGTCTCAGTTTCGATGGCCGTAGCGCCAGTCCACCAGAATCCCCCAACGTTCCGTATAATGAATACGCCTTTATCGAGTCGCAGCAAATTCTCTCGCTTACTTCCGAAGATACAGCATTTCTCACATCCAGCGACAGCTTGAGCTTGCCAGCGTCCGATGCAATCGACGAGTTCATTCACCAGTATTTCAAGCGCATCCATCCATTAGTACCTGTCTTGGATGAGGCTGGGTTCTGGCGAATGTATCTAGAAAACCAATCTACCGGTCCCAAAATATCTCTTTTTGTGCTGCAATCAATGCTTTTCGCTAGCTGCCCGGTAAGTGTCATGTTATCTCTCCGGCAGGTCTTACTCTTTGACTAAGCCACGTTAGTTTATGTCTTTGAAAACATTGCGTCAATGTGGATTCAGTGATAGGAGGGATGCACGAAAGAAGCTGTACAACAGAGCCAAAGTACGCATTTCCACATTCCGTGTCACATTTGCCTTGCTCAAGTATTGACTGCGCTGGGTACAGCTATTGTTCGATCTGAGAACTGAATGCCGGTCTCATCCAAACGCGCAAGGTGCTGTTCTGCTTACCCATTATACCTCTACGGATGACCCCCAGTCTGGGAGCTTGTGGGTCACACGAGCCATCGAGCACGCTACACTCATTGATGCTGAACCGTCCTTGTTGGCGGAAAATGTGACAATGTCGTTGAAGAAACGGCTTTGGTGGTCTATCCTTCTTCGCGACCGAAGCCTGTGTATTGGCTTACGCCGCCGTCCTCAGGTGACGTCGATCAGCCTGCACGGATGGAGTGATTGGCTGAGTACAGAGGATTTCGGTGAAGAGTTGCACCAGTCTCAAGTTTACGATTATGACACCAAGAAGGATTTACTGGAGGCACTTCAGAAGCAATGTGAACTAGCAGTGCTACTCACAGATCTGGCATCTTTGGCATTTACCCACCAAAAGACTCCAAGACGGCTTCTGTCTATGATTGAATTCCAGGGCATCCTGTTGAGTATAAAAAATATCAAAAGATCTCTCGACGAGTGGAAACTGCCCATCCAGCCTGTTAGTTCCCCAAGCAAGGCATCAAAGTCGGAAGGAAATGACGCAGTTTCAAAGTTGACCTACATGACATATATGTACTACCAGTTCGTGAGCACCAGTCACCCGATTGTCTTCAAGACTAACCAAGCGGCTGTTTATCTTAGTGCAGCACGAGTGGACCTGGCTCAGTATGCAGCATTTATACTGGAAGAGAACTTGTTCTACGCGGGAGACGAATACAACAATATGGTTCTAGAGGTCAGTAATGACCTAAGGGATGGGATCGAAGGGTTGAGTCTCGTGATGGAACATTTCAGCATCAATGGATATGCTGATAGTCTTCCCTTGAGTGTGTAAGTACTCCCTTTATGATTTATTTGTCACAAAAATGCCACTCCCAACCTTTCCCTACTAGGTGTAATGCTTTACTAATGAGCGGCAGACTTGGATACCTCAGCATGCCACTCGTACTGGCGGCTGTAGACCTCAAGCTTTCCCCTTCTAGGAAGGAGGCTGAGGCAAGGCAGCGACGTTTGCACTCACTGAGTCGAATTATCCGTCACTCAGAGATACTTTACGATATTACTGATCGCGTCGCCGTCGCGATCAACCATATGTTGCAGCTGGCTTATTCGATAACACAGAACCTCTTTTTGGACAGAAAGCCATCTCGATTATTCTCATCTGAGAACATGGTGAGAGAGAGTACTGTATCCAACAATCGGGTCCCAGCCAGAGCGACCAGTAAATCGACACTGCCCAGATCCAACTGCCCAGAGAGCTGGCAAGATGCATTCATTCGGTGCCCGAGGGCATATCTTTTGATATCGACGTCTGTGGACTATACTCTGTCAATTGGGGATCTCCCATCAGCGAACGGCCTTCCTGAAATTGTGCGTGACCTTCCAGCAATGGGTGTCATCACTCGCCTTCCTTGGACATCTGATATTCCGTTCTCCAAATCCACGCAATCTCTCGTAAGCCATATAAACCAGGTACAGCAGCAGAGCTACCCTGTGAGCTTGCGTTCGTCCTGTGTGGAATGGATAGATGCCTCGGAACGTATCAGTCAGGGGACTGAGCCGGAGAAGAAGACCACCTCGCAAAGGGTCCAAACCAACTACAACTTGTTACCGGATGCATTTTCCGAGTATTCTGCGACCGCTTCCTTGGCAATGGAGGAGCAACTGCAATACATCGACAAAGTAGCGGAGAAGACGGGTTGTGAAACTACCACACCGAACCTAGATTTCATGGACTTTGGAGATTATCAAGGGGTGGTATCACAAAGTGTGATGGAAACCTGTGCCTTCAGGACTCCATTCAGACTTACTGGTCACGACCTGCAGGCGGACATCCCGTTGGAACAACACGTGTTTGACACCTACGGTACCCCCTTACCTCAATCAATCAAAGCCATTGATTCGACAATTTTTGACTCGTTCCTTCACGCAAATTTGAACATAACCGGGCCTTTCAATAGTACAGACTTTGGCTGAACAATGAGAAGAACATTCCAGAAGGAAATCATCGAAATAATGACAGTATCTGGAACAAAAAATGGATATCTTGATTATAAATATATTCCCGGAAACGGCGGCAGACACAAATATGGAATCACCGACATTACCATGAACGATTTTGCTTTTGCACAGGAACTAGACTCGCAAGGTGATCTATGAACGCCTAGGCCACACCAAGGGACTGCACTTCACGTCATCTTTAGGCTCATTTTCATTTCGGCCAAGCACCAGTCGGTAATTTATTTATGCGGAAACCAAATCCTGGGGCTGGACACTGCGCACATGGCCAACACGAGACAAAATTGTATGCAATGCAATCCGAATTTCCCCGATGATCCCTCCGACAACGCTTCCAGGCTTGGAAATCAACTGACGCAATTATCTTGGCGAGGAACAGTATGGAGCACCAATATCCCTTTTTGTGGAAGAACATTTTAACTCCTCTTGTTGCGGTAAGGGAGGAAAGTGGGCGTATCTAAGCCATTAGGAATGATCGACACGGATCCACATTCACCCCACGCCGAGAGCTCTTCTCAGAGTGGCGCAGCTTTAACGGATTTTTGCGCGGATCCCTTCAATGAACAAGGGTTGGGGTACCCCGGTAGATCAGTTCGGATGCTTAAAGTTAGGATCTTCCCTCCACGATAAGAAAATTGACAAACACCAATGACTATATCAACGTGGTATCGGCATCCCCACTTAATCCTTCACCCTTGCTGGCTCTAGGTATTGTTTGGAGATGGCGAATGTCAAGATCGTGAACTAAAGTGCACACTTTGTTATACCTCCTCTGTTTTACTCCGTACAATATGTTGCAATGCCTAAATAATTCCATCTATGTTAATGCGATGAAACTTTCAACTAGATCGTGACGACCTAATTCGGGGATCGGATGGACTCGGCGTATGCCGAGTATTTCCTTGGCAGTAATTTGAAGTATACCAAGTCTTCACCTGCAGGTTTGCTCTGCACTATCAGGTGGTGATGTCAGACTCCCAGCAGGGAGAATGGCTAAATATGGTTTTAAGCCAAAACACCGCCCAGTCGGCGGGCTGGCCAATTGGAGATAAAGCAAGGCCTTCCATCCCCTTGGCGGTATCACGTATTTTTGGCGGCTTCATGGATCAATTGACCTTGCCTAGTCTGAATATAACAAGAGCATGGAAGGAACACCACTTCTCAAACCTTGGCGTATAGCTTTGCTTTTTTAGATGGAAATATTTCATCATTTTCCATTGAGCCTGAACGGTAGATTTTGCTATTTTCCCCCCTTTTTGTGAAGCCTCACCTTGCGACAACCATAAAAACCCTTAACGTGATTAGTATTAGACTGCCCTGTTCCAAGTTAGGCATCGATCGGTGCAGCCCACATATCTATTTCAAGGAGAAAATGCCAAGGTTTGATCCGTCAGCGCGACTCAGTGCCTGAACTGCGATGTTGTAGTGAATGTAGGCAACTTAGTTAAACGCCAAGATCTAGTATTCGAGGCTGTGTTATCGGAACTCCGCCGTTGGCAGGCAGAGATAAGACTCCCCGGCGAACCACACTAGTGATGAACCATTGATGCTGCCGGAGATCGTTCTTGGCAACTAGTCTTACTGTAGCGCGTGGCAGCCCCCCAAGCCGACTAGTGTCGGTGGATACGTCGATCTCTTGGCAAATAAAGTCAATAAAACCTTTTAACGTTTCAGGGGCCAGAACAGGCGATAACTCTGTAAAACGCCATCTCAGCCCAAGGGGATAGGGGATACACGCATAGTTGCATATCAATGGTATAAATACAAGGGTAAGCGAGTAAAAACAATGATGATAAGTCACAATTATTCCAAATTTGAATTCGGTCGACTGCCGCGTAGTGATTGTGCAAAAGATAACCAATCAACTCCTTATTGTATAACCATGCTGCCAAGAGATAATGTGAGTAAATGCTGCGGATTGCTTATTGAAAACGAAGAAGCCTAGCAATTGGCTCTTACCAACCTCCACGAAGCGAAGGGCAATCCTGAATCCCCAGCTTCCGAGGTCGTGTTGCAGCTTGATTTTGAGTGGGGTCTGGGAATGAATTACGCAGTTAGCGAAGATAATTTGGGTGCCAAGATAACGCCCAGATTCAGCCCAGATGGGATGTGTGAGATCAACTCATTTCAGGATGGGTATTCATTCATATTGGGCTATTCATTTTTTAAAGATTAGCCATGTGATATGATCTGGTTATGCGGATAACCAAGGTTATAGTGCTTGCATACGCATAGTGTATGTGAGATGAAGAGCCGTATGGAGTAGATATAGATGCAGTACTTCGGCTCCCAACGTATTCCCCCGGCGGTGTAACACAGACACGAGTTATGTAGGGATGAGGCAAGTGTATTACTGTTTCATGTCATCAGGGTGTTTTCTTATCTTTCTTGGCGAAGATCCAATGTATTCCTTTCATGGGGAGGACCGGAATGAAACCGAGAAATGGACATGTACTAAAGAAGGCTGAGTCCTTGTCTGGGCAATCTATTTCATTTCATATTGACACACCTGAAGTGGAACCTTTTAGGCTTGATTATGTTCATAATAAGCTTCTCCGACCTTAAATAATACATACATATTCACATTAATCCCGCAATGCACCACCGGCCCCCTTCCCCGTCGGGAGATATTAAGCCACCCACACCTACCGGGCACCGAGCCCCTGATAACCGTTCCATCTACCAGAACGAGTTAACGACCGCCAATTTCCGTTTGGAACGGCCCAATGAGGAAATCAAATATACACCCGGCTTTTGGTCCTCTGGGGGCAGCACAGCAGTGTCTGTCTCTGGCAACCAAACAGAAGACGATAATACGGTGTACTCAACTATTTCCCGTCATTTCGGAGCCGACATAAATACCAAGAATACTGATATTCCTCTTATAATATGCGGTTTCGTTGGTGGTTTGGTAGACGGGCTGTCATTTAATGCATGGGGTAGCTTTTCGAGTATGCAAACAGGTTAGTGCAGGCTATAGTTACATGGCAATTTCGTTCCGCGGTGAAAGTACATAGGGCTAAAGACAAATGACATAGGAAATACCATCTTCTTAGCCTTAGGCCCCTCCGGCCAGCCTGCATATCCAGCATACCTCTGGGCAAAGTCCCTGGTCGCCCTGACCATGTTTATTGCCAGCAACCTTCTTTTCATCAACATACATCGCCTCTTGGGCCCACGACGCCGCTCAACTCTGATAATCTCATTCGCCCTACAGACTATTGCCCTTTTGGTGACAGCGATTCTCATCCAGAAAGAGGTCATTGCCCCGAAACCCGAGGACCCCCGGGCTCCGATCGAATGGATGCAAGTGCTGCCAATATCACTTTTAGCTTTCCAAGCAGGAGGCCAGATTTGTGCTTCCCGGGTCCTGGCCCTAGATGAAATCCCCACGGTTGTTGTGACGGCTATGCTATGCGATCTGCTTGTCGACCCAAAGTTGACTGCAAAATTCAATCCGAAGCGGAACCGTCGGATAGGCGCTTTTCTTGCATTGTTTCTGGGAGCCATGACCGCGGGTGGCCTTACTAAGACCACGAGTATGGCATCTAGTATATGGCTTGCTATGGGTCTGAAGTTGATAGTTACCTTGGCGTGGGTTGTTTGGCAGCGGGAGGGAAGGAGGAAGAGTGATTTGGATGTTTGACTTGGCCAAGGTTGTTAGTTTTTCTGTCACCTATTCACATAGGCATGTATACGAGCCTATGCAACTGTCAAATAAGGCTTTGCTTGCTGTATTGAATGCCTGATATCTTTTATTCATCTACTAGGTCAATCGCTTCGTCTTCTTTAGCTTATCTACTGTTCGTTTGGTATCTACTCGAAACACTAAGAAGCTACATAGAAGTGTAGTGTTATGACGCTCTTCACTTCACATCAACCTCGCTGTCGCAGATTTTGCTCTCCGCACTCACATTCCACTGCACATGCCACCAATGTCTCACGCAGACAACTCACCAGGTCATTCTGAAAGTCATGTCCTATCATACGCCTTCATCGCGGAGCAGATCACAGTTCCCAGTGGGTAACATCCCACGCCCTCATATTCCATCGATCCACTCGGGAACACAAATTTCCTGGCTTATTTCTCACGTGTTTCAGCATAAGGCCCAACGGTATCCTCCAACGTACATCCTCGCATACTTGCAATCTCGCCTCATCGACCAGTCGTGGGAACTGGCCTTTTCCCAACATCAGCCACCTAGTTTAGCAACCCGTCGAGCCTGGACGTCGCTAGCCAGCGTGAATCCCATGTACCTAGCTCTATACAGTCTCTAGTCATACACTGTCACGTCTCCACTCCGACAAGGCACGCTCTTCCGGATTCGCCACCCGAAAGCTTTTGGAGCTCATTCCCACTCTCGTTGGCGAGGCTCAAATTACCGCATGCTATATCCATCTTATAATAGAGCCTTTCCACTTGCTTGACGGTTCGGATGCTAAAGTAGTCTTTATTGACACGACTTTTCCTACTGTATTTCCACAACATCATGCTCAGCCTCAGCACAGCATCCAAAGATCCGATACCTTTTACGACTGTTCATGGCGACTCAGAGAGAAAGGTCACTCACCCGTTTACAGATTCGGATTAAATTTCACAAATTACACATTGGTACAGGTCGAATTATCTCTCGAAAACCGCATGATGACGAGACCTCAAGTAGTAGACCTCTCCCATCCCTCATGGTTCTTCCTTCGGTAATTATCGCCACAAAAAAGCATTTTTACGCTCTTCATCCTACCTCATCTCTTGAATCTGAATACAATTGACTTATCGTTTCCCTAGGGCTCTTCCCCACCTCCATTTATCCCATTCATTGGGGTATTCTTTCACGTTGTCACTGCCAGAGACGCTGCTGATCTTGGATTGCTCTATAGTACAACAGCAAACGTAGGTCGTATCTGGATGTCTATATGCTACCTTTGACTCTCACAAACCCTAGTTAGAGGTCACAACCATATCTAGATATGGATGACATGCCAACTGAGCGTTGAAAACGTTGATCTATTCCCCTCACTACACACAACATCGTTTCTCAATTCTATGCAAGATTCGATACGTGGGGGTATCATGGAGTTCTCAACTGAAGTAGGCGAATTTCGGTTCCTATGTACCCTTCGATGTAAGGCTATATGGGACATGGTGATGAACACCTTCCACTCCTTTGCTCTCGACAAGTATTACCTGCTTAACTGATAAATTAGAACTACTTGGAGCTAATTGAAAATAGTATATAGGAGCATTGAGACAGCAGAGGATATATTTTTGTTTGGACTGTGGTATAACCAAAATGTTGAAGTGGTATAACCAAAATCTATAATCTATTCTATGATTTCATTAAGTGGCTCTTTGAATGGCACATGGCAGTACCACGCTCACTTGGTCTCATCTGCAATAACGAAGTGCAGAACTCCGGACTGTCCATTGGCGCGTCCCTTGGCCTCGGAGACATAAATGCACTTGCGGAAGGTCATCATCAACGAGTACAAGAAGCCCTCATCCTTCTGCTCGTGGTAGTTCTCACCGAGCATGGGCTGGATGGCCTTGGTGGCCCTCTCAGCGTTGTAGAAAGGAATGCGACTGAACAAGTGGTGGACCACATGGTAGTCAATGATCTCGTGGAAGAAGTGACGACCAATGAAACCGGTGGTGCGGTCAATGGTAGCAAGAGCTCCCTTGGTGTAAGTCCAGGCCTCAGCAGTGTAGTGAGCAACATCAGGGTGGGTGTGTTGAAGGTATGTGATGGCAATCAGCCAGTGGTGAACCCAGAGGTAGGGAACGACGTAAAGGAAGAAGACATTCCACGCTCCGATGATAGTTCCAGTGTACCAGACGATAGAGCCCATGATGAGCAATCCGATATCGGAGTAGGCAATCAGCTTCCACTGGGCAGCAGTGAAGATAGACGCGGATGGGTTGTAGTGGCTAGCATACTCCACCTTCTCGGATCCTTCAGGGCCGCTCTTTTTGCCGGCAGTCACATTCAGAATGAGATACATCTGCCATCCAAGCAATTGGTGTCCAATAAGCTGCATAAAGGAAACAATGGGTGTCTCCTCAGCGAGTTCTTTCAGCTGCTCAATGCTGACATTGCGCTTGGAGGCCAACTCATCCTCGGTCCAGGGGACAAAGACGGTATCCTTGTCCATGTGACCGGTGTAGCGATGGTGGCGAGCGTGTGTGATCTTCCATGAGAAGTAAGGGACCATAAGGAAGGAGTGTGTAGCCCAACCAATGAAATCATTGATCCCTTGGTGCTTTGAGAAGGCACCGTGGCCACACTCGTGAGCAAGAATCCATAGTCCTGTGCCAACACAGCCTTGGAAGAATCCGTACACGGCCCAGGCAACAATGCGCATAGGCAGGGTTGGGAGAAGATGAATGTGGAGGGCAGCGTAAATTAGAGCTGCACAGTAGATGATATCGCGAGCGAGGTAGAGGAGGGAGGTGGCGAGGGATGATTCAAAGCATTCCTTAGGGATTGCATCTTTGAGGGCCTGCAAGCTGGGAACTTCGGTCTTCTGTAGGAGTAGAATATTAGTTTATGCGCATTGTTGAATGAATTCAATATTCCATACCTGTTCTGCCTGCTTGACAGGCTGCCTTTGTGTCACAGCCATTTTGAAGCGGTGGGTTGAAGATTTCAAGATGATAGAGATAAGAAAAGATGTCGAGGATTTGGAGTGTATTTTTATTTCCTCTTTTTTTTTTTTTTCCTTCGCCCCCCTTCGCCCCGATATCCCCTTAGTCTGGAAAAAAGGAGCTCTAGATTATCTGAACTCAAAAATACATTGACCAATCCCCTTTTTCCAATTCTTTTCCAGAAGACTGTCAAATTGGGTGCACTGACAAAGGGGTAGCCTTCCAATTGGCTGATCGTTTAGCGGGTGGACGCGCTTGTTCCATGGATTCACATGCGCTAGCCTCTTTTATTTTTAATTTTTTCAACGTTTCTGGCCCAACGAAATTTTACTTAGATCATTGCTTTCTTGAAAATATCTAGTAACACGAAAAGCACTTATTGAAACTAATTGAGAATGTTGCGGCAGGATAATGCTACCCCATGCTAGTACCATATGACAAAATCCATGCACGCTACTGGCATATCTCGGTGTTTGCCTTCGATTTTATCCACAACACGGGAAGTCTCGTACACACCCCTTTTTCGACCTCGGGAGAGAATCTAGGGATCCACTAATAAGCAAAGGTTGAGAAAAAAAGTTAATAAACGGCTTGGCGGTTATCTCGTTGTCTTACTGGCTCTATCAGGGGTAGAGCACTGCCTTGGATTGTTCATCTCTCAAGCGCTTTTTGATCATTCAATATCACCTAAAAATTGTTTCCCAGAAACATGGTCAGCACTCCGGTCATTGGAGGGATAGCCATTGGAGTCTATTTTAAGCTTATTTTCCTCTGAATGTTTATAGCATACAACATACGGAGTACATACCGTAATATACGTGGGCTCCCGGACCGATGCTGATCTTGGCTTCAATGGAGTTTCATATTTGCTCAATCATAGCGATTAACAATGACCTATCATTTCTCATACCATCTGCCTGATCAGAATCTATCAAAAATAACGTATCATGTCACTCGCGTCTTTAGTTTCCGATATTTCTAATTGTAAAACAACGCATTGCGCAGTTTTGATATATAAGCCCAACAAAGGGGCACTAAGACAATTTTAGAATATGCGTACGAGCCAAGGCTGTAAAGTATTCAGGTTGCCCATATCACTGTTATGGGAGAACAATGATTGGGGGCCACAGGCCCAACAGATATTTCATTGAATAGATGGATGGGGTCTTTTATATACACAAACTCGGACCACCTACTGGATAAGTTACAGCACACATTGTGTACATATGACCCCCGGGACCAGGCAAACCTCCGGCTGTTCCTTTCACATGGTATCTCCCAATTCTCCAGACTCCATACCCCGTACCTTATTTAAAGTTACATAAAGTTTGGAACCTTTTAAGGGCCTCCGCGGTGCACGTGACGGCAATAATACACCGCTCTGCTTCGGAAAATACTCGGGGCCACATGAGAGCTGAGATTTGCATGTGGTTTTGTGTCCAAATTACATGTGGTTAAATGATAACCCACAACCCGAACCGCACGGGAATTTTGCCTTCGCCCGAGATGGAAGTTGATTTCGTCCTAATCCTTTGCCCCACTTTATCTATCTTTGACCTCGTTTAAATTTGCATTGCACTGATTATGTGTTCAATTTGGCTAATATTGAAGGCAATTGCAGATTCTACCTAGCAGTATGTAGATGTAATATGTGTCACCAGCTACTTCTAATGTATCAAAGCGGCAGAGTGCATATGAAACCTATATTTTGGTGTCTCAAGAGGAGTTTTCCAACTCAATGCTATGCTGCGCCACACTTGAAAAGGAAAAAACAAAACATATTGGAATTGTTCAATTCGTTGTAGTCCTATTAAGCGGGTCCTAATCACATGCCATATCGTCCTCGAGATTGCAAAAAGGTCTGCGTTGGCCGTTTAATCACATGCGTTTGGTTGTGTTACCTTGAAATTAAAGGTTGTATTGAGCGCATCGGACCACATGTGATGATTCACTAGGGAGTATCCAGAGTAATCCTCACTCTAGTTCGCTTCTACGAATCCGGATCACAGTCCAGGACCGGGAAACGGGATGGTAAGCCCTTAGAACCGGTGGAGCATGCTGTGAATTGGGGGCTGAATGTTAGGCAAGACATTCATACTGGTGTGTAGTGATCAGAAAGGAAATAATTGTATAACGTGACTAGCTACCCATGGAGAATTAAGAGAGGTATCTCGAGGGAGCAAATATCTCCTCTGGGAGCGAGACAGCAAGACCTTCAATCTTAGAATAACTAATTCGCATCGTCGTGAACATATGAGATATCAAATAGTCCTAAAGGTCAAATATTCATCGCGTTTCCCATCATTGTCTGTCAGTCCATTGCCTTTCACCTCACCGGCAGAGCAATAGGGATAGTTCGTTCTATCCATACTATCGTTAAGCCTTTTGAACCGCACCCTGGGAACTACTTCTTGGACACCCATCGCAGCAGTCGGTGCCCCCAGGGATCCTTGATAATTGGGACAAAATTTCACCGAGTGCACTACAAAGAATATTTTTCATAAATAGCAATAGGATGGGTCAAAACCAAGCCTTTCATTACTCAGAGATAATCGCGCATATGCCAGTTCGTATGCGGTAACGTTACAAAAGCACTCGCCCAATGCCCTAAAAACAATATTCCGAGCCTGCCACCACATACGGATAGCAGCAGCAGTATCGCACGTTGATGAGTGGTATCCGCATGGTGATAGGTTGTACGGGTAACACACAAACGTCAAGAATGGAATCGTGATGATCGTCAGTGCACTAAAGTTGGGGGTTCCGTTTGTGATCGTGGCTGCATCTTGGTTCGTTACAACTGAGCCGATACCACCGACATTTAGTTCCAGATGGGGAAAAACAAAGCCACATCGCATGCGCATATATGCAAAAAGATAAGCATTGTGGTGCTATAATACATGCATGTTTCTCCCCAAAGGTGAGAGCAAGCAGACCGTAAACCGGGTAACTGATGGGCTTACCGAGGGTTCTCCCAACATCATTCACGGCATCTCTAGTCGAATAAGCTGTGATACCCACTGCGCACTTTGTCAGGGGTTGCGGCATCCCAGAAGTTCGTACGGCATACTCGAGACTTGTTCTGCTCGAGTGCTGTAGTGGTGGTATTCAATGCGTGGGTGATCTCTAATCCCCAGATGGGTGTCCCCTGGTGTATTCTTTTGTGAATCGCTAAAGGTAGAATTGGGTGTAGCAGACAAATGAATCCCGTCAAGAGAAACGACAGCCAGTACCTAACGTACGTCCCAGCATATGTGGTAGCAAGCGTAAAAAAGTACTAATGTTTATAGAGCCGTTAAAGACCAGCTTGGTCCTTATGGTGATGGAATCTAGATCGACGAAGACCTTCTCAGCTGACTTGAGCTGCGGGGGTGTTGGCTATCGACTGGCGAATTTGATCTAGCATAATTGGGGAAACGTTCATTTGAAGATCCCGGCGCCGATAGCTAAGGTCAGAAGCTCGAGAATGAAGGGTGGAGCAGCATTGGATGGCCCCTTCTAAAGAATCGAGGGAATAGCACCGATGATGTGAATGATATGGGCGCCACAAATGACCACCCCAATCGTGGCGGCTATGTCTTGGCATTATCGCGAAGTTGATAGCATGTACCATTTTTGGGTTTATTTGATCTATAATCGCACTGCAACTTGGGGTTCTTCTTTGCACCTAGAAGGCAAGCATTCTTAGCAGTTCACATATCGGCGCCCTGGAGAAAACCACATAGCCCAATATCGGATTCAAAAGAAGCACGTGTACACGTGACCTATATGGGGAAAAATCGACATTTTTCTTTTGCTTTTCCCCCAATAATAGAACCAGATTTCGTCCTTTTATTCCATTTATATTCAGGGTCAGATTATCCGCAAAATGGCTTCAGATAAAGGAAGCTCTTTTGAGCAATTTGCTATCCTCACACCTCGATTCGTTATTGTTCCCACCACCATAGCAGTCTCCTTCAACTCATACCGGGCCCTTTATTCCGAACTACATGCAAATGTAGATTTCTGCCAAATGGGTTTCGGGCATCATTTTCCAGCCAGGACATGGAGCGACGAGGAGACGCGTAATCAGATCCAGACGCGTGATATTGAACGTTGTTGGCAGAGGCGCGGCTTAGGTGATTTTGCGGTGGGGTTGCGTGGACCATCCACATTCGAGTCCGACACCCAGTCCACTGAAAATGGCGATTTCACCTTGCTCAAAGGCAACGATTATGTTCGGCTTGCGGGCCCCAACGATATCCACCTCGCCGCCTCTGAATGGGTAGGCTATGCAGGCCTCCGTGATGCCACAACAACCTCGATGCCACCGCGAGAGGCTGGAGATCCTGCGCTACCGTCATGGGTTGAAATGATTGAGCTGCGTTACGGTGTCTCGCCAAAATTTTGGGGCAAGGGAATTGTACAGGAAGCATCCAAGGCCATTATGCGATGGGCTGTCGAAGAAAGAGGGGTGAAGAGGTTCATCGCGGAGACCGAGAGAGAAAATAGTAGGAGTGCGAAGGTGTTGCAAAAGCTTGGCTTTACACTGAGTGACACGAACTACTGGAAAGAACCGAGTGAGCTAGAATGGGAGGGTGCTGCCAAATGAATATTGAGATGTTTTGTATGACATGGAGTCTCAAATTCCAGAATGCAACTTCTCTTTCCGGGGGTGACTTTCTGGCAGTCATGGTCTGCTTTTCCGATCCAGGAAGGAATAACCCATACTACCCCGCGCAGCCGATTGACCTCATTTTTAGTCTCTTTCGTCGGCTTTCTCCCTTCATAACAGCAACGATTTCAACGAGCGTCTCCGGTAAATAATCTGGAAGACCTCACAGGACATCTGGTCGACCATATAGAATTTCCTACTCGCCTTAAAGACAAGTCCTCCCCCCTGGTGATCACACGTGATAGGGGTGCATTTCCGAAGCTCATAAGAAGTAGCGAGACGATATTCCAAAGACTCTACCGCCGCCCATTCACCCTCGTAGTCAAGCTCTTCTGGATCCGTTGTCCATCCCGGTGGAGTGGATGGTCTATATAATTCTTTGCACTTCAGACAGGCGCATGATTTCCGCTCGTCATAGCAATTTGTCTTTGCTTGTCGATGATTTGAGCGTAAAGGGTGCAGCTTTGGATAAGCCGAATAGTGTGAGGGGGAACTGCGTCACTATTCGCAATACACCTCCGCCCCCTTTTAATCTGCTCAAGGATCCCGTTTAAGCACGTTGAGTGTCCAAGGGTATCCATGGATATAACACCAAAAGATTCTCTTATCACCAGCATGCTAGATGATGGTTGGATCGAAAGTATGATCATCTCAACTTCAAATTGCGTCAACGTCATCCAAAATACATCTTGCATGTTATTTCCAATGAAAAGTCACCATCTAGCTGGTGTCAAACAATATTGATCCATCGTGCCCTTAGCTTCAATTCCGACAATGTGGAGTATTTTGACATCATCGCTAACTTTTGTATACGATAAGAATACAGCACGACTTAAAAGAAGCTCACATCCTATTGCTGGTATGTCCCAGGCGGAAAGATCAGTTTTGAACAAACTACTCACTTTCAAAAACGCTCCCCGAGACGACTTCTTGTCATGGCCCCCCGGTTTCAAAGCGTTGCTGTAATCGGTGCTGGCCCATCTGGCATTTCTGCCGTCAAAGCCTTGCAAGAAGAAAAGATTTTCCAGACGATACGTCTATTCGAGCGAAGAGGTCACATTGGAGGAATCTGGCAATATGATGAGATTCCCGATCGCTTTCCATCTCTCAAGTCTTTCAGTCGACAAGATATCGAAATCCCAAGTCACCTTCCACTCCTCAGATCTCCTTCTCCTGAAGATGTGACGTCTCGCACAGGCATCTACGAAGGACTTGACAGCAATGTCGGTGCCAAAGTCATGGCTTTTAGCCACACTCCGTTTCCTGAAATAAATTCGGCATCGTCAACCAGACAATTAGGGCATTCCAACCCAACCCGGCCGTTTCGCGTGGTGAGAAAATACTTAGAAGACGTGTTCCAAGACTACCTTCACCTTGCCTCGCTAAATACGACAGTCGAAAAGGTTGAGAAGCGAGACCAAAAATGGACCTTAGCACTTCGTCAGTCTGGGCACGGCGATGGCAACACTCCCAAAGACTATTGGTGGGAGGAGCAATTTGATGCTGTGATTGTTGCATCGGGGCATTACAGCGTGCCTTTTGTTCCTTTTGTTCCAGGACTAGACGCTGCGTTCGCGCGCTATCCAACCGCATTTGAGCATTCGAAGTCGTTCCGAACGGCAGACGATTATGTGGGTAAGCGCGTGGTGGTCGTTGGAGGTAGTGTCTCCTCCGCAGATCTTGTCGCAGATTTACATGCCATTGTGAAAGGTCCTCTCGAGGTATCCCAGAGAGGGAAGAACGAGGCACTGCAAGCCGCATGGGACCTACCTAATGTCAAACTTAGACCAACGATCAAAGAGATCCAAGCAACGGAGAAAGGAATAGATGTTTTGTTCTCTGACAACAGCCTTTTGGATAGTGTCGACAAAATCATTTTCGCCACTGGGTACAAGTTGTCTTATCCATTCCTTGTACCGAACCCCGTGACTCCCAACAACCGGCTGGGGGGATTTTACCAGCATATTTTCAAGATTGGAGATCCGTCTTTGGCTCTGATCGGCCAGGTCCGCGCTGCGCTTAGCTTCCGGGTTTATGAATACCAGGCCGTTGCGGTAGCCCGATATTTTGCCGGAAGAAACGCGGCGTCCTTGCCTACTCCACAAGAACAGGATATTTGGGAGGTCCAGCGCCTTCAATATAAAGGCCACACAGCCCTCTTCCACGAAATCAGGCCTGATTTCAAGGAATACTTCAGTTTCTTGACAGATCTAGCTGGTCCCCCAGCACCGGGAACGGATGGTTACCCACTGCCTGTTTGGGAAGATCGATGGGCGGAACAAGGATTCGAGATTCTCCAGCTAAAGGACAAATACTGGAAGTCACTGCGAAGGGCAGATGGATTAGTGGCAGTGGCAGCTAAGCTGTGAAGTAAACATTATATACTGTTCATGGTAGGGAAATATATATTCATTGCGTCTTCAAGTCGTCGATTGCGAGGCGGAAACTCCGTTGGAGATTTCAATTTTAGAAAGCTTTTTTGAGCCGACTTGTTCCTTGCTCCTTCCTTTTTCCATCTTCGTACTTACTTCCCACGGTGATGACACTGCAACTTTTCCCACATCATCTTCATGGAATTATGCCACCGACTCGGCAATTACTGCCATTTATGGAGTTCACCTTCACCTGCACAAGTAGAAATACACTATGCAGTCCTAGCACATAAGACCCTGAGTTCGCTACTTAATATCCAACTTTGCCACCAATTAGGGGGGAGGGCATATTCCTTTTTAGTTCAGCTGCGCAGTACCGTCATCTCTGCTGCCCTGCGGACAAAGCAAACCGTGGATCATGTGCGACAGTTCCAAGCTCCCCACTAGGCTCCAAATCTCGAAATTACGTGCAAGTGTGGACCGGCATACCCGGCATGTTACTCTGGTGTATACACTAGCGTTAGACCTAACACCAATACTACTCATTGTGGGTATTGCATCGCCAACGCGTGCATAAAGTCAGCATTCCTTTGGGTTCATGTGGTAATTTAAGAACAATCCTTCACATTGCAGATCGTCTATTACTGTTAGCGCCCATGAGGTCCATCTCCATTGTCTTTGTACCGCTGGATCCACTGTTGGCTGTTGTTTGTCCGGGACTATTAAACCAAAACAGTGCTTCTATATGTGTGAAGTCCAACCTCAATGTGGCAGGAATGGCGGACATGCATATGCGATTTACTAGTGCTTACGGAGTATGTGCATTGTAAACTCTCGTCGCTGGATCCTCCGCGTGTGGACCGACCAAGGCACAAATAGTCAGAAGAAACACAACTCATTGCAAACCCCTGGATTTACATGATGAAATGGCCAAGACAAGAAAACAGGATATCAACAGATATGGTATATTTCTATACCCGGTCACCCGCCCATTTTCCTAGATAGGTTGATTTGCACTATTCGAAACATGGGGGCGGAAGCGGGGGTGGATGGCGTCCATTCTACCACAACATACGGAGTACTCCGTATGATAACAATCATGTTTGGGCCACAATGAATGCTGAATGCAATGCAGAAAATAGGAGTTTCCTTTTGCAGACAACAACTAAAGCACTATAAATTGAATCCTACTCTGACTGTTGTGTGATTGGCTCAAACTGTCGGTCTTTTATTAGCAGCGGGCCACCCATTTCCCCCATAGAGGCTAGACCCGACTTGGCTACCGAATCAAATCTTCAAAACGTGACATGGCCCTGTTGATCGTGGAAATGGTTGGTCTTCCTGAACTCGCTCAATAGTACGGAGTACGGAGTATAGCGTGGGGTTATGGGACTAGCCCATCCTCTGATATATAAATTTAATCACTCGCAGGACTTGACATACAGAGTCTCTTTTCCTCCGATCTGACATCATGCGTGGATTTCTGCCTGCTGGCCTACTGGCCTTCGCCTCTGTTGCAGCAGCATCATGCGGTCCTACAGTCTACTTCATTCGACACGGCGAGAAGCCTGATGATGGAGGAAATGGTTTAAATGCAGTAGGATTGGAACGTGCAAAATGCATCCGCGAAGTTTTCGGCAAGAAATCTGAGTACAATATCGGCCACATTATGGCACAAACACCCAAGAGCAGTACGAGTATACCCCGTGTCAATTACGAATTATATAGACTAGAGCACTAACGCGAACGAAATAGATGGGAAACGCGCCCGTCCCCGCGACACTGTTAAGCCGCTGGCTGAGGACCTTGGGCTCGAGGTTGATACTGATTGCGATCGGGATGATCCGGAGTGCGTTAAGAAGTTCATCGAGAACTACGATGGAGAAGGCAATATCCTGATTTGCTGGGAGCACGATACAATCACTGATATTCTGGAGACACTGGGTGTCGAGGATGCACCACATTATCCAGACGATAGGTCAGTGTTCAACCTTCGTGTCATAGATTTTGCTCCAGTTGTCTAACATTTATAATAGCTTCGACCTTATTTGGACCGTCCCATCCCCCTGGGACCAAATAACCGACGAGACCAGCGAGCATTGCCCCGGTCTGGATGATTAAACACTGTGATACATTCTACAGCAGTCTTGGATGTTTTAACAGGTTGTGCTTGACCGTTTTTGTCGCCCAGATCATCTGTACAGGCCATAACCAAACCGAAGATAGCATTGAGATTCAAGCGTCATTGTTAATTTATTTGGATTTGCAGATCAAGAGAAAATCCTCTTAGCCTCATATTAGCGACCTAGTTTTTTTATGCACGTTAATTAGTTAATGGAATCTCTTGAGATTATGAGTGGCCTCATCGCCTTCCCGACCTCGGCGTTGTCTATAGGAGTCATGCCTATCCATCCTTTGGTCCATTTCGCCGATCGCTATCCCAGAATGACTACCATAAGTCTGCCAGGACAACCGCTCAAACAAGCTTCGATGCCACCACACTCGGCTGCTGGAATTAACTACAGAGGTGATGTGGTGCAGCGAATGGAAGGCCTGGATCACCATCCTTTGTCTAGCACCGAAAGCCCACAGAACAGGACCAACCGACAAGCACCGCAGCAAGATGAATTCTGCGACCGGTGGCCTACTCTTACAGGTATGACCTTGGAACATAATGGCTCGTTGATCGCATTATATAAAGGCGATGACATAGTGTCTGCTGGGCCAACAGCACTTATGATTGGAAGATAGCAAAATGAGGCTAATTGCTGCCGTACTCCTGCGTTTAATACTAGCAAGATAAGCATTGTGGTCGAAGGGAGACTACCGCAGTCTTCTCGCCGTCTGTGTACTTATTTATGCCCAATGGTGGTTAGCTGTTTAGTGGAGACTCTGTTTACTAAATGTTGATCTATATGAATTACATTTTGGATCCAAGGAAAAGGAAGAGCGATTGGTATTTCGGGGTTAAATAACATAATTAGGGAGATGTAGGGGTAATAAATAATAGCTCAAAAGCTTAGGAGAGACGAGAGCAAACTCATCCTATTGACGAAGTACTAGTAGTTAGTACTGGGTTGGGTTAAGGATACAGACAGAGATGCTATACCCAGTCGTGGAGACCAGATACTTATTCGACTTGCGAAACGGTAGTCTCCTTCGCACTGGGGTTGGGCTGTTGGGCTGTCCCTTCTTCCGCACGAAGATCTGCCACCTTGTCTGACACAATAACTCCCTGTTCCAGCTTGCGAACATGGTGATACTGCACGGCGGTCTTCCACGGCACAAGACCAGGGGTGGTGAACATGGTTTCGACCTCCTCCAGTGTCTTTCCAGCTGTTTCAGGGAAGGCAAAGAACACGTGGACAGTCATTGCAAAGCAGAAGACACCAAAGAGCACATAAACCTTCCATTGGATGTTTTCAAAAGCGGGAGGGACGAAGTATGATAGGGCAAAGTTGAAGATCCAATTAGACGAGGTTGAAAGTGCAACGGCCTTGCCACGCAGACGAAGAGGATACAACTCAGGGGGGTATATCCAGCTGACAGGACCCCAGGTCGGCGCGTAACTAGCGACGAAAAGATATGTGCAAGCGATGACTCCCTTAGCAGCCTTGGGGGCAACGCTGAGATCCCACGACTGTTCGGGGACATGGTCGAGACCTCCCGGTGGGGCAGGCTTTCCGTACGATGCCATGATACCAGCGTTGGCAAACATGAACACCATCATGAGGGTAGAACCGACCAAAAGTGGAGTGCGACGACCCCAACGATCAATGAAGACCAAGGCTAGAATGGTCATCACCACGTTGATGACGTACTGAATCGAGGATGCGACAAGGTTCGAGTTTCCAGTGAGACCGGCCATACCAAACACGTAGGTAATGTAAAGCATCATAACGTTCATACCGGTCAGCTGGGACCAGATCTGAGTGAACATACCGAGGTGGGTTCGGTAGAGCATCGGACCCTTGAAAAGGTCGAGGTATGAGGCATCCTTGTTGTTGCGCTCAAATTCGACCATGTCACGGATCTCTTGTAACTCGGCCTGGACGAAAGGTGCATTTAGGTCACCTTTGGCGTGGACTGAAGCCAAAACCTCATGGGCTTCCTCCCAGCGAGCTTTCTTTGCCAACCAACGTGGACTCTCCGGCAACAGGAAGACCAAGCCGAAGAGCAGGGCAGCCGGGACCATTTGCAAGCCCCAGGGGGTACGCCACGCAGCGGTACCCTCAAGGAAGCTACAGCCATATGAGACGTAGAACATGATCATGATACCCCATGTGATGGCCCACTGTTGTGCTCCCACCACCTGGCCACGTTTACTGGGCTGGGCTAACTCGGCGACATATACGGGGACTTGCGCACTGAGGATACCGACCGAAACACCGTTGATGAAGCGACCGACGACTAACTGGGCGATTCCATAAGAAGAACAAACGATGGCACTACCAATGCACCAGATTACTGAACCAGACTGGATGGCCCCACGGCGACCCAGAATATCAGTCACGAAGCCGGAAACTAGAGCACCAACCCAGGAGCCACCAGGCATGGCTGCTGAAATACCACCTTGGTTGGCAGAAGTAGGGCCACCGCATTTACCTTCGTGGATGCCATGTTGGTTGAAGAAACATTTGTATTGCTGTGTACCAAGACTGCGAGAGATGGTCAGTCCTAATTAGCTCCCACTATGCTCCCATTAGGAATGATAAGCCTTACATGGCGGACATAGAAGCAATATCAAAACCGAATAGTGCACCGCCAATGACGGCCACCATGGTGATGACATAGATATTAGTGATCTTGTACCCCATTATGAAGTTCCGCAAGGGAGTTAGATCATAGATGGAAGAAGAAAGAACGAAGCGTAGAGGGAGGAGCCAGGGGTTTTAAAGGTCTGAAAGAAAATACATAACAGTACTTTTAATACCGTCAAACCGCAGGGTCCGGGCCCAAAACAGAAAACGCGGAGGTGCGGAGAGATGCGGGGGGCGGAAAGCATGTGGCATCCCCAGAATACTTCAATGTTTATAGTTACATTGCTATGAATGTAACGCGTAAAGAAATGCCATATCATACAATGAACTTAAATTCCCTACTTCATTGGTGCCGTCCAAGCAAAGCTATCCTTCATATAGTCACCGAGTCAGTATGTGACGGACTCACCAATCATTGGGTAGATATTAAATTGGTTTGTGGTTAGATGCCGGTCGGCACCTTAGTGTATGTAACTTCATATGTTGCCTCAAGCCACATGGTATCATCGCATGTCGGACATTTACCTATTTTGTTCAATCTTAGTGGGACATCCATGGATGAGGGCGATCTCTTTGGTTTCCCCTCCTTTGTTGAAATACAAGAAAGGTAAAATACAAAACTAGGTTTTGGCCATAAAGAACGAAGGACCAAGCATCCAAACGAATGCTGACATCCCCGCTGTGTTGACATCGAAGTTGCGATATTGGCCTACGTTAGCCTTCACCTAGCGCGCCATCGCGAGGCGGGTGGCATAAGTTCTCCTTGGCAACACGCTTATCCCGTTATGATTTGCCAACACGGCACATGCATCAGCCAACGCTTTCGGAACCAGTTTGACCGAAAAGCAACTCGTGTCTGTGGTACGACCCGACTAGGAGCTGGGTTTGGAAACACCCTGGAAGCAACTGGGTAAATTCTTAATGCTGACTAACTGGCGTAATACGTGGACGGGCCCCCCTATTTTCCAGGGGCTTTCCAGACTTGGATATCAAAATCCCCCTATAGCCACTAGTATCTTGGCACAGCTGTAAAGCGCCACATCAGTGCGAAGGCGTAAATTAAGTCGGTAAGTGGATGACCAAGGCTACGCTTACGAGGGCTAAACACGCCACATGACTTTCGCTCTTGGTTCTTGGCGCAAAAGTGAGAAAATGGCTTGCTCACGTCCCCATTTCTGACCTTGGAGCCCGGCTGTCGAAGATCCAGGAAGAGCATGGAGCTACAAAATCGAGATGCATAACTTTCTCCTACCAGACACATCCCTGTCTAAAAGTGGGGGATATGACCCCGGCCAGTACCCCAGATTTAGAGAACTTTAAACTCCTCATTTCTCTAAATTCGTTTCCCACATTTAAGTCTCATAATGGCAAAGAGAACGACAAGCGACATACTGAAAGTTATACTTCGAAAAGCCCATTGCACAAAACCCTTTCCCCGCCTGCTTTTTTGCTGTCGTCCCATGTTGTATAAAACTGATGGGACATCCAAACGGAATCATATCAAAAGATACCACTGAAAAGATATTAGAAGGCCGCTTATGCGGCTATTCGTGTTCCTCTTATTACTCAACGAACGCTCAGATAATGATAAAGACACCCCGAAATCGGTCCTACTAAAACGAATCATTCATAGAATACATATTTACACGAACTCAACAAAACCACCCTCTGTATCCTTTGCCAGTTCTGTGGCTCTCTTCTTCCATGCTTTTAAAAACAAAGCCGGGTATTCATTCGCCTCCTTTGGCAGCCCAGTCTGTCTAAGCAGCAGATTCGACGCAGCAAGCAGATAGGCCCGCTCAAATGTCTCCCATAACTTATGTTCGAGGGTTCCCGTAGCTACTGGGTTGGGGAAATAAGGGTCATTTGCTGTCACGGCAGTGACCATCTTATCGCAGCAAGACTTCCAGCTCTCCTTCAGGTTGAGCTTGTCAGCCTTATCGAAGTCGAGCATCCATAGATGTACCTGTCGTCTTTTAACATCACAAGCAGGGATATCAAATGGCTCCACGTTTTTGAAGTCCTCAATGACGGTGGGAAGTTCCCCATTCGTCGCCGCACTTCCGAGTACGAATTCCATGTCCATGCCATCCAAGAATGCCTTCCAGTGGACGATAGCCAGACCAATAGCCATCTCTGTAGAAAATTGGTTGGCTTCTAACCGGAGTTCCTCTATTTGATCGAGATAAAGGGGAAAATTCTGAAGGCTGAGTGCTGGATGCGAAAATTCCCACTCTGTTCTTCGCTGTCCAAGATATGGTCGTACAAGGCATGCCCTATTCTCTGGGTCTTCGAATGCAGAACGACGCATTTCCTGCGGGAAATAGAGGCGGATGAGAGCTTCACGGGAGGGTCGAGGAAGCGGCAAGATCCGCTGAAGTTGAAAAATATATCCGGCTTGTGTGTCCTCTGGGAATCGTGACAAGTTCTGGCACCACCAGTTCTCTAGCTCGTTCCCACAGACCCATCCAGTCACTACAGGCACACGAGGTATTGAGATATTGGGGAATAGTTCTTGAAGATAAGTCCTGGTCTCTGTCACTGAACGGCAGGCAGTGTTGGTCAAGTTTGCGTCATTCCATAGTGAGTCCTTATCGCTGCCTTTTTTATATGCAGACTCAGTCCCGGGAATCTCAAAGACCGTTCCACATGTTCCTCTTCCGATGACAGTGAATGCAGCATCATGAATATATTTTGCTCGCCCCATATATGCAAAGCTTGAAGTTGTTGATATGATGGAATGCACGCTCAAGGCCCGTCGTAGCATGTCTTCATCTTCGTCAACTGCCAGCATTTCTTCTGCAGCACTGGCCAAACCAGCATCTGTAGATGGTTTGGAATTATGGGAAGAGCCGGAGACATGAGATAGTTGGGGCAGATGGGAAGACATCGTTGATGTTGAGAAGTCAGAATGCCGAGTTGTGGCTGCTAGATTAATGAGACATACTAAAATAGGCGGCAGCTCAATCCTCACCGCTAACAGTCTTGTCGGCAGAACATCTAATGCTTCTCTTTAAGACAATTACAGGAAATGGGTTTCTCTGACTAGAAGGACTACGGACTCTTGTGAAGTTCAATGTTTATCTCGCGACGCACTATCCGCTAAACTACTTTGGGTAAGTCTCCCGCTGGCCGCAGTAACCAACTGGTACGTGTAAATTATTCAAGTAACAGTTCGTAAAGCTGAGCTCACGCTTTTCGATAATTTTTTAACACAAGTCGTCTATGAAACCGATTGTGATTTTGAGTCCTATAGCCTATACTCATGACCATAGCTTAAACTATCGGCTACAAGTATATTCGGTCACTTATGCGGTCTTCCGATGTCCTTTCAGTGTTGTTTGTATTTGAGTGAACGGGTCGTCGTCTCCATCTAGATATCTTATTAAGTCTATAGATGGACAGCAAAAAATAGGCGCAAAGACATAAACAGTGAACACAATCGGATCCCTGGCGTTTGATGTAACCCTTTAAACCAACTCTTGTATACTCCGTACTCTATGGTCGGATGTTTCATGTAGATTCTAAGAAATGGTACGCCCTGGCTCGGGGTTAAATACAATGTCTAACCACCGCGCGGTCCTAAGGTTGGTGGTATTACTCCGTACATCAAATTTCTATATGGGCTGCTAGGGTCGCATTGGCCCCCAATCTCGTATATTGTCCCCACAAAATGCCTGGACATGATGCCTCTAGGTCAATGCTTCGAGGTAAAAACATGCTTGGGTCAGCCCAAATACACGCTAGGGACGCCTTTTTTAATTGTCGATTCTCTTACATTTGTTAAATTTAACCCCACACCATTAATTGCACCTTCCACCTTGCAATGGCAGACACTCGTCTTTCTGTTTCTCTGCCTAATCCCGTCGCTAAAGAAGATAAATCTTACGTTTTGTGAAAATGACGTTGACTGCACAAGAGATCAGGAAGTCTGACCCCTGTGTACGGCGTACCCCTGTCACGTTGGAGTCAAAATGTGGAGGGCTACATCCCGCGGATTCTCACTTCTCCCCATTCTCGTTCTCAAATTTCCATGGTGGCTACAGCGGAGGACTTCTATTTAAAACTGAAGTGAACCACTCGACGACTTACCACCTCATACAGCACGACCCCCAGACCACAGAAGCTCCCCAATATGAGATACTACCCCATACCGAATCCACCAGTGCATCTGCGTCGACCAAATATCCACCTTTCATTAACGAACACTTTTAGAGGAAACTTACCAACTTCCACCATGGGCCGATTGCGGAAGAAAGGTTGTATGCGTTGTCAACCTCGACGACCGTTCCAAATAGCAACCCTCCCGTCGGTTGTGTTACACCTGGGCACGATGGCCCAATCAGTAAGCACCTGCAATAGCGACGGCACGCGGTGACAGGTGGGGAAGGAGCATACCCACCGGAATCACGATGCCACGTCGTCCAGGGACTCAATATATGGATAAGATCGTGGAATATGTCGCTTCTGAGTTATATGAGCGACCGGTTGGAGATTATGGCTTTCATCGCGTACAACGTTTCTTGGAGCTGGTTAGAGGGGTTTAAATTGCCTTCGTTGTGCTTGAATCAATTGGATGATGCCGTCTCGACAGTGCTGCTCACTGCAACGCCCCATCGGTCATTAACACCAACCGCAGGAAAGACAGCATAGAGACCACTGTAGGGCGCGTTGCTGCCTGAGTGCCTGAAGCTTGCTCCTTCCCCGTTTGTTCTCAGGCTCTCTTTCCTTGCTATCTTCGCACCATGGCTTCTCTTTGCCATAGCCCTCTACCAGGGACATTACAAATTAGCAGCCTCTAACCGGAATCCATTCTAGAGCGAGAGCATACTGAGTAGAATCTGGTGCTCGCGACAAAATGACCCGAGTGGGAGACAAGGCTCGCTAAGGATCAACTTCAATGGTTAGACAGGAACCTGAGCCTCGATCATGATCCACTACCGGATTCGAGATTGCAGTCTACATCGGAGCATGAACCACTCCATCCCCAGGCCGGAATAGAAGGCCCGTCAGATCCCGACCTACAGCTATTGCTATTGTAGTTCTTTCCCCCAATTTAACAGCAAAAGAAGGATTTTGGACTTGCGGCCCATTTAGTTGCCTGTATTTGACCACAAGCGGGGATTCGGTTGGATGTTTTCTGCATAAGTGATACCTTTACGGTGTACGGCTCAAGCCTGACGTACTTTTGTCAACCAAAAAATGATTGGGATGAATCTTCACCGTTTTGCTAGTGCACAGTTCACCATGAGGGACGAGTGAACAGCATAGATATCCAATAGAAACCCTATACGGACTCATGCCTTTGAAGCCACGTGACCTAGGCTGGAATGTCAGTGACGAAACTGCCCTGGTGGCGGCATGCGCGGGAGCGGATATTAACATTGAAATCTCCGAAAGATGGCGATCCGTTGATCAATAAGGCTATCGTACACCGGGCATCGCGTGTTAATAGTAGTTGCATGTGAACTTTGTCGCTAACATAGTCCAGTCCGAGAGAGTCGTGTCCAATGTCTCAGGACGATCCTTAGCCCTCTCCTTCCACCACCTCCCGCCCGCCAGCCCACTCGGGCTGATCCACCTTCATCATCGCCGGTTTTTGTATTCGCATGCTATTCGATTTACATTTAATATGTTCGCTGTTACTGTTCTTAATGAGCGCGTATCGCTCGCGATCAAAGTGGATGTTATAATGCCATGACTCCGCAACTCTCGGACGCCATCTTCAGCACGGAGTATCATCGCAATAACTGCACTTCATGCACCTAAGTGGCTCTTCGACTGTCAATCTCTGCCCCTCGGAAAAAGGCTCCCCGGCCATCCTTCCGCATTGAGCCCGATACAATCATTTCCGTCGTACGAAATCTGATTCATGGATACCGCCGGAATTGGAATCCGAAAATGCGACAAACCTTCCGACAATGGCAATTGTCACGTCGGTCTATGTCAAATTTTCTTCAAAGTGGAAACAAACAATTTATAACCTCTCAGAGTATCGGATTATAGATCCACAAGGCTTCATGGAGACTCGGCATTGGTCGGTTCGGATCAAAGTTTGATCTTCCAGAACTCCCCGGTGGCCAACTCTGCGATAATGGAAAATTGTTAAAATATGGAGTTGCTCCATATTTATCCATATTTATTCTTTGTTTTAGTTGATTTTGTGGTTCTTTCCTTCATTTTTCCCCACGATTCTTATCCATTGCACTTTGGCTTTGTTGAAGTTATCCGAAAGTGCTATCATGGAGCTGGCGATACCAAATGACGTACTAGTCTTGATAGGAGAGCAGGTGGAACACAAAGCAGATCGCTGGAACCTCATCTTTGTCTCTCATCACTTCCACGACCTTTTCCTCCCGCTGGTATATCGGAAGGTGTTTATCCACAATTGGCAAGATGCTAGTTCGTTCCTGCATGCCATACTAAAACGACCTGCGCTGGCGCGGGCCGTTCGGGAGCTAGACCTAACACACTGGCATGCAAAAAGTGTATCGGATGACGACTGCAACCGAATTCAGACATCGCCAGCTTTGAGGGCATGGCTCGATGATGTATCATGTTCAACGGTCGAAAGTGATCAGTGGGCCCAAGGTCTCGGGCAAGGCCTCGCCGACGCCTGGGTTGCGCTAATTCTCCCACTGTTAAGCCAGCTCAGAAAGCTTACACTGGCATACACGACCAACTCTCCCCATTTGGACCGGATTATGCAAAGAGCTGTGGATTGCGAAACGCCTTTTTCAGTTCAACCAGCCTTCCGCCACCTACGCAAGGTCTCACTGCATCATCGAGAAGATCTCAACTACAGCCAGCAGCTAGGCAATACGGAGGGTGAAACTCAACTCTCATCGACACTCCTCCTGCCATTTTTCCACCTACCTTCTGTTCGTGCTATCACAGCCAACTCTGTAGTGGACCCTGGTTCCACTATCTCATCATCAAAGGAGCCGATGGATGACGAGAAGCCACGCCTTGGTTTCTCTTCAATCACCGATATCGATTTGCGGGCAAGTAGCGGGAACTATGGCATGGAGACATTAGTTAGTTCATGCGCAGATCTCAAGTCATTCAAATACCAGCACTCGGACTCGCATGTCCTTTCGAATGGCTACCAACCATCCGCTTTCTATTGCTCTCTGACCCACAGCAAAAAGAGTCTGCAAACATTGTGGCTGGACCACTATGGCAGCCACCACCCGTTCACAGCTGCCGGGTTGAATCAAAACCACGACGAGTGGTTCGGCTCGCTTGCTGATTTCACTGCCTTGCAAGAGGTGCGCGTGAGACTGCCTAACCTTCTGGATATTCGATACCAGAACGAACCAACCACGCCACTCATTGAATGTCTCCCGTCGTCGCTTGAGACCCTTTATATTGAAGGATGTGAGGAGCGGTATCTGGGGATGTTGGTTTCACAGTTACAGACCGTGATCAAAAATCGCCAGACTCGTTTCCCTAAACTCAAGCGTGTCGATATTGAGGGTGCATTCCGCAATGTCCCGTCGGATGACGATTATGAGGTTGCCAACTCCGGACCACAAGTACTTGGAGCTGGCATCAGGGACAAAGTATATCAGGCTGCTGAGCCTTTGCATATAGACTGTGTCAATGCTGGCCTAGAGCTGCATCTTTATGACCGTGCTCTGTCACATATTTGATTCTGCCTCATTTCTTAGCAAGCTCAGGGCTTGCGTTTCCCAGCATTTGATTCGACGATACCACATGAAAGCTTTGCATGATATAGACATGATATAGATGTGCCACAAAAATTTGGCGCGAGACTTGGAATTTCAACTGCAATTCTTTAGATGATGAAACGAGCTTCCCACTCTTCATCTCGGAAACGGTAACCCGAATACTGAACTGAAGTTGTTCTGAACATATCCTATCTAGTAGTGTATTATCCTCGTAGTATAACGTATTCCGTTCTATGCCTCGGAAAGGGATTCTACATGCTTAAAAGTCCCGAGAACTTGAAACAATAATTAGCAGCCAGTCTCTGTCTCCACTAGGAATAGCACAATATATAAAATCTCTCTCCGGGGACTGTATATAATTGTTCTGACTTCGACAATTGAAATTATACTTATCATTTATTTATTCATTATTTATTATAAGCGATCTAGATTATAGTACAGTATTTAAATGCGAAAGATATAAAATGAAAAGAATGTAATACATGCATATGTATCTAACATTTGAGATTACCTTGACGGATACTTTGCGACGTAATAGTGAGCACCTGGGCAGTTGACCACCTTCCAAGGTTAACTTCAATCCCCGGGACAAACCTTTCATCCTCAAACCCCAAATTCCATCCCCTAACGCAGACAGGTATTGTTACCCCATCTCTCTACACACTAACCTTCGTCTTCCGTATTTCAAACAACATTAGAAGTGATCCTGATCTCTAAACTTTCAACAGGCTCTCCTCCGTCCGCCAAGATGAAGGATGTTGTAGTCAACATCATGAACACGTTGGCGGTGATCGACCACGCAAATATCACTGAATCTGAGCTTCTGGACCTAGGAGTCTCCGTCGGAGATTTTGACCCGAACGACGAAGAGCCTTCGGACCGCAAGACACCATGGCTTTTCAAACCGATCTCTAAGGAGGATATCAAACCGTGGAAGATCTCGGCTTCTGAGGCCAAGCAAGTCAGTCACCGCCTGAATCCCCCGGATTTGGATCTCGCAAGGCAGCATCGGCCTGACTGGAACGTCACACGCGCCACGCAACAGGTGCTCACCTTTATCACGGCGCAGTTCGAATATCGCCGCAAATCGAAAACTAGCCTAAGGGATGCATTCGGGTGGAATTACATTGAGTAAGTAAACTAGTGTATATTTGCGATTCCTTACGAAAGCTGGTTCTAATGGCATATAGTTTCGAAGAGTTCGCTGGCGGTCATGAGGGATTCCTGCTCTCTACGGGTGGACGATATCGAGGCGTTGATACCCCAGGCTGGACAACTGGATTGCTAGAAGAGTGGTGGGATGGCGAAGTCCTCATTGGGCCCTCTATCCGTTTTATCATCTGCACGGAGGGGAATGGCAAGGAAGGCAGCCTACTACTAAGTGAGCTCGGATCAATCGCTCAGGTCGTTGCGTTCCGCCGAACTCAGGCGGGGTTTGAGACATGTCGTTTATTCCCAGTGAGATAAATTTCTACCCACTAGGACTCCCGAGCTATACTCACGATCTCTTTCTATATAGGTACTCTTAATTTCGCTCTTCGGGCCTCGACACGGGCGTATCATCCAAGCCTGCTACCACCGGTGCAACGATAAGCTCGAACTTCGGAAGTCTCGAATTTTCTGCTTTGCCTCCAAGGGTGATGCAGCATTTGATATGTTCTTTCGATTCACAGCGAGCTATCCACCCGAGATAGTAAATCCTGACTTTCTACACCTAGCGCGGTGCCCTCTCAGGGGCCCGGAAATCCTCACTAACATAGCACAGTTTCACTGAAAGAATGCTCAGCATATTCAATAGCAAGCCAGCCGGCGGATGAGCATCGGCAGCGGGGATGATTGAAGTCTCTACCCGTGAGCAGCAACGTATCGCGTCAGCACTGAACTCTAGCATTAATATGCCAAAGAGGCAATCGGAGCGTCGAATTGATGAAGAATCAGTTAACACTAGAATGTGTTGGGGCGCTTAGCACGAGTACCTCCCGATTTCCGAAAGCTAAATCCAGTTGGGCATTATCCGAGCCCAGCTACGCAGCGGTATAGACGCCTGAGGTCAACCCCCCATTTTTAGAGAATATTGATGCCTTGATGTCCCATTTTGGCGTGGTTCGGTCGCTCCTTCAACCACTTTATCAATAGTTGAAAGATTACACATTGGAACGTCGTTTGCACAAATTAAGCCTTTTTCTGACTTTCTTTTGCCGTCTACCTATAAAACTTGCACATCTTAACAGAATGGTATCTGAGGAGAGCACTAAAGAGACCACCAAAATGACCATTGAAAAGATATCAAAAGACAGCCTATGCGGCTGAATATTCTTGTAATAGTAATTGAAGTATGTTAATGATTCTACTGGTCTTATTTCAGAAAATGAGGCACCAGGGCGTTGATATTGCCCAGAAATGGAGTTTTGAACCTTGGCGTCTATACCGCTGCGTAGTCATCTGAATGTCACATCACTGTCTTTTCCCAAGTGTGTCAACACAAAATCCTCTCTGTCCTAGCCCATGTTCAGATCGATAATCAAGGCCACCATAGCCTATGTATCAAGACGACATGCAGCAACGACTATCTGCAGTTCCATCGCTGCGTTTCCCAAGTGCCACATGTCATATTTGGATCAAGACAATAAACTTACCAAGCCTTGTTGTATTCCAACCCTCAAAGCACCGCTCCTCTAGAACAACCCACCGCTTCTCACCAGGCCGGGCCTTTTACTTGGGTAACTAACAATAGGTACGGTGCCCGACATGCTTCTGATCCAGCCCCGTTCTGTCCCTGGGGTGATCATGTGCACCATTTCCGCTTTCCCGCCTGAAAAAAAGGAAGTGGGTTGAAAGTACTGGGACTATAAAAATTCAATCTCAATTATGAAACATAAAATGCCAAGGGAAAATGTTCAATAACAGAGGCCGCATACGCGGCCAACAACTCTTGTTTGCAATTGAATTTGGAGTAGTCTTAGGGTATTCTATAGTTTGCTTATTTAAAGGGAAGCAAGGACGGCATCGGCGCCAGATTTCTGTAAAAGGTAATTAGCCACCAAAAAGAGGTAAACGAAGGACGGAACCTCATACCTTGACAGCACCCCTTTCAGTCTCGATATCGGCATAGCGGACCTTACCGTGATCGATAACGATCGCATAACGAGCTGTACGGCCAGACGCCTCATCAGCCCATCCAATGCTCTTCGAGAATTTGGCATCGGGGTCCGAGAGGAAAAGCTATCCAAAATCAATACTAGTCACCGAAACGTGGAAAGTGGGGTTATGCTCACGATATCATCCCCGCGAACTTTGTTCGCCTTGCCCCACGCACTCATCACGAACGGATCATTGAAGGCAATAACTGCGACAATGTCAACCCCCTTCTCACGGAGCTTAGGCAGGTTCTGAATATATCCGGGCACATGGTTGACGGAACAGGTCGGGGTGAAGGCACCTTGGTTCACACATTAGCACACCGACTTCAGTAAACGGGTAATAGCTACTTACCGGGAACTGAGAACAAGACAACCTTCTTGTTGGCCCACTCCTGTGAGGCATTGTAGTTGATGGGGATTCCGCAGGAGGTAATTTCGTCACTTTCCTCGCTCCATGGAATGTACCTGGAGAGATCAGTGTGTGCTTGTTTGCGGGGGTTGTGTGTTGACCCACTTGAAGACCACGTCGCTAGGGAACGAGTCACCGGACTTGAGGGTAGTCATATTGGAATGAAGTATATTGGAGAGGGTGATATGAAAGAGAAGATGAATTGGAAATGGCGGGGTGAAGCTGTTTTGTTGATCTCCCCAGTCGACGTAACGCTGATTAATATGAGGTGATCGCGGGCGGGCGGGGCTCGCCGACCTCGGCACCTAGCGAAGCTCTTCCTCTCCTCTCCGTCTCTTCCGTTTGTCTTCTACCATGCTGATTTAACTTAGCATTGGACTTCTGGTAATAAATATCACATTTGAAATTGAATAGTCAATTCTAAGTTATTACTAGGGACAGTCAAGCTCCCAAACTTCCATATCCGCGAGCCGGCCCGGTGTGGGGACCCCGCCTATGGTATGTACGGAGTAGTACATAGTACATCGACTCACAATATCATTAGACTATATAAGAAGAATGGTGGTTCCATAAATCGGCCTCTCTTCTATATGACAGATAGGTTCAAGAACCCCTTCCATAATATGCTATTGCCCCACAGCTCCATACCAGCATAGCCCTAAGATAGCACCCATTACAATCGCAACGGGTGGAGGCACATTGAACCATGCACTCCCAGCATAGGTTACCACCGCAACAACCACCCACCACGGTTCCTTGCCCAGACTCTGTCCGTCGCTTCTTTCGGCAGTCAAATATCCAATCTCCCACAACCGGTATACAGCTGTAAATACTAGCCCAACCGCTGTAGCATTCACTCCCCTTAGGAAGTCAATCACATACTTCCTCTTCCGCAATACACGCCAGAAACTTTGGATTGCAACGGCCAGCGTGATCCCTGGAAAGAAGATTCCCAAAGCGCCGAGAAATGCGCCGAGAACGGTAGGGAAGCGCGAGCGCTGCAGTGCTAGCGCCCCCAAGAAGACAGCAAAGTTGAAGTTAGGACCGGGAAAAGCTTGGATAATGGCAAGGCCGATAAGGAAGTCTCTGCTAGAGACCCAACCGGGATCGACGACATAAGAGCGTAAAAGGGGAATTACAACAGGACCTCCACCAAAGATGACTGTACCAGCAAGGTACATATTAGCAAAGAGGTCGAGGACCAGTGGGGGTGTAGCGAGCTGGCTTCTAGCAACAAGAATCCCGATGAAGGAGGCTAACGACATTAGTGTTGACTCTCAGGAGATTTGTCAGGTTAGGGCCTTACCAAAAAACAGAACCATGACCAAAGCTCCGACCCGAATCCGAATAATGTGCTGTTGTGACGGATCTTCGGCGGACTCCGTTCGCCTTGAAGTGTTGCCTATATGCTGTGGCAGTCCGTCAGGTCTTGAGTCCGTCCTCCTCGATCGCATCGTGTCACTCATTTGCACTGTATTCTCTTCCAGGGTTACATAGTCCATGCCTGTAGTTTCCCCATTTGACACATCCACTTCCTGTGGAGCACTATGTCTGTTTTTCCAAGCAAGCCTTGCCCTCAGAATTTGATGATATAGCCATCCATCCCAAAGGCTTGTGAGGAAGCCACCGGCAATCATCAGAACGGGGAAATACCAGAGTGCATTGTAACAGAGACCAGCACATGCGCCAAATATCACAAGAATACGGGATAGTTTATCGCGAATGGCTTTTTCGGCCAACTGAACGGCTGCAAGTGCAACTATACCTACCGTAGAGGCATTTAGGCCCGAAAGTAGGGAGTAGACTGGTTTTGGAAGGGTTTCACTCATGTTTTGCACACCAAGTGAGAGAGCATACATGCCAATTGCCCCAGGAAGACTGACACGGTTAGTTAAAAGGTAGCGTATTTTATAGCATAAAGGTATAGTCACCTCCAAAGCAAAAACACAAGCAGGGCAGGAATAAATCCTGCATGTAATAGGGCGAGGCAGAAAAGCAACTTCGTGCTAGCAGGACCCGGAAGACCCTGGCAAATAGCAAAGAGCTCTTGATACTGTGAGATTCATTAGCAATCCCTATGATATTGAGATCCGCCAGTTTGAGGATACATAGGGAGAATCGTACAGTCTGCTCATCTACCCATTTTTCCTTGCCGCCCTGTCCCTCCACAAACCTGGCATGTAGAATCTGGAAGTGTACTGGTGGTCCTCCGAAGGCTGTAAAACCTAGATCCCATGTACGCAGAAAGACGTCCAACAAACGCTCTGACAGGGATTTTTGCGTTCCATCATTTTGCCTTGAAACTCTATGGTTACCCCATTTGTGATTCAGCTGGGCGAGCGAAGAGAGGCACTGCGAAAACGGGGAGAGAAGTGGCATAATGCTTTCAGCCGTGCAAAATTTCAACAGCAAGGACCTTGCGGTCAGTTACAGATGTCAAGGATAAGATCAATGCGACCCCAGCTATAAATCTTTGTTCGCTATACCTTGTAGGTATTGGACCTCAGGAGAAGGTACCTTATAGGTATCACGCCAAGACGTTTAGTAAGGTCTATCAAGCAATAAAATCAAAATATCCAATCAAAATATGGCAATGAAGCACGAGTTGTACCATAATCCCCTATCGAGATGGACACCTGGACAGTCTTGGGGGATAAATCGTATTCGGACGGTGAATGTCATTGGGTGGCCTTGATTGGCTAAAGTAATTTCGGGCTCCCGTTGGGTAGTGCCGAAATATGACGGTTAAATACAGGTATCTGCCGGTATTCTTACAGTAGAGTCACATGACTATCAAATGGTATGTTACATAATTTGGCAGCTTGGCCGTTAGCTAGGTACCCCCAGAGCTGTTGACGACACGACCATCAGATATGCTCTTGTTAAACTGCCAGTTTTCTGTCAGCTAATATTGTGAAAAGTATTGTTCTATGAAATATCCGATAGTAGATTATAGCAGTTTTTTTTGCAACAGTGTTCCTAGATGAGTAATTACACATCATCATCTATCCAAATCCGGTATGTATAGCTAGTTGGATATATATAGTTGCACGGAACCATCAAAGTCGAGAGTCCACCTTAGAAATCTGGGTTCTCCTCGGACGGGCTTCAAGTCGCAAAATACCCTTGTACGCAGAATAATGCGTTAAATTGGAACCCTGAAGTTGGAGAAGTTGGCTTACCTCTTGAGTACAGCTCGCAAGTAGCGTACCATCTCGGGCCCATATCTTTTGCAATACCACTCCACGGCCATTGTCAGCCCAATCGGTCTTCACTTCAGTCAAAAGCCACTCATCAGCTCTTAGTCGCTTAGGCTGGTGGAAGTAAATGGTATGATCCAGGCTAACCATCATTCCAATCCTATGGGACTGGGCAGGCACACTACCGCCCCCTTGTAAATGGGGCCTAGGTATCTTGGTGTGAATAGGAGATGGCATCTCAAGCTGTTCATTGGAGTCATAGGACTCGGTAGTTGGAGGGTTGACAAAGCTCCATATATTATGCGCATGAGGTATCCCGGCGAGGAAATAACTATCTGACATAAATGCCAACGCTGCCAGATGCGCTCGTGAGCCACCTTGAGGTGAAATCTTCCCACGTGCTTTGATCCACTGATGCATACGTTTATTACATGGATCAGCAGAATTGAAGTGTAGCATTCCAACGCTTTGGTTTATGTATGGGAGTCCCGGTGTTTCTTCATTGCTATTGGACCCGATACCAGTATCTTGCGGTACTGGCACCGTCAAAGGATTGCGCTCAGCATGGTGGATATTTGTGATTGGCTCCGGTGGTGGACGAGCGAAGCTGATTGTTGCAAGGAATATTGTGCGATTGTCTTGGATGGCCCTTACAGCTCGTGTGCAGAATGTCCTCCCGTCTCGCACTATCTCAACATGGTACCAGATTGTTGTGAGCGCAGTGCCTGCAAATACAAAAGTGCAATGCATTGAGTGGGCATCGAACTCTTTTTTCACAGTCTCTTGGGCTGCGCTGAGGCTTTGTGCAATGGTGATACCACCGAAGATCCCTCGTGTACCTTTGGGGTGGCAAACAGGATATTTGTTGAGGAACACAGAAGGGCCAAAGTCTGTGGCTGGCGTAACTTCGATTTGTCTCTCAATTGGTGATACGGCTAGAAGTGCGGCGAATGTCATGTCTTTGTTGGCCATCGTGGGCGAGGTTGAATCAGGAGGATTAAACAGGAATGACAGCTTGGAAAGCAAATATTCAAATTAAGACAAACAAGTCGCCATCCACAGCGGAAATTTGGGGTTCACACAATGAGTGAAGAAGATCTAGCGATGTTCGAGGTAATCTCAACCGGTGTATAAAATTAAGGCCGGAACACCCCCCGGAATTAGGGATCGGAATTTGAGATTAGAACAACCTACCCCGCCGAGGAGAGCTACGAGAGTAGTAATAAATATAACGACCTGTCACCAGTGACAGACGTGGTGTCGGTATTGCACGTATCTAAGAAAATCATCATGGCTGTAATTACTTCAAAAACCACTGTGCATCTGCGCACAGACCGATCAATCACGCAGTTGATGTTGGAAAATGCATCAAACACAGATCCAACAAAAGTTATTTGCGAAGATACCTTGACCGGCAAGACCTTCACCTACGGTGGACTACGGGATGATGCGTTCAAGGCAGCTCATTCTTTGCGGCATGGATACGGCATCGCACCTGGAGACGTTGTCACGATTATATCTAGAAGCACCGTTCGTTAATCTTTTGTTCTAAGTGACATGTTACTAACGGAATCATAACAGGTTGACTATATCCTGGCGGCGCATGCCATATGGTCTGCAGGGGCAGTCGTGAGGTTCGTCATGTCAGCTAGGGACTTTGAGACAACTGCTCACCATTCTTCTCAAATAGCACGATCAATCATTCGTCCACGCCCAAAGAGCTAGTACATGCATTGAGAATTTTAAAACCCAAAGTCATTATCGTAGATGTTGCGGTACTCAACAAGCTGCATGGGGCTCTTACTACCCTCGACATGAATTCCTCGGTCACCATCTTCACACTGATTCAGCGAGAAGCCAACTATCCATTGGTCAGTCATGATCTAGAAGACACTGAGATAAGTGAAACTGACATTATAAGGACTAGTTCCCGGAGGACCTCGTCAAATCTTGTCGAATTGAGTCGGAGGCATATGTGCTGGATGGGAAGGATGCGCGCAAATCATGCGCCGCCATCGTTCTTTCGAGTGGGACAACAGGTCTTCAAAAGGCTGTGATGCTTTCCCATCACAATCTGGTGGCTATTTGCGAGCAACTACGAGCCCATAACCCAGACAACTGGCGAGGTAGCATGCGAGAGGTGTTTTTTCCGGTGAGCCATGTACTTCCGTTCTTGAAAGATGTTATAACTTCTCAAGCTAATATGCTTCTTACCAAATCCAGCCTCGTGAGTTTATATTCTTAGGTGAATAGCGTATTAACTAGACATATCTAACTGCAATAGTATCGCATATATACGGGCTTTATGTCTGTGCACTCCTTGGTCCATGGCTGGGTTACTACGTGTGTTTGTTACCGGCCTTTGACCTTGAGACATTTTGTCGGGTATGCTAGCTATTTCCTAGTTTTCTATTTGACAAAAAGGTTCTGACCAACAACCAACAGCTTCTGCAAGAGAAGCGAGCTACGTTGGCTAGATTGGTGCCTCCCGTGGCACTTGCGCTTGCAGAGTCTCCAATCACAGAGAAATATAGGTACGACGACCTGGAATATTTCTCATGTTCCGCAGCACCACTCAAGGTGAGATCTATAGTCCCGCTTTTATCCTTCTGGTTCACAGCATAATTGACAATCCTAGCCGTTGGTTGCAACGAAACTTCGAACCAAGTTTCCCGGTGTCAGTCTTTGCCAAAGTGAGTCAATTATCCAATATCATGCTAACCCTAAGACAACATTCGTTAACTAAAAACCGGCTCTAGCTTATGGCTGCACCGAGCTCTCGTCTTGCGTCTCTCAGAGTGGTGTCAGAGATAAAAACGCGCCCCTTGTTGCTACCGGGACTCTTCTTGCAAACATGAAAGTTCGATTTATTGATGAAAATGGAAAAGACGTCTCTCCTCCAAATGCAGGAGAGATCTGCGTGTCATCTCCCACAATTATGATGTAGGCAACCGGCCTCAAAGCAGCCAAACCAGTGACTTCAAACATACTGACAATATGATAGGGGTTACAAAGATGACCCAAAGGCAACTGAAGATGCTATGCTAGAACCAGGGTGGTATAGGACCGGCGATATAGGTTATCTAAATTCGGAAGGATTTCTGATTATCGTTGATCGAATCAAAGATGTGATCAAGTATAAGGGGTGAGCGATTCGTTCTATCTGACAGTACAAGCTACCCAGACTAACTACTCATTTACTCACAGATTTCAAGTGAGCCCTACCGAGTTAGAAGAGATTATTGGGCAGCATCCAATTGTTGCCGATGCTGCTGTAACATCTGTATGGGATGACACAGAAGCAACGGAGATTCCTCAAGCATTTGTGATTCCAAAGGTAAAAGTCTTTTCCTCGGAGCGTGAAAAGCTATCACAGGAAATTCAGAAAATGGTGGCATCTAAGGTTTCTGGCTACAAAAGGCTGCGCGGCGGTGTTTTATTTGTTGACCAGTTGCCACGAAACCCGACGGGCAAGTTGCTAAGGAGAGAGCTGCGCAGTCTGGCAAGACTGAAGGCGCATATCTAGAGACATTTACTTAGAAGATGCCTCTGTGGAAGTCCCTTTTGAGTTATTTTCTCATTATGAGCCTAGATTTCAATTTGATTCCAGATGATCACATTAAATTAAGCCCCGTTGCCTCCAGCTTCCTAATCTTCTACTTCCGCTTCAAGCTGCATCAAAATCGTACCAGTTTCTACTTCTGCTTCTTTCCGTGGGTCAATTAAAGAAATGCCCTCATTTGTACTTGTAATATGCGAAGGATATGTACTTCAATGTTTGATGATTCGATACTATATTCAAGCTGTTACAAGCACCCCAATCATTGCTTCGGCGAACACCAACACACTCACATGAAGATTGTAAGCAAGGACTCGGAATTTGTTAAGTTACAATGAGTTCCTCATACCGGTCAATTTATCTAGAACACCGGATATAGATATCATCGCGGACAAGTACATCATTGCGGGAATTCAAAAACCCATAGATGTCGAACACTGCCGTGTCATCCCACCTTCCTCTCGCTACCTGCATCAATTAGTTTCTATCTCGCTCCCCAGAATCAAATTCAACTTCCACAACCACAATGCGAGCCCTTGAAAACATCCGCGTGCTTGAGCTAGCTGGACTCGCGCCGGGCCCGTTTACCGGTCTTCTCCTGGCCGACAATGGAGCAGATGTGCTGCGAGTTGACCGCATTCAGCCAGGTCATTCTCCCAGCCCAGATGTATTGATTAGGGGGAAGTCATCTATTTGTGTTGATCTCAAGGGTTCCCCTGGAAGGGATTTCCTCTTCCGCCTCATCCCACACGCCGATGTCTTAATCGATCCCTTTCGCCCTGGTGTTCTAGAACGGCTGGGGCTCGGCCCAGATATCTTGCTGAAAATCAATCCCCGGCTGATTGTCGCAAGATTGACAGGGTTTCGCCGTGATGGAAAGTATGCCACCATGGCGGGCCATGACCTCAACTATCTTGCAGTCTCGGGAGTTTTGTCAATGCTCGGCCCTTCGATTCGAGTTCCACCCTTGGGACACCCGCTTCCACCCAGCCCACCAGGAAATATCTTGGCTGATTTCGCCGGGGGTGGAATGACCTGTTTCATGGGTATTATTCTGGCGTTGTTTGCTAGAGTCAGCACAGGCAAAGGACAGGTTGTGGAAGCCAACATGGTAGATGGTGTTTCTTATCTTGGCACCGCACCACGCATTTCAAGCAAGATTCCAGGACAATGGGACCAGCCTCGAGGACAGAATTTGGTCGATGGCGGCTGTCCTTACTATAGGGTTTATGAATGCAAGGACAGTGGCCGTTACATGGCCGTTGCATCCTTAGAGCCGAAGTTTTTCGACGCACTAAGTCGAGGACTTGGCCTAGAGCAGAAGGATTGGGGAGGAAATCGCGAAGACAGATCCCTGTGGCCTGGAATGCACATCCTCTTCGAAGATACATTTCGCAAAAAGACACGCAAAGAATGGGAGGTCATATTCGATGGAACTGACGCCTGCTGTACGCCAGTTTTGGAACATCATGAAATGGAGGCTAGTCATTATGATCAACGCCCTGCCGTCACACTTAGCGAGACGCCATCGGTGATGCCTGGAACGGATGGCTGGGAAGTGAGAACATTGCCGAACGGGCAAGGAGGCGAGGCTGTCCTGCAGGATTGGGCTGGATGGAAAAAGGGAAGAGACTTTGTCGTTGTTAATGGAGGGATTTGCAGTAAGGAAGCCGCAAAGATGTAGAACTCAGAGTATTGTTTCCATCGTATTATAGTAGGCTCTATTCAAATATAAACTAAGAAACCTTCAATGGCTGCTTCACATACAAATAATTCATTTATAAAACACGACATTAATGGTATGGTAGACGGGGACTATCGATTCTAGTCAACACAATTAATTTCTGTCATATTCGGCAATGATTGAACTATATAATTGTCATTTATCATAGCTTATTTTTGGGCTCATCTGACTGTAGCCGTCGTACCACTTGTGCGATGGCACTCTTACGTTCACCATGACTTTGCCAAAACGCTGGCATCGACTTCGCAGTTTCGGACAAGAGACGAAGACCATTTATTCCTCTGGAAGCATGCTCCGCCGGAACGTTTCGTCCGGGTTGGTTCAGTGATGCATTGAACACCTCAAGCGAGATTGGCCCTCGATATCCGGTGGCAAGCACAGCAGCTGCGACAAGCTCAACCGGCATATAAGCACCCTTAGACTGCTCAAGAGGGTATAGTCGGTGACTTCGCGACCATGGGAGCAGTGCTGGTGTTTCCGGGTCAGTTGGAGGGAGGAACGTCGTCGGGTTCATCAACTCCGCATCGCCACATTGGAAAAAGAATATCCGATCACCCGGTACCGTCAATACCAATGATGCGAGTGATCCAGTAAGGACATCTAGAGATTCCTCTAAGGTTGGGTAGATCCGCCCGTGGCCAGCAACATTATACGGATCAGCGAATTCAACGGCGAGGATATTGAAAGCATCCACAATCAACCCAACGTTAGCGCGGTTGGCAAATCGCACAGCTTCCCATGAAGCTGACCACGTATTTCGAGTTGCCCATGATAACCCCTCGTACCCGATCTTCAACATGCGTCCACCATCGGCCTTTGCATATGCGGCCGCCATGTCGCCCAGTTCTGCGAGGTCTCTCGCGACCATCTTGAGATCGGATGTCACTCCCTCATCCGTGCGGATGTTTGCACACATGAAGACAAGATCGGTGTCAAAGGCGCGCATGAATGGAAATCGTCTATGTTAACAAGTCAGTATGGACTTTACCATTATCTTGTTATCCGGGTAAGGTATATCTCACTTGGCGACTAGATTCAAGGTAGCCTGTCGTTCGGCTGGATCTTTGATTCCCTCGATTTTCCGGAGAGGTTGGGTGCAAGCAATCCTCATTCCCAGTGACTTGACAACACGAGCCAATTTCCGAGCAACCTGCAGATTCTCGGCAGTCGGTTCCCAAAGTTGGTCTCCAGGCAAGCCATGTTCCTCGAGGTAAGCAGCCCAGCACTCATCGAACAAGTCGATCCATTGATATCCTGATTTCGCCGCGGCTTCCAGTCGTGGCTCCAAACCATGTTCTCGCCAGTTGCCGAGTGATAAGGTGGCGATACCCAATGGGTTGGCTGTGGATGGAGGCCATGAGACTGTCATAATTTCAGATATGGTAACTTGCCCAATACGTTTGAATTATGAGTCCCGTCCATTAATAGGACAGAGGGGTGATCGAATACCCGATATGTTGGCGCCACTTGACGCAGTTGACGCCACCCCCACAGACCGGGGTATTCTTTTATACACCGTGTGGGGTAGTGGGTCATCTAATTTAAAGCGTATAGTCCTCCAAATCAGGAAACTAGTCAGAGGATTCAGGTAGGAATTGATTCGTATTCAATAGAGGAAATCCGGTGAGTGCACAGGAATGTGTGTGCGAAACTTTAGGGACTATCACGATAATGTACAGCCAACTTTCTCGCTCGAATCTCCCCAACGACAATAACAGGTTGCATGGATAATATCTTGCTTTAAGAGAAAACTAGTTACGTGAAGCGTGTGAGATTGGAACAGGTAGTCCGTCTTTGGCCTTAAGGGCTGTAGCAATGGCTTCACAGACAGAGACTGCTGCTAGTCCATCCTCGGCCGAGCAAAGAGGATCTTCTAAGTCGCGAACCACTCTAGCCAAATGCTCTGCTTGGTTTTGAAATGGAATCCCCTCAGCGACTGGAAGCTTGATTCGTGAGATTGGACTTTTCCACCCAGTCTCCTGGTTATATTTGTCCGCCGTCTCCGGGTCGTATGTCCAAAGCGTATTTTCTGGCACAACGATAGTCCCTTTTGTGCCCAGAATGCGATAAATATCCACCGGAGGCTCTGCCTTTGGGTATAAAGGATTGTCACCAGTAGCAGCCTCCCAGCCGTAAGGGCTCGCCACGTTGTCACTCACCAAAAAGGTTCCAACAACCCCATTAGAAAACTGCGTCATAATAGCTGCACCTTCTTCAACGATATCATCGGCAGCCACACCTGCGTGTTTCCTCCTGGATGTAGTGCTTATAGCCCAGACACATGTTACTTTGGCACCAGTGAGGAAATGAAGGGCGTCGATATCATGCACGAAATTCGTCCAAATCGGACCTCCTCCCGCGGAACGTGTTGCTCGCCAGCTGGCAGAAGCAAAATAGATCTCATCTTTCTTCGCAGTCCACATTCCTGAGATGGCTGTAATATTTCCGATTTTTCCATCTTGGATCGCCGACCGCGTAGTTGACAGCGAGGGGTGGAATCGGCGGTGATGTCCGACGAGGATCTTGCAACCTTTCTCGCTTGCAAGGGCGAGTAACTCTGCTCCAGACTTTGAATCTGTACAGAAAGGCTTTTCGATGAGTAAGGCCATAGGCTGTGTTTGATGAATGACGTTCGTCGCTATGGAAACATGGAGGCTCGAGGGGACGCATATTACGTAGGCCTCCGGTGGCTTTTGTAGTGAGTTCAAAAGTGATGCGACAGACTCGAAGTGCGGAAGAGACAAGGTCGCTGCCAATGCACACCCCGGAGGGTACGGATCGACAATTGCCACCAGCTCACATGTTGGCGAGGACATGAGATATTCGGCGTGCAAAGGAGCTATGGTGCCTCCGCCGATGAGAGCGACCCGGACCTTTGGATTTTCTGCCATACTGGAGACACAAGACGAGGTTTGTGGATTCGTAGAATGCATCTAGACCTAAGCAAAACTGGAGATCAAATAGTTGAGCCATTAGGCAGTAAATATTATTCACCGTTTGGTACCGGTCAATATATAAAAATGCCGTGGATGCGGGGCGGTTGATTGGCCTTGACCTTCACTTAGAGGATGTCTCCCTGGAATTGTTTGCCTTCTCTTTATCTATTTCTTTTTTTTTTTCAATCCCATTCTGCTACACACAAACGCCAAAACATGGATCTCCTCAAGCAATCTTACGCCCACGGCAGCTCTCCGTTACCACCAAACGCAGCTGCAAGTCAATACCATGTCTATCTTTTTGGCGGTAATATCTCAAAATCACTGTCGCCCTTGCTACACTCAATTCTATTTCGCGCCAATTCAGCCTCATGGGCATTTCACCTCACGGAGACCACCGACGGCAACATATTCCGGAAACAATTAGATGACAACACATGCATTGGGACCACAATCACGATGCCAAACAAGGTGTCCTTTGGCCTTCTACTCGATGACTTGACCGAGGAGGCGCGCATGATTGGGGCCGTCAATACATCGTTTATTCGACTTGACAAAAGTGGGCAGAGAAGACATATCGGTACAAACACAGACTGCATCGGTATTCGGGATTCCATTCTCTACCGAATGCCGGACGCGGGTACCACGGCCAAAGGTCGCCCATCTATGGTGATTGGGGGTGGAGGTGCGGCCAGAAGTGCGATCTTTGCCTTATGGAGATGGTTTGGCTCTACAGAAATCTACATCGCCAACCGTCTGAAAGCAGAAGTAGATGCATTAATTGCCTTCTTCCAATCAACGGCACCAGATATCACACTCAAATATCTTGCTACTGCCAAGGAAGCTGCAACCTGCGAGACACCTTATATCGTCATTGGGACGATTCCAAACGATATACCCCGTGAAGCAGGTGAAATTACTTGCCGTCAGATCTGCGATACCATTTTGTGCAGGAAAAACAAAGGCGTTGTGTTGGATATGTGCTATCTCCCATCCCCGGTGACATATCTATATACAAACGGGAAGGGCAACGGCTGGGCAGTTATTCCAGGGACTGAGGTTCTAGTGCGTGTTTGTATCGCACAACAGATTCTCTGGTTGGAGAAGGATGTCAATAAACAGGGGGTGGATGATGCAATGTCGGCTATTTGGAAAGCTGTAAACCAGGGAGAGAGCGGTCCAAAAGCTTCGAAGATTTGAATTAGAGACTCCCTTGGTATACTACTATTCCATGTTCCTGTGACATGAAATTTCACCAGAAATATGGGCACCTGCAATTGAGGCATAAAATGACCACTTTCCAGGCCAGAAACTGCCGCCTTCCACCCGTAACCTTGAATGGGCAGCCGCCCATACCACATGTGATGGCCTTCATAACGCCAATTCAGCAGGCGGGAGCTTCTTCTCCGATGATTCCGGTAGCTCTCAAATCAGTTGATGGTTCAATTCCAGATGTCCGATTTATGGGGACTTCCGACCACCCTAATTATAATATTCTCATTATATTTTTGAACTCACCATTGTCAAACCTCCACACCAAATATGTCTCAATTACCCCAAGAATTGGAAGCTCGCATTGAAATTGCATTGAAATTATATTCTGAACAAAAGAAACCCAAAATCGCTAAACTAGCGCGGGACCTTGATATTTCCTATCAATTGCTGCGTGGTCGAGTCCACGGTCGCAAATCTGCAAGGTGTCGCATAGGCCCTGGAAAAGCATTGCAACCAGAAGAAGAGGAAGCATTGATCCGTTGGGTACATACCCTAACTGCCGCTAATACCCCACCAACCGCCGAGATGATCCGCGACTGTGCCACTCAAATGCTTCGTCGCTATAATACAGAGCGGTGCCTTGGTATGAACTGGGCGTACAGATTCATCCATCGTCTCCCCGACGACTGCCCTTATATAAAACAAAAATTCTCGAAACAAGATCGGGTGGAAGCAGCTACGCCTGGTCACGCCCCTAAAGGGGTTAGAGGGGAAAGTGAACACCCTGACCAGGCATCACCTGGTAGAATTGCCATAGCTTAAAATATTGCCACTTTCAATGCAACGCTCTTTGTTAGTGGGTCTTCGGCTTTTAATGGTGCGATATGCGATGCTAAACTTGCTAGTACAATCGATCTCATGAAGCATCAAGATATAAGCGGGGATTTCCTGCACATCGATCCCCCGCGAAGTGTCAATGGAACGCACGATTAATTGAACATCAAAAGTGGTCCTGGTAGCAATATCTGCCTCTAATTTCGGCGTTAGTTCCGATCATTAGTTCGATTTTCCCCCGCAGTTCAGATTGACCGGATGCCAGATAAATAGCCCGGTTGAATCAAGATGCGATTAGAAGCTATAAGACATAGAACGGAATGAACGCGCAAAATAAAGGCGCACTACATCCCCGCAAAATACAGACATTCCTCCCCAGTATTTCAAATTTCTTACTTGCCGTTGGGTCTATATCACCATGTCTGCATCGCATATCTCCCCTCTCGCTCAGGTATACATCCTCGCTCGAACCAACCCCTGACAAGACTTTCTAACAGCAAATGAGCAGCCCATTAACCTAAAGCTCTCCGGAAAAGTGATTCGCAATCGCCTATATCGCACACCTCTCAGCGAGTATGCCTCAACATACGACGAGAACAATGTAGAGAACTCCGGCAAACCCATGGATCGATATGCAGAGCTATATCAAGGTATTATCCCAAGCACCCTATCATACACGAGTGGTGCTAACCAGTACACAGAGCTAGCAGAAGGAGGTGCCGGTCTCATTTGCACAGGAAATATCCCCATCCATCGCGACAATCTCGAAAATTACAACAACGCAGTGTTGGACCCCAACAATCCTTGGGATCCAGTCGCAGCTTTTGCCCCAGCTGCCAAAGCAGCCAAGTCGCGAGGCGCGATCTTTCTCCCCCAGCTGCAATTCCCAGGACGTCAGGTTCCGGAATTCCTCAACAAGAATCCCAAGTCATCTTCTGCTGAGCACCTCGAACCTTGTCTCAACAAAACGTATGGCAAGCCGTCGCCGTTGACAAAGGCTGAAATCAAGGATCTTGTCTCCCGATATGTGTGGGCTTCTGAGGTTCTTGCAAAGGCTGGTGCCGATGGTATTATTGTGAGTGTTTGAACATTCTTCACTTGTTGGGAAAGAGGCTAAGTGGCCGGCATTTGTAGCTGCATGCCAGCCACGGGTACATCATGAATCAATTCCTGTCGCCCAAAATCAATAAGCGAACAGACGAGGTATGGATATTAGATTTGTTCTTTTCCCTTGCAATTAGCGCTGATATTTACTGCGTTTATAGTATGGCGGAAGCCTAGAAAACCGGGCGCGGTTCATTTTGGAGATCGTCAATGCGATCAAGGCTAAACTTCCTTCGGACAAGTTCGTGATTGCAGCGAAACTAAACTGCCAAGATTGTCAGTCTACTCTACTTCACAACTCAAGAAGAGATTCTAACTGACAGATACATATAGTCATTGAGGGAGGCCAAAGCTTTGCCGAACAGTGTGTTGTGATAAAATGGCTAGAAGATGCTGGCGTGGACTTCTTCGACATCTCGGGTGGAACCTATGCCTCTCCTGCATGGCGTGGCAACATCATGACTGAGCTGGCTGAACGACCGTCCCAGAAAGAGCGTGGAAGGTAAGTTTGGTTCGATTGGTTCCCTGTGTGCATATGCTGACTAGGCGAAGCTACTTCATTGAATGGGCGCAAGAGCTGAAAAAGGTCCTGGTAAGTACATTTCCCGTTTGCTGTCACTAATGATCTATCGAGCTGATCGAGAAACTCCTAGTCACGAGCTGTTATTGGAACTACGGGTGGTTGGCGGGATAGCCATCGTATGGCGGAGGCTGTGGAACGCGGAGACATCGATATGTGTGGCTTGGGTCGACCTCTTCGAGAGGATCCCGACTTTGTCAATAAGGTGCTTCGCGGTGAGGTTCGCAGAAGTAACTTGTAGGTTGATACTTGGTGGTCCGAGATAGCGACTGTAACCAACATAGTATTCACTGTGATGGTAGAAATTTTGCGAATAATTAAATATTTTTCTCTTTTTTTTACAAAATCACTAATGTGTCTGTTACGTAGTCAAATACTGGAATATTGACCCTAGCCACTGTTCATGCGGAGCTTATATGTGTTCCAAAGGCTGTTAATGCTAATAGGACTTGGCAAGAAATGGCGTAAGGAAACAATAGATTTGTTATCATTAGACACTAAAGTTGCTCGAACAATAGCTGTGCTTTGCGACGTATATCAAAAGACACCCCCGAATCCAGGCCCGAACATTTCCCGGAAGAAGTCAGCGAATCCCTCCCCAGTTAAATCCCCCTGAGTAGACATTGAAGCTGTAGTTAAGAACGGATCATAATCCGAGATCAGAGCCTCGTACGGCTTCGAGTTAGGGGACTGTTGTGGCATAAACTGTCTCGTTCCGTCATCAAAGCCTGAGTTGGTGTACGATGCATCTATCCTGGTCTGGCCAAACTGATTCGAGTCTTTCAGTCTCGCTGCTCTAGCTCTTAGGATCATCATAAGGTGTTGTCCAAGCAACGCAGCAATTCCAAATCGATGCGGCGGTGTTGTTCCTGCACGCTCTAGTTGAATTGCAACTTGGCTGAGTAGAGCAAGAAGTTCCACATCGTTTCCAACGCGGGATCCATACAAGGCGGGGAATAGCTTCAAAGCCAACACCCCAGCGTAGGATATCATAGCCCAAGTCGGAGCTAACATGCAATATAATGGTTCACCGATATTATGCAAATCACGCACGGCGAGCTCACAAGAATTAACTGCAGCCTCGAAGCAATCTGCCCGGATTGCGTCCATATTTTGGTCCCCGTTTATTGAACCGTGAAGGGCGAATGACAAGGTCCAAAGCCTTCCGTGGAGATAAACATAATGGAGAAAGATATTGGACAGCTTTTCAGACGGCGATGTGATTAAATTGGGCATTGGATGTGATAGCCAGAGATCACACCAGGGTCCCAGAGTTGTGTCAACCATTTCCCGTACCCAGTGGGGATCATCATGTGTCAAATGAGCTTGATGTCTTAGTTCATTTTGTAATGATGCTAAAATGCGTCGCAGGGTAATAAATGCACATGTGTGCTTGTCTGTGGGGTCTGCCAGGTGGTGGAGCCACCAGCTGTCGACACTTTGTGTCAGGTCTGTTTCCGGGAAGGTGTGTATTCTACCACAGGCCGCACTGTTCGCCCGTTCCCATAGTAGAATCCTTAGCCACGTTCTCTCGCGATTTCGCGCCAAACGTTGGTTGTCGATGGGGTCTTTTGAAGGATACTCCAGTAAGGAATGTGACGAGTCATTTTCTGGGAATGGTGTTGGACCTGCATCCTGAGTTCGGAAATAGGAAGCATTGATCGAGTTGGGAGGAGTCGCATCTTTGGCACGGGAATCTTGGTCTAGACCTAGCTCGGCCGCTACACCGAAAGCATACATTGTGTAGAGCCACGAGCGCTCCTGTGCCAATGTCTCTGCGGGAGTGGCTGATAGTAGTGAGATATAGTAGCCTTGAACGATCTCCACCGACTTATATCCACAGGTATGGACGTGCTTCGAGAGTTTTTCACCATGAAGCCGTAACCGTTTGGCAACTGAGGCTGATCCATGGTCGAATTGGGCAGTTAAAGCCAGTATCCAGGTGAACAAAAGGGCCGATCGCGAACGCACGAAATCTGGAGTGTGAAGCATCGGGTCTAGGATACCGTTCACCGGATGCAAGCGAATAAAATATCTTCAATTGATTAGCGCATGTAAATCGAGACCAAATGGATTTCTTTTGGCTCACATTGGAAACAAATAACAGGCCTCATCCATGGTCACCAGACCGAGGTCTACTGGGTCAACATCGGGACCAACATCTCGCAGAGGCACCTGTGGAGACGATTTGAAATAGTTCAAGTAACGGTATGGGTGCTCAGAAGCGACAACCAGGGAATCAATTCCTGCTTCAAGAGTATCTCTGCCCAGCTGTAGGCCAAGTGACACGTACCCTGGCCGATGAAGCAGTTGACGACCAAGGCTTGCTCCAGCTGGCAGGTTGGCTGACGACGGCCTCGCAGAAGATGAGCCATTCGTTTCTGGAGAAGAATTGGTGGATATTGAGTGTAGCTCCAAAGCCTGGGCAGCATCAGAGGCGTCTGCGAGCAAAGCCAGAGGATTACTGATTGGTTCACGGTTGGACTGAGAGGGTTCGCCACTGCGGAATATAGGAGAGACAAGGTTTGCTGATGGTTCACTATCTTGTACAGTTGGCATAATCGAATCGAAATGGGGCGCGCAAGAGCCTTCAGTTCCTAACTCTGAGGACGTTTGGGTATGATCGTTCGTCTCAGCTGGGTTGGAAAATAAGAGTTCTAGCATCGGCTCTTCGCTGACGAAATTATGTATTTCATTATCGCCCGCATGAGAACTTTTCGCCTTCTTTAATTCCAACTGCATTTTTCGATAGGCTTTTTCAATTCCTTGATAGCGACCTGTGGCACCGCGCTTTCTCCCAAGTTTCCTCGGCTCTGGGATATTGCAGTCGCGGTTGGTACGCTTACATCGCTGGCATGGTTCTGTCAATCCCCCATTCTGTTCCTTTTGTGGCCGAATGCATCTCATCTACCAGTTTTCGTCAGCAAGTATGTATCTCTTGTCAAAACTTGAAGCCTATACCTTCAGTTTCCGACACGCCTCACACGCTGCCGCGTTAGCGGGGCGAGTTTGGCCAGATGTATTATCATCCCCAGAATTTGAGGACATGAGGACTATGAGAATCAGATAAATAAATATTAACAAGGTGGAAATATAAATTGATTTAAGGAGAGAGGGAAGTGGAGAAATATCAACCCCCGGAATTTCCAAAATTGCGGGGGAATTTTCGGCTATGAAATTTATATTTACACCCCTCGACCACCATCCACTTCCAATGTCGTTCCTGTTACAAAGCTACTCTGCTCCGATCCCAAATACCATGCTGCATTGGCTATATCTACTGGCTGACACAATCTTTTCATTGGTAACGAGTCTTCCACTTGGCGTAGTCGCTGACGGGAATCTTCGCCATTTCCAATGCTAGCTTGAAGCCTGGTTCATTGTTAACAATTGCACTAAGTTAAATTTTGGATCAACATACATAGTAGTATTTCCCACAGCGGGGGAAATGCAGTTGAATCGAACAGCTGGGGCATACTCCAGAGCCATTGTCTTGGTTGCCACCTAGAAATTCGTTACTATTTAGCGCAAGAGCTTCAAATCTTATACTTACTTCTACAGCCGCCTTGGAAGCGTTGTAAATGGCGAATCCCGGTCGAGGACGTGTACATCCAGTACTACACTGGTCAATAACCTCATACTAGAGCCTAATTATGTGACTTACCTCGTTATGTTGATAAAGATTCCATGTCCTTGTTCCATCATAACAGGCGCAAAGACCTGAGCACTAATGAAAACCGGCTGTATAAATATTGTTTAGTGAATGGCCACGCACGGCAGCTAGATCGTCTTACTTTAACGTTGACGTTGAATGTCTTCTCATATTCAAGAAGACTCTTCGTGTGGATGGGCTAAATCACTGTGTTAGGAGGGCCATCGCATTCGTGCAGGGAGTCATACAGATTGATCGTGGGTAATTCCTAGTTAGACCGAGTCAACACATCAGAACATAACCTTAGCACGTGAAATACTTCGAATGTTCTCACCAGCATTATTGACCACCACATCCACCCTACCGTAGTTTGTCTGGGCCAAAGCCAGGGCCTTTTGCCATGTTTCAGGGCGAGTCACATCACCAGGGAGGAAAGTTATATTTGAGTCAGCTCGTTGCTTGCTTTCACCTTTCGCTTGATTCAAGTCCAAAATCATGACCTTGCATCCCTCGCGGCTGAAGCGATCTGCGATAGCAGCCCCAAACCCATCGGCACCACCTATAAGTCCAAGTCAGCTCATAGTTGATAGGACGAGTCAACTGGTGTATTGACCTGTAACAATCACCACACGTGGAGTGTTCATTTTCGCACGAAGAGGCATAATTCAAGTCAAGTATATCCTTGGCATAGGTTTCCTTTTCCACGAAATCTGCTGTATTCCATGTTTTTAACTACTTTAAATCGGAATTTCATCTCATTCTCCCCGCATTTGTCTCCATCCACCGGCCTCAAATTTGGTCCCCGGAATTCCTTCCATACCTTTGGCCCTCTCGCAGTACTCAAATTTTTTTACCATTGCTCGATCCCTTTCGCAGATAATTTCCAATTTGCCAGACAACATGACATCCATCAAAGTTGCGATCGCTAGTAATTCACTAGGCAAGTCAGCTTCGGGGCATACACTTCTTCATAAACTTGAAGCAGCCAAATTACACGGATTCGATGGAGTGGAAGTTGCCATAGAGTGTCTTGAAGCACATGCTTCCTCCTTCTCGCAACCATCTCGAGCTTCCCGCCTGCGCGCAGCCGCCGCCGATGTCAACCGAAAGGCGCAAGAATTATCTCTATCTTTGATAGCGCTCAATCCATTTGGCGCATACGATGGGCTTATAGACCCAGCCGAAGTTGAGTCTCGTCTAGAAGAGGCAGAGCTTTGGTTCGACCTTTGTCGATTGATGCGAATTCCAATCTTCCAGGTGCGCACGACTAATATTTTGATTGCGAATTTTTGTCACACTAACCTCGCATCCTTACTATAGATCACGTCGTGTCTCTATCCTATTGATCCTGTCAGGATTACGCCGGATGTAACCAAAATCGCCGCGAATATGAAACTATTAGGTCTGCTTGCACAGAAATACGATTTGCAAATTGGATATGAAGCTCCCGCCTGGGGGACTCACCTGGATACTTGGCAGCAGATCCATGAGATTATCATGCTAGTCAACCTTCCCAATGTTCGTCATTGTCTTGATACCTTTCATATTTCCGTCAAAGAGGCAGGCGATCCGTTCAATGCTGTGGCTCCTATTCGGCCAGGCGGCCTCACAAATCTGCGCCAATCGTTGGACGAACTGAAGCAGACTGTGACGCCAAACCAGATCGCCTATTTTCAGTTAAGTGATGCAATGGTTGCTGACCAAAGCCAAGTGGGATACCCACGGCGTGACCTTAATCAGCCCCCATACATGACTCAATCGCGAAACTGCCGGATCTTCCCCTGTGAAGCGAATCGTGGAGGTGTTCTTCCTGCACTCGAGGTTGCAAAGGCCGTATTTGATCTCGGGTACACTGGGTGGGTGTCGATGGAAGTATTTCATACTGATATGTGGAATCCACGCTCTTCGTAAGTGTGACCTTCCATGATCACTTCTCGTACTAAGTTTAACATGTTTATAGAGTACCCGATGACTGGGCTAGAAGAGGGATGGCTTCGTGGCGAGAAATATCCTTTCACTGCGGGCTTGGTCGACATACCCATGGGAAGCTGTGAGAGTATTGAATGCTATGTAAAAATGATACAGGATACTTCCATACCGCAAAGACCATACTCAACCATCTACATTTTTCAAATGATAAGAGAACGAATTCTCTCCAGTATAAAATGAATAGATTCTACGTTCCTACCTTCTGTTCCCTCCTATTTTAATTTTATTTAACCAGAAAAGCTAGCGTTGGCCTCGAAGCATCCTAATAGAATAAATAAATTCCCTATAACTTCCTCTCACGATCATACAGGCCATGGGATTACATTCTGCCGTCGCCTGTTGAGATAATTGTATAGCCCCACATCCCTGCAATGGGTCCACACCGGTCATTTGATTTATTCGCCGGCGCCGAGGCATCTATAGCTTCCGGAATATCAACATTTGAATATAGTAATTATGTTAAATATTAATCGCTTGCTGTGATGCGTTTTGAAGATATTATTCATTGATCTCTTCTGGCCTGAGATAAACCATACCCACAATGGAGACCATTCTAGTCGATGTTCTCGTTTGCGGAGGAGGCATGTCCGGAATGGCATGCGCTGCTTTTGCGGCGGATGCAGGAGCTAAAGTGCTGGTCGTCGAGAAGCAAGCGGATATCGGTGGCTCGTCGAATTACTCTGCCGGAATGTTGTAAGTGATTGACTTAATCTTGAGGGCAAACGAGATTGTTAATGCTTCAACAGCTGGGCCCCGCAAACATATAACAAGCTGAGGAATTGGGTTCCAGAAGGAGATCCAGCATTGCAAGAGGCCTGGCTGCGCGATTATCTGCCCGCTGTGCAGTGGATGCGTCAAAATGGGGTGCCAACGGCAGACCGGTTTGACGGTATCATGACAATTGGTAGGACTAAAAAGGGAATTTGGCGAATAGTTACCCTGACAAATTATAGGTATCGGATTCCCGATTAAGATTCCACATCTCCATAACCTTCATCGAAAGCGTATTCAGTCTAGCAAGACACGTTCCGAGGTTTTCACCAATACATCGGTAGTCAAGTTGATTCAGAAAGAGCCCGGTGTTTCAGGATCGACCATAATTGGCGCTGTCATCTGCAGAAATTCTCCCAGCTCACCAGCTACATATTATGAAGTCAGAGCCAAAATGGTGGTTTTGGCTACTGGTGGCTTCCAAGGTTCTCCGGGGATGACATCGAAATACTTGGGACAAGGCGGAGACAATATCTTTGTGCGCTCCAATCGTGGTTCAGTAGGAGATGGCCTCAAGCTGGCCATTGAAGCTGGTGCAGGAACCAGTAGAGGAATGAATACCTACTATGGTCATCTTCTGGCAGCTCCACTTCGAGCTGAAGACGTCGATCCAAAGGACTATCTTCCACTCGCGCAATACCGTAAGAGCAAGTCCTCGCCAACTCGGTATTTCCCTCTAATCAAGCTATAGAAAGCAAATACTGCCTATTGCTGAACGAAGGGGGTCAGCGGTTTGCCGACGAAACCACAGGTGACGAGATCATCAATCAGTATCTCGCCAAGCAGCAAAAGCGCCGCGGGTTTATATTGTTCAAGTATGTTAGTTCCCAGAAAGGAGGGGTTGTGCAGTAATCTGATCAGTGACTTATTATTATAGCGAGAAAACCCGGCTCCAACATTGTGTCACTGCGTTGTTCCCTAATGCAGGGGACGTCGATCGTCTGCAGAAAGCTCGCGACCATGGCTGTAATGTCGGAAGTGCATCAACATTGAGTGGTCTGGTGGATGTTCTTCACGGGTGGGGTGTAAACGATGTGCAGGCAAGACGGACTATCGAGGAGTATGATCGAGTGGTGCGTTTAGGGGATAAGAGCATTTCCCTTCATGCCCCTATCGGCCGTGCTGGTTCACCCCCGACACCCTTGGTGGATGGGGAAGGACCCTTCTATGCCATGGAGGTCCAGCCGTCGTAAGTTGTCTCTGTTGTCTCTGGCTCACTCCAGCCTCTCTTTTTCTAACGTTTAATAGGATCACATTCACCTATGGCGGTATCGCGATCGATTCGAAGGGCCACGCTTTGACCCCTGATAAGTCTAAAATCCCAGGCTTGCTGGTTGCGGGTGTTGATGCTGGTGGCTTCAGTAATCTCGGATACGCTGGTGGTCTTGCTCTCGCGTTTGTGACAGGTCTCTGGGCGGCCCGGGAAGTTGCACGCGATTTGGGGTTGCCTGAGCCTCGTTTACCACCTGCCGATATCCGGGATGGAGAGGATAAACCAATTCAAGGGCGTCTTTAATTTATTTTGCAAGTCGCGTGCAGAACGTGTTATCGACGAGATGGCGTTTGATCAAATAGCATCTTGTGGAGATTCACAATAAAATTGGGAGGTCGCATTGTCAAGTGACATGGCTCATTCCAGTCTCTCTATCAAGATCCTCACCTTTTGGGGTATAAAGCTTCACATTCGCAGTTAAATAAAGCACATTGTTATTTTACATATGCTGGGTTATAATAATAAGTTTGTAGAGAATTTTGTAGTACTAAAAATCAGCATTCATATGTACCTTTTGTATGGTCCGCTTGATAAAAGGTACAATTGCATATGGGTGGTAAACGTTCCGTTAAGAGGGTCTGTGATTTTTGTAAAAGAATACCAGAGCAGGTTACATCAATGATATATATAGAGTTATTCTTTTACGAATAACGAGTAATAAACATTGAAGTCATATATAATTCGGAATTCCAGACCTTCCAAAGGGTTGGAGCCAAACACTGATTATATAAGCTGATAGTAACCCCGGGGCCTCCCGGGGGCCTCCCGGGGCCGGGTCTTCCAAGGAACTGCCCCTACCTATGTTGTAACCCGTGGACTGATTCCTTATATACTCCATACTGCCTCCCGTCCTCTACTTACTCCTTCCTACTTTCCTGGATTCTTGTCTCTTCCAACAATCCTTGCTCGCTGGCTGAAAACACATTGAAAAAGAAACACGGGTACATCTTCGAACGGCCCTAAGCTATTGCCAACATCCACTCTGTTGATGAATTACCCTCCACGCTCAACATCCATTAGAAAATTCTTCCAAATTTTTGGCATTAGCCTCATCGTTTCCGTTCCAACGATGTCCTGGTTGCCGAGCATATCTACTTCAATGTAGGTCTCTGAGTGCTTCCGCAGCCTATCTTATTATATATCACTGACAAATTATCCCCTGGCTGAAGCCACAAGTTTCTCCCCCAATATTACCACAATGGAGAAGGCTGGGATGAAAGGACGCCTGAAACTGGAACGACCCAACAGCTTTCACCTACCCCTTCTACTCCCGGTGAGTGCCCATTTAACACAACTAGTTGAGATTGATTCTTATAATCATCTCTTTCGTTCCAAAGCAGCCACCCCGGATGAAATACGAGAATGCAGTCGAATTCTAACTGCGGCCCCGATTTCGCTTCTGCATCCCCCCATCCAGTCAACAGTCAAATTGCAGTCATACTCCGAGAATCAGGACTATCTCGTACAAGGAACGCCTGAAACTAGCAGTCGTTCGCAAACTCTAGTCTACCGTTCAGGTGACTGTGAATGGTGGATTAAAGTGACATTCGTTGGGTTGTTTTCACGCGCCCTCCACGCTTCTGAAAAACGGAGTATATCAAAACGCGAATTACGAGAGAAATACCAAGCCTTTGTTAAGCTAATACAATATAACTCGCTTCCGCTGCTTGACGACACTGTCACTGAAGTGATTCTGGAGATAGCACCAGAAACTGTCGGTACGATTCAACTGAAGCATGAAGCGACAAATAACGTCAACAGTTATGCGATGCTCGCAAGGCGGTTAACCTATCAAATTCGGGAAGACCCATCACGAGTCCTCTATCCGTTATGTGACGAGTTTCCGTCATTTCGAAATATCCATCTGGCAGATTTGATAGACGGTGAGGAAATCACTGATGGAGTCTTCCGAGTGTCCCACAAACATGACAGTATGCACTACATACACAAGGTCGTCAACCGTCCTCTCTACTTCCCTCACGATACGGATGTTATCCGAAGCGAGCTGGAAAATCTCAAATGCTTTCATGGAGTCCCTAATATCGTTCAACAAGCTGGTATTGTGGTGTCACCCAACCCATACATGACCTTAAGAGGATTTGACCAGCCATTAGTCGTCAACGGTATCTTGCTAAAGTATTACACCGGTGGCTCTTTGCGGGATGTTCTTTCAAAAGGCCAGGTGGCAATGTATCCTTGGAAGCGCTGGGGCATCCAAATTGCGACGGCTCTGAGCTGCTTGCATACGGCAAGAAAATCCCACATGGATATCAAGACTTCGAATGTTGTTCTTGATGCAGAGGGCAATGCGATAGTCATTGATATTAGTGGTATTGGAGGAATGACGTACGAATGGCGTGCACCGGAAGTTCGAGATATACTATCACCTATTGGGCTCCCGTTCGAAAGACGGCGATTGAATGATATTTGGGCTTATGGGAAGCTCTTGTCAGAGATTGCTGCACATGCAGAAGACTGTCCTTACTTGGAGACATTAAGGTCAGTCGCTGCTAAACTAATGGAAGAAGATACACAGATTCGCATGACTTTGTCAGAAGCAATTTCGCAATTAGAAGCAGGGGCATGCAATTAATTATGGTGGTCACCGAGCCACGCGTGCAACCGGAAAAGGTCAGGAATATAGAATGGTAAGTCACCAGGTTAAAACGGGCTTGTTTATTGGTCGCCAAGCCGCCCAAGTCACTACCAGATCCAGCCAACATGAGACTGCTCTTGGGCGACACATTCGCAGCCGCCGAGCTGGTATACTGCAGTTTTGCCGATGTTCTCTGCTTGGTGTCCTTCATGAGATCTTAACTAACCTGTCTGCGAAACCATCCTCAATCTACGTTATGTCACGCACCGTGGAGCGTGCTCCTCTCAATATTCTAGGACGTGCCTAGTGTGTCTTGTCGAAAAAGCTCCAGCGCAGGGTGCTAATAAATACGACCATTGAGCGCCCACTTCAATCCTTTATCTTATTTTCTGCATATATTCTTGCTTTCTGCTCCTAAATACATCAGTTTACTTGAATGCCCACAGATAATGTTTAGAAGGGAGTAGATAATCTCTTGGCTTGAAGTTCCTGTGTAGACCATGAACAACGTCAGCCCTGTGTTCATCTACACCTAGGGAAAAGAAATCAAGTGAGTTGAAGAAACGAGGTTTAGATTCAGATCCGCGAGCATCTATACATATGCTGGAGACTTATGGTTGGCTATTGAATGGTTTTACTAATTACTGTGCGGAATGAAATTATTTCAACCGCCCTATTTGCTGTTTCTAATATTCTGGGATTTAAAGCCCTTAGGTTACGAATAACGTTCAATAAGAGATTATTACTTCATAAGATAAACCGAATCGACTTTAGTATAGATAGTTTTACTACTATATATTAGGACGATTACCCCGCAAAGATCTACTACTATCTTGTTGAAGAGATAATCTAGACTCCTAAGGGAAACATCTAGGTTTACCTCTTAGTTAGGAAAATACGAAATAAAAACTTTTGTAAGCATATCTATAAGTTAGGTAAGTATGTATACAAAAATTACAGACCCTCCTAACCTTCTTTCACTCCCCTTTTCATCCTCCCATTTGAAACCTATACCCTGGACTTATGACGTCGGAACAACAGCCCAAGGACTTTTTGTCCCACACACTGACATTCTAGGGTGCCACCAAGACGCCACGATAACGCATTTTCCCTTCATCCAGTGTCTTGAAGGCTTGTTTAACACCATCCAACGTCATAGGGAAGGTCATCTTCACAGGCTTGATCTTATGGAATGCAGCAAATTCAAGCATATCCTTGTGGACCTGTCTCGAACCCACGATACCTCCTTGAATCCGAAGGCCGTTCGCGAGCAGTGGCATATATGGGATTTTGAGATCGTTGGAATCGACAGAAAGAGGCGAAATGACACCACCAGGCGACATGATATTCAAGTACATCGGCCAATCTGGCTGACTGCTGGTCGTCACAATGAGATTATCGATCGGAGCTTTGATCTTCAACTCCTTCACACCCTTGGTCGCATAGAACTCGCCAGCTCCCAGTTTCATCGCCTCATCCTTCTTGCTGTCTGTGCCGGAGAAGACCACGACTTGACAACCCATCTTTGCAGCGAACTGGATAGCCAAATGTCCCAGGCCGCCTATTCCGACGATACCAACGCGCGCGGTCGGACGAACCTGTGCGACATGGAGAGCGTTGAAAACTGTCGAACCACCACACATCAGGGGTCCAGCGTCCTCGTTACTCATGTCGTCGGGAATCTTGAACAAAAAGGCTTCGCGCCATACGGCGTGGGTACCAAAAGATCCCTGATCGAGATCGGCCTGGCCGTACATTTTTCGCTCACTGCACAATGTCTCCCATCCGGTGAGGCACTGTTTACAAAAGCCACAGCAGTCGTGCTCATATCCCCAGCCCACGCGATCACCTTTCTTCAAAATCTTCGCATCTGGTCCGGTTGCTTCTACCACACCCGTTCCCTCATGGCCAAGGGCCATATCGACTGACTGGTAGTGAGCGTCCGTGCCGCACACTCCCGAATGCGTGGTTCGTACTAGGACATCGTCGTGTTTGAGATCCTGTCGCTCGCTCTCCGCTTGGGTGATTCCATCTTTGGAGCCCTTGAATACAGTGAATTTGATCGTCATTGTGGGGAATATTGCAAAATACTTCGGGTTTGAGACAGAATATATTCAAGAATTCAGATATTAACATTACTCTTTATAGGCCGGTCATGTCTAGTACGTCACTGACCCCGAAAAATGTTTAATCACAAAGTTTTGAGATCGACAGGAAATCTCTGTGATGCAATTGAGTGGGCCTGTTGAATGAGCAAGTTTGTTCATACCTCGGTCTTTTCCCTCCAAATTGAGCTAAAGGTCCGCGAAGAGCTAGAGCAAAGATTCATAATCTTTCCGGAAGTTCTTTGGCCTTCTCAAGGGCTTAATCAAGCTTGACCTCGAAGAGCTGAAACCCAATGACATCATCTATTCGGGTTCGCCGTGTTCAGCAACAAAAGAACAGTCACCAACTTCTTTTGATACTTTAAGTATTGGATAGTTACACACGGGGCGTGGCTATTTCCATGATGCTATAACCATTTTAGCGAATCTAGGCATTTATCTCACATTCTGAGCTCCGATCTGCTATTAGGGACAATGTACTCTGGATGCCAAACATATTTCCCAGTCTTTCTACTCCGTATCTCGCCCTTGGACAAAGACTGACTCGATTGTACGCTGTACAACATATATCAATATTGTCCTGCCTCGACAGCCCGGCCGAGAAGGGATGCTAATGCATGCACCCCACCGATATTAAATACGGTATCCTTTCAAATGAATACAGTAAAATAAATACAGAATTAGGTGAGAGCTCTATACTGGTAACTGAATATCACTAATAAATGGTACTGGTGTTACTACCCAGAAAGGGTTTGTTGGTGCATTTATTAGCGCCCTCTCGGCCGAGCTATCACTCGTTGAGAACTATGTTGTATATTGCCGGATTGAAGGCATAATTCTTCGAGTAAAGCTGTTAGAAACCCATAGATTTGAACAATGAGATCAGTGTTGTTTTCTTCCCTTTGAGAACATACATACTAAGACGTCAGCTCAATAATAATAACAATAAAATATTACCATCTGGATCGATTCTCGCGGTCGCTAACTCTTGCCATTCAAAGGCGGTATGGCACGCGATATCGGATAACCCGATGTGGAAAGTACGAAGTTTAAGCAAATTTTCTCTCTCACTTATTAATTATTAGATACAGTCGTATCTCGAAGATATCTCTTTTTTTTCCTGGCCTCATTGACATTCAGGGGAGCCATCTTGGTGTGGGAACATGATTCAGATCCATGGCATAACTAGTGCGGGTGAATCGCCAAATGTCTCATCCGAGAAAGATGCAGCATTGGCGGTAGTGAGCGAGTTCGCCCAAGAAATTGACCCGGTGGTGGAAAAAAGGGTTCTACGCAAGATCGATTTGTATTTCATGCCTGCTATGCTTATAGGTTAGTTATACACTTCATATCCGTGGGAATTATTACTAACTCAAACACAGGCTATGGCATAGTGTACTATGACAAGGTGCGATGACTGCACCGATTCCTTTTTAGTCAATATATACTGATCTCTGTATAGGCTATTCTAGGTAGTGCTACACTATTTGGCATGACAACCGACTTGCAATTACTGGTGAAGGACTATTCTACTTCTCCTCCATCTGTTGATACTTCACGGCTCAGCTGGGCAACATCAATCTTTTATTTCGGAATGCTTGCTGGTCTCTACCCAATGACATTCATCTTGCAAAGGTTCAATACTCGAACTGTCCTCGGTCCAGTTGTTCTGATATGGGCCATTGTCTGTGCCGCTACCGCTGGTGTGACAACCTGGCAAGGACTTTTCGTGCAGCGGTTCTTCCTTGGTATGTTTACCTTGAATTCCTTTTACCAGTCTCTTGTCTAATAGAAGATAGGTTTCATCGAAAGTGTTATTCCGACAGGCTTCATGACCATAGTCAGCGGATGGTACACACAAGAGGAGCAGACTCTCCGACAGGCATGGTGGTTCTCTGGTACCGGTTGGTTCACTATCATCGGCGGTGCCCTGAACTATGGGTTTGGCCAAATCACATCTGGGTCATTGAAAAGATGGCAGTACATCTATATTCTGGCTGGTGCCTTGACCTTTTTGTTTGGCCTCTGGTGTTGCACTATGCCTAATTCCCCAGTTTCTGCCTGGTTCTTAACCTCAGAAGAACGAGTGGTTGCTGTAGAGAGACTGCGCAAGGGTCAAACTGGCGTTCGTTGCCAGAAGATCAAGTTGGACCAGATCAAAGAGTGTGTGACGGACATTAAGCTCTATCTGGTGGCTATCATGATGGCGTCAGCGTGAGTTCTCTCATTGCACACCATACATTTGTTGTTGCTAACATCTCTGACTATAGGTACACTATCAATGGTGCTATCTCGGGCTTTGGGCCGCTGATTGTGTCCACCTTCGGCTATGACACCCTTCATTCAATTCTATTCCAGTTTCCCGTCGGCGGAATTTGTGTCATTTTCATTCCTCTTTGCGGTTATATCCCTACCGTCATCCCCAACACCCGCATACCCTTGCTCATCGCCTGCTGCCTCCCTGTTATTGCTGGTTGTGTAATGATTTGGAAATCACAATGGGGATATCATCCAGTTACTCCAGTCGTTGGCTACGCGCTAACTGGCTTCTTTGGGCCAGTGGTCAGCTTGGTCATCACGGTTGGAGCTAGCAATGTCGCTGGAGCCACAAAGAAAACCGTCATGGCAGCAACCGTATTCGTGGCTTACACTGTCGGCAACATCATCGGGCCGCAACTTGTGAAAAGCAACACCAAGGCACAACATTACCCAGAATTGTGGACTGGAATGATTATCTGGTAAGTCTATATCTGGTTCCTCCTTATTGATCCCTTCTAACGAAGTATAGCTACTGTATCACAATTGCTGCCGCAGTCGTGTTGTACTTAGTCCTCCGACGGGAAAACCGAATTCGCGAAACGTTGGAATTGGATGAGGTACAGCGAGACAAGATTGCATTCGATGACCTCACTGACAAGCAGAATCCCTTTTTCCGATACGCGTTATAATAGATAATAATGGATTTCCTTTCCTCTATGGGATGGAGACTGCAAAGCCACAACTCATGGCTGCTATCTAATACTTACATCCCCTGCATCTGCTCTATAGAAAATGCCAAAACATGTCGAACATTATGTTCAAAAATAGTCAAAATTTTCGATTCTTCACAGCAAACATGCAATGTGCTGATATGCAACTCCTTGAGAAACTACATGCACATAATTAAAACCCGCAAATTGAAACATCAGAGGAAAGCATTCATTCAGTCTCTCATGGCACTTGCCTTGAATCATATTGTGAGATTGCAGGAAAATTGAAGTACCACAATGCAGGTTCGGCCCCAGACTCGCGTTTTCGGTACATTTGATTCAACTCGCATTGTGCTACAACCCCCTTTCTGGGTGACACTACGTAGGTGATGAGATCAAATTTCCGGAGATCAGATTTGCAGATCTGAAGACTATATCCCGTTGTAGAAGGATATATGGAATCAAAGAGTGAAACAATAAAGCAAACACCCTTGAAACATTTCAAGGCTGAAAGCCTCATGGGGAACTGCCTGGTCTCATCTCAGCCCCATCGCATCACTTGCATCACTAGCTGTCAAGTCATCCTATTCGTTATAGATCTAATTTTCTTATTCCTTGGTCAACATCCTTATTCCTTAGTCAACCAACATCCATGAATGTTCCTCTCTTTTGCTTCCTCCTCAGTACCCTCCTTGCATACTCCAGTCCATTTCAAATTCCCACCCCTTGACTTGACAAAACCTCTACAACAGATGGGAATTTGCATCCGCTTGGTTGATACCAAGTCTTGTGTAACGGTTATATCGTGTTCAAATCACAATCCGTCTCAGAATCGGATCTAGAAAAATGCTCAGGTATCAGCCTGTCGGGTTCCGACCTTCCTGATGAAACCCCATGTAGTATTCCGTAGTTTCAATTGATAATAAAAAGAGAAAGCCGAGCCGAAAATGGGTATAGAAATATATACTATGTACAGAGAAACAAATAAAATGGTAAGACATGCCAACGCTCAAATGCCCGAGATTAACAGAAACGACAAAAAAAAAACTTCCGCAAGATCTCTATTGAAGATTTTGGTGCTATAGCCGAGGAGACTTCTCGCTACTGTGAACGATTGTTTCATGAACAACCTTGATTCCAGTCTGGCTGCCCTGGCTGTGAGACTCCCAGTCACCGTCGCCAGCGGTGCATGTGGCTGGTTGCTGTCGTGAGGTAGGTAATATCATTTGCTCATCGCTGATTGTATTCCACTGGGTGTCTCCAGGAATCGATAGAGGATGGCGGAACTTCTTGCGTCTAGCATACCCGCCACCGCCAGTGTCGGCATCTGACAGAGGATAGCCCTGGTAGCCAGGGTAGCTCTGTGAGCCACCCCTTGATGAAATATATATACCAGCACGTTTTGTAAATCGTCTTACCAACGGGTAGATCATGGGGGTATTGCCGATTATAACGGCGACGAAGGTCTCACGGCAGGCCCAGCTGCCGGCTTGTTGAGCACCATTTGCGCCAGCCTAGGGAGCTATTAGAATTTGTTATTCCAGTAGATCTCGGTATAACTTACCGTTAAAATGAGAACACAGCGCAGAATACCCGCCATCATAACGAATAGACCACCACTGAAAAGAATCAGCAGCTCGAGCTTTTCCCGCCACTTTAGTCGGGCTTTGACAAGCATCTTGACAATGGTATTGTTAGCGGTATTACACATAAATATTTAGGGAGAAGCTTACCGGCGCCGGAATACTAATGAGATAGAGGTCGGTCGCAACATTAAGTACGACGGTGACATAGATGTCAATCTTGGACACGGCGGGCTGACAGTAATCTAATAAATAATCAGAGACATATTCTAACATATTGAGAACATATGACGCACTCCCAGGGTCTGGATATATTTGCCAATTTTTGTCGATTGGATGACATCCGAAGAGAATCGAGCAGATCGTAGCAATATAAGTGACGGCGATTAAAACGTAGGCGATGTGGATTCGGATTCGCATATTCACTAAGCCGGCGCTATATGGTAGGATATAAGTTAGTCCCAAAGAACAGAATACCTGTGGGATCAAAACTCACGTCAATCGAGAGTAGAAAACGGCCATGCATGTTTTCAGCAACCATAGTAGCAGAGTGTATAATGACCAGCCAGCTACCTGGACCTTGGAACCACCCACACGCAGACGATACTCCTCCGAATGAGGAGACAATTCTTTTCGCTGCTCATCCGTCATCGCATTATTGGCAAGGCCCATGAACCATGCCCCGACCATGTATGCAGCACCGGTTTCTAATCCATACACCACCTATATTCATATTGATTAGCAAGGCGAAAACAAACCACAGGTTGTAATTCAACTCACACATGCCACCAGCATCAGATAATCATCAACTTGGAACCCTCTTGGGCCAACCATAATCCATCTTGCAGTCGTTCGAAGACCAATGACGGCAATGGCTATTCCTAGCAGGGTGAACGCTTCTGTATTAAAGCTGTTCATGATTGGTGAGTTTCAGTGATAGCTTTGTGCTATATGCCATCAAAATTAAATGGAAAAACCATTCAACCCAGGGTGTACATTGAGATAAAGAGAGAGAAAGGTAAATGCGCGGAGGGGGGAAACGAGCGGCAGAAGACAGTATCTCAGCTCCCTTCTTGGTCGTTGGTATTGGAACCAGCCCGGACAAAGAACCAAACGAGCTCCTTGGTCGACTTATCAACACCAAGAAAAGAAAAAAAAAAGCAAGAACAGGATCTCAAATCCTAGCGGGCCGACCTACATATTGTGGCTTTCGTTAAACTAAACAAGCCCCATATATTACGGGGATGCTACACGTGAAGAAGATTTATGACAGGCCTGGAGTCTTCATGCAAGAGTGATAGCTCCATCGCAACCTCCACCAAGTCATCTCATTGGATAGTGAAGGACTATCTTTAGCCTTAGTCGGGCTATGGGTCCTTCAACGTGCCGGGGAGATGTTTAAGGTCTAGACGACCGTTTGTTCCACTCCCAGCTTACTGGTTCCCGGAAATGCAAACGATAATCCAAAGGTCCACACATCCCCTGGGTCAATATGAACTTCCCCATTGGGGGAATGATCGGTGTAAAGAGGCGACTCATCCATCAAATACGAGCGCACACGGGGGGGGCTTGATAGATCTCGCTTCGTCTAACCTGAGAAATTCTTTTTGCGGTTACACCCGACTACATATTCAGCCACAATGTCAACTGGGCCAATTTTTAGAAGCAGCAATGAATCGCAATGCCGAGGATTTGGTTTGACTACCTATTACGTGCAAACGGGCCAACTCAGAGACCGGCAGATGGAGTAGCGCAGTTGCAGAAAGCTTGCGTATTGTAGCCAATTGATTGCCGTTTTGCCGAGGTTTCAAAGGCCATCGCAATGATATGTATTGATGTTTCTAACCCACATGCTGCATTCGGTTAGTTTTATTGCTGATCAGACCGGAGATTACTCCGATAATACGTGTAGCCAAAAGTTTGTAACTAGCCATCGGCACTTAGGCCAGTTATATTATTATCTCGGTTACTGATGGCTTTTTTTGTTGTATCGCGCCAAACGAGTCCGGGGATATGCTAAGTACTGAATTAGGCGGTTTGCGGTCCCGAAATAGGGGTTGACTCCTATTTATCCAACCCTAACCTTCTGCATAGACGGTCAACATGCCATATCAAAAGTACGATATTCACGGTTGAGTGCCGCTGCCACTCAGTGGATCTTAAAGCGGGTCATATACGAAATGCGAATAACGGTCAGTTCAGTTTCTCCTTATCCTCTCATTTTCTAAGTCGCGAAGACCGTCTCAAATAATTAGGTATTCTCAAACAACATGCATTAGATCGGTCTGTTTAATTGGACGCCCAGTGCTCCATAGTCGGATTGAGATACCAACCGAGGGATGGCAACCTGCATATGTTGGTCCCGACTTTTATTTTCTTTTTTGCAGTAAATGCAAACGCCACGCTGTTTCCACCGTGAAAACGTTTAAAATAGTCGTGTACTCCTTAATTGTGGGCTCCTTGTAACCCGCTTACTCCTTATAAACGCTACAAACAAGATTAAAAAGCGCGCGGGTCTTACGCTTTGACCGCAAGGCTAAACTAGTCAAACGACGGAGGGAAGCTAAAATATTCGGTGCGGATTCAAATTCTCCTGAAGAGCCCCCTGGTATCACTAAACAGAGTACAGAGCACAAAGTAAATGCATGCCAAGCACATACTCCATACCGAGATGGGTCAAGGGGTCTTAAACTAGTGGCCATAATACCATTATGGGATCAATTTAAAGTGTACTCCGTATGGTTAAAATGTCTCGGGTCCTTTTCCATATCTTTTAGGAAAGACAAAAGGAAACTGTGGGCTTTTTCTAGGGTTGTTCTAGGTCCAATTTAATAGTTCTCATTGCCCCATTCCGGGGTGTCACTGCAACAGCAAGGGCTGAAATTAAAAGGGAAAAAAAATCTAAAAACAAAACGTACTCGACGCTAATACTTTTAGTTGCCTCCTTTCCGGTAATCTGATGGTCGATTGCGTTTGTTTGCTTGTACATAAATTCATGCATTAATCCTGGTCGCGCAACTTATTTTCTACCCCTCCAAAAAAAAAAAACAGACGAAAGCAAGGGACTCTTTAACATGGAGTCCGTGGATCTTGTAGTGGTAGGCGCAGGTAAGTCGAATCTTCACCGTCGCAAGCTATTTCACTAACAAGTATAGGTTGGAGCGGGCTCTCCGCCATCAAGACCTATCGCGAGGTCAATCCCGGCCACAATGTGCTCTTGTTGGAAGCTGCCAGCTCTGTTGGCGGGGTATGGGCTAAACATCGTCTATACAAAGGCCTCAAATCGAACAATATGCTGGGCACGTACGAGTACAGCGACTTCCCAATGGACGAAGCGACTTTTGGCATCAAACCTGGACAACATATTCCAGGCCATGTAATTCAAAAATACATGGAGGCTTATATCCAGCACTTTAACTTTGCTAATTGCGTTCGACTGGAACACCATGTGGAAAGCGCGCAACACAATCTCGACGGAACATGGCAGTTGACCGTGTCACACGGAGCGGATACGACAACAATCAATACCAAGAAGATGATCGTCGCCACCGGTATCACCTCACAGGCATATCTACCTACATTCAAGGGCCAGGAGTCATTTGATGCGCCACTTTTCCACTGTCGCGATCTGCTGCAGCATCAAGATGCTGTACTACAATCTGGACAGCGCGCGACCGTTTTCGGCGGTACCAAGTCTGCCTGGGATGCGGCTTATGCTTGCGCAACGGCAGGTATGAAGGTAGACTGGATCATCCGTGAGTCCGGTCATGGACCTTGTTGGATGGCGCCTCCCTATGTGACGCCCTTGAAAAAATGGCTGGAAAAGCTAGTCACAACACGTCTGCTGACCTGGTTCAGTCCGTGTATCTGGGGCGAGGCGGACGGGTATTCTGGCGTTCGTGGATTTTTGCATGGTACCTGGCTGGGCCGTAAGATCGTGGATGCTTTCTGGGGTATTCTGGCGGATGATGTTGTGCAGTTGAACGGCTACGACAAGCACCCGGAGATGAAGAAGTTGAAGCCGTGGGTGGGCCCGTTCTGGATCGCTTCGTCGCTCAGCATTCTGAACTACCCGACCAATTTCTTCGATTTGATCAAGGATGGCACTATCAAGGTGCACGTTTCTGATATAGAACGTCTATCAGATCACACTGTTCATTTGTCATCGGGTGATGCGCTATCTACTTCAGCACTGATATGCTCGACTGGCTGGCGTTGCACTCCTAACCTCAAATTCCTGCCTGAAGGCATTGATCGCGAGTTGGGATTCCCATGGAGTGCGGATCCGCTGAACGAGAATATGGTGAAAGCAGCAGACGAAGAGATCCTGCGCCGGTTCCCCCGACTGCGTGATCAACCAAAGCCGAACCCTAACTACACCCCGTTAAACGAGCAGTCCGAGGCAGCTGTGCCGCATCCCTTCAGGCTGGCGAAGTTCATGGTCCCCCTTTCGCTGGTCAATGAACGCTCGCTGGCATTCATGGGCATCACCATGACCATCAACACAACCTTGATTGCTCAAACCCAGGCTCTGTGGATCTCAGCCTACTTCAAGGGAGATCTGACCCCGACTACACAAGAAAGCTGCCCAATTGATGTGCGTGCTGCATCTGGCCTGAAGACGGAAGACGTATCAGAAATCGACCTTGCCTGGGAGACAGCTTTGTTTACTGAATTTGGCAAATATCGCTACCCGGGAGGATTCGGACGGCGGAACCCTGACTTCGTGTTTGACGCGATCCCATATGTCGATCTGATGCTGGGAGAACTGGGTCTGTCACCAAAGCGCAAGCAGGGCTTGCTGGCCCGGTGCTTGGAGCCTTATGGTCCTGAAGACTACCGTGGTTTGGTCGAAGAGTGGAAATCAAAGCAACGTACCCAGTAACGGTCCGGGTATCATTTATTTTCTTTCGGTCAATCCTGTCGGATATGTATTTATGTATTTCGTCTTCCTATTTCCCTTCGCGTGTGTGCGACTAGCTCGAGGTGTTCTTGTTTCTTTCTTTCACATAAGTCTTGCGCTATTCAAGCCAATACAATGGTGTTTTCTAAGTATGTGAGTATATTATATAAACACATGACTTTCTTTGGCAATGCTAGTCATCGACATCATCTATTCCAATAAAACAAATTGCTCCAAAACTGCAACACCAACAAGAGGTGAAGATGAGTGTGCGTCACGTTCTCCCATTTCCTTCTTCGGACCGCCACCCCCTCTCTCAGACTCAACCTCCCCAACCATGTCACCTGTCCATCGCATATAATATTCCTCATCCCCCGCAACCACCGTTCTAACCGAGACATTAACTTTCAGCTGACCCGCCTCTCCCAAATCATATTCCAACCTAAACCCGTCCGGTATGTCACGCGCATATGGCGGATATCGCCCACCAGTAGTCCCAGGCTTACCAATCGGCCTCACAGTGAGAATAGAGGGGTCGCAAGCCGACACGAGTATCTCTCCATCTTTAGCAACATAGCTACTCACATACGTGGTATTGGTTGTATCATTAATCGCGAGGTAACTGAACCATACAATCGAGTACGGACCCACACGGCCATGACCCCAGTACCAGCTCTGAACAGAGTCTATAAAGGGTCGATCGGACCAATTCTGCGAGTTGGTCAGCTGAAATCCTTAATTTTCCTCGGGTCAAATTTACTTTATCATGATATCCAGACCCTCGGAACTTCAACGTCGACCCATGGATCTCCATATCCACCTCAGCCACAGCGTCGGGTACGAGATTAACCCATCCAATATGAGGTGCGATTTCGAGTTCAGTCCGTCCCGGTTGGATTCCACAGGGTAGATTAGGCGGTGCTCGCTGTTAGATACTGTCAGCAAGCATTTCGTGTGATTCGAGCCACTTACCGAAGTCAAGGTCAACCGTCCTTCGACCTGGAGTTTCTCAGACGCAATGATAATCTCATATTGAGATAAATTAGCTGTGAGAGCATTCCAGGTAAACCCTGTGGGCGACCAGTTACCCGAGCTATTTGTTCGGCCGTCTGCGCCAGTCACGGTTGCCACTGTTGCCGGGACGGAATCTTCGAAAACGGTTCCGTTGGCGAACGAAGCCCATAACCAGACGCTTAAGATGGATGTTTCATTTGGATCGAGGAATGGAAATGCTTCCATGGATGAGGTGAAGAATGTGACGACGAGGGAATCATCTGGGTTTGTCTCTGAGACGACGTCGAAATACCACCATTCGAAGACGGAGCTGTTGATTGGGTCTATTTGCGGTGCGTCTAGACTGAAGAGGGTCTCTGTGTCGAGTGTTGTTTTTGGTGTTTGGATGTCGAATCGAGCCTTGCTAGTTCCGTTCTGTACAACGCTAGGGATATGATAGTTCCCGCTGCGCGAGTACCTGCTAGCACGGAGATGTGGTGAGGATTTTTCGTTGACTGTGTGCTGACTTGGGAATGCTAGGGTCTGCACTGGTAGAACACATATCAAGAGTAAGAACTGTGGAAACATGGTGGAATACGGCGGCGTGGGCAGTATCTTAAGAATGCTACTCAATGACAGTTCTCACTGGTGCAGGAATCTTGTGCAACCACTATCGATGAGAGATGATAGAGAAATGAAATGCATGTGATAGTATATCCGACTGCATAAGTTGCTGCAGTCCTGCTGATCCCTGGGTATATATACCTGCGTAGTATAAGAGAAGCAAAAGGGGGAACGTAGGGAGATTCGGAGAATTGAATTTTTATAGTTTTCGAGATCAAAGGGAGTTGACGATCATCTACCTGTATGGAGGCTCGTTCCCTGATGGACCAGTACAATGATACCTATTTCAGTAACTCAATGGGGAGCATTGAATCTACATACCCCTATCCCCCACACAAAAATGAAATCGGGTATCCATATTAAGATCGATCTGAATATCTAGTTCACATATACTCGTACGGAGTAGTTTAATTAGAATGAGACAGCCATGTGGCTCCCCAGTAAGTGGCGCAGATGGCGGTTCAGCCAAATCAGCCATATGTCTAACACCCCCGTTTCAAGCGTCAATAGGCAGATGAGTAGCCAATAATGGCCGAGTAACAAAATGTGGCTTGAAATGTGTTTTATTACATAAATTAAGACGATTAATATACTTCGGGATATCTTCCATATCATAATCAGGGTTGTTTATATACCGACGTTGCCCATCCCATTAACAGTTCGCTTAATCGCTTTAAATCACAGAGAAGCAGGATAGGTACACACGTCACACATGAGTCCGATAAGCACATATAGTAAACATAAATCCGGATAGCACGAGAGAGAAAAAAAAAACAGACATCAGACCTTCCCATGATGCCCAAATCACAAACCTTTCGCCGAAGCTCGAGAAATAACAAAAAAATCAAAAAGTAAATCCGATAGAAACCCTGACTCCCAATGCCTCAGTAGATACATACAAATGTCTTCGAACGTCACCATAAATATGCGGGTGAACGTTCGGGGGCAGTTACGTCGCAAAGACGAAAGTAACACGGGAAGGACGGAACAACGTTCAACGTCCATTGAGGAGGGGACTGCCGTCTTCACTCCGCCCTTCGCCCTTGATATCAGGCCCAGTTTGGGTACTGTTCGCGTCCGAGTCGCCGTCCTTTCCGCATCCTTTCACAAGGATATGTCGCTATCGATAAAAGTCAGTATACGCGCAAATGGTACAGAATCGCAAATAACATACCTTAAGAGCATCCTTGCGCGAAAAGCTCTTGTCACAGTGTGAGCAGGGGAAAGGCTTCACGGCCAAATGAATGCGCTTATGGCGCTTGAGATCGTGATTGCGGTTGAAACTCTGCGGACACTGGTCGCATTTGAAAGGTCTATCCGCTGCGGGTGCGGACATGCCGTGCGGTGGTGGATGACCCCCATATAGATGTTGGGAACTGGCAACATGTCCACTATTGAATCCCGGTAGAAGGCCAGGTTGCATTCCCATCATCGACATGGGCCCACCGGGGCTGTGCACGTTGGTCATGACAGGACCGTTCATCGCAGGGAGAGAATATGAGGGCCATGGCTGGCGGGGATAGCCCAATGGTGGCTGTCCGCCTGGACTGTGAACGGGAATTCGTCCTGGAGGGTGGATGCCGAGGCCGGCAGGGCCGGCAGGGCTATACATGTGGGAGAAGCCGGCCTGGTGGGGACTGTGCATAGGGGGAGAACCGGCATACATATGCTGGTGTTTAGGGGCATATGGATCGTTGGATGGCAGTGGGGTGGGAGATGTAGCGTGTCCATGGTACATGACCATAGCAGGTTGTGAGGCGGAAGGAGGCATTGTTGACGGTGCGGGTAGAGGTTGATAAGATGATGTTGGGCCTTCATATGGGTGTGGCAAGCCATCCGTTGTCGGTGGTGATATTACCGAGCGCTGCATGCCGGATGGTGAGAAGGAACTGCGGGCAGAGTATGGATTTACCCCGGACCCCCAGGACTGTCCGTACGGATTAGCCCCTGACCAATATGCCGGCGGCAACTCGGCGGACGCGCCTGTTGAGGGCGCCAATGGTTGGGGTGTGGCTTGATCCCCTGTTTGAATCGTGGCTGGTGGCGTTAGAAGGTTCCCCACGCTCACATTGACCGGCGCGTGTGAGACTGGTGGATGGTTGGGTTGTCCGGCGTATTTGGGTGCTGTCGCACCCAAGGTGAAAGGTGGTGGTGGAAGCTCAAAGCTCGGCAATGTCGGGGCCGCTGGACGACGAATGTTCAACGGCGGGGCTGACAGCGTGTCCAACGCTGTCCCCATTCCCGCTGGCACTGTTAGAGTCGCCAGGTTGGCTTCCCTGTAAAATTCGGGGTCGTTGACGTTGGAGAGTTGACCGAAAGAGGATCCGCTCAACGTCCAATCTCGATCGCCAGGTAAGCCCCCGGAAGGGCTGGTAGAATCCAGGAGGGGCGATCGTCGATCGCTGGGGCTCGCGATCGGAATATAAAGAGAGGCACTCAAGTCCGAGAAATAAGAAAATTTCTAGAACAAGAGCCTCGAAAGAGATAATTCCGGTATTGTCACGGTCGACGACTACGCGTGTAGTACATTTCGGGGAGAAATGAGGAAGAAGTTGAGAAGATGTGGGGGGTGGGCAAAGGACCGTGGCGTTGGAGGCGATAGAGCAAGCGCGGGGGAAGTATTATAAGAAGAGTTAAGGGAGTTAAGAGAGAGGAATATAATACATTAAAAAAAGTAAATATGTATTTTTTTATTATTTTAGGGAATGGAGTCGACATGGGTCTAGCCAGCTGGCCACCGTGGGGAAAGGAATGGTATAATAAAATAAACAGTTCTATATATTAAAAAGTAGGGAAAAAAGGTGAAAAAAGGCGAAAGAGTGAGAGGGGTGTCAGCAGAACGTGGTTGACATTTATTTTTATTTTGTGGATATCGAATATATGTAGATCTTGTTGTCTCTTTAATTACCGTTAACTATATAAACTAACTATATAACTATTCATATATAAAGTAACTCTTATTTTTATAAAAGAAAAGAAAAAAAAAAGACCCTTCCTCGAGGGGATTCCCCTTGCTTCCCGACTTGATCGCGTGAAAAAAAAAAAAAAAAAAAAAAAAGGACGCTAGTGTAGGAGACTCCGGAGAGAATCTGTAGGAATGGACCCGGCTATTATTGAGAAAGAAAGAAATTTCATTTGAAAAATAAAAAAAAAGAAATATAAAATGGATACTTTCCTACTATCATGGTAAGATTCCTGTCCAATAAAAAGAGATGTCAACGCACGGACAAGACCGGAATGGCTAGAATACGAGAAGACCATTGAAAAGGCAGAGGGAAGCGAGCTATCTCGTTGGTTATTCGTTAGGTAAAATGAAATTAGTTTTTTTTTTCCCTTTTCCCTCCTACGGATATTATATTGGAACTTAGACCATAAGGTACAGTACTCCGTATAGAATAGAGAACAGAGACGTATATTGTAGACTTCTTTCTACTTCCAAGGGTTCAATTTTAGCCCCCAATATGATTGGTCTTTAGACTTCACCGGCCATGGTTACTCCTCGTTTTTCTCTTTTACTTTGGCTCGGACCTTATTTGGAACTTATTCTCTCACTCCCCGAAAGCCAATCGCTTTCCACTCCCTCGGGCTCTTGTATTTTGTAGCTCCGACCTCGCTTCGGTTTCTCCACTAACAGAGGCGTCTGTTTGCCTTCTGCACGGACGTGGCAGATGCTTATGTAGAGAAGGGGGGGGAAAAAAGGGAACATGCCCTGTCGATCGATGTCTTTTACCTTATAAAACTTGACAGAGCTGATCTGCCGCAAAAAACATGGTTTAAAGATATGTTCCGATTACCTACAACATATGGAGGGTGTGAACTTCATTCCATATACGAAGTGCGGAGTACGGAGTATGTACTCCGTATGAATGCCGAAGCTCCTTAGCACAGCTAGACATATCCATTCACGTAGAGAATTTAATATTACGATCCGGTTCGCATTTCCCCCGTATTTAGCAAGTCCGGCTTTGAACCTGCAGTGCTCTTAGAATAGGAAGGGGGGGAAAACAAAAAAAAAAGGGGGTCTTAAAACATCTGCCGAGTCACATTCCTAGGAACTGCATACCTCTACCTAGTGAAACGACAAGGCACAGCATTTCTCCAATATTATACATTCTATACAGTATACTGACATTCACTAGACACTTCTTAGCTTTCGAAATAAACTCTACAATTCGATAGCGTTCATCCCCTCCACCGCGTCTGTAGCCGCACACCAACCCGAAAAGGTTTATATCAGTGACGATCAGTTGATCATCTGTGGCCCTTTCCTATGCTGGTTCCCGGTCGATCGACCCTCGCACTTTCGATTGCAATATCCCTGGACCACACGGTTCGCAGCCGATTAGTCGCTGCTCTCATGCAAGGCGGCTCCTACAGATGTGACAGCGCGCAAGGATCCACCTGGCTGATCGTGAACGCCTTAGTGTCGCCTGCATCGGCTCTTGCCGGTGTGGCTTCGGAGAGGCTCACAGCATTCACGATCGTCCCCGGGAATGGCGTTTCGTGGAAGGTTGGTTATTCTTCTGACCCGGGAGATCTGCGGCCATGAGTTTCCTGCAGGGCTGATATGCCCGACCTGGGATTTCGGTGTCCACATTTCGCCTATCTTCCCAACGTGGACTATTCTATATCCCATAATGTGGGTGGCAGATGGGTCTCAGGTTCAGAAGGTGAGCACGGATCTCTGCCCCCGGCCTTCTAGGTTTAGGTAATTTGTGTTCAGGTGACTTTCCTAAAAGCCAAGCTCTTCTCGGCATTTGTTTTTCGGGATTTCTTCGGTTTTTTATATCTTTCCTTTTTTTTTACATGCGAACGGCCCCACGAGCATCTTTCGGTCGCTGTTAGATCCTCCCTTGCGGCGAGATTCGGGTCTGCTTGCATTGTATTGCCTGTAAAAAATTAAGACGAGACGTCAACTTTCTCTTGCATCGTGCTCTATTTATGCATAATCGATTCAACTTTCCTTACCTTGAGCTCCCGTCTCATATAGGTTTCTGGTGTGACAGTCTCTGTGAAACCTTTGAGTGCATAAATGAGGTCTCATCAAGACCCGATGGCTGTGATACTTCTAGTTTACTGGAAACGATAACCCTGTGAGTCTTTCCCTACAGGCTACCCCAGCTTTCGATTATTTTACTGCATAAAGTAACACGGATTTTCTTATGATTTGCGCTACTGTGTTTATATAAAAGATAGAAACCTCGGCTATGGCCAAATTCGGAAATATATTTTCATATAGATTACCTCAAAAATGACAGCAGTTTCGGAAATTAAGCCAAGCAATAAGACAGGTCTAAATTGGAGGTTTCCTTGCGGGTTGCATCTCCTAATATCGAACTGCCGAGTGTTGCTCCGATGACGTCGAACGGCGGGGTACACCTTTTCCCCTTTTCTCTTCTTCAACCTTACCTTTAATTTAGAATTCCAGAATTCAATTGCTTGTATGTTCTCTACTCCTAACTCCAATTGCAATACAGGTCATTTCTGACATTACCAAGACCGTTTCTCGCAACCAAACCCCGCTTCAGCACACCTCCCCTCCATCGCTTCTCTGCAACTATGTCTGGAATCAGCAAGGCCTGTTGCTCGTTCGTGATCCCATTGCATTCTGTGATGTCTCAAAATTAGGGGTCGCTGACTATGCATAGAATTCCCCCTGTTGTATCCAAGGGCTACCAGCCCAAGGGAGAATACAAAACCATCAATGGCATGAAGACCTGTGAGTTCCTATTTCGCCCAGTTCTGATGGATTGAGCTAACAAGATGACTTCTAGACGTCACTGGCCCAGAATCGGCCACTAAGGCTATCCTGGTCATCTATGGTCAGTCACTCATCTCCCCACACGAAATACAATCCGACCATCAACTGATACCATTGCGTGATCTACAGACATCTTCGGCTTCTTCGACCAAACTGTCCAAGGTGCCGACATCCTCGCCACCTCGACCGACCAAAAATACCGCGTGTTCATGCCCGACTTCTTTGAAGGTAGCCCTGCCGACATCTCGTGGTACCCGCCCACCACCCAGGAACACAAGGAGAAGCTCGGCAACTTCTTCTCGACCAAGGCTGTCCCACCCAAGACCCTTTCCAAGATCCCCAATGTCGTCGCCGAAGGCAACAAGCTAGCTCCTGGCGGCAATTTCCAATCCTGGTCGATCCTGGGCTACTGCTGGGGCGGTAAGATTGCCTGCTTGTCCTCCGGCGCTGATAACAAGCTATTCAAGGCGGCCGTGCAGTGCCACCCAGCTATGGTCGATCCCAATGATGCAAAGGTTGTAAACATCCCCATGGCGATGCTCGCTTCGGGAGACGAGCCTGTCCAGGACGTCAAGAACTTTGAGGCCAACTTGAAGGTTCCCAAGCACGTTGAGACTTTCTCATCTCAGATCCACGGTTGGATGGCTGCGCGATCGGACTTGGAGAACACCGAGGTGCGCAAGGAGTACGAGCGCGGATATAAGACCGTTCTTGAATTCCTGCACCAGCACGCGTAGACAAACCCGAAAGGCACAATTAACAAGGAGCACCTTATCGCGGAGGCTTGATGATACTATGAGAACTAGATTTCCTAACGAGAGAATGAGAGAATGATCAGTCCTACGTGGACAAACCAAAACCTCCTATGTACACATAGCTTCCTTCCAAGGTATGTCTAGCTAGGATAAATCGTAGCTATGTCTAACTTTGAAGAGCGTTGTTTATGTCATTCTTTTCTTATTAAGATTAGATGTTGAAAAGTATACACATACACAAAATTATTCTCTCCTGTTTTGTTTTAAAAGATGGAAGACAGGCCATCCATATGCTCGCCGCTCTTGTCCATACGTCATCACTTTCTAAAGTCCACCTTAGCCTCCTTAACCTCCTCAATTCTCTATTTTTTACAATCTATTTCTCATTATCAGTTCTCGCCAATATAATCTGTGCATTTACGGGAAAAACTCGGTCTCGCCGTCGCCCACTTGCCGCATTGCCGTTTATAGGGTCACGTCACAAGCCGAGAGGGCCGAGATCAGCACTCCGCATATAGTGCCTATATTCCTTATTCCTTATTCCTTCTTATTTTTTAGTTTATAAGAGCATACTTTTTTTTTCAGGAGATGCAATAATTGCATCCTCATGGGTTCCAATGTCTTTCCTATTTGGCCGACGCCGTGCAGATGGTTCCCCAGATCCAGCATCTACTACTCATAAATCCGAGACACCCAAGCCATCATCACCATTGCATCCTCATATTCCCGGCCACCACCAAGATGACCAACCCAACGGGAGGTTCCGAAGTCTATTTCGAAGACAGAGCGGCAACTTAGACACACCTTCTCCAACAAGACAAGTAAGAATATCTACATCGTCGTTAGAACGCTAGCTCACGATGAAAAAGGAAAAAGAAAAGTCAGGTTCAATTGAAGCGAGCACGCCGCCCAAATCACGACCAGATTGTAGTAGCCGACAACAGGGTACCAAAGATCCCCGTGGCTCCCCTACACGCGACTCTCCCACACCAGAAGAACACGGCGAGCCGAGGCAACCTCAAAATCTTCAAGATCTTCTCGAATCTAGATTGGATATGGCGTGTAAATTGAAAGACCATTCACCTGATTCCAACCCCGGACCCCCAGAGAAATCATACCTCACACCGAAAGATATCAAGGCATTGCTATCTGGGGCGCCTCACTTTCTTCTAGAGAAAGGCAAGCATGGCCGATGGTATCCCCAGGTGATCTTCCCCTGGGATGAGCAGAACCCAATAATCCAACACATGTGGGATCGCAAGGCATTGCCCCATGCTTCCTTTACTCTGAGCACACTTCACGCCCATCTACCAGTCCCAGACGACTGGGCTGTCAAAGGTGGAGTTCCGATCCAAGTGGCTGACTGGCGGCGCCGAACAGGCGCCGTGAACAGGGCAACGTTTGACGTCGGAATCTTCGAAGTACCCAACATGCTATCAAACAACGGCAAAGAACCCGGCACCGTCGGTTTCCGCCACTTTCTTGAATTATCGGTTGCTGATGCGATTCGATACGTCCCCGAAAAACCGAAGACCCTTCCATCTATACAGCAACTCTCAAACATGGGGGCAACCGTGGCATTCGGTTTAATGGAGGGTTACCACAAACCATATTCACAATGTCAAAGTGGTGTCGTATTCGATCGTCATACACTCATCTGTGAAGGTCCAGAGGCCTGGAAACGTATTGGAGTACGAGATATCAACCTTCGATATCTCGTGCAACGCTTAGAACATCTGCGCAACGTCCGACGTGAAATACTCACAGAGGGGTCGACGAAGACAATTCTGGATATTGAAAGTCCACGCGAGTTGCACGATGGTTTACACACACATTCTCTTCACCCCCATCCTCCAAATGAGTTGATTGAACGCCATCCGCAAAGTGTCAAATCCCAGATCAAAACCCTGTCACTTGTGCTGGCCACCCCAGGAGCTTGGATCAATTTCAGTCTCCCCGAGTGGCGCTTTCGCGCAGGGCAGGTCCTATGGGAGGCATCCCTGCACTGCGACGGGGACTGTCTGGAACCCGATTCAAGTAACGATAAGGTGTCAGGGGATATTTTGATTAGTTCCGGGATGGAGCGAAAGTGGTTGCTCATCCAACTGCTCCTCTCTGCTGAGTTGCTTCTTCGCTTGGATGCGTTCGTTCGAGTTGGCATGTTGTATGATCCGCACGGTGGTCACATCACGATCCCTGAGCTTCGACATTTCGAGAGATTGCGAGAAGGAAAGCTGAACTGGGATTTGATTGTTGTTCGCCGTTTCCTTAATAGTCTGGATATCACTTGCCCGCCGCCACAACCAGCATCTCCTGGTGGCCCACGGTCGAAATCCTCAAGCACGAAGTCGCCTGAGAAAAGTCGTCGTTTTACATTGTTGGACAGCATCACTCGACGTAGCAGCTCGCCTCCTATTCCAGATTTACAGTCTGCCTGGGACTGTGAATTGAGCTCTTCTCACGTTCGACTGCAGCTCGAGGGTCTGTATGTCTTCGCAGAAAACCTTGGATGGCCAAAACTGGATGCGCTGAAAGCTACCATGGAGCTCAAACTTGGAGACCTTAACAATCCGGTTCTACCACGCTTGGTTGTCGATGACAGCTGGGGACAGGAAAAAATATCCAAGGAGATGTTACTGGCCAAGGAGGATATGTACACACAAAGCCCCAGCCGCCGCCGTGTCAAGCTTTGTAGTTCTGGCGATCCACGGTCTAAAACTTTAGGCTGGATCTCGCGCTCCTGGCTATCCGGGTTCGTGATACCCGGTGAGGGTATCAGTCACCTTCTCATGGCGACGCTCCTTGAGAATGACGCAGACGCCCTTGCCCAACTAGGCTCAATTGCTAACCTTTACGGAGGATTCGTTTATGGCGGACGGAGTTGGTGGAGCAAAGCATGCGTTGTCGGACGTGTCTTGTCTTGTTCAGCGGGAGCTAAGACATGCATGGGGTGGATCAGCAGCGACATGATGCCCCGGGATGTGAATACGGGGGAAATATTCAAACGTGGATGGCTTGAACTCGCAGTTGAAGAGGTTCCGCGGATCTCGAGCAGACCTCGAATCAAGCATGGAGCCAAGCTTTCCATGGAATCGACACCGCTAGGCACGGGAGACCTCACAGCGGAGGCTTTTACACTCCCAGTAGATACTCAAGAGCCAAGTACAACCGAAGTCAATATCGAAGGGTTGACTCTGTCTGTCAATGATTACGGACCCAACGGATACGGTATTACACCCGCTGAGCCATCCATGACGTTCTCGATCGCAGACGCACATACTGGAGTCTCAACTACGGTTTGTTTCCCCCTCAAGTATAATGTGCGCTTTATCTCCGCCCATGAATGCTGTCCACCGTTGGGGGTCGCATCTCACAAGTCCGACCGCGAGAAAGATGAAACACAACCTACGAGACACGTGTCCAAGTATACCCGTCTACCAGGCCACCCTCTGCACATCTCTTATCGATACAAATATGTTTCGTTGGATTCCCTTTCCAATACACCAGCACCACCACTATCGCAAAGCGCAGATCAAGCGCCGGAGATTATTGTCATTGATGCGCGGGGCAACCGAGACAGAGAAACGTTCGCTCGGGCATGGTGTGCTGCTGTCGGGTGCCATGCGATCATAAGTCGGTCCGGGGGAACTCGTGTGACATGTTGTGTTGCATGTTCAATCAGGCAAGCGAGAGCCATTGACGCAATGGTTGTGGTACGAGTAAGCGAATGAGACAATTTCAAATTGAAAGTTGTCTTTCTACTTCAGGCCGAATTCGGCGGAGCCCCGAAACATGAGAGCATAATCGCGCAATTTGCATTCTCAGTACAATATGGAAAGGCGGATATTGGCCCCTTTTTCGAATTGGAAAAGTCTGTGGCTTCAACTCTCCGGAGAAGCCGTAGAAAATGGCTGTTGAGAGTGGGGGAAACGCCTTCCTGCGCCATCAGATAGTAAATACCACCTTCCTCTTCTTCGAAAAAATTAAAAAATTAAAATCTCGAATCATGATAGGGGCAAAAGGGAGTTTTTTCTTGGGAGGACGCGTAAGGCAGGTTGCAGGTTAAAAAGGGTGACCCCCTTGAGGGAGCCGAATGGAGTCAAGGGCCCCGAAGATGGTGAAACAACCGGACCAAAGCTGAGTGACCAGTGAGGTCCCTGCATTGAATGGCCCACAGGGGAGATCTCCGATCTCATTTAATTTATGATATGGATGTTGTTACTATATATATTGTAGAGAAAGAGAAAGAGGTTAAAACCCTAATTGTATATCAAAATGTACCCTACAAGGCATTATATCATCTGCAGGGCCTCTTACATATTAGATCATATTTTTGCATTTGCATGTGCATATTGGATTAAGCCTTGAGACTTAGAATTTAGAGACGGGGACATTCCGAAATAGCATCACCCCCCGAAAGTATACACGATAGACCTTAAAACCTCGGATATGCAGTTGCCCAAAGGTACGGAGTAGTAGCTTGTAGTATCTTCTCGTAGCGTACATAGCGTATATAGCGTATCTCATAGCGTATACTCCGTACATGCACGCCACTGCGGAGCTCGGCAGTTGGGGGGGTTTGGCAGGGGAAAAGAAAAGAGCTTTTGTGCACTAATCTCAGAAGGGAATAGTTATAATTTGTCGATAAACCTCGCTACAATACAAATATGTATTAACTACCTAAATAGACTAGTGAAGTAGACGGTAATTAGCCGACATTTTAGACATTCTTCCACTCCACCCACATGGATATATTCTTGGCCTAGATCAACCAGATCTGGCTCAACCCTGGACCCTGTTTCAGTTTTAAACAATTCTCGATCGACAATGACGACGCCCGTTGGGGCTTCTTAAAATACCGAGGCACTTTTCTACATGATGTTGCCTGTTGGAGACAACGTATGTTGCTATTACGGAGATTCGGATGAGTCGGTTGCCTCGTATGCAACTGCGAGATCTATCGCAACATTTGCCGCGTCACGATACATGTGCTTATTGCTTAGCTGCACACCCCAGCTCCAAAGAGTCTATTGTGTGATCCAATAGTATTGGCCCATGTGCATTTCTCAAGATCCGTGCTTGTCGATCTTCGACTTGTGTGTGCTGAGTTGTGGGGCCATAGCGAGGGAGTATGTACAATGTTACTTCGTATAGTGTCGCAAAAGAGCGGTGGAAATATCGACTTCGAAGATTTCAGCATCTATTGTGCATATATTGAATTCTTGTAAAGTGGCTTGGAGAGGCACGAGAGACGGTGATCGGTGGCGTTGACCTTGACGTGATACACAGGGCATACAGTACGAAGATCATCCACAGTACACTTAACATTATTAAGCGATATTTGACACGTTCTTCAGTTTAACCGGAAGTTAACCCCCTTTTTTTTAAAACATGTACAGAGTACTTACATTGTAGTAGAGAATAAGTGATTCCCCGCGCTTTTTCTTAAGTACCCTTAAGTACAACAAAAAAGAAAACCCCCGAATGAGCCCCAAACGAATGCCAAGACTAATCTGTAACGCGCTACCAGCAGTCGAGATGATCCTTAATTAAACCTTGTGTCCACTCTGAGTTTGTTGCACTTCGCATTTTGTTTCCTATGTTGTATATTTTAAATTATTTGCTACCTTTTAAAAGCTTTCGGACGGTTATCCTACTTGGGTGTAGTTCAGGGCTGTGTATTCTCTAATGTATACCGATTGGTTTCTAAAGTACAAGATATTTTATAGTAAGGCCACGTATGTGTCTCTAGGAATTTCCTATAGAGAATGTTGAAACATCCTACTGTATATTATATATGTAGGGACATCTCAGGGTACATTGGATCTAAAACATTGATTGGACAACTCCACTATTTCCATGGATTTGACTGTTTTCTTATTCTGGATAAATTTGCCAGTCAAATAGAAATTGAACGAAAAAAAAGGGGCAAAATCCAAATGATATTTCTTTTTTTTTTTTTTTAGAACATATTAAACAAACTACAAGAAGGATTTAAAACAGTAACCTGATACACTTTGGTCGTGGACCCTGGATCTGTTTTTAGCACAAATTAAAATGGTTCGTTTCAGATTATTACGGAGTAGTCTTTCTAATCTTTCCAGAAGGCCATGTGGTCCAATATCGCTTAGATCGAACTGCAAAACTCCCCTTCGAGAAGCCCTCAAGGTTTCTAGGGATCAGCCTTGGAAATAACCGAAAGAAGGTTCTTTTTAAAATGGACCCTCAAATCAACAATCTTATTGGTTCTGAGAGCCGACCTAAACTCGCGTCACCAATCACCTAGTTTGGACTTGAAGGAAGTATTCCCCAGTTCATCAATGATTGACAGTTATGGCCCTAAACCTAACTAGTAAGACCTTGGAACATCCACTCCCCACTGTTGTCAGCGCTCCCAGACCATGGTTCCTCGTTTCTACTTCATAAGAACCGGGTCTATAGTACGCAATCAGGGGCATTGGCAAGTTACCTAATCATATCAGAACCAATCTAATGGTGACAACAGTTCCTTTTTTTGGAAAACCCTAAGGTAAAAAAATGTAGAAAAAATTAGAAGAAAAATGTAGAAAATAAGAAATAACCTCTATTCAATAGTAAAAATCTATACGGAGTACACTATAGTAAATTAAGAGGGAAGTTCTCCCCCCCTGAAATGATCATCCATTGACAATGACCTGCATTTGAGGGCTAAGTCGATACATCCGTGTTAGTAGCCACTTCCACGTACGTGATATACATACTTGAAAATTAAATTAAATCTAAAAAAATTTCTCTCTCCCAAAAAAATAAAATAAAAATAAATAAAACAAAAGACATTTGGGCGTTTCACCCCGCGATTAGCTTCGACCTGGACTATACCTACCATCTTCGATCTGCTCTTCCTTCTCTTCACACCGTTCACTTCATATTCACTCCTTTGAATACTCTATTTTCTTTTCTTTTTTCCCATTTCCCTTTTCTTACTAATTTCTTTTTATTATTTTGACTCCTAAGGTGGTTTCTTGCTGGCCACTTCTAGGCCCTAAACCCCCCCAAATCCCCCCGGCAATCCAACTTAATCACCATAATTTATCATTGATTAATTCGCAATTACTGGATTTATTTGGGGACTCCGAATCCCAATCTATTCTCGACCATTTGCAACACCTATATACTTTGAGACAGACCCTGACATACCAAACATCCTCTGAAACGTGCGCAATATCATACCTGGTCCAGTGTGGCGCATGTGGATCGGAGCCCCGAGAATTGAAGCGTCATTCTCTGGAGTCTTCTGTATCTGTATGGCCTTGTGCAGATCCTTGTCGCATTTACCTTTGATCACCCCTCGACGTACTCTCAACCGGCTGCTTCGCAAAGCACGCCTTTCGCTTTGCCAGGGCTTTTGATGCACCTTCAACCGTTACAACAGAACCGTGCTCGTGGGAGCTATGCCCGCAGCTGTCGATATGGCATCAGGAAATTCACAAAGCGCCATGGACGCAAATGATAAAAAGCGCAATAAGTTAGGATATCATCGAACCTCTGTCGCATGTGGTCAGTAATACAATCCTAAGCACCCATCGTCCTTTTGCGTGTTGCCTTTCTCCGTTTCTGTGTGAAATTCTGTCGATCAGGAGATTTTGTTTAAAAAAAAATAACCCCTCCTTTCCAGAGTGGCATATCCCGCATGTGGTCATCTTACTTATACTTTTCCAGTGCACTGTCGACGACGAAAGATCCGATGTCTCGTAGCGCCAGACGATACGGAAGGACGATGTGAGAACTGTATTCGACTGCGAAAGGACTGTCAGTTTTTCCCGGTGGACCAGCAACCACCGATTGAAAAGAAATCACGACCAAGCTCGAGATTGGAGACTCCCTCTACCGAACGCTCAAACACCACGCCAGTTGCTTCCTCTCCGCCTAATTTGATGCCCGATCCCGCCGAGACTTTCTACCCATACCAGCCTATGCCAATGAACACCTCGTCCGCGGACATGTCAACGTACAATGTCGGAATGGTTCAAGCCAACATGGGTCTAACGCCAGGTAGGTCTATGTCTAGCAGATCATCTCTGCACTGCAATCAAGGCGCATCCATTGACTGACTGATCCGAACTAGACCGACCCATGGGACCAGGAGACTTTGCTGGGCATCAACCGATGGATGCTGGGGTGGCATGGGACGAATTTACGACAATAGCGGACCCGCAGCTGTTGAATACGATGGCAGCCGCAAAAGGCCAGATGATGAATATGTCACCCAACGTATGGAATCCCGGAAGCATCACGTCAGGCCTACCACCCGCCTCGCCGATATCTGCAGCCTCATCAATGGGAGGCCAGCCGATGGGCCAGACACCTGCATATGCCATGCAGCCCGACGGAACAGTCTGGCAGGTCCCGCCGCCACCGCCACGAACTATGAGCTATCCAGGACAGGAAATAGGCTCATCATACCCTAATCAATTTCATCACATGCCTCCAGAGCTCAAACGGAGAATGACAACACCCGCGCAATCACTGAGTGCCATGGGCCAAGGCTCGCCAGGAACGCCCGAAATGCAGACTCCAGGATCAGTCTCATACCCTCCCGGAATGAATTACCCGCAATGGCAGGATATGAGCGCCATGTCTGCAATGGGCGTGGTGCCTTATCCTATGTACGCCGACCCAGTTCCGCACGCATACCCGCCCAATCCTGCTCCGATGGGACACCCAGGCCCGTCACGGTCACCGAACCCATGAACCGCTTTTCCTTCTATCTCTGCCATGTCCTATTCGCATTTTCGAGTCTTTTCATCACGTTGCACATCACATTCCTAGACGGCCTGTTTCTTTTCTAATACCCCGTGGCACATTCACATACTTTTACCCCCTTCGCATTTCTATTTTCACCTCATCCTCATATACCGTGGCGGGTCTGCTTTGCAGCTGGTCATTAGCGGGCGCAAGGGTTTTTGGGTGGCTTTTCCCCATCGTTGTTTCTTTTTCTATGGCATAGTCCCATCTTTTCTATATCCTCGGGCTCTATCCCGGGTTTTTGCGTTTATCTCATTTGGTGGCATTTCTCCCCCGGTGTGCTTTTTTTTTTTTTGTGGTGGTTGTCGTGGAGTGTTTACCTCATACATGTTGGAGCTTTTCTTTGGGCCATATAGACTTTTTTTTTCTTTCATTCCCCTTTATTTTCATGGACGATTTATGCGTTATCTTGTCATACATGATACCCTTCTCGTCTCTGTCGCTTTTGTGTCATAAGATGAGACCCCTGCATGCGGGAAGATATCGACCAGCTCACCAAGATAGCATAACAATTGAAGGGTTGCTATACTTTGTTGCTATGATACCTTGTTGCTATGAATTAGAGTGTTCTTGTTTACTTTGTGCTATTTCTTGGGCTACGATCTTATCTCTAGCTCTTCGAGGCACGTGCCTGATGTGCTAGAGATGCATACTTCATTTGTACATATTATACAATGTCTGAATTGCATATTTATCGTTGAGAATACCTCAGCTAAGCCAGCTTTCTCTTAGGGTTCTTATTCGTCTACCCTCAATGTACTCAAAGAGCTCTACTGTAGATATGATATGTGAGTTTCCTTCCTATTCGCCGAATTGTACATGTCCATTGCATCCTTGTTTTATCAAAGCATAATTGCTAGTCACATAATAATAACACGGAGTACTCCGAAGAATGCATTCGCTTGTATCAAATAGTAGGAGCAAAGCTAGGTCCGACATGAATTGAGCGATGCATGATATCTCACATGCAAAGAATTGAACAATATGTGAGGCTCTATTGGTCCGGGATCTTTCCTGCTCCAAAACCGGAAAATCGTACAAAGGTCAAGTCAAACTATTGGTTCGTCGAGAGAAGCCAATCAAATGCCCAATACCTATGAAGAGCATTGCCCCCGTGAGGACGATTTATGGCCCTAGATATAAGAACATAAATGCCAATTGACTCTCTCGAATCAAGCCCATTTGAGTTTGTGATAACAAATGCTTGACACAGCTCTGGAGATAGCTAGATAGATAATAAGCAGATAGAAAACCACCGAAGTTCTGATAACAATTAGCCAGCATTGATTTGTACATCAATGACTTCGCGAATCCGACTTGATAGGGACCTTGCATGAAGAATCAAGAAGAGATTGGCTAAATAAATCAGCGCATTTGGGATGGGGATTGTCATCTTTGATCTTCCCTTGCGTGATCTGCTAATAGCGTTGCGTGAGTGTTGATATCCCCAGATTGCACCAATGATCTGATCCCATATTTGAGTGAGACAATCCGGATATCTCGAAGATCAGTCACATCGGCGATATAGTCTTTATCTCACAGGATTAAACCAGGAGATAAGGTCCATTGTCCGTTTACAAGTAAATTGGCTCCCGGGATCCCCGGGGCCGCATTGGAGGATCCCCCGGAGATCCGGTGGAAGGAATACTCTGGGGTTGAAATCTGGAGATAGCAGAGTCGCAATATGATGGCGGTGTAGGGGGTATATCCAATGACAACGCATCGTTCAAACCCTGGAAGGTTCTTCTGGTCTGTGTCAGGGGTCTTATCTCTCTCTGCAGGTCGAATTTTTCGGCCAAGATACCTATGATTCTCCCTGTTGGTTGCGATATCAGTGAGCACATTCTTTGGCCCCTTAGGTAGCGTCACGTCTTATCGAGACGGTCTTGGTAGATAACCACACGGCAAGGCGTCAATATTCTCGGGTTGCTGAGTACAAAGTATATATACTGCCGTGTCCCTGGCATTTCCTTTTTGACTTCGGCTTCACTTCGGTGTCAGCTCGGTCAATCTCAATGTCAACTCGGTTCACCTAAAACGGAATGCCTGTTACATATGCGCAGTGTCAGTCTCTCTCTGTCTCCACGCTCTTCACTGTTGGGAAAAAGCTTCTTCATATGAAATCAAATGCCTTGACCTTCGATATATTCGCGTAACCGCAAGAACCGCAAAAAAAAAAAAAACACTGTACAACCCCTCGAAAGAAGATGACCAAAGTACCAGTCAGCATGGGCTGAATGTGCAGGACGCCACGACCCACCCGTATGCGATGGGAAATGCCCAGTGCTTTCCCCCGCGACATACAAGAATCATAATCGGGTTGATCCGGGTGCCTGAGACAGTTATTTCCCCCACTTATGGATTGGAAATATGATTAGAAACACGTATGACCTTCTTATGTACTCCGTACTTTATGCTAACAAAGAGATAAGGTCGAAAGTTCCACCGATCTGCAGTCTATCTGACCACGGCTAATTACACTCTACAAATATACATTTGTATCAACTTTTTCTTATCTTGGGACTTGTGGGTCGTAGGGCCAAAAAAAATATACAACATATTTGATGCCATAGAGCTACCCCTACACCGTTATTGGGAGAGAACATCATCTACTCATTTAGGCCTCGCGTGCCTGTCCGATCCGGGTCGTCCCCACATGAGTCAACCATTCTCCCGGGGATATCAAAATGACACGGAATATGCGACTGTTGAAGGCCGGAGTTGTCCCTTAACCCCGCCTTAGCGGTGGCAAACCTACGAAAGAGCAGGGATATTCACCGGTACGGATGTCCACCTATAATCCCCCGCGAAAGGAGAATTATCTCCAGAATGCCAATGCGATCGTTGATTTGCGAAGTTGTTGGTTGCCTTTTTAGGTACCTTAACTTGTTTGGGGGCGATGATCGGGGAAATTCCGTTACAGGCCATTTTGTATGTCTCCTTCATACACGGCTGGTACTGTTTTCGGGTAATATAGGAATCTTTTTTTTCACTCCTTCTGAGCCTCTCGGTGAGTCTCCAGATTATTGGAAGATATTGATTTTATATTCTATATCGCGCTTATTGAATATGTGCATACGGAAATAACTACTCAATCCGTGAAAAACACAATTCCCTTGTTATTTTTCTCTCGAAAAAAAAAGAAAAGAAGGAAAAGAAGACCCATAGAATGTTTCCTTATCTTTGAGGATCCATCCGTTGCTCGGTTTACTATCATTCCGCCCCGCTACGTTGCGCTAAGAGTATGGACTATACACTTCGATATCAACATATTTGATTGGGCTTTTTTTCTCTCCTTACGCCTGCAATTCTTCCCGGATATCCCACAGACAGCCCCTCGGTGATTTGAAACATCTCAGAGCAAGGAAATCGAGATCCTGAGAAGAAAGAATGCCTTTGTTCGCTTTCAGCCTATTCAGACCTCTCTGACTGGACCGGGAGTTGTACTCCACCACTAACGAACAGTCCCCACTTAGCCTGCATCTGGACTTCCTTCGGGGACACACTAAGGAATGTGATATCTTTGGGAGTGCCATGTTTTCTCTTTTCACAAGCTTTTCCGATAGTATCCAACTGGCCATTATGATAGTACCTGCGTTTAGACCGCGGCCCCGACTCACCGGAGAGGGTCTGGCAATGTATGTACATACATTAGTTTCAACTTTAGTACGGGGGTTTGAAAACATTCGGGCCGATATTTGAGATGCCGGTCATGTACTTGACCTCAGATGATATGTGACATGAGATTGGGACCGTGCGAATATGCAAGAGAAAGAAAGAAAGACCTTCTAGACCAGATGTATGTAAATACATAACAGTTGATTGGAGAAGGAAATAAAGTCCAAATATAAGAAAAATTAAAGAAAAAAAACCCCATGGCTTTTTAAGAAGACGGGAGTGGCACATAAATTTGGGAGTCGAGCGAAGCGCCGTAAATCGGTCGTTTTCCTGTGACAAGAATCATACTGGTACGTTCTGTTACATATAAATTACATAGATTACAGGTACCTACTCTTCTTCACTATTGCTCTACTCTCTCCTTTAGACATCATATTATTTCTCTTTTCCTCTTTCTTTTATTTTGTTCTTTTGTTCAATTTCATTATACAGAAGTACATTGATTTCTAACTTATACAACTTGGTTGCGTGGTCGGCAGTAACACTCCCGTCCCACACAATTCCATTCTCTCCCCTCCATCTTTTTTATTCATCTCTGCCACTTTATTCTTTTTCCTTTTGTTCTCGGGGAGGACTTTCTCTTCCATCAAAGGATATATCTTTTCGGGGCATGAGCGTTTGGAGGGTCTAGCCCCCCCTCCACGACTCAGGAAATCCCAAGAGGCGTCGAGGCTGGGTGGTGGTCTACAGATCCATCGTGCGTTTCTCTCATCCCAGTCGTCAGCGTAATTATCTTATTACCATATATTATTATTATAAGATCCGTTCCGTGCTAATAGGCGTTTTGCCTTGACAGACCCTGGTCGTTGGCTGAATCCTGCCAATCGTCTCTCGCTTGGCTGCATTCGATCATCAACTTCCGGCAAGGGTCTCGTTTACGGCGGGTACGGGGGAATTTCAATCCAACCCACCTTTTTTTGCCATCCCCCCCCCACGTCTCTATTTGAATTACCTTCCCCCTCTCATCGAAACCCTCTCCATCGGAGATTATGGAGGGGATACACCATGGAGGGCACGGGGGAGCCCGGCCATCCCAGTCTATGGCCTTCCCCGGCTTCGACGCCGACTCTCATATGATGTCCGACGACTTTACCTTTGACTCTCCGTTCAGTCCCTCCGGTTCTTCCAACGCCAATGATGGCGTCCTCGGCAACTCCATCTTTCCTGAATGGACGAACGGTGCACCGCGTGGCGAAAGCCCCGATGAGATGCAAAGAAAGGATCCATTGGCGGCTCAGATTTGGAAGCTATATACCAGGACAAAGTCT